AAAATAGTCTTAAGGATAAGAATTAATAAAAGAAGGGAGATTATATTATAGCCTAATATAGTCCTTATTATATACCTAAAACTTCCCTACAAAATACCCTTTAATCTTAGTTAATTAAAGATAATTTTATACTTTAAGAATAAGTCTTATATTATAAGATATATTCTTATATTATAATACCCTCTTAGTAACTATAAGATATTTATATATATATATAATACTTATTATATCTTAGATAGATACTTAGCCTTTAAGCTATTAATAGATTTTAATTACCTTTAAGATCTTCTTAACTTATTATTAAGATATAATTCCCCTATTATATAGTAATACCGAGATTCTTTACTAATAATAAACCTAATATGCCTAGTTTATTCCCTTAGAAAACTCTAGATATTATATATAAGCTATATTAGGTAACCCTAGAGAAAAGGGCTAGCTTAGGGAGGTAAAGAATTAGCTTATATAATAATTATTAACTAAGAATTATATAATATACCTTCTTATTAAAATAATAAAATTATCTTAGTAAGATAAGATCTTAGCTATAATAATATAACTATAAATACCTATAATAATATTAAGAGAAAATAAAAATAAAAAAATAAAGAAATATTAAAAGAGCTAAGATAATTAATTAAATAATTAGTCTTATTTAAGAAATAATTTAATATATTAATAAGAGTTAATAACTTTTAGGGGAAGAATTAATAAGGGTTTTAATAAGGCTTCTTAAGAGCTATAAGAATAAATATTAAAGCTTTATAAGGAGCTATAAATTAAGGGAAAAATATATTAAGCTATTTTAGGCTATTAAGTAATTTCTTATATATAAAAAAAGGAGATAGAGGTTATAAAGCCTTACCTTTATTATTACTTTCGCAGGCTTTAATTAAAAGACTTTTAGGCTCCTTTGCGGGTTATATCTTTATTATTATAAATTAATTAATTACTTTTATTATTTTATATTATATTTACCTTATAGGAAAGTATATAAGATCTCTCTTTTAAAAAGACCTTAAAAGGAATATATAGAAATTTAATTCCTTAGGCTATATAGTTTAGTATATTTTATTTCTCTAATAAAATAGGCTTAGTTAGAGCTTAAATATAATATCTTAGCCAATTACTAAATTTATTAATTAGCATATATATTATCTTTGAATATAATGCAATTAGATCCTTAATGCTAGGATTATGCTTCCGTTTGACCCCGGGAAATGGTAAGGTCATGACTCGCCGAGGTGAGCTGGTTGTGTCTTTGGGACCTTTGGTGACATACTTAGGAGACCCCCTAAAAGAGATCAACGGGAGGGGTGGTTTCTTTCTTGGCGTTTCTTGGTGCTTCAAAGGATGGTGACGAGGACATGTCAATAGCCCTGGTATTCGATGGCCCAGAGCGAGAGAAATGATCCATGCTCAACAGTTTAAACTCGCTGGCATCCTGCCCTGTGATGCCAGGCCCAATCAGAATCTGTTGCTCCAAAGTAAGTCGCTTTGGTGAAGCAACGTCAACAATCTCGGTATCCACTGGAAGCTGTAGTGTTGAGATGTCCTCGGTGTGGATGTCGGAGCTAAAAATTATGGGAGAAGGAGTATCAGCAACAATATCAGACAGCCCACCAATATCCAGGCGAGTGAGGCCTGCTCGCCCGGGCTCGAGAGTGGCCTCCTCTTGGGGAGCGTCGTCGGCGTCGGCAGTCGCATCTTTGGTGCCGGTGCCTCGGTCAGTGGAAGGGGAGAATGTCGCTTGGTTCTCGAGACGCTGGTTGCATGCGACTTCTCCGTCAGCCACCTCGGTGCTTTCTCTGCTGGACTGGCCCCAGGTCTGCTTGACTTGCTTGAGCGCTTCAGTGGCTCGATCGCCGCTGAAGTAGGGAACTCTCTTTCCGGCCTTGACCATCTCTCGGAGAAGACCACCAGGCTCCCAAAGAGAATGCAAAAGCTGTTGACCCCTGGGCTCTAGGATGGTAGTGATCCTAGACATTTGGTTGACCACCATCTGTAGAACGTCTCCCGTTGGCCCCATCGAGACATATGCATCTCGAATGTCCTGGGGCAACCAATCCTTTCCACCCCAAGCCGTATCAAGACGTTCCGATGACACCCTAGCAAATTCATCCGTCCGTTGTCTCTTGGCCAGGTTCATCGTCCGAGTCTTTTCCTCTTTAAACAGCAAAGCCTTAGCCTCACAGCAGCCGGCGTTGACCTTTGGAGTTTCAATCAGGATGCCTTTGAGGACCAACGGCTGGTCTATCGACGGGAAAGACAGTATGATGCCCCGGACGAAGCATTCAGAAACATGAACCGGCGTTTCGTACTTCTTAATGATGGTTTCGTAAGCGGCGGTTGTCTATTAGAGGAAGCGTCAGCAAAAATTACCGATAGTCCATCAGCAAGCCAGGAAGACGGAGCGAGGATGGGCGTCACATCGGCAGGGGCCATAGGTCATGTGAACAACGTTCAAAAGAAGAGATACCACTGGGAGACAAATTACACGTGCTGTGAGATGTCGTTCTGCACCGCCTGGTGGAGGATGAGGAAACTTAAACAAAGTAGACATCAGATGGCCACTGCAACACACCAACACCAACCACGGGTAATCACACGAGTCAGATGTTAAATAAAGTTTTGCATGACGCTAATTCATTGTATCATATAAGCACTTCATCCAATAGCCATGTCCGAAAAGTAGTTTCACTCCATGTTGCCAACTCCCGCAAAGCAGCCACAACCTTGTAACAGCCAAGTATTGTCGCAGTATCGCCAATTACAATTCCGTTGAAGATATCCTAGTGAAGCATCAGTAAGCTACTCATAAAATGTTAGGGCAATGACGAAAAATGACTTACAATTCGGTCAGTACCATCAACAGCAAAGAACAGGCTCCAAGTTGAACCCTGAATGAGTAAAAGAGGTAGCGCCGTGGAAAGAGCTTCCTCTTTCTGCGACTCTCCAAGGATCGCCGCCTTGCTCTTTTTCAGCGCCCGTAACCTCTCAAAATGCGTAGCCGCCCACACGGACAACTGTGCCATGCCCTCCTGAGACGACCCGTCTGGGGTCTTGGTTTCGATGTTCACCGCAATAGGGCGCCACCTTAGTGGCATGTACTCGGTGTGGTTGATAGAACGTATCAAGGTACCGTTGGCCGAACCCGCGTTGGCTTGGCAGGCTTTGACCGTACGGACAGCAGCCGCCTGAATGTCTGCATCAGAGACAGCCAGACAGAAGTCAACCATCTTAGCCTCCATTGCTTCTCCCTTGGCGTCCTTTGGGAGGAACGATCGGTGAGGACGCGCTGCCGTGATGTCCCAAAAAGACACTGGGTCGTCACGCTCGGCATCCGCATCTTCCACGTCTGCATCGCTCTCGTCGTCGTCAGCCTCAGAGGGTGGGTCGATGGCTATCTCGAGAAGCGGCGTATGGATGAGTGAATTCCACGATGCTTCTGAGACATTTTCAATTATCCATCGGCCTGTCTTATCCGCCACCTTGCGTAGCACAGAAAGCTCCCGGCAGGCGGCATAGAGGGTCTGAGGCCTCCTAGGCTGAGATTCTGTCGGCAGATCATCCAAATCGTACATGTTGTGCGGAAGTAAGTCGTCGTCAGTAATTCGTAAGCGTCTCTGAACTCTCATCTCAACCATGTGAGGAATAACGTTTCTGCCTGAAGAGATTCTCTTGATGCCAGTGAAGAGTGGCCTCACGCCGGGTGGAAGGTCAGACAAGGAGGACAGTGTTCTTTGGGAGATTGGCTTCAGATTCAACAACAGATCAGCCGTGCGCTTAACAGGACTTTTTGACCTGCGTGATTTCGATGTAGTTGTGGTCGAGGTTGTCGCTGTGGACTTGGTGGGAGAAGGGGGAGCGCTATCTTGACCAAGGCCAGAACTTGAGTTGCTGAGTGCCTGGATATACCCATCGGGTTCGAATCTTGGTCGATCTTGGGGCTTGGCGAGTTTGATTGTTGATGACTGTCGTGTTGATGACTGTCGTGTTGACGACCCTGTCCCAGGCTTGGAGGTTCCCAGAGCCAAGGAGGTCACCCTTCCGATAATCGGACGGGGGGTTTTCTCGGGTGAGGCGTGGTGGTCAGTCTCCGTGTCCTTCTCTCCCCTTCGCCCCCGCAACCTGGCTGACTTTCGAGGTGATGGTGTCTGGGGTCGTGGTGTTGACATGTTGGGGTTCAGTATTTCCAGGGCGCGACGATGGGATGATACAATCATAGATTCTCGATAGATATGGCTCTTAGATACTCCGAATCTTGATACTGCCTCTGGCCGGCCGAGGGGCGACGGCTGGTGTGGTGGGAGAGATGCGTTGTGCTCCTCGACGCTTTGGACCCAGGCCGCGATGATTTCAGCGCGCGAGCAAGGAGGCGCGTAGTTGTGTGTTGTACTAGTTGGCGATTGGCTATGGGTCACTGCAATCATTTTGACGATTGAGGTCGCGAGTGACGCCTAAATTCGGCATATTCTAGCATCTCCATGGTAAGTTAAATGAATGTTGACGTTTGGGTGTGTTTGGGGCTGCCTGATTGTTGGTGGGGTAACGTGATTATGTAATTGAGTACCCACCCACAGAATCTTGTCATGACGCGAGCAACAGGCGAATCACCATGAGGCCAGAAGATCAACCACGGCCGATGGCATCACAGAATCATCTGCGAGGAAGCCCAATTAAACACTGTTGGGTTTAGAGTCGCCTTGATTGATCGCGCATAGCAAGTTTAGTATATGAGCCCTAACACAGCAGGTGCCGATGCTGTGAACTTTCAACGTTCAACCGAGCTACTTACCTAGTTTTTCCGGTAATTTGTGCCTAACTAAGTACCTACGCATGACTGTGAATAGTTTGCGACACCCGGAAAGTGAAGGGTGGGAAGCCCAAAGGCCATGCATGATTGGGGAGAATAAATACGTAGTGTATACAGCCAGCAATATGCATAATTTACGTCGTGGTTATTCTTCTGGTTGTGAAATGGCAAACCCGTTTTTTTCCTACCCGGGAGTTCCGTAATTCCCGTTGCGTGAAACCCAAAAGTTTTCATGTCCAATTAATGCCCTTTGGAGCCCCCAATTGCAGAATTTTATTAGTTTGTCAAGCTCACAAACACTCTAGTTACCCCGTGCCTAGCACTCACTCGACAAGAGAAAAACTTGATGTGAGCTTGTTGTAGAGACGTTTTTGGCCTTTCCCTCGCAGTCAATACATCATGCTCCAGGGTAATATCGTACCAGTTCATTTCTCATCGTCCGTTTTGGCATTGACCAACTGTCTTGAGCATATTTTCAGGTGTCTACCAGCAGCCTCTTCACATTGACGACGAGACTCATGGACGAGCCTGCTAAAGCTGTCATATCAACCGAGGTTAAGGAGCATATGGACCTCGGCCAGTACGGAAGTCGATGGCTCCATTCTTTCCACCTGCAAACTACTTTGTGCAGACCATCTTGGTTCCGGCCCAAATATTCATCTGACAAGGAGTATGCACGGTTTGCTATGGTCCAACAAAGCCAAGTTAATTCCTAGTACTCGAATTTTCTGTTTCATGAACGATAGAGTTCTTTTGCCAATGGGCGCGCTCGCCATTTTCACCCAACTTTTCTGCTGAACGCCAATGCCGTGCTGGTAGGGTAGCTTTCCAAGACGGGGAATACGGACATTGACCAATCACCATCCTTTGGGCCACCACATGTTGACGACGCATATTAGGAACTAATCCAATCCAATAGATGTCCTTATTGGCCATCTGCATATGTTGAATTGTCGTCTAGTATCATGCGCTGAGTATTTTCACCAATTAAGTTTTGCAACGCGAGACGGGCTCTCATCTGTGCCCGCGGATAGCCGTCCTTGTCCTGCTACAACAACCCGTAATATCCGTCCCGCTCACTCAGAGAACGCAGAATACGAGAATCTGCAACGCACATAACATCGAATCCGACGTCGATTTAGAAACCAAAACCATCGCGTCTCCACCTGTTTGACTGACAGGGGTCGGTCAACCGATGTAGTCCGCGATCCAAGTCCCAGAACCTGTGTCTTAAGCTGAGATCCTTGATGTGGAGAATATAGTGGTCGGGCGGATCAAGGTCCAGGGTGTCACCTCTAACTACCCAACTGGGTTGAGCAGTTCTTTCGTTCGACATCTTCATCCAACCGCAAGTTCCCATCCCCTGTCGTGCGTGTGGCAGTGTTCTATCTAACGCCCTTTTTGTGTGGCAGCGTCTCAAGGGTTCGGACGTCATAGAAGCTTGAGCCCCGTCTGTAAGAGTCCCAACTTGGATCCGTCCTCCGGATCTTCAACCAGCAGTCCTGCCAGCAACAGTGCCAGACTGTCTCGCACAAAAGCTTGCAATCGACGTTTTAGTGCCTAGTCCAGGAACCCCCAAGCCTGGCGTTTTCGTCGTCAGCTTGACAACTAGTTGCAATGATGACTAGCCGCCAACCTAGGCTAAGGAAGGTGATGAGAACAAGGACATCTTCAGAGACGAACACAAAGGAAAGTATGACGCCAACACTGCTACCGCTGACAAGCCCCTGGTGTCGACCTAGGAATTGTGGCGATTGGGGGATTTTAGGCTGCAAGCGACTGTAGAAAGGGATGGTGCTCACGTTGTTTTAGAGTCTGATATGTGGGACGCTGATTACGGAAATTAGAGCTTTGTGCATGCCCAGGCGGCATGTGCTGGACCTCGCACGAGTTGAAGTCAGCTTGACGGGGAATACGCAGCTTCAGCTTCGTAACTCCCAACTATAGTATGGTCAACGGATAATACGCACCTTTTGCAGCCTGGAACCGGTAAGAAGAAAATTCAATACGGCTGTATCAAAATGATATCAAGATCAACATTGTGTTGGCCAAGTACCGCTTGACTGAGGATTCAGTCAATTTAATGATCTCAACTTCCCCTGTGATCCTACTTGATCAATGCTATTCAGCCTGCCTACAGGTCTTGCCTTGGACAACTCAATTCACTGACCCATTCAACAGACCTCACAGCCTGCCTGCATAGCGCTACTGCAACAACAAGAGTAGGTAGTAGGTGGCTTCTCCCAATCTGCCAATTGGAGGGCACCGACTTCGCGTTGATCGAGGCCCATGATGTATGCCCTCGGGCGGTGTAAGAGACTGACCCTGGCCGGCATGCCGGATACCTCGATCCCTCAGCACCTCATCCTGAATGGCTGGACCAGCTTATGGTCTGGTCCATGTTCTTGACATTAGCTTGGATGCTTCCAGTTTCGTCATACCATGCTCGTTGTGGCTGGCAAGGCTATGCTTCGTAGTTTATGTATGCACGTATGTTCTTGGTGAGACTTTTCTAATATGCGTAATCTCCGTGCAATGCTCCACCGCTTCCCTCATATCAGGAAATGGTTCAAATGCGTAATATCAGCTGGCTAAATCACACCTCATTATACAAGACCGCACAACTTGCCACCGGGCCAAAGAATATCCCACAGACACGGGGACAGAGAAAAACAAATGTAAATCGTATTTTCTCCCATAGCATTCTGTGGCGGCTTGCTGGTGTTTTTGTGTATTATCCGTCACAAGTTTGATTGGCTACGTCCAGTCAGCTGGGCTGTGAACTGGTGTATTTTCCATGTAGATAATCACCTAATGCCAAATAGCGTATTCTCCGTGTAGACAGTTGTTTGGAGCCAGAAAGCGTATTATGCGTACCTAGTCAAGGACGCTTCCTGGCCGTGTCAAGGAAGCTTCCTGGCCGTGTCAAGGGTAATCAGTTAGTGCCGCATTGGCGTATTTTCCGTGTGGATACTTGTAGTACTCCGTAGTCAATGCTCAATGGCGTGCGTATTGTCCGCGTTGAAACGTGTTCGCTCGAACTACTGGGTTAGACCAAGCAAATACTTCACGTAACGAGTTAATGGCGTGGTCATGTTAAGTCATGAGTTGTACATTTCTCTATTATCCATAAGCAGAACCTCCTGCTACTTTGACAAATGTAAGAATCGCTGGACAGTTATCTGCTCATCTTAACGTCGGACGGCAAGGGAAGGCAGACATTTGGCGTGATTCAGTGGGCGGGTGGCGGGGCGTCAATGTACTGGAGATTCAGCCCGCCAGTCACTAAATTATAGCGGAGTGGCCACCATTGCACAGCACAGTATCCACTAAACCTAGCTGATTAGTAGTTCACTACATTGGGCAGTTGCGTATTTTCCGTCCATATTCTCTCTCTCTGGAGAAACCAGCCGTCATGTGAGAAAGGGAAGGCATTTGGTTTGGTCAGGCACTCTAAGTACGGGTCGAGAAGTTCTGATACCCTAGCATATCGTTAACCTTGATCCTCCAACCTGCCCTTCATGACCTCGATCTCCTCGCCTCAACTCTAAACCTGAAGCTCCAGACTCTTCAACAAGTCCTCCAGATATGCAAGGCGAGAATCAGTTGTGCGGGTTGTCTTTTTGGTGTGAAATACCTGAAGCGTGGCCTTGACCGACTCCCATGTTGGTTGATGTTGAATCCAAGTCAACAGGCTGCCAGCGGCTTGCAGGCTGTAAGACATGGCCGATTCTGTAGCTCTTCAATGTCCTTGCTGAATTGCTGCACACGTCACTCTTAAATGAGTATCCCAAAGGTAAGGATAGAGTAAGCCCTGAGCTCACGATGCCAACCCAGGGCCATCGACAAGCCGTGAAGAGAGACCATCGTCACTATGAGCTGCAGGCTGTTTGTCGCTCTTGACTTCTTGTGGGTTGTTGCGTCGAACTCGATACCACTGGCCAGTAATCAACGCTATTCAGTCTCGCCGAAGACGGTCACAGGAGGACAGAGAACTATTGGAAACGTGCAAGCCGTGAAGCATCTAAACATTGATGCTCTGGACATAAAGGTAGGAATTCATCTTCAAATCGGACATGGCTCCTTATGGGTCTCTCCCTTGCAATTCTTATCTCTATTCTAGCAATCAATCACGCCCAGTAACACGGGAACTTTGGGGCCCTATCCAGACATGCTCACTTGGCTTTCCCTGTTTGATTCATCAATCCCTCCCTGGATAAATCGGCGGCGGTGACGACGTGAGGGAAATCGGCCATTATCGCCACTTGCTTCGTTCTTGGCCCGTCCCTCCCGGAACTAAGCGCGACGGTGAGTGCGAGTATGCCTACGACTTGATTTGTCGGCGCGAGTCTCACCCTGCAAATCTTTGCCTTCACGCTCAGCCACGGCCCGTCCTTTTCCCTTCTCCATGGTGGACCGGGATGCCTTATCCTCCGTTGGTACACCCAACCCACGACGCTCAATCTCCGCCATGACTTTCTCATGCAAGGGCTTCGCACCAGTTGTGGGAGATGTCGGCACACTGACTGGCGGAAGATGCCCACGTCTGTTATCAACATACCACTGAACCAATGGAATTCCACCATACCGCATTGGTCTCGGCTCGATGTTTGGGGCTAGAGCAGTCTCTGTCGGAAGGGGCTGGGGCAGATATTGGACAGAAGAATGATTGTCTTGAGGCTCAGGCTCAGGGGGGATTCTAGGACGAATTGGCAGTGGCTCGGTGCGATGCGATCGAGTGCATGGCTGAGCAGCGCCCTGTCGGGGTCTTGCCGGCGTGTCATTGATGCCCGAGCCAGCATAAGCTGCTTTTCGCCACTCGTCGAATGGGCGATAACTCTCCTCATCACGGGTGTTGGGAACCTGTGTTCGATGACCGTGGGAGCTCTCAAACGCCGTTTCGTCTGGGAATGAACCGGAGATGAAGGGTGGGCTAGGGGGGTATCGGTCGGGGGCAGCATGATTACGTGCTGTCCAGTCTTGGGAGTTGTCGGGGTGAGTGGACTTGACGGAATATTCGACACCATGGGGGACGTTAGCCTGTTGCGAATGCTGGCTGTCTCCGTGATATGCTTGATCCCAAGTTTGATGTCGGTCTGAGTATGGCGCCTCGCCTCCCGTAAAGGTCTGGTCTCTGGAAGACGGACGAGCCCAAGATGTTTGAACAATCCGTTCAGGTTGTGTTGAAATGATTGGAGGAGGCGTACAGCTTTGTCGGTAGGGATTATCCACAGAAAAGGCCCTTCCACCATCGGACGTGGCCGGCTGCTGGTCCATGGGGTGGCTTTGACGCTGTTCTTGCTGGCTCTGGCCCTCCTCGAGGCTTCCTCCTTGAGTATACTCCCCCAACTTTGATGCGGCTCGACGAACAGAAGACAGCCCTGCCCCCAAGGACGAGCCTTTTGGTGGTGATTGATCCTCAACACGAGGTTCGACATCTTCCAGAACGTGCTCCTCGACAACCCCGTCCACAGTGCCTTGACCGCCTGCACCTTGTTCCATATCCAACTTCATCATGGCTTTTCTCCAATGCGCCCTTGTCGATGTGAACGACTGCGTAACACACCCCGACTCGTCCACCCACTTGTCTGGGAACATTTCTTCCCCCTCTTCGCTTTCTTGGGGAGGTGAATAATTTTCCATCCATGCAAGATCGATTTGGGTGAAGCCGAGGTCGTTATCCTCAGTACCATGTTCGAGGAAGAAACGGCGGAGTTCCCTCCCACGACGGATGTAGTCCACCTTTTCCTTGGGCATGATGGCCGTGGTTCTGTGGTGATTGTTGACGAGGCGGGAATAGGTGGTCTTGGCTGGACTTTTGTAGAGGACAAGGGGAGGTGCGAGTTTTGAGGTGGGCATAAAGTTTCCCGGGAAACCCGGAACGTAGACTGAGATTGCAGGTAGGCCAAGGAAAAGGTACCAGAAGAAATGAAATGCCGGCTTTATGTGCGAAGCTCTCACCCTTCAACAACAAATTTCCGTAGTAGTATGTCTTTGTCAACAGGCTTCGTTGTTGCAAGTCAGGCGTCACATATTGTTCAAAGAGGACGGCTGAAATTCAAGGGGGTGGTGACTGCTCAGCTGACCACTGTGTCTCGCTCTGTGGGTAGCGCGCGAGAGAAAACTTGGCCAGACCAGCTGGCCAGAATGATATTCTTTGTTGTTCCAACTGTTCAGTGGTGACGTGGCCTGATAGGGGCTGGCTGGGCCGTCATGTGCGGACTGCCTTGTGCGCCAGTAGTCCACATAAGCACTAAAACATCAGGGGTGGTGTGTTTTACTGTCCTGCAACTGAGCTGTTTACGTTTCCGTTGTGGTGATGTGGTGCCGTGGTTGAAAGGCGCCTAATTCTGATCTATCACTTTGCGGGACGACACCAGGCCAGTATCCGGACCGTGGCTTGCTAGCTTACGGTAAAGAGCAATAGCGCAGGAGCATTTTCCAGTATTGTTTCAATATTGAAGTAAACAATGACAGATCGAACTCCTGACTGCCACACCGCCGCTGTTCCTCTCGTTCAACTCGGACTGGAGTTTGTGTATGACACACGGGAAGTCAACAACGAAACGCTCTATGTATGTATGGTAAATATTGGATGTTTTCAGGCAACACCGGGACAACCCAGTGCTAGCGGACATGTAGTTTATTTACCCTCCGTACCAATATTTCCTGGTCCACAGGCGTCAGGTTCACACCTATCGACACAGCTACCCACTAATCGCCATCAGGCACACAAGTCCTTCAGTGCATCAATTCTTGACTCACGGCGCTTCTCATCGTCCTTGGGTTTGTTCCTGGTAAGCGCGGGCACAAACCATTGGGCATAATGCCCTCTGACATGATCGTTGGAGAGAAGCGATCCAATCTCCATCAGAGTAAGCATATTCTCATTCTCAGTCTCCCAGTCATTGCCTGGCTTGAGAGCAGTATAATGGGATGGCAAATGCCGCGCCGTCCAGTCCAGATCTGCACCGGCATGTTGGGCGGTGGCCTTGAGAACGGCCATCAGCACGCGGTGATGCCATTCCTTGTCAGGCGAAGAGGAGAATGACTGAGGGTAGAACGGCTCGCTAGTTGCATCGAGGTTCAGTGCCTCATGGAGAGGCCCAGGGGTTGAGAAAGGGGCGCGTTGGAGGAGCTTCCAGTGAACGTGGCAGACACGAACACGCCAGGGCTCAACCTACGACAATTTGCGTCAGTGAAGGGGAGAATATTGGGGTAGGGAGCAGCTACATTTTTGATGGGCCAGCCAGTCTCGATCCATGGTTGCATCAACGGTTCGATGACATCAGTCGTTGGCCGAAGCCATGAGACACCGATCATGACAGCCACGAGCGCGCCGATGGCGGAGATGGCGACTGCAAGCATAGTAAAGAGTTGAAGAGGTGATATGAGAAGTGGTGAATCTGTGAGAGAAGGCTTCGGTGAAGAAAGTCGATACAGAGAACCGGGGTTGAGAGGGGCCGAGTAAGGAAAGATGATTTCAGCCGACCAGATTGTGATGTTGTGATGTATTAAGGTTTCTCCTTTTTGCAATGTCAGCGGAGATTCTCTTTTGGAAATGTCATCAATAATAAGCAAAAGGAAATCAACCTGAAGCAATACGGGGTAATAGGGGGTTGTTTAATATGACAAGGCTGAACGGCTGGCGCGTGACTCCCCGTTGTTGGCTCGACTTCCGACATATCACCCGCACCTGAATCAGGCACGTTTTGCTACGTACCTGGTTGATTTTTCAGGGTCAATGAGACTCCCATCCTTTGTTGGCAGACTTTTTCTGAAACTTCTTCACTCCTGAACCTACTCGTCTACGGTTGGCCTTGCGAGGTATTAAACCTGACATTAGCATCTGTTGCTGTGTTCATGATTTACTTGATCAGAACTTTTTATCACCTCTAGACCTGTCTCAAGCCCGTCTAGACCCCGCTTTCTTTCATTTATTCTGAGATTTACTTTTGCTATAACTAAGAGTCCTTTATTTTTTTTTTCTTAAATTCTTTTGCTTTCTCCAACCTCAATACCGTCTGTCCATCATCATGTCCGACCGCCCCAACCGACTCACTCCAGAAGACATCGCCCGAATGCGGCAGAGTGCGGCAGCTGATCCAGCTTACAAACCCCGGTCGAGGCCTCAGTCTGCTGCCGCAGGAAGCCAGCACCAGGGCTCTCGAGAGTCCCACACACAGCCTTTACGTCCCGGTCGACCATCTTCCGAGCCTCCAGATCACCATCAACGTCCATCAAATGGCCCCTTCAAGCCACCCTTGGAGCCCATCGCCGACGACTCGCCAAAAAATCCGCATCCACCACCAGGAGGATTCCGACAACCCCCTCAAGGTCCATCGGCTAAACCTCCTGAGCATCGTGATCCCCCAAGGCATACAACAGGGGGTGGGACTCCAAAGTATCGCCAGAATGAGCAGGCTCACCCTCGGCCACCCCACCAAGACTCCGAGGACCAGCGTAGACAGTCTCACTCTCGAACATCGGGCGAGGCTTTTCACGGTTATGTTCACCGACACCCGACTCCCGACAGCAACCAGCACAAGAAACCATCCCCCCCCCGATCCGAGACCTCCAGTGGCTATACCAACCAGCCCGACCCTCGTACAAGATATGAACACCAACATACCAAGCATGGCCATGGTCATGATCCACACCAATGCCGTGACCACCAGGAGCCCCCCCCTCGTTCTCATCCTGGATCCCACTCAAAGCGGGCTCATCAACCCCCTCCTGATAAACGGCCTCCTCCTCCATATTCAGAGGACAACACCTCAGAAGGCTACTTTAAGCCGCACAACACCCGGCCGCAGACTGAACATGGCCACCGATTCCAACCTCCTCCCTTTTCCTCACCAAACACCATGTTTGGGATGGGGGCCTTGCTACCACCTGACTCGCTGAAATGGATTCTGTGGATCATTCTTTCGGTCGGTGCAATCATACTCATCTACTTCTTCGCCATCAAGTGGAGCATCATCGACGTCAAGGACGGCCTCGTCTCTCTGGTCCCTACTATGATATATGGCACGTTCGGAGCAGTCAAGGATCTCCTATATGCCACTGGAGACATCTTTTCCGATGCTGTTTCCGTCACCTATGGAGGAGTCAAGACTTTTTTCTATGAAGTCGGAGAAGTGACTTCTGGCATGCTCGGAGGAGTCTCTAGTGTCACACATGACGTGCTTGGAGCAGCCGCTGGCTTCGCATCTTCCGCGTGGGTGGTGGCCTCGGCTGCGTTTGCATCTCAACAGCAGCGGCCCCGGGGTCCCGCCGTGATCAATGTTGCCCCTCTCAACCCCCTCATTGATACTTGGGCCCCAGGAATCCAGGTGGCCCAATCCATGGCGAAGCAAGTGGGTAGTTTCCTCAAGGTGGCGGAAGGAAACACGGTCGAGGATCAGATGATCAAGAAGGTGCGTCAGCGCAACGAGGAGTACACAAAAGAACTCGCATCTACGCTCGCCGACAACTACCTCTGGGTTGATTTCCTTGTCAAGGATATCGAGAATAATCCCCTGAGCGTGTCATGCTGGCCCACCCCGGGCAATCAGTCGTACTCATGGTTCGGTGGCTCGAAAGTGTCTCATTGTCGTCGCAGACTCGTTGATCAGCTGAAAGGGTTGAGCAAGGCCCTGCAAGATGCTCACGACTCGCGTTCCAAGTTGTTGAGCAAGGTCCGTGATCTTCTCGAGACTGACCTGGAAATGATCAGGAGCGCTGCCTGTGAACAACGCAATCAATACCGAAGCGCATACTCAAAACGTGTCAAAGATATGAAACCAGGTGCTTCTGATAGAAAGGAGGTGGGTTCTTTCCTCGGTAAATTGGCCCAGCTTTTTGGTGTTGGTGACTCGACTTGTCGCATGATTGAAGCCGATTATTCCGCCACAGCAACCAAATTGAACATGATGGAGGATGAGATGAAGTTTCTCGGGTCCTCCCTGACATTGCTTGGTGGTTTAATCGAGCAATGGGAAACCAAGGAAGACGATGCGGCAAGTCAAAAGGCGGCTGACGCCGTGGAGAAGGTGGTGCTAGATCGAGTCAAGAAGTGGTTGAAGATGACGGAGGAATATCATCAGGAGTTGTGATATCAGTCTTTGGTGTTTCATTTGTCTTTCTTTGCAGTGGATTTTCTCTTTCGTTTGAGTGATTGCGTGATCTATAGTTGTGGATAGAAATACGTCTTTGATGGCAATTTACACGCCTATCATTTACTTGCACCGGTTCAATTTTATTGGTGAGAATCAGAGCCCTGCGTTGACAATGTGATTTTTGCTATACCTGAAGCCCAGCCTTTGACGGGTTAACTGGACAAGAACATCGTCAACCTCAGCCAAAGTCATGTGGCATTTTCCCAACTACAGATGGTATTGGAAAACCAACTGTCAGAGAAGTAGATACAGAAGCGAATGTAAGAGCTCAATGTCCCAGCCGAATCTTCACCGAGGTCGATTTTTTTCGGCTTCTTTTCTCCTGCTTTTAACGATCTCCCACAAAGCCACCTCCTCTTGGAGAATGAGCATCCAAGTAGGAAATATAGCCGCAATTGCCTCAGTCGGGTTTGGTAGATGCAGTCTCACTATAACCTTCTCGCCTTGGGCTCTTGGGCAATCTGGGTACAGGCACCACTGACCAAACTCTTCTTTCTCCAGCTTTGGACGGTATGGGGCCCAGAGGTTGGAATGCCACTTGCCTGCTATGTAGTTCTCGCTTGTATTGTTTTGTAATTGGACGATGCTGCCAGAGTCGGCCTGTGAAGCAATGGAAGCGGCGTCGAGAAGCTGTTGAATCCAGAATGTGATCTTGTCTTCCTCGTGCAAGATGTCTTCTTGTTCGGCAAACACCTCCTCCAAAGCTGATGCAACCACGGTCAAGTTGTGCCTGACGTTGATGAAGAAGCCCATGGAGTCCTTGGTCTTACGGAGAGCCTTTGCCTTTTTGGCCTTTCTCAATGTTTCTAGGTTCTTTCGAGTCCACCAAGATTTCCAAAAGGGTGGTTCACTTGTGCCCGTGCCGTGGTTGGTGTCTGTAGTGTGCTCGGTGACGTTGCGAGAGATGTCAAGGACCTGATCTACTTTTTGTATCGCATCCTTCAACTCCTTCCGGAACTCGTTCATCTCTTCCATCGTCTTATCCCTCAGACTGTGCAAACTCGGTCCAACTTCTTCGTCCGCAGTGTCTTTCAAGATTGCAAGGGTCAAAAGCGGCGAAGGATCTGGAGTTGGCGGAGCTGCTAGCCCAGTTGTATATGGCTTTCCTGATGGCTTCGTCGAGGTAGCATTGTGCGCATCCATCTTTTCTCGAATCATGAGGCTTACCGCCAGCCCCTCGATTGCTATCCTGCTAGTAGCAGTTGCGCTGCCTTCGAGATACCAAATGGTACGCCGAAAGCTCGTCGTGGCGCGATCCACAGCCCTGGAGACGTTCGAACAGACCTCGTACAAGTCCACGCCATCGTATACTGGACCACCCTTTCTCAACTCTTTTTCGTAGTCCCAACGCTCCAGTGCGTCCATCGTCAAGCCTTGTTCAGGATTCCACATGGTACCAATATCTTGTACAGGAAGGCACAAATCCCTGTTCCCGAACATGAGGTTGACGGCCAGCGTATCAAGGGGAAGATTAAAAAAAGTCGAGTTGCGTGGGAAGAATGCTTGGCGGAGGCAGAGTTGGTGGAAACGATCATAAACCGGGAGCACATCAGTAACGATGGCTTCAGGATGAAATGGCGTGGCTTCGTAGACTGTTACCGAGGGTTGTTGGCGCGGGTGGGAAAAGGAGATCAGAATGGCGAGAAATAAGTAGCATAAAACGGCGTAGCCTGTCCACAGGATGAGCTTGTTGTTGATGGGTTGCCGAGGCTGTCTCTTGCTGGCAATGTCCTTGACATTCTCTTGGGTGGAAGTCACAGGACGCTGTAACCGTATCAACGAAGGCTTGTGCTGCTTGGGCTGATTTTCTGGGTGGCTCGATTGAACAAGTTCAGTGTCAAACACATCATCTTCCTCGACCCAAAGGTTAACGTCGCTACTTTGAATGACGTAGTTTGGGGCTGAAGGAAGAGTGTCGCTCTCATCTGGGGCTGCTGCACAAGATATGACACGTTGATGGTCATTGAAATGGATGGTAATGTCATCACCCCCTTCACTCAAGGACTGCCAGTACCCATTGTGAAAGCACAACGCAACATTGAGGCCTCTATGCCCAGGTGCAAGGCCGGGGTGCGGGTTCACGCGGAACCGTAAGACAGTGTATTTGCCTGTGCGATGCCATTGTGAACTGGGTGATGAGGGTGGTGACATTGACGGCGAGGGGGGATGTGAGCGGGGATGGGAAGGGGAGGATAAAGAAGATGATGAAGGGGACGAAGGTGCATCATTGAAAGGGTTTGGCCGTGAAGAAACAGGCGGCTGTCGAGGAGTTGTAGGTCGAGAATATGAGCCAGAATGCAGTGATGGAGATGGAGATGATCCAGATGGTGACGCTTCATGCGGTCGAGCCATGGCGAGGAATCTCGAGCCTGGAGGGGCAGGGTCAAGCCGAACCGTGTCTGGGTGGGTGGGCAGGCCCTGGTTTTAAGAGGGTCAGCTCTGGGGGTTTAGGCGGTCCAGCGGTATGGCACTTACGACAGGGGTACCATGGTGCCCTAAGAGGCGGAAAATGGGGCCAGGGGCAAATGGCCGACCTGGCCGTGAGGATGACATTACGTCTCGGCGTTTTGGGGCAAACGGCGCAGACATTGCAAGTTCTGGAGAGAGAACCAAGTGCGTACACTCCAAGAGAAAACCTGGGGGAGCTAAAGGTAGAAATAGCCTACGACCTTAAGCAGGGAGAGAGACGCATGGATCGCTGAGAGGTCTTGAGCCAAGCCAACGACACCAACACACATTCACATCATGTACATTCAAAGAGTGGCAACGCGCGCTCAGATTCAACAGCTCGACAAAAGAATTTGCGTAGCAAAATGTACATGATCATTCATATAATCCATCATTGGACCGGCCCATCGTGAGACCATCCCATGAGCTTCCTGAGGATTGCCGGAACCCGCACACTTCCCTGGGTTTCCCCACCCACACCCTCCATTTCATCCAGCTCAGCCTCCAACGCCTTCTGGGCAAACTCATCCCTCTTTGTCCTCGCAAACTTGGCGCCGCACTGTTGCTCAAATTGTTCCCGCAAGTCCCCCGCGATACCCGCCACGGCAGCGTGGAAATTGTGCTGCACCTCGACTGTCGCATACTTGAGCGCCTCTGACAAGAGCTCTCGAGATCTTGTATGTGGTGCATCGGATGGGATCTGGAACTGCGACTCGTCGGGAGGCCCGGTCCTTGGGGCTTTGGGGTTGCGTCCATCCCACGGGTCGTAGTTTGCGATATGAGGGGGTATGTTGGGAAACAGCCGGCACAGCTCTGCTGGGGAAGGCGGCGTCTTCCAGTGCGAGAGTGGACAGTGCGTGCTATGGCAAGACGGACTCGGCGCGCGTGTAGTTGGAGGCGTGGCTGGTGGTGATGGCATATAGGGCATCGGATCCTCGGTTGGGACAGGAGGCAAGTCGTCAATCCTCTGCTTGACATCATCGCCTTTGTTCATGGCTGAAGAACTGGAGCAGAAATCCTTCATGATGTCGATGATGGAGTTGAACTTTTGGTCCATCCTATTCTGCTGGGCTTTGAGCTCCTTTTGCACAAAGTCCGTGATTGATGAGCCAGATCGCGAGCGCGGTCGTCTCTTGACAGGTCTTGTTGAGCGACGTCGAGAGGGTAGAATGGTTCGATCCGAGTCGTCGGAGAAGGTGGCTCCATCATCGTCATCATCGTCACTTTGGTCGTCATCTCTTGAAAAAGAGTCGTGTCGGTTACGATTGTACACGCAAGTTGTGTCGTCGTCGTCGTCGTCGTCGTCGTCGTCGTCGTCGTCGTCAATGATAGCCTGAGCTCTTCTCGATCGGTCAGGACCCAAGGCACCCGACATGAAAGACCCGGAAGCCCGGCTTCTCCTTCTGCCATCTGGTGTCCTTGCCCTCATCCTCGGGGAGTCCCTCCTGGGCCTCTCTGGGTCATCCCCCTCGAGTGGCCAAATCTGGCCGTTCCAGTCGGGCCTCAGCCACCTCCGGGTGTATTCGGGCCACCTCCAAACTCTTTCCCCTCGTATTCCGTCGATGGGCCCGATCAAAACTCGAGTTTCCTCTTGTCGGAACTTGATGGTGACGAGGTATAGCAGCGCTGACTTGACCTTGTTGAGAACGGCGTTTTTGTAGTATTCCGACTGGTCGATGATTCCAAGCTCGCGGACAACTTCGTCAAGGCCAAGGCTAATGTCGGAGCGCTCGGTCATCTGATATCGTGCAGCATGCTTGCTGAAGAAGACGCGATCGCCGGGCTGCCAGGGAAACTTCTGGCCCGTGTTCTGAGCGATACGATGGATATGGACACCTCGAAAGTACTGCTGTGATTAGCCATGGCAGCGAGTCAATTGGCAGTAAACCTACGTCGTCATTGGTAAGGCCGGGAGTGACGGCCATGGTGTTCCGATGGTGATGAATGGAGAGCCAGCAGCAAGGCTGGGATGCAGAAGGATTTGGGTAGGTGAGGTCTAAGAGGGCGAGTGTGAAGCATAGAAGAAGTTGAGGGAACTGAACAGGATTCTATTGTCCATAGAGTCGTCTTTCAAAGGGTTTGATCAGCTCAGCAATCTGCAAAGCTGATGCTGGCTTTCTGCTGACCGCCCTGATGACAACAAAGGACCTGCCACACATCAAACTGTCGGGCAATAGCCATGATTCCTCTAGTGATTTGATTGGGTTACTCATTGTGTTTATGTATTGCATTTGCTGTCTTTACGCTTGGTAATTTGCTCGGGTTTAATAGACTTTTTATTAAACCTTTATCTCGAACCCTATCTTAAAGGTTATAAGTTAAGCTTCTCGCTTACTAACTTTCTATCTATACCCACTCTATAGAGCAAAGAAGCTCCTATAGCTATATTTTATTTTGCCGTAAGGTAGTAAGGAATATTAACTCTTCGCTATTTAATAGGTAATTGATTTTAATATGCCTGATAAGGTTATTTAGATATTATTTTTAATAAAAGAAGAAGGACCTTTACTAAGATATAAGAACTTTATTGAGCTTATATAAGTAATAATTAAAGATAACTAAGTTAACCCTCTAGAGGTCTAATAAAGGCTATAAGACTATTAGGAGCTTTTTTAGCTCTAGTAGCCTTATAAGGCTAGTCTACTTAAGGAAGTATAGGACTTTCTTAAGGTTTAGCCCTAATAAGGTTAGCTTATTAGGAGGATATACTATTGCGGTCTTATATTAGGTTACTTCGGGGCTAGGGTTATTAAGAGGGAGAATATACCGTATGATTTATATAGGAGTTACTATCTTATGCTATATTATTAATGATAGTGATTTACTATTATTAGAATAGAGAATAAGCTAGCTATTTTTATTATTCTTGATAAGATAAGGTTTATTAAGGCAGAGTATTAAGTATAAGAGTATCTATAGAGCTTATTTAATATTAATTCTTATATTGAAAGGCATTAGGCATGATAGCTTGATTATATATAACTGTATTGATTTGACTGGGTTGCCTTGATCTACCCTCTGTGTATGCTATGAGGTTAAATTAATTTTTAATAGCCATAATTCGATAAAGAAAATGAGGGTCCCTAGCTGTTTTACAGGAGGAAACAAAAGTGTCGCCGATATGGGATTCAAATGAAAGCTGTAGTCGTAGCAGAGATAACCCCGCCATCGCATTCGTCGCGTCTTGTGGAAGACGGTGGACAGAACAGTGGGAATCCAGGTGCCCCTCTCAATAGTGCATCTGGAGGCTTGGAACAGTGCATGCGTCATCACCATACTGCCTAATATGATGCATCGATTTGGGCCTGCGATTGTGCATCACCACGAAAAGACGGTCAGGCTTCTCACACTCAGAGGCTGTACCTGGCGCAAATAGTTCATGCAGGCTAAATGAATGCCAGCCAGCCACGTTTTAGACGCGCGTGTCTTCATGCCCGACCCCGGGCCGTGCTACCGGCATGTCCGTCATTGCAAGCCCCCCTTTATCGCCAAGCGAGACACTTCCAAGCCTCTCCAGAAAGCCGTTGAAGAAGTTTGAGTTTATTCCCTCTTCATCTCCCTAACTCCTTTTCCATCCAAGAGGGCACTTTTCCCTACCATCTTTCCGAGTCCCCCTACCCGTCATTCTCTCGCTTCTCTTCTCTATACCCTTGATCGTAACGACATTCGAGATTCACATCAAGATGAACCAGCAGCAGGAGTATCGTCCTTCTCAGCAGGCAAAGGAAAAGTGGCCTGCCCAGCAACATTATCAACACCACCATTCGCATCCGCCGCCGCCGCAAGCAGCCTCCGGTCCCGCAATGAGTCAGCGCCCTGGAAACCCCCGTCGTGTGTCTGACCTGAGCAACGTCTACACGGTGGATTTGCAGTCCAATATTGGGGACGTGTATCCTGAACTGGCGCACAACAAACATCACGAGCTTCTGGGCAAGCTTGATAACCCCGAGTTCCAAGCCCAGATACGCGCCTACTGCACGCAGCACAGTCCGGAGGCCCTTGCTGAACTCGACAAATATCTGGCCAGTGTGTGGACTTTGTCCGCCCATGTCTTGATTTAACCGCTGACGAACAATCTACGCAGCTCAACAGAGACAGCAACCAGCTGCCACGGCAGCCGTGCCCAACAACCAAGACCAGATGGTGAAGGAGATCGTAGACGACTACCAGATGCTTCAGATGGCCACGGAAAAGTACAAGCAGGCCGGGGAGGCATACCACTTCTGGGAGGCGGAGCTTTTGAGGATCCAGGCGAGGATGGAAATGCGCAAGGGATTGGCAGATGTTGGGAGCCACCCCTCGTATCGCGACAAGAGAAACTCTCAGGGCCAGTAGCTGGCAGAGAAGCAGTGACTGTGTACTTGGAGATGATGCTTGGGAGAGTGAGAAGTGGAATCGGGTTCTGTGTGCGTAATACTTTCGGTGATGTTCAATTGAATTCGACCCCTTAACCTGAGACTATGATGGGACATATGAGCGCATATACGCTCCCTGTGACACGAAAGGAATCACTGCTGTTCGTTGTTCATTATTACTCATAAACTCACGACATCTCCAGCCGTTTGTTTCATGGACTTGGCCAATTTTTTCTCAACGGGAAAGAAACAGAGTGGTTGGGATTCCTGGTCGGTGTGGTCTTCCGTCACATTTCTCCTGCAATCTGAAACGTCTCAATAGCGCTCTACAGATATGAGTAGGCCCAGGCGTCTACTGTCCGTCACCGGGCCGGCATCCATTTGATGAGGTTGAGCATTCACATCTGCCCCGGGACCCCGGTTGGTTTGGTCCCGTCAAGGCCAGCATTACTCCCAAGCCGCAACCCCTGAAACAAGCGGTGAGTCATACCTTGGTCACATGCGTTGAGTTCTTTCCTATTGTCCGTCTATTCAAAGATAATCTATTGGCAAACATGCAGGACGGGTTGGCGATATCCCCACTGTTCAATGAAAGAGGTTGCAGGCGCGGCATGACGGAGCGCAGATCATTGCCTGTACAAGGTTAGCGCTAGAGGTCAGCTCAACGCCACGTTTAGCACATCAGCAAGGGCCTGGTCAACGTCGATTTTCCAAAGGATGGCTGGTGTTGGCCTGTTTGCACAGTTGTCTCCTTTTTCTGCATTGCAGATCCCATTTTCCCCATACACATCATGAATACGGCTGAGTCACATGCAATATTCACAGGTACTATTGCTTCTGCTATTGCTGGCGCTAAATGGCGGCTCAGCTGACCCCCACTTTGTATTGTCGTTTGACGCGGATCCAATCATGGTTGATCCCAGCACACCATCTTGCCAGCCGTTTCAATCCAGAGGCTGGGCGGCTGAGCGGCTAATGAGAAGACGCAAAGGGGGTAGGAGAGAGCACACGCGTGTTCGTGCCTGTATCGGAGATGCACCCTTTCCTGGGCATCAAACATTTGCCCTTCTCAACAGCTAATATCAACTGTGGACATACAATTCAGTCCCTCTCTGAACTAAACATGTACAGGAAGATTCAGTGCCCCCGATCTGGTCAGTTCGTTCCAAGCATGTCAATGACGACAACAAAGAACTCTGTAAAATGCGGTGAACCAAATCTCCGCCTCCAGACGGAGCTTCAACTGCCGAACAACAGTGCATGGGGCTGTGACCCGTGTCATGGCGTCAGTCCCACTCCCCATGTCAGGCTACCCCTGTCTCAGCCCTAGCCGAGCTGTCAGATCGGAAGAGGGACCGGATGATGCACCTTGATCCCTGTTTGCGGGCTAGGGGGAGTTCTGCCCCGGAGGGGATCAAGCCCTGACAGCTTCTGGAACTTCATTCATTCTTGCGAAGCTCCATCTCTTCTTTCTGACGTCTTTCCTTTCCTTTTTTCTTCCCATATTGTCGCTCTCAATATTGGCCTAATCCTGAACGTTTCCTCTGGCTGTCTGTCAATTCTCACGAACTCATCCCCTCCACTGCTCTCAAAGACATGACGCTCACCGCCAAATCCACCCCCAGCCCCCACAACACGTACGTCAAGGTTACCAACCTCTGCATCACTCTCTTTCAGCTTGGCCATGTCATTCTGCATTGGCCTGTGGTAGAGCCAGGCCAGTTTCGGGATTTTGTTCGCAAAATCCAGAAACGCTGACACATTCCAAAGAGCCCAAACACTCAAATACAACACTCGTCCCCTCTGCGCTTTGGTTTGTCTTCCTCTTGATACCTCTTTCGAGATTACTCGTGATGAGCTGAAGTTCGGATTGTGGCCTGGCCAACCAGAATCTGTCTTCAGTCCATCGCTGATATATTGCCCTTGTTTATTGAAATCTTTCTTGGATATTCCCCTTGAGGACGTGCTGTCGCGGCAGCGTCTCCATGTGAGTTTCTGCTCCTTCGCTGGAGTCTCCCTTTGGGAACTTGTTTCTTTCAGACTCAGCAATGACTGGATTGGCTCGCGGATACCTGAAAGTTGAGGATGTCTCTTCAGGCAAGGTCACACATTGGGCCGTTCGCTTCTGGCGTAATGTTTCTGTTGGGCTGAGCTCTCTCTGCCCATTGGGAAGATTCCTCCTTGAGAGGATTTTGGTGATGATGTTTCAAAAGCGGTTGATGTCAGTCAGTGCCTCTGGGCAACATTTCCTGTTTGGAATTATCCTCTTTGTGAGAACCCGTCCTTGTGATAAGCCTCGTTTCGAGAACATCTCCATGTGAGATATGTCTGGAAAGACTCACCATCTGAAAATCTGATCTGATGGGAGCGTCCTTTGGGATGCTTGGAAATATCTCCAGGTGGGGGTATATCCTTTGGCCTCGATCGATCTTTTGGTCAGAAGAATCTCTTTCTGAGAACCGCATGACGATTGTTTCCCTGTAGCACTTTTCTCCATGAGAAATGTCTCTTGGTGAGATAATCTGAACGCTCCCCTGAATGCTTTCAGAGTGTAAGACAGGCGAGTAAATGCTCTGTAGGCCACCCGTCTGGCGCCTTACCGGTAGAGGTGCCTATGTAGGGTGTGAGGTGTAGGGTGTAGGCCACGCGGGCGTAGTCGTAGGTGTAGGCGCGGGCGTAAGCGTAGGCGTAAGCGTAAGCGCAGGCGCAGGCGCAGGCGCAGGTGTGAGAAGAAGCGTGGGCATGAGACGTGTCTCGGGTACCTGCATGAACCTGGCCTAGCTCACTTCACCGGTCCATCACCAGGGTCTGGGAGCAGTCTCTCAACGGGGTCCGGAGCATTTCGGCCAGCCAAAGTGACATGCCTTTATGAAAGAAAGCTCTAGCCCATTTCTTGTATTAAAGAACCATCTCCCACCTAAATCCCCTTTGGGGCTACTCCAAGGAAAACGACACTTCCTGCCAACAGGGCCGAACATAGTGATACTTTCCTGGCTGAAACTCTATCGAAGAGACTCTCACTTGTAATTTACCATCCCTTTCGTCTTATTTTTCTACTCGCGAATACTCAGAAGTCTCATCATGTGCCATGACTGCCGCTCAAATAGCGCCCGTGTTCGTCATCATACCCATCTTGCCTGGCTTGGCTAATTGGTCTAGTACATCGCCGGACATGCGGTCCGTCAGTACCGCGACAGCTTCTTGAATGGCGAGGAATGGCGTCTCAAGCTCTGCACGAACCTCCAAGCTATTCTCTTGCTCAACCTCTGCGACCACAAGATTACCCCTGAAACCATGATTCGTCACGACAAGGATCTACGCAACTACCTGTGGTCCAGAAGCGGGCTCGACTTTCGATACGATCATCACTTTGGATCTGTTCTACGTAGTGAGTATATACTTTGATCGCTCTGGACCCCTTATCTGATGTTCGCAGCCAAGTACGCCGAGAAAGCGCAGAGTCTCCTGTCCGAGATCAAGAAGTGGGATGCGTTTGTTGTTGTCCAATCTGGTGACCAGAAGGTCTACTATTGGAACACAGATATCCTGACCAGATACTTCAATTCTGTTGACCAGGTAGCTCGGTGGATCGAGGAAAAACGTGCTCAGGCGCGTGCGAGATACGAAAACCAGGCCCCTTCGACTCCTGGGCCTATCCGGCGCCGGCGTGTGACTTTGGCAGACCACAGAAGGGCTAGCTCTGTTTCCTCGCCTTACTATCGGGCACCGAGCGGTTCTAGCCTGCATCGCCGGAGCTTGTCCTTGACTGAATCTCGTGGCACAATGCCTCCCCCCTCGACTCCCACAACACCACGATTTCACACCAACATGCAGCTCACTGGTTACTCAACCCAGCCGCATCCTTCATCTCCGACGCAATCAAGACCTTTGTCTCTCACCGAAGCCTTGCACGAGATGATTGTGGGTGAGCGCAAGGTCGAGGACATGATGAAGAAGATGGAAATCTCACCATCACCGAGCCTGGCTGCATCTCCACGCACATCGTGGATACAGGGAAGCAATCCCGGCTCCGGTTTTCCTACTCCTCATACCCCATCCCGTTCTCTGCCGCAACAAATGACAATGGCTTCATCCATGGCCGGCTCTCAGCGAGGAACGCCTCAGACACCGTCACGGTTCACCACGCCAACTTCGCCCGCTTCTGGCACTCCATTGAACTTGAACCTGACGCCCATCCCTCTGAATCTGGGCAGCCCTCCCAGAAGCCAGCAGTTGGGGGTGAGTCAGCCGGGTTTGGGACAGAATTTACCCCTTTTCCAGCCTGTCCAGCTTCAAGCGACTCCCGGTGCACAGCTGGATCCCCATCATCAGTTGCCATCACATCAGGTTTTCATGTCCCAGCCACGCCCTATGACAGGAGGGTCAGCTCCACTTGGTCTCATTCCTCAGGCAGCCTCTCAATCTACTCAGCCAAATTCTTCTATTCAAGCATTCGGGCAAGCTGGCTACTTGAATCATCCTGCTCCACAGGCTGTCCACAGTACCATCAATGGTTTTGCATTTCAGGCTGGGCAGACGGCAACAGGGTCAGTCTCTCAGCCATTGCTCCAATCCACTCAATCTGCGCAGCATGTTGCACTGCAAGAGCCTACTTCCAAAGGCGAGGCAAGTCCTCTGGTTATGCAGCTTCTCACCCACCATCGTCGGCAACAGTCGGGCCAACAACAAGCATCCAGCATTTCGCCATCGGGAGGCCTGCTGCCAACTGACTACCATCGCACCTTGAACACTTTTCCCCTCACTGGTTCTGCGCAGCCTGCTTCTGTTGCCACACCAACGAAGAAAGCCCGCCCAAACTTCCACTTCGGTCTCTCCCCTTTACCGGTTCCGCCCGAAGCACTGAAGCAGCCACAGGAGACCGCTCAGACAGCTACTGCCATGACAGATGTCAATTCGGGGTTTACGAACTATCGTGAGCCCACTGTGGATGACGAGATGGATGAGATGGACAAGACGTAAGTGTGAGATGGAGAGGAATGTTGGATTGGCGCTGGGGCTTTCGGAACTGAGACTGAAAGACAACGAGATATTCTTTTCATTATTAATCGCCCGCTTAATCAACTTTTTTTCTGGTCTAAACTTTGTGCAATCATCTTTACAATTATTCTTGATGATCCTAAATCTAGCCCTACTCACTGTGACCAAACCCCAGATGAGTTTTTTGTCAAGGATGATGTCGGTTGCCAGGTTAAGTATTACACTGGCGTGGGAACAGCTGAGAGAAGGACAAGATGATAAAATGGGAAGGGAAAATGCAAAAAAAGACACGCCTTGATGGCCTTGCAGTTGATGAATTGATGAACTACAGTAGGGATGGGAATCTATGTTCCAGTCCGTTTCAATGGGTAGACGTGGAGGCTGAATGACGGGAAAATCTAACCTAAGCTGCAGAGTTTCGTCACGGAATTTACGCAATCGACATGGGACTTCACGTATAATCAAGGCTGACGTAGTATGGCTTGTACGCAAAAAAAGCAGAAGACGCAACTTACGCATTTTACGGTCAAGTGCCGCTATACTTTATGACGTGATTTATGGTAAACATTCAAGTGTACGTACGTACGCTGGAAAAGGATAGGCGTTGGGACGCGATTTACGCGACATAGTATGGCTAGAGAATACCTAGGGCAAGTAACGGGAATTACGCCGATTCCATTCCTTGTCGAGTACGCGAAACACGCAGAAGAGAATAAACCCAACGCAGTGGTTGCCGGAGCACACCAACATTTTATTATACCATATATCAAGAACTTGGATCTCCTCCGCCAATTTACTAGTCACCCCTGTGCGAGTCAACTTAGTTCCACGACCAGGAAATGTAGAGACTCCAGGGTAACCAGATCTCCATGAATGGATGGATGGTAACGCGTCAATTCGCCCTGGACTGAAACGCGACATCGCATCGTGACCAACGCGAAAACACGTGCCCTTGGGGTTTTAACCTTGACTTTATCATCAAGACGTGTCTGAACCCCCGTGTTTTTAGGGTCTTATCCCAATTTTTGGCACCTTCTAGCGTCTACCATATACGAAGCTTATAGTTGTTTCATATTGATATGGCATTTATACCATTCATTACCTCCAGTGACATCGTGGAGATCCATTCGTTGAAACGCATTAAGTAACTTTAAAGCATCGCGTCAGCCAGATCTGTCTATTTACTGGTAGATAGACATTTACCATTTCATGCACGAGCAATTGACTCATCGCACCCTCAATGCCATGATACGCCGCATGTCGGATCGATAGCGTGTGATAGGGGATAAAAACCAGGGCGGGACGGAGGTTACGCTGAAAGTGACTTTAGCTTACCGGGGATTACGCTGTTTTGCTCGTGTGTATAGACACTAATACCAAGACATTGGACGGAGATTACGCTATTCATAATTCCATAAACATACCTTATCCCTGTGACAAGTTGTGCATGCATAGAGGGATTCACAAAAGGTCAATGCCAAACTGAGATGGGTATCACATCAAGTTCTTGCTTTGCAATAAACTACTGTTAAGCCACGCAAGCCTGAGAATCTTGTGCATGCAGCAATGATATGTCTTTCAAGAAAGCCAGAGAGAGGAGAATCTCTGGAATGGAGGGAGGAGGGAGGTGAGGAAACCCCCAAATTCTGGATAAAAACACACCTACCTACCCTCCCATTCAAACACCCGCGGCGCCCCACTCCCCTCCCAGCCTTCTTGACGACTTGCTCCCGTTGCTGTGTTTGCCTCTGCAGGCTTCCAATCCAAGGCGATCCTCAGCCAAGACAACCGGGACAGGGGCAGATGGTAATTCCATGGCCCTGGCCCCTGCAATAGTGTTGTGTAAGCCACCGAGCAGCTGATTGGACACTGCTTTGGGAATTGCAGATGCCGTCAAGACGCTACAAACGGATATTCACATCACCTTTGAACATGACCCGTGTGATGCGGATTATGGACTCCGTGCAAACGGACATGTCAACAAACGGTTGACAACTCATTTCGCAGCCCGAGAGTAGTTGTTTCTTGCGAAGTAAATGGATAATTGAATGGATGGTAACGGGCATTTATACCCCATGCCCCCCCCTTTCCAAATCTCAACTGTTGGTCAACCTCTTTCATTCTTTCACGTTGAGTGAGGCCTCTTCGGTCATTTAGCCCTGGTTGGCAGTTTTTGAGGGTTCAACTTGAGTCTTTTCCGACCAAAGCCATGACGCGCTCGGGGCTGGACAGAAGCCAAGCCCAGGAGAACAGAGACCTGGAGAGGGCCATGGCGGAAAGTACTCGCAAGACGCCGTCCAAAAAGACCAACAGGAAGGGGAAGAACAAGACTAGTGTTGACGAGCAAGAAGCGGAACAAGAGGAGGCTGAGGACGAGGCTGAGGATGAGGCCGAACAGCCAACCCCGGATCAGCCTGACCAGGTAACATCTCCCATCCATACTCAAGAACATATTGCGCTGACACGGAGAAGGCTACAGATACGCAGAGCAAAAGAGTAAGTCCGTTCAGATGACTGATGTTTCCCCTCCTTTCTGTCTCCCTCCTCTTCGGTTCACACTGACGCACATGCTTCTGTTCCAGGCTCGCAGCTTCTCTACCGCCACGCCGGCCATTTCTTCAAAGCGGCCGCGAACGAATCATCAACCACCAGAGGATCCAGAGGCTTCGTGCTCCCCAGGGAACGAAGAGAACGGAGAAAACGAAGAAAACGGAGAAAACGGAGAAAACGGAGAAAACGGAGAAAACGCGAACCCGACCAATCCGATCGACACAACGGCCGAAACAAACACGCCCAGAGGCCGTGCCATCCTCTGCGAGGAAAAGGATGCCATGGGACAACCTCCGGATGTTGCGTTTCGGGTGGTTCCATGCTGGCCATGTTTGCGGCGGGCATTCACCAACCCGGGACACCTTTGCCAATGGAAGCAGAGTGAGACAACAGATCCCCGGTGAGTATTATACTCTGCTGACATGCTTGACAATAGGGCAGGGATCTTCTACCGGCAGAATGAACAACAGCTGCGCGTGGTGTAGTCAAGACAAAAACCACCAATGTCGTTCAAGCGAGGTAAGATTCGCGACCGAAATGCCTCCGTGTAGCACATTTACTGACTCCTCAGCTCCGTGCGGTCGACCATAACAATGCTGTCAAGTTTCAGGAACTGAATAAGCAAAAGCACAACGGGGAGATTGAAGACCCCAAGACTTGGGTATGTTAAATGGCCTTTGTATCGACGTCAACTCACTAACAACCGTCGAATAGCAGGAGAAGTGGGACGACCTAAAGAACAAGCTTTGTGCCGCTGATGAGAAGAAGGCGCCGGCCCCCTCGGCTAAAGATCGACTGAAGAATCTGGAGGAGACAGTCGAAGAGCTGAAACAGCAGGTGCGGAGTCTTGGAAAGGTAGTTGACATTTTGAACGAGAAGTTGGCGGAGCAAGGTAACTAGATATGCCTCTGGATCAGAGCCCACTTGCTCCTGACTGGTTACTCAATGGAGGATTGGTTTATTCTATTATGGGTGAGCAAATAATTTGATGGTGACGCAAAACAATACATTTCTTGGTCTATCTATGGTGGCGTCTTGGTGCATCGCATTCGTCGTGATGAATTTTGACAGCCAGGATTCTGGATGTTCTTGGTGAGTTTTGGAGCTCCCATCTACCATTGCCATGATGGGTACCCAAGAGGGGCCATGTTCGGAGATTACGCAAACCAAGAGCCACCAGCCTGACCGGGAAAGCCAAGAAAAAGGATATCACGGAGGATACGGTACTTGAGGTGACCTAGGACTGGGAAACAGGCAATTTGTACAAGGTGGGTCGCGACATGACGGAAGATACGCAACTTCGTCACCGGAAAAGACGCTCAAGTATCGAGCTTGGGTGCATAACGGTGAATACGCAACTCGGCGACTGGCAAAGACGCCAGCCTACCCACTAGCGAGCAATCAAGGCAGACCAAGCGATGCACGTCAAGTACGAGATAATACAACGGAGAGTATGCAAATTTATGACCGGAAAAGAAGCTCAAAATGCCTTGCGAGCAGAGACCTTAAGCAGCTCCTGGGCAATACGCAACTTGATACGGAAAAATGACGCCGAATGTGGCACGGAGAATACGCAACTTTGAAGCCGTCAGCAGTTGATCAACGCCAATTTCGTAAACGGACATTACGCAGTTTGATCTTTCCTCTGACGTTGATGATAGAGATTTTCAACCTAGGACCGTCAGCGGCTTGGAGATTACGGGTATTAGAGGGATTTATGTAGTATGAGCAAGGAACTTCTCACGTCTACAAACAAGTCACCGTGACTATAGTATTTACTTGATTTCGTTGCCTGATATCGAAATAACTTGAGTCGTGGGCAGTTTGAGACAGGCAAAAAATCCATGAGACGTCTCCTCGCATGTTGAGAGACTGCCCCTCAAGACGGCAGAAGCCATGGGCATTGTTGTTGATGTGACAGTGCCACGTCAGAAGATTATGAAACTGCGTTTTATCCGTTGGCCGCAATTCGGGACTTGAATTTCTATTGGTGTCGGGCTGTAAAAGTGCGTATTTTGCGTTGTTCGCAACTTGGAAGCTGTCTCCCCATTGTGGCATTCCAGCGCGTTCGCTCATTAAACCATGAAAACGTGTGTCCTCCGTTACGCACAGCTCTAAATTAGCGCCCTTGTCACGTTCTTACTTACGTACCTTACTCTGTCAACCATGGTCGGGCTGTGGGAGTTGCGGAATCTCCGTTGGCTGGCCGTGTGCGTCGAGGACTGCCTAGTAGTAGCTGCGTATTTTCTGTCAATCGGGGTTATAACTGATTTGCTATTTATTAACTGTCATGAATCTGCGTGTTATGCGTAGTCTGAAGCCGGGTATTCTCCGTCGACTCAGAAGTTGAACTGGCCAAATGCCATCCAACTCAAATCCTTAACATATGTTATCGTCCCGCCATGGTTTAACGGCATTTAATCTGCACCCATGGTTTCTCAATACAGTTACTTGCCAGTGTCAGACTTCCTTGGAGCAAGAACTTCGCTACAGATATCCCAGAGACCGCAGTAAAGCTCATCACCCAGACTGGTCACAAAAGGCCCGCGATGTGGCAGACTCGCAACGTCTCATCACGATACGTTTTCAACTACGTGTGCTCCTGACTAAGTTTATTTACCTCCTTGCTTCTCATAGGATAGTCAAGTAAATAATCAATTGGAAGGTCGTTTAACAAGAATCACCTGGCGTCTGATCAATCATTGACCCTCAGTTTGGCTGTTCCGGCCGCCGTAACAAAAGCTCCAGGCGTGCCAAGAGCCTCCATATCAAATTTGCAACCGGGAATGGCAACAGCTAACAATTCTCCCATGATCCACAGTAGTTCCATACAATTCTGCTCGATATCGCCTAACTTCCAATCACTCTGCCCAGCCAATGTCTCCCCCATCGTGGGGATCCCTCGCGAGGACCCTTTTGATTGTGTGTGGGAGAAGCTCACGCTGATGCGAGGTTGGTACACCATCGTCAAGCAGAAGCCCTGTCACCTTGATCAAGCTCCGGCCAATGCCACCACCCTTCTTCATCCGCGACACGTTGGCCTTGAGAGTGAGGGCCGTGTCTCTTGTTGTGCATGGAACCCGATAGTGTGGGACATAATGTAAATCAAATAGTCGGCGGAGGGGGTACTGTCTGTGGTGATTATAGAGAAGTGGGTAGAAAGAAGTTTGGAAAGATTCCTGTAGATGGGTGAATGCGTCCCTGACAATATCATCGCCCACCTCAAACCAGGGTTGGGAATGGCCTCAGCTGTGCGCCTCAATAGGAACGGAGACTTGACTAATGACGCAGGGGTGTTTCAAAGCCCGTAACAGAAGCCGAATGGGCTTAGAAGAGTAAAAATTACTTGCACCTGCATTAAAGTTGACCGTCTTTTACGCGACAACAACCACGACGATAAACTTAGAAAGGAACAGTCACAACCTGGTTATTGACGAAGCTAAACAGCAAGCGACTTGAAGGCGGAGACGTTTGCCCTGGTGTCGCCCTGTCGCTCTTGGTCAAGGACAAGAAAGACAGCGGTTGATCTTTTCCCCGAGCATCGGGCCCTTGATCTGCAGCCCGTAAACATCGCTAGATAGTTTACCCGACGACAGAGAGTGTCCCTTCATTTTTCAGCATGTCGACTATGTTCGAGTGACATCTCTGCTGGCCAAGCTCAAATATTACTGACAAAAGACCTCCCCGGCCTGCACAGTCGTCTCTGTCGGTTGAACGAATACTGGAAGCACTCGGACTGGCCCATACTACGAATCATGATGCCTTTGAAACCCCGCATTCTGTTCTTTAACCCAGTACGCCATGCGTTGGCTGCATACGAGGCCCTTTCTGCCGTTGCGGCGCCAGAGGTGGTGATAAGCAAGTCTCGGGCAGAGTTTTTTGCAGACCTAAAGGATCGGTATAGAGACATCAGGGCCATCTATCGGACTTCTGCCAGCGGAGCGGTAGGATCCAATTATACATTGTGTGTGGCCAGGGTCTGAAGAACTAATCCTGACACAGGTTGCTGGAAACTTTGACAAGGAGTTCATTGACCATCTTCCATCATCGCTGAAGTATATCTGCCATACTGGTGCCGGATACGACCAAATCGATATAGATGCTTGTACTCAACGCAACATTACAGTCACATATGCTCCGGACCCTGTTACCGACGCCACTGCGGACTTGACCATCTTCCTCCTTCTGGGCGCTGTCAGACGACTTAATCCGTCTCTGAAATCACTCAGGGAGGGCAAGTTTAAGCAAGGGATTGAGGCCGGCCATGACCCCAAGGGGAAAACATTGGGAATCCTTGGCATGGGTCGAATCGGACGGGCAGTCAAGCATAGAGCAGCACCGTTCGGTCTAAAGGTTATCTACCATAACCGCAGACCGCTGTCAGCTGGCCTTGCTGCCGGCTGTCCATACGTGTCATTTGACGAGCTGCTGAGAACGAGCGATATCATATCGATCCATGTCCCGCTTTCGGCCGCAACTCATCACTTGATCGGCGAGGGTGAGATTGCCAAGATGAAGCCAGGTGTGGTCATCGTGAATACAGCCCGCGGGGCCATTGTCGACGAGGCAGCGATGGCGGCCGCGCTCGAAGACGGTCACATCGCTGCTGTTGGTCTTGATGTTTACGAAAAGGAACCAAAAATCAATGAACAGTTAATCAAGAATGACCGAGCGATATTGGTGCCCCATTTGGGTACGCACACGGTTGAGACATTGACCGAGATGGAGTCTCTAGCTATGGAGAACGCCAGGCGAGGGGTGTGCGGGGAGGAATTGCTGACGATTGTCCCTGAGCAATCAGCCTAGGGCTCTTTATCATAGCGATTAGAAGTTTATGGAGAATAGTTGCTGTGAATGAAGCAGCCGTATTGCACAGAAATGCCGACGGCAATTCACACTTGTTCTCTGACTCTTCTCTAAGATCTTCCCTCGTCGAAGCTTGGGTTGTTGTGTCTGTCGATTACTTGATCGTCCTCTTTCTTAATTACTTTACACCCTCTAATAATCTTGCCCGCTTCTTTGCCCATTTTCACTTTCTTCTTTGGCCCCATGCTTCCTCGATAAACTCTTGGTTTAGAACATTTCCACCCTGCGTTCGGATTTGATCTGCTAGCTCAGCTAACCCATCAAGCTGGGCTTCAACTATAATAGAGAACAAATTCTGCGTTCATATTCATTGTCAACTATAGAGAGATACCAAAAACTTTGGCAACTTCTTCAAGACAGCGGACGCCCCAGGGCATGACTTTAGTGCCGTTTTTCGGTTGTTCGTCGAGATTCATTGAGTCGAGAAACCCTGGGGGTCCTCTGCTCTGCCATGCTTTTGAATAACGAAGACGAAATTGCCTCGTCATTCCATCTTCTGAGCCCGGGGCGCTCAAACAATTAATCGCCGGCCAAATAATAGAGCCGAGGTGATTCCTCCATCCCCCGCTGCGGTCAAATATTCACCCGCCCCCAAATAAATGGCCTCTCTCTCAGAGCAGCTACAGGAATCAGGTAAATATTGGGCCCGATATTCCATTACATGATGAGCAGCTCGGCATTTTGACACTTTGAGAATTTTTTATGCCCATCTTTTAAAACTCGGCAGTCCACGGTGAACGAGTCGAGAAAGCGCTGAGCTGTGAGATCAATAAACATAACGCAATAACAGCCAATTTTCTCACCATTTTTCTCATTTTATATTCAAGATGGTCAAAGTCGCTGTGCTAGGGGCCTCAGGACAGATTGGACAGCCGCTAAGCCTGCTGCTCAAGTCTGTACGCTTCATCCTCCTTGCCCCTCTCCCCTTCTCGCAACAGAGTGCAATCTAATGGATTTCTCTCTCTAGTCACCTCTCGTCACTGATTTGAGGCTGTATGATATCGTCCATGCAGTTGGCGTGGCGACTGACCTAAGTCACATTGACACGCCCTCGACTGTTAAGGGCTATCTACCGGACAATGGTGGTCTTCTTCATGCATTGACGGGCGCCGAGTTTGTCATAATCTCAGCTGGTACTTATTACTTCATCCGACAAAAAGTAAAAGACTGATTAGGGGCAGGAATCGCGAGAAAGCCCGGCATGACACGCGATGGTGAGATGGAACTGACTTCGATATGTTCTGACCCGGCTAACTGGAAATTAGATCTCTTCAAGACCAATGCTGGAATTATCGCCAACCTGGTCGCTGGGGCTGCAAGCTATTGTCCCAAGGCTTTCATTTCTATCATCACCAACCCGGTCAACAGCACGCTTCCCATAGCAGCCGAGGTTCTCAAAAAGCATGGCGTTTTTGATCCAGCCCGGCTCTTCGGTGTAACCACGCTGGATGTTGTTCGCGGATCAAAGTTTGTTACAGATATCCTCCGTCATATCAACCCCCAGGAGCTCAAGGTTCCGGTAGTTGGCGGTCACTCCGGTGCAACCATCCTCCCCTTGATTAGTCAATCTCAACCTCCAGTGGAACTAAGCCAGACACAAATTGAAGCCATCACATACAGTGAGTATCACCACTAGATAGGACGAGTATAACTAACCATTCAACCAAGGGGTTCAATTTGGCGGCGATGAGATCGTAAAAGCCAAAGCTGGCGCCGGGTCTGCAACGACGTGTATGGCCTACGCTGGGTTCCGGTGGGATCCTCCCATGTTTATCCAAATGCCACTCCTTGCTAACAATGGAGACACAGTTTCGCCCAGGCTATCATCAAGGCCTCTCAGGGCCAATCAGGGATAGTCGAGCCCGCATATGTTTATCTTCCTGGTATTCCCGGAGGGGAGGCGATTGCTGGTGAGCTTGGCGTCGATTATTTTACTCTTCCGGTCAGCCTTGGGCTCAACGGGGCCATATCTGTTCATCCAGTTGGGCCAATGTCAGACTATGAAGCCGGTCTTCTGAAGGTTGCGGTGGAAGAACTAAGAGGAAACGTGATAAAGGGTGTAGAATTCGTGAAGTCTGATTCATGAGGTTGTCCTGATGTTAGGGTGTGGGGGTCTTTTATCTGAGTTGGATCCTTTCCTATTTGTCAGTAGGTTCAAGAGATGCTTGAGATGACCCCCTGCGTATACATATAACAAGATATCGCGCAGAGAATGGATCATATTGTGGGATTACATGTTCCGTGATCGTTACCATTCAACCTTGAACTCGGCGGACATTTAAACCTCCGACCAACGGTACCTACCCTATGCCGAGGTCGCCGTGTGGGGCCGAATTAAAGTAAGCCCCTCATCCGCGGCAAAACTCTTGACCGCGCTTCACGTTCCCCTCGCTTCAACTATCCCCTCGCAACTCCGAGAGACACTCGCACGATCAGCAGGTAGTCACAATGACAGAACGATCCATGAAGAATCAGGGCCCGAAGCATATCCGGACCAGTGGGGCATGCAAGGCCTGTAGGTCCAGGAAGCAAAAGGTACGCGCTTTGGCATGCCGAGATTGCTGGTGAAGCAGACACTAAAAAGAGTGTGCAGTGCAGTGGAGATCGGTTCGTGCTGTTCAATTACAGTGGACTTTAGATGTCATTGGCTCATATCAATAGCCCTCAGTGTGTTCGATGCCGCATCAACGAAGTTCAGTGTCAATGGCCTCAGCCGCAGAAGCGGTACGCTGCAGCATCTGCTATGCAAATGACCATGGAATTTGGCTAATCATGGATTCATAGCGGTCCTCCAAAACATTACACGGCCATTATTGAGAAGCGTCTGATCGAAACTGAAGCCATTTTACTCGCTCTGATGTCGCAAGTATCAGATGAACAGCTCATGTCTGCCTACAACCATCTACAGCAAGACAAGCAGTCAAGTGCAAACCTCGGCGTGCCCTCTAATTCCGGAAACAGACATGAACTGACCCGAAAGGACAAATTTGGGCCCGTATATTGGAGCAACTACACGCTCAGCTCGGCTCAAGATGCCAGACGTTGGTGGGCGGATCGGGTGTCGGCTGCCGAGCATGGGACCCCATCTAGGCAATATGAGGACATTGAGCCTGCGTTGAGAGAAACAAACGTCACTAGCGAGAGTGAGACGACTACTATTCAAGATGCAGATACATCAGTACTCATGTCGAATGAGCTGAGTCCTGGTGTTGAGTCTCCGATCGCTCCCCGGCTGTCTGTCGAGCAACAAGATGATTGTGATGCCAGAGTCAATGAGGGCTTGAGTGCAGAGTCTACCTCATCAATGAATCGAGATGAAGGGACAAGCCATTCTCAAATGACGCATCTAGAGCAAACGCCAACATGGAGTACTGGATATCAAAATTCCAGAGACATGGGAGGGTATGAGAGTGCCTACCTATGGTGAAGAAAACTACCAGACACGAGTAGGGCGGATTCTGTATGTTTACGTGAAAACTGATTAATCTACAATTGTGTTTCTTCTTTTTAATTCAGAGTCAGTGCATACTTTCATTGATTCAGTCATCACAATAATTCAGTTTTGACACGAATCTCAGTCGGGATCCCTCCGATCACCGGCTGTACCCTATGATATCACTAATTTAGCCCCATATAAACTTCCAAAGGACTAGCTTATGTGCGAGAAAGCTCCCCCGCTCTCCCCACACTTTTCAACTACCATCCTCTAACGTCCAAAGACATTGAGGACTCGACGGCCAATCTCCTCCGCGGCCACTTGCAATGACTCCGGAGATTGGAAGCCTTCGAGCCCTCAAGAACGGCGACAGCCAATACGTCGGCAGTTCCTCAGGCGTCTACTTCATCAACACCGTCCGCAGGGCATTCGCCACCGCTCCGGATGCGGAATCAGAAAATAGACAGCACACCAGCGAAAACGGCGAGCAACTGCTCAATGATCCGTCGCCAGAGGACTGTATCGTCGGCGGAGATGAGCAGGGCGGTCGCAACATGGGACTGGAGGCTGGAGCATCAGGCGAAGCCGGCATTGCCCAGACAAATGATCAACGCCAACCAGCAACTGCAAGCCCATCCTTTGATTTGAGCAATATGCCTGACTACGCAATAGCTAGGCAACTAGTCTTGACATATTTCCGTATTTGGCATCCTCTCGTTCCCTTCCTCCATGGACCAGAATGCCTCTCCCAGCTAGACGCCCTCTACCGCGACCCATCAACCACACCTCTCAGCCGTCTCGTCACTTTTAAATGCATCTTCAACATCGCTCGCCTCGAGAACGATAATATGCCTGAACTATCGTCTATGTCCATTCGCTCGGCTTCTGATCTCCTCCCCACGCTAGGCCTCCTCGCTCTCCCGTGCGACATCCCTTCCATCCAAGCCCTCCTCGCCGCCCAGGTCTACTTCATATCGACAATGTCCCTCCGGCACGCGTCATCCGTCGGTGGGCTAATATCAAGATCCATATTTCAGACGGGCATGCACCGTTGTCCGTTCCGGTACTGGCACTTGTCCCCTGAAGACCGGGATATGCGGAAACGCATCTTCTGGAGCTTTTACGTACTTGATCGCTTTCTGAGCCAGTCCCTGGGGCATCCAAATGGGATACAGGATTCTGATATCGATGTTTGTGCACCTGGCCATCGAGACTTGCATGAACCAGTTGCGCAGTCACCGTTTTCACCGTCGAGTGTTGCTGCTGCGGATAATCTGATTCTTCACCTCCCGGCAAACCATCCCGACAGACGTCTAGCATCTCCACGACTGCGAGCCCAGAGCCGAGATCCTTCCCCTGAAGAGGATGCAGGTCTGGGGCGGAACCCAAGTGAGACTCCAAGTGGGCCATCGAGGAGAGCAGCGGCCATTCTCCAGCACCGCCGAGAAACCCAGTCAGTTTTGGAAAACCACGTGCGGTACTCCCAGCTAGTGGGGAGGTTACTCGAGATATTTCACAAGTCGATACCTGATAGAGGAGCCGACGATCAGACTGTTCTCTTCCTCAAAGCAGACGTGTCAGCATGGGGAAACAATTTGACCCAACCACGCCTCGATGCAAGGACCAAACAGGAAAATCCAGAGCTTACACCAGAACCTACAGTCTTCCCTTTTGTTTTGTATCATTACTGCGTCCTCCTTCTCAACAGGCCTGCTCTATCCCTAGATCCCTCGAGCGCCGAATTCAGGGCCGGCTTGCAGGTATGCATCGGAGCTGCGACCAGTATTATCGAGACTGTTGGAAAGTACTCGGACCTTGAGGGACCTTTATTCTGGCCAGGGTATATGACTGCTGTCTGGATGAGTGGCCTCGTTTTGGCTCTTGCCACACGGCTCCAGTCATATAGTCCAGTCAAGGCCATATCGTATGTATTTCTCTTTATCATTGCTATCTAGCTGACTCTCGAAGTGGGATATCATCCGCTTTGGGTCTCCTGACTGCCATGAGCAATCGCTGGCACATGGCAAAAGACTGTAAAGAGGTGTTGTCCATGTTATTGAGCAGCATTGAGGTAAAGACCAGAGAGAGGAAACGCTTTCGGCCAGAAGGAGACGTTGAACCCGGTTACTCATGTAGACCTGCTCATAGTGGTAGGCCGTCGAGCATTGGAACTGGTTCAGCAAAACGACGTGCCACAGATAGTCCCAGAACGCGTCTTCGCTCTGGAGCCCGACCCTCACCGCAGCTTCCATCCAGGGCCCTTAGAGGATCATCAAAGGCCCCAAATCCATTAACAGCGCACATCCCACTTCCAAGGTCAAGCCTACGAAACGGCCCTGATAGTCGGCACGACAACTCCACAAGAAACGACTACTACAACCCAGACACGCCAAACCGCGATCCAAACGACTACCAGACAGCCACGAGTCTATACGATTCCTTTCAATTTGACACCTTCCCATCCCTCCCAGACTTGAGTATGCCAGAGAGTGAACGAGTCTTGGGCCCATATCATGCACCCATCCCCACGACTTTCCCAGACAGGCGCCAGAACTCTGATCAGAATTTAGGCCAGTTTGGTGGGCCAGATGTGATGTTTGATATGTTTGATGGAGCTACGTGGGGTTCTCTGATCGATATGGTAAATGATGCCGGAATGTCTTAGCATGTATAATAGACATTTTTCAGAGTCACTCTTGTTTCTGAATTGAAATGCCCTCAAGCCATCAACTCAGACACCCCAATGACGCTGTTAACGCAAACGAAAAACACGCCAGCACTTGAACCCATTCTTGGGCCTCATATCCACAATACCCCTTGGCGGCATACATCTTCATATTGCGTCCGGAAGCAGGCAGTCCGGGAATGGAAACGAGATTCACGGGGTCATGGTGCGAAGCCACGATAGCGGCAATCACCAGCGGAAATACGCGCAATAGATGAGTCCCCTGAAGCTCTGTCACTTCTATTTTTAACACAACTGCTTAGATTCACGTAGCGAGCGTTCCCTTGATTATCCTAGGATGAGCAAAATGACCGACATGGACCAAGATAGTCCGCTCAACATTCCAACGTGTCCACTTCCCACCTTGAATTTTCCTCAGCTAGTTATTGTTGTTGGCCATCCTGCTCTTCGGGTGCAAGGCTTTAGAGATCTTGACGGGGTGAACGCCAGGAGTCTCAAAAATGTGGTCGATCTCCTCGAGGGAGAGATGCTGAAACTCGGGGAAGTAGTACCAAGTGAGATACAGGCAGACACTGTCAATTCCAATGAAGATGAAGTAGATCTGCAAGAGGACAGGCCCCGTTAGCTGTCATGCAAGAGTTATGAAAGGGCGAGGAGGCGAAATTACCTTCCATTCGATTTTAGCAAGGGCTTCACCCATTCCATATGTCATGACAAGACCAAAGCAGTTTTGAAAGAAACTGTACATGCCCATGCCCTTGGCTCTCTGACTGTAGTGGAGGACCTCGTTGGGGTAAATATTGTGTAGGGCGTTTGCTGTCGGCTACATTAGGACAATATCTCCATCATGAGTTTGTTTTCGTAAAGACTTACACAAGAGGCCGTTGGATATCTGGAAGAGGTAAATCCAGGTGATGGTCAGGATGCCCATGGCTTTCATGGCGATACCATTGTCAAATAGCCCGCCCGTCAAGCTCATCATGGCCAGGAAGAATATAAACACGCCCATTGTGGCCATGAGAAGGAATCGGCGCCTAACGCGGTCGACAATCACGGAACCGACAAGCGTCGAGAGCCAAGACACGACGCTCATTCCAACGTTGATGCCAAGCTGCTGCTGGGTGTTTGTGATTCCGACGAGGGACAAGATGCCGGGCAAGTAGTAACCCAGCATTGCTGAGGTTGGTTGTACGTTAGCTTTCAGGGGGCTTGGAAAAGAATTAGAGATAGACCAAACTCACAAGTACCGTTACACTGCTGGAAGAATGCGTACATGAAGATGACTTTGAGACGGTACCGGGCGCTCTTCTTGCTCCACAATGTCGTAAAATCCCAGGGTGTCGAGTCCACAGACTCTACAGAAGCTTGAATCTGAGAGAGCTCTGCCGCGACGATGGGGTCACTAACAAGGCCACTATCGGTGTGATACTTGGCAATAACATGCTCAGCCTCCCTGACCTTGCCCTTGTAGATTAGGTATCTAGGGCTCTCGGGGGTGCAAGGATACACCAGGGCCGAAACAATGACTGGAGGCGCCAGCTGGAAGAGCATAGGCATCCTCCACGTCCAGTTCCCTTCCATGTAGGAGCCGCCAAGCAGTACGCAGGCGATGACGATGGACCCGATGCTGTAGCAGGAGCAATACAGGCCAACGGCAAGGCCTCGGTGAGCCGAGGGGGCCACCTCACTCATGTAAAGAGGACCTACAGTGGCGCTTAGCGAACACCCGACCCCGCCAAAGACACGGCCCACGATCATGATAGCACGGTTCGGGGCGGTGGCCTGGAGGATGCAGCTGACGACGAGGATGATGTTGCCGATGAAGGTGACGCCGCGGCGGCCAATCATATCAGACAGCCACTGGAACAAACTGGCAACGATGTTGCCGATGGACATAGCTGCGAGGACAAGGGCAATGCCGCTACCACTGGTGCTGACGTTGAAGTGCTCCCGGAAGGCTGGTAGGGCGGACATGCCGCCAATGATGTTGCCATCGATGGCAAAGGCAGCCACACCTATGAGCAAATACATGTCAGCTCGTTGACTCTGTAGGGCAGAGAAGAGATTGTGGCATACTCAGGCCTTGAATGACAATGACGACAAGAAGGCGCAATGCGGCCTTGGACCTCCAGGTCATGGCGCGATTTGACAGCTCCTGGATATTGACTCTCTGAATCTCGTCGTGAACGGACTCGATCTGGTGGTCCTCCACTTTTGAACCAAGCTTCTCACCCTCCAAGCCTTGGCTGTCCGGGGACCTTGGGTCCGCCATGTTGGTGTTGTTGATGGATCAGCAGGAGATGGTAGGCAAAAAACAAAATACCGAGGTATAGAGGGAATGGAGGATATCCTTCCTTGTGAAGGGGACTCAAAGACTTGTCGACGCATCTCACCTTATATAAGTACACGTACGGTTGATTCCGTCCAAGTCCAACCCAACCATACCATCCGGTTCGTGTAACTCCACCCCTGAATCCTGACAATGCGGAGATGACCCACCGACCCCGGATCCCCCCGCAAGCCACCTGATCCTCGTCGGTCTTCGGGGGCGGTGCCGGCCCGGGCCCGGGGGCTGAACGGTAGGGTGGAAGGATAGCTACAGTACCCATGCTGAAGGGTGCCAAGGGTAGTAATTGTTAAAAGTTGGGAATCGCCACTACTTGCGTGAAATTAATTACCCGACGGGTTAAGAGCTCGGTTTATATAAGACGATTTGACCAAATCTTATTGTAGTGGTGACAAGGTTCAATCTTTTACTTGTCTTTCCTTGTCAATTAGCAGGTCAGAGAAGCACGCATGTGTACTACTTAACGGCTATTGAACATTTACTAACCTTGGTGCTTGTACTACTACTGATACCTCAAGTACAGCAAATAACATTAAATATTCTTGGATCGTGCATGTAGGTGGGCTTGACTTAATCTAGCACTGAGTTTGCATGGCATGAGGCAGGAGAACGTCACTAGATTCAGAGGACATTCCTCAAGTTGATATCTGATCTACAATGGATATCTGGCTTCACTCCTTCGTTGCGCTCAGCCCAACCGTAAAGTCAAAGCTCTCTGGCCGCAGCCTGTCACCCTGAAAGGCCAGCGGTCCGCAGCTGCCACTCCCCAGCCCGTGCTGGGCGACGTCCAGATTTAGGATTGTCTCGTCTAGTTCCGTCAGTTCGTGGGGGTGCCTTGCCTGGTCCAGGTCCGGCGTTGCATACTTGCGAACCGAGAAGTTAAAGGGGCACTCCATACGCGCCTCTAGCGCTGGTCCTCGGCCGGAGCTTGCCTGCAACTTGACCCAGCGCACATCGCTCCGGTTTCCGTTCTCCTGCGGCCACTCGTAAGGGGTATGTAGATCATCTATGGACGACTCCCAGCGTCCGAACCGAGCTGCATGCTTCTTGTCACGGTACGACTCTCCTGGACCACGCCCATACCATGTTGCTCTGTCGACATGCTTGGGAAGCGACATGGTCAGACCGATGCGAGGCACGTGAGTGGGAAGCGTACCAGAGAAGCTCCCTTGGACGTGTATGCTTACCCCTTCCTCGCCAAAAGTGTAAGTCATGGTGGCGTTGCTGGCCCAGGCCAGAACAGGGGGGGCGACGCGAACTTTGCAATGGAGGACAAGGCTCTTCTTATCCGCTCCCAGTTGCCAACTGGCGCTCCGCATGTGCATCTTGGTTTCTGAGAGTCTGAATCTTCCCCATTCGACGCCATCACCGCCGAATCCAATATCGTTTTGGGTTAGGGCGCGGTAGAGGCCCAGCTCAGGTCCCTTGTCGATGACGGCGCCCCTGTCATTCGCCCACTTAAGACTACCCCGGACCAGGTCAAAGTGGAAGACTTGGCTAAATCCTGGCCAGAACACGACGAGTCGTCCATCATACTCTCGAACCGACGGCTCAGTGGAGGGGAGTGAAACCGCCGTTGGGAGAACCAGGTCTCGATCCCTGTGGTTGTCCGGCAATGGCACCTGACCCCATGCGACCTCATGGCCTTTGGAAGCCCAAGCTGTGTCTTCTTTCAGCTTTAGACTCACAAAGAGCCACTCATAGTTGTCCGAGGTGGCACAGTGGTCAGGTAGGTTGACTAGGGCTTCTCCACCTGCGGGAACGAGAGGTAGGTCAAGATCATGTAGGTCCGTGTTTCCCACCTCACCGACCAAGTGCCAGAACGCACATAGGTGGTCTAGACTAACAAAGGCATAGTGGCTCTTGATGCGAAGTTTCCCATTCTCCAGGCTGATAGTCACCGGCTCAATCGCCTTCTTGTACTCGACCAAGCCGGGTGTGGGTGAGTGGTCAGAAAAGGTCAGCCCATCCATGACAAAGTCGGCATCGTTGGGTGTATCCCCATAATCACCACCATAAGCAAAGTACGAAAGCTTGCCTTCTCTCTTGAGAAGGCCGTGGTTACACCATTCCCAGATGTAACCTCCCTGGAGCAGCCTGTCAGATCGATAGGCGTTGATATAGTTCGTGAGACCTCCAGGGCCATTGCCCATAGCATGGCCGTACTCGCACTGGATCAAGCACCGATCTGGTTTTGCAAGGACATGCTCCTTCAGCTCGTCGATGGTGGCGTACATGACGCTGTAAAAGTCGGTCGTGACGCCCTCGCGGTCGCCCTCGTAATGAACCAGCCGCGTCGGGTCTCGCTTCTTCACCCAGTGGTACATGGCGGCGTGGTTTCTGCCGTAGAAGGCCTCGTTTCCCAGAGACCAGAAGATGACTGAGGCGTGGTTCTTGAACCTCTCCACCAGCTGCACAGCGCGGTCCAAGTAGGCATCATGCCACTCGGGGTTGTCAGAAGTCCAAGCCTTTGCGCGGTCGTAGGATAACTCCTGGAGTTCCCTCCCGTCCATCAGATGTGCATTCTCAATAGCGGTTCTCTCAACTGGGTCAAATCCGTGGGTCTCGAGGTCTGCCTCGGCCATGACGTAAAGGCCTAACTCGTCGCATGCTTCGTAGAGTCTGGGGTCATTCGGCTGATGAGAGCATCGCAACGCGTTGATATTGTGTTGCTTCATCAGAATGAGGTCCGCGTACATGGCTTCGTAGGGGACAGCACGTCCATGAAGGTGATGATGTTCATGGCGGTTGACGCCATACAGAATGATGGGGTCCCCGTTGACGAGAAAGTTTCCACTCTTCATTTCTATGCGGCGGAAGCCTACTCGATGCGAGACAAAGCAGCTGCCGACCTTGATGAGCAAGGTATAGAGCACTGGTGACTCTGCCGACCACAAGTGGAGGTCATCTCCCTCGAGGACAAGCTCGAGATCCTCGGAAGGTGCTGCAGTCGTTTGCCACAGAGATGATCCCACGGGACTCAGCAGCTCGGCCTTGGCCAGGGTCCCAGGCTCAGCACCTTGAACGGTCAGACGCACCCTGAGAGAAGCCCGGGTCAGGCTCTCGTGCACAATGGGGAAGGCCTCGAAATCCACTATGGCGAGTGAGTCAAAAGCGACAAGATAGACGTCCCTAAAGATTCCAGACAGGGTCCACTGGTCCTGTCGCTCAATGTAAGAGCCATCACAGAGCTCATAGACACGGACGGCGAGAGTGTTGAGGGACCCTGGCTCGTGGAGCAGCGAACTGATGTCGAATTCGGCCGCGTTCCGGCTTCCCTGACTGTAACCGACCTCAAGGCCGTTTGCCCATACATGGAAAGCACTGTCGACTCCCTCGAAGCGCAGCCGTATCTGACGATCTCGCCAATCGGCTGGTGTCGTGAAACAGCGCCAGTACGAGCCAGTCTCGTTCAGCAGCGGCACGTTCGGCGGGTCAACGGGGAAGGGATAGTTGACATTCGAGTACAGAGGCCGACTGTGTCCCTGAAGTTGCCACATGCCAGGGACCTGGATGTTGGCCCAGGTGAGAGGCTGGGCGTTCTCCCAGTCAGGTGCCTCAAAGGGGGAGGCATCGTGGCGAAATTTCCATGTGCCATTCAAGGACTGATATGCGGCTTTGTCGCGATTCAGAGTGAGTGCATCGTCTCTGGTCGAGAATGGATAGAAGTGAGCACGCGTAGGAAGCCTATTGCGGTGAAGGACCTTGAGGTCGCTCCAGTCATACCGCTTCTCGGCGAAGGACATGCTGGGTGAGGCTCTACAGCGTGCTGAATATCGGCTCGAAGTGAGATGGGTAGTTCATGACAAATTTGGAACCTCTGTGTTTCTCCCCGTTCGTTTTATGCTATAATCTACATCCAGACAATACTGTGCTACGTAGAAACAACTGTAGCAGTTCTGTGCTTACTCGGCTGAGATATGCGGCCCCAATTATGAAAGGTGCAGATCTCGGGCTATTTCCCGGGCCTCAAGGCCGATGGCCCCCCTCATGACCTTGGTCCCAAGTCGGTCACGTTCATTTTGCCGTCGGTCCTTGGTCAACCGACGGATATAAAACAGCCGTAAGACAACTAAATTACCGTCGGTTCATTTATGCATCATGCACAAGGCTCCATGTGGAAAGTGCGTGCAGATGAGCCAAGCTTGACTGCCCGAGGGCCCCCGATCAAATCTTGACAGACCCAATGTCATTCACTCGTGCTTCTTAGCTACTATATAATCCTCGTTCTTGGTGCCTTGGCCCTCTGAGAATCGGCTGTATCCGGCCGCCTTCCTGAATATACCCTCCCCAAACTGACAATGAGCGAGCAACATTCTCACCTTCGGCTTCAATATAATTCCCCTTCCTCGCAATGGTCCGAGAGCCTCCCCGTGGGCAATGGCCGTCTGGGGGCCGTCGTTCATGGTCAGCCCGGGGCCGAGGTTCTCCAGCTCAATGAGAATTCGGTTTGGAGCGGTGGGCCTCAAGAGAGGACACCCCCAGACGCTCGCCGGATGCTTCCTAAACTCCGAAGTCTCATCAGAGCCGACAAACATGCTGAAGCGGAGGCTCTTGCTAAACTTGCATTTTACGCCAATCCCAAAAGCCAGCGTCATTACGAGCCCATGGGGACGGCCTCGTTTGAGTTTGGCCACGAGCAGGTTTCCAACTACCACCGCCATCTGGACCTCGCCACAGCGCAAGCAGTTGTCGAGTACGAGCACGGCGGCGCATCTTATCGCCGCGACATGATTGCCTCATTCCCCGACAACGTTCTTCTCTGGCGGTTTACAGCGTCCCAAAAGACTCGCTTCATCGTCCGCCTAGATCGCATCAATGACGATCCCATAGAGACAAACACATACGCCGACACCATCAAGTCCGAGGGATCACGCATAGTCCTCCATGCGACACCAAGGGGAGCTGGCGGTAACCGACTCTGCTCCGTCCTGCGAGCCGTCTGTGATGATGAGGAGGGCGCCATTGAGGCCGTCGGCAGCTGCTTGGTGATCAATTCAGCATCTTGTACCATTGCGATAGGAGCGCAGACTACCTTTCGCCATCCCGACCCCGAACTTGTTGCAACCACCGACGTGGATTGTGCGCTAATGCGTACATGGAGCGAGCTCGTGGTGAGACATCGACGCGATTATGAAGGCTTATTTGGCCGCATGAGCCTTCGTATGTGGCCTGACGCATCTGAAAAGCCTACGGATGCCCGTCTTGAAACTCGGCAATCACGAGATCCTGGTCTCGTGGCACTGTACCATAACTATGGACGATATCTACTCATCTCGAGCAGCCGTGATGGGCATAGAGCTCTGCCCGCGACACTGCAGGGTATTTGGAACCCCAGCTTCACGCCACCTTGGGGGTCCAAATATACCATCAATATAAACCTGCAGATGAACTACTGGCTCACAGCTCCGTGCAGTCTGGTGGATGAATGCACGCTCCCCGTCATTGACCTGCTGGAGCGTATGTCCATACGCGGCCAAGAGACGGCAAAGGCAATGTATGGATGCAGGGGCTGGTGTGCTCATCACAACACTGATATCTGGGCCGACACTAGCCCGCAAGACCACTGGATATCTGCCACGGTGTGGCCACTGGGAGGCCTCTGGGTGTCAGTGACTGTGATGGATATGTTGCGGTATCAGTATAGCGAGGAGCTGCACCGCCGCATATTTGCCTGCCACGAGGGCGCCGTGCAGTTCGTTATCGACTTCTTGGTACCGTCGAGTGATGGCTTATATCTCATCGCCAATCCCTCCATATCGCCTGAAAATACCTTCTACTCAACAACGGGGGAGGTCGGCGTCTTCTGCGAGGGGTCCACCATGGACATGACATTGATCCGAGTGGCCCTGACGCAGTTCCTCTGGAGCCTGGATCGGCTCGAGGGCTTACAAGAGCATACCCTGAAGACGGTCGTCCAAGATACTCTGGACAGGATTCCTCCCATCCTCGTCAATGACGCAGGTCGCATCCAGGAGTGGGGTCTCAACAACTATGAAGAAGCCGAGCCTGGCCACCGCCATGTCTCGCATCTGTTTGGGCTGCACCCTGCCGATCTCATCAGCCCCAGCAAGACCCCAAAGCTAGTTGAGGCAGCCAAGGCAGTGCTGAAGCGACGCCTCGCTCATGGCGGGGGCCACACAGGCTGGAGCCGTGCGTGGCTTCTAAATCTCTATGCCCGTCTACTGGATGGCGAGGCATGCGGGGAGAACATGGACCTTCTTCTATCACAGTCTACCCTTCCAAACCTGCTTGATACCCATCCGCCCTTCCAGATCGATGGAAACTTTGGTGCGTGCGCGGGTATCCTTGAATGCCTCATGCAGTCAATGGAAGTCAACAAGGAAGGGGTCGATGTGGTTGAGGTTAGGCTGCTGCCGGCTTGTCCTCGCAGCTGGGAGAAGGGAGCACTCGAGCGGGTGCGGACAAAGCAGGGGTGGTTGGTGTCGTTCAGTTGGGAGATGGGTCAGGTCATGGATCGTGTCAGACTTGTTCGTCCCGATGTCGAGGTGCTTGATGTACATCTGCTTTTTCCTGATGGGCATATCGTAGTTGATGAGGATAAATGTCCCGGCGAACATATCATTTGCAGGCCGTAGCTGGTGATAGGTCCGTGACTGTCATGAACATTGATTTGGAGTGGGTAGTGTCACAAGACCACTAATAAAACCATGGTATTCAGTGCAAAGATGTTTGGGACTACAGAAATATGATTAGTAGCTGTATTCGGCGAATGAATCTGGACGCATGCACCCATGGTCATCGCTCTCCTCAATAGGCACTAGGGGGAATCAACAACATCAACCTTTCGGCGTACCGAGGACTTGCACGCCGGCTAATGCCCATTATGTCCGTGGGTCCCTTGGACCCCTCCTGAGACCAGTACGTGATGGTGACTGTGTTGTCGCCCCTGTGTTTGAGAATGCCCTCGGGGATGGAGAAAGACGTCTGACCTCCCAAGCGGCCGATAAGCTTGCTCAACTGCAAGCCGTTGACGAAAAGCTGCACTCGGAAGTCCACGCCCTTGACTCGATCAAAAGCGATGTCCAAAGGAATAACCCATACTTGAGGGAGGTCGAGTGAGAACTGCCTCGTGTACAGGCGAATGCCAGCTTCTACCCTGTCCTCCACCGGGCTACCGGTTGCCCAGTCTCGGGGTGGCGGCTTTGGCAGATGCCGGCCTTGCCGCTCCACATAACTTCCTCTCCCATTAAGAGGGCCGTGTTTCCTGTCCTGATACTCCTTACTATTAAGGTTTCCGCTGATTTTCTAACTCACCTCGGTGTCACTGAGGGAGTAGTAGGTCGTGCCGCAAGGACTCTTCATGCTGTCGTGGCCTACGTCGTGGTTCATATTCTGGCCGTTCTTATCAACAACCACGGTCGAGACATACTCCCTGCCCACCTTAAGCTTAGGAATGGTGTGTGAAAGCTTGGTGGTCTCGGTAATAGCCTCATCATGCCAAGATCCAACGTATGTTCCGCCAAGGCAGGCGGAGTGGCCATAGGAGTTGCCGCCCATGGTCCCAAGCTCCAGTGCGGTGTATTTCTCAATAGCAATGAAGTGGCCTTGATATACAAGACTACCAACTAACACAACAGGGTTACACTAGGCTCCAAACTTGTTGATAGAATTGTGATCAGCCTCTATCCCCAAAGAAATCGTCACACTTGGGCGAGATTTCAGGTAGAGGGTCAGGCCACATCCACTTGGCCGAGTTGAGATCACGGGGCTTAAAGGTCGGGGTCTTGTACACGACTGTGGTCTGAAGATTGTCAGCCGTACCACGAGACGCGTTGACCTATCTCGACCTTGGACACTGAAGTGGGGGTCTCAATAACTTCCACGGAGGTGGTTTTGTTGAAGTTGGCCGAAAGACTTAGGTTCTTGCCAGAAACCTTGGTGCTCCGTACAAGGTAGCCTGCCTTGACGATGACGGCATCTGGGTTGCTTTCAGTGGTGCCATAGGAACCCCGCTCTGGAGAGGGAAGTAGAGAGTGAAGTGGTTATACGCCGAGTTTTGATCTTGGAGGTCAAAAACTGGGGCTTATGGGACAAGTAGTGAATGCTCAACCAAGCGGTATACGGCGGTCTCACCAATTCTGAGGACCGTTCGCTCTGGCGAGGTAAACCAATTGAAAGTAGTCAAGCCACGCTCACGTCTGATCGTGATTTTGGGGCCTTCCAATACCTCCACACGGGAGTTGGTGACTATGGCAACCTCGTGCTGCTTATTGGGGCCTCCGTAGAGAGCGAGGACTTTCCTACCACGGCCGTATTTCATCCATGTGAGAACCTCCGCCGAAGAGTACAACAATTTCTGGCCCCAGGCGTCGTAATCAACGGTGTGTATCTTGAAGTCGCGGCCGTCTAGAGTCAGTGCGCCCTCGCTTAGTCTGGGAATAACGAGGTTGCCGTGGCTCAATAGCACCTTCAGCTTGCAGTGTGTCCTTGCCCAACTTTCATAGGCGATGTGAAGCAAGACGTACAGACCGATGTCGTCGTCAGGATTCGTCAGTGGGGTGACTATTAGGCTAAAGTCATTGGTGTAGGCCGTACTTGTTGGCAAGGATTTCGAGGCCAGAAAAGCCGGGGTGGCCTTGAAGAACTGGTCTTGCAACTTCATTGAAGAACATGCTTCTCGGTCGAAGGTGGTGACTACATAAGGCGCACCTTTGTTGCCCCAGTTAGTGCCTCCGGCGAGCATATACGGGCTAACGAGCTACTCCCGACGCGTAGGTGTTTTTATACACAGCTCTCCCAAAGTGTTTGTTCCATGTACTCAGTCACAGGCCCGTTCTGGTGACTAGACAAGACGGAATACTCGTTCGCGGCTTGGATGAGGATCACCGACCCACAGTTGGTGATTTGGGCATCGACAATGATCTTGGACACATGCTTCGTGTAGTTTTCCGTTGCATACAAGAAGCTCTCCGACGTCGTGCGGAGAGTACTGCTATCGCCCCGGACACGCGGCATCCAGCCCGGAAAGCCCGGGTCGGAGGACTTGGAGTTGATATACGGACCCGGTCGGGCAATCAGGTAGATGTCGGCCTCTTTGGCAGCCTTGAACCACTCCCCAAGGGCAAACACCCCCTCAGTGGTAAAACCGCCAGGGTTTCCCTCGTGCAAAGGCCAGTACGTGTAGAAGGAGACCGCATTGAATCCCATTACCTTGATCTCCTGGAAGTTGTCGGTCCAAAGGCGCAGGAGCAGCAGGCAGAAAGGGTGGTATTCGCCACTAAGCAAGAGGATGCGTTCACTGCAGACAAAGGTCGAGTCCGCCTCCCAGGTAGCAATGCCCTATAGCAACTCGTTGTCAAAGGAGCAGGTTAATATCAGGGAGTGTCCGTACCCCAGCAAGGCCAAAGCTTGCCAGGACCAAGCACATGCCGCCAACAACGCAACGAGGGACGAAATAAATCTCATCTCAAGGGATTTTCTGTAGATCAGAGGGGTTACTCTTGGGCCCCAGGTTTAGGTATCCGGCGCAATGAGTTCTGCGATTGCTGGTCGCCGAACTCCCACCCTTGGCACTCATGACACCATGGCGGGTAGCCTTATTAGTACTAAAAGATATGCATAGCGTAATCGGCGTAAATGTCACCATGATGCAAGGACCAGGCTTCTAGTCGCAATTTGTCAATTTGTCATCCAAAGGAGCAAGGCATGATGATATAAATGCGATGCCTCATCGCATGTTAGTTACTGACGCTTTAGTATTTTAAAACTATACACTCAATATCTTCCTCAGCCCATAACACACACAAAATGTCTTCTTTTGATCAAGACCTTATCTTGGTGTTTGCCGCAGCCGGCAAGCAGACCCGTCCGCTCGTACCCCTCCTGGCGAAGAACTTCAAGAATCTCCGCCTCGTCGTCAATAGCGAAGCTTCTCAACAGAAGTTGCGCTCCCAATTTCCGGAAGCGGACGTTGTTCGTGCGGACCAAAGCGACCCCAGAGCTGTGCGCGAGGTCTTTCGAGGTGTCACCGCCGTATACTACGTTGGCCCGAGCATGCACCATCAAGAAACCCAGAATGGGTATCACGCGATCGATGCCGCTGTTGCAGAACAAGCAGAAGGCAATTTTAAGCACTTTGTGTAAGCTTGTTGTTGTTGAGCACACTCATTTGTATAATAGTCACTAAAACAATGCAGCTTTTCGTCGGTCCTCAAGCCACAACTACGCAAGCCGCTCAACCACGATAACAAGCGCTACATTGAAGAGTACCTCTTCGAAAGTCCGCTGAATTATACGGTTTTGCAGCCTTGCAACTTTTTGGCAGAGAATTTGTACCCCATCGCCAAATGGATCCATGAAGACGAGCCTGTTCTGAGTCTTCCATATGATCACAACATCCCCAACTCACACATCTTTCTCGAAGATCTAGCAGAGGCCACACTCAAGGTGCTGCAGGAACGAGAGAAGCATTATCACTCCGAATATCCCCTCAGCTCAACATACCCAATTGCCTACAAGGATCTCGTGCCGCCGACAGAAAAGGCCCTGGGGAAGCAGATCAAGATTGTCAAGTTGCCCTACCTGGAAACCGTGGAGAAGCTTGTAAAAGCATCGTTTGGCGAAAATTATAATGCAGGAAATCTAGACGTTGCTGAGAGACTTGTACTGTGGTATGAAAGATACGGTCTGAACGGTTCACCCAATGTTCTCCAGTGGCTACTTGGGAGGAAGCCGACGACGTACGAGGAGTGGCTTGAGCAACGTGTGGCGGCTGCCGATAATGGTAAACTAGATGCCTAGTAAGAGTGGTGGGATGTTCTGCATGGCTTATTAGACAATTGTAACCTCCTAAGCAGCTAATAAGCCTTAGCTAAATCCCTACCCTTAAGATAAACTCTATAGAGCCCTAACTTTTCATACGTGCTCATGGTTTAATCAGGATTAGATAAGATACGCGATCGACAGTTTATCCTTTAATATATCCATTGGCATTAACATGCTCGGGCCTGCCGAGAATGAACTAAGTCCTGCCCTTCTTTTTAGTGCTTTACACTGCTATTAACTGCTCCTTTCATGCTGACCCGCTCTGTCATTACTCTCGTCCTTTAACGTGGAGCATCGGGCAACAAGGGACAAGCAATAAATAACAGGGGACGAGCTACCCTAAGGCGGCAGCTCTGGGATTGCCTTTCTTAGTCGGTGCCTAAGTATCAATTATTAAACTAATGCTTGATTCAAAGGGAACTTTAATAGGGGACTATGGAGTCAAATTATTAAATCTACAATTTTAGATAGAGACATTGTTACCGTACGTTTAATTTGGAGGCCCTGTCAAGCTTATCGTGGTCGATTGTTTTGTGCCAAACACGTCAGGCACTACGCACGGGGCACCCCTCCCTTATTGGTTCCACGCTAGAGCTAAACTAGAAGGCGGCGAGGCAGGGCAGAACCATTGTCTCGCCAACCAAATTGCTCAGCAGGGTATGATAGTGTTCACCCTCATCCATCATCACAGATTGACGACCACGTAAAATCCGGGCGCTGGGGTCAACATGTCAGAGCCAGACATTATTGCATGGCTTCAGGATATACCGATTGATAATCATCTCGACACTGCCGCTCCCAAACCCGCCAAACGACGACGGCTCAATCCGCCAACCCCCTCCTCCTCAATTGCCAGCAACCACCAATCCAATATGCCTAAACCACGGGGGCAGAGCCCCAATAAGCGTCCAGAACCCATAGGAAGCGAAACCTCCGCCTCAAAGCGTTCCAAAGGTGTTCGCTCCGAGGTTGACCTTGAGCAGCCGTCAGAATGCTCGGTTTCTGTCTCGGGGCGGCTGTCACCCTCAAAACAGATACGTTTTTGGAAACTTCACCCAAGTGGCATCTCATATGGAGAGCTTGCACATTTCACCGACAAACCAAAAAGTCTACGTAGGCTTCTGGCTAGGATGGATCATGTTATGGAAGGGTTCGGGATCGTTTCCTCATCCCAGCAACCAGAGGTTTTGCAAGCGGCCCAAGCTTGTGACGATGAGTTCGACTGGGCAGAGGTGGCGACTCATTATTTTTCTGATGCCCGTGATGAACTTGGCCAAACTCCGTCGGTCATGGCCGTGTTGGACATCCTGGATAAGGCGGCTGAATGCAATAGCCATGGCCACCACGAAGACGCGTGGAATAAGGCTGTCCATACTCCTATGCTCGAGCTCGCTTTTCATGAGACTGGGAAACGGTTGAAAAATCAGCTAATCACTCCTGCAAGTTGGTAAGCGCCGGAGATTTCTAGAGCCTCAGCAATCAAGCTAACGCCCAGCAGCATCCACGCCACGATCATGCCGGATTATCAACACGGAGCCCCAGGAACATCAAAAAAGGTCGACTTTGTGATACATGTCAACCCCAAGAATGAGACACCCCCAAAATGTCCTTCCCCAGCAGCAGAGGCTATCAACTGTCTTGTACACCAACTACCTGGCAAGGTCTTCAATTTCACCGATTTCGAGCCTGTTCAAGATCGACCCATCGCCCTCAGCATCGAGACTAAGAAACCGACCGAGGGCTTTGACATTGCTAAACTCCAACTCGGAGTGTGGCAAGCCGCACATTGGTCATTTTTGAAGGCCCTGGTTGGCCTTCAGCAATCCTACGATCACCCGGAAAGTGTCCCAGCGCAGACAGAAGAGAGTCAGCCAGGCCCGACTGACCAGCCCGCTCATGTCCAGGTTCAATACATGCCTGTCCGTCAAAATCAGCCAACTGCTGCACCTGAAAAAACTACCCAACAGAACACTACAAGGTTTGAGCTCCCTGATTTCCTCCCAGGAGTCATCATTAATGGTCATAACTGGTGGTTCACTGCCACTACATTCGATGGATCGCGGATGAGCTTTTGGGAGAAGGCCCCTTTAGGGAGTACAGATAGCACAAAGGAGATTTACAAGTTGGTTTGTAATCTCCAGATCCTACGGCAGTGGATAGATCAGACATATTGGCCCTGGCTTCGGCAGCTGGTTTTACCCTGTTAGCATATAACCAAGGCATCCTCTTGCTGTTCATCTCCTGGGCCCTTGGTCTCTGACTCTTATAATCTGTTGTCGGTGATTCCGGGCAGCTCGTTAATTCGTAGATTGAGGACATACTCGGAGGGAATATCTTTGAGAACAGAAAATATATTGACATTTGTTCACAGCTATAGAGTTTCACAACTGTCTTTGCAACTAACGCTGCGACATTGCTGGTGTGTGTACAAGGCCTTCTATAGAAAAGGGCATTTATACTATGTTCTATTCTAACAAAATCTCCCGTATGTCAAGACATCTAATTTACCAAGGAAGTGTAGTGCCATCGTGGTTGCGGAACGTCCCACTCATCTCCCGGGAAACCGAGTCAACAACCTTAAGCATACCATCAACGCTCACTTCAACAGTAATGGCACCCAAGCTGGCGGGGTCGGTACCGGCCGAAGCAAATGTCGCCGCCATGTCAGTCAGGACCAGGCCAGGGTGGAAAACAAAGGTTGTGAGTCATGGCTCCTCGAAATGAACTCTTCTAATAACCCAGCAAGAGGAGAGATACGGAAAGTGCAGCAAGGATGACGCTTTTGCTATCCTAGATCACCTTTACTCTCAGTGTGGTGACTTTATTGGCACGGCCAACGCGTATCAACACGGACACTCGGAGGAGTGGCTTGGTGAATGGATGCAGTTGCGTGGCAATCGTGACGACCTCGTTCTTGCAACAAAGGACACTACTAGCTACAAGCTAAGCGAGAAGAACCGTCTACCGTCCAACTATGGCGGAAATGGTACCAAGCCAATGCGACTTTCCTTGGAGGCCTCGTTGAAGAAGCTTGGGACGTCTCACATCGACGTCTTCTACTTGCATTGGTGGGATTACACTGCCTGCGTTGAGGAGGTCATGCAGTCTCTTAATGATCTTGTGGCGTCTGGCAAGGTCAATTACACAGGGGTATCTTATACTCCGGCTTGGGTCGTTGTTAAAGCAAAACAGTACGCCCGCATGGGTGGCTTGCGTCAGTTCGTTGTCTACCAAGGCATGTGGAGCGCTGCTATGTGCGACTTTGAGTGCGATATCGTTCCCATGTGTCTCGACCAAGGCATGAGTCTCGCGCCTTACGGTGTGCTGAACCAGGGACGCTTCCAGACAGAGGAGGTCTTCGAGCAGTGTGAGAAAGACAATCCTGGCCGTAACTTTATCCAAACAACAAATCGGGACCGCCAGGTCTCAAAGGCTCTTGAGAGCATCGCCAAAGAGAGGGGCGTCTCTCTGCTGGATATTGCATTGGCTTTTATCAGGCAGAAAGCTCCTTATGTTTTCCCCATCGTTGGAGCGCGCACCCTCAAGCACATTCAAGGGAGCATTGCAGACTTGGACGTGTCATTGACCGATGATGAGGTAGCGAAAGTGGAAGCTTCCTATGAATTTGATCCAGGATTCCCTCATATATTTCTGAGTGGGAGTCTATTTACCGGTGAACGTCCTTGGGGAGCGGCTCGGCCCGGGGATGTTTGGCATACGAAGTCCTTGGGCAATTTTGATTGGGTCGAAGGTGCAAAGGCTATCAAGAGATCACAACATTGAATAATGTAAATCTACTTTCTTTTCCTCACAAGCTTGACACTGATACTAGAGCAAATCTCTGTTTATGAAGGGCTCCCTCTTCCGTCGTCGGCGTTTGTCAGCTTTGGTAAAACTACCGTCCCCGCCCTGAGTAGGATATATTAAGTAAACTGGCCGACGGAGCCAGCCGGAGGAGTGGGCGCGTCCAGCCACCTTTCAAAGTTTCTACCAGTAATGGAAAGGCCAGCGTGATGTCGTATCATAATATTAGAAAGCTTTGACACCTGTATCCCCTTAGGGTGCCTAGGGTGCTCTTAAGGACACGATAAAGGTGGCGGTCTACTTAACATCGTAAAGGTAAGATACCTGCTCTCTCAGCCAAATACGCACAGAGGCAAAGTCCCCTTAATACCCCATGTACATACCCATAATATTATTATGACCATAACTAAAGAGCAACACCAAGTTTCTCAAGAGTACTCATACAACCAGTAGGGAAAAGAAGCCCATAATACACGCAGAGCACATTACGCCCCTAAGGGGATGCAACATGCAAAGCGTGGTAACAATGACGCTGACAAACTCAACGGCGAAGTGTCTTCTCGCCGAGGTCAGAGCAGTTAAAATACCCGTGAGAGGTTAGACTTTCATGATGATGTAGCTAGGTATGACTCTTCTGCTGCTGCAGAAGTTTAACTAGGCCACTATGTTAATATCGGGTCATGATGTTATATTGTGTTTGAGATCTGTTCTTTATTATAGTTGCAGCCCGGCCCTTGATGGGTTAACTGAGCCTGAAGATCGTCTTCTCGCCTTTGGTTTGATTAGTAAACCAGCCAGTCTAATCGCGGCGCACCAACAGCATACGAATGTTGTAGAGTCACCGCCTTAGTAATACGTCTTCGTGGGTTATCGTGACGGATAAGTCCAGTCCTATATACGCCTGAGGTTAGCACTTCCCGCTTGTTCATCATTGAGTTTTTACACATCTCATTTTGAACAAGGCATCTACAATGTCCAACCACGCAATCGTCATCCAATTATCCTGGCGACGTCCAGCTTGTCGAAGCGTCCATCCCCGATCTCCGAGACGGCTATATTACCGTCAAGGTTAAAGCTGTTGCTCTCAACCCTACGGACATTCTCCACATCGACTACTTCGCATCGCCCGGCGCCCGCGTCAGTTGTGATTAGGCCGGCATGGTAGAGCAAGTTGGTTCTCTCGTTACCAAGAGACTCAAAAAGGGTGACCGAGTCGCTGGCTTCGCTCATGGGTCTAACGCTTTGCATCACGAGGATGGCACTTTCGCTGAGTATATCACTGCGAAAGGTGACCTGCTGTTCCTCGTCCCCAACAATGTCACTTTCGAGGAGGCCGTCACTCTGGGTATCAGTATCACTACCGTTAGACAGGCCCTGTATCAAAGTCTCGGGCTCCCAACCCCCGCTGCACCCGCCAGAGAGAAATTTTCCGTCTTAATCTATGGCGGCAGCACCGCGACTGGCGCTCTAGCCATTCGATTCGCCAAGCTTTCTGGTCTTGAAGTCATCACCACTGTGTCCCCCAAACATTTCGACTACGTCAAGGTCCTTAGTGCCGACGTCGCCTTCGATTACAGTTCTGAGACGGTAGTACGGGATATCAAGTGTGCTACTGGGGGCCGGCTCAAATACGCCTTCGACTGTATCTCCAAGGAGCCCAGGGCGAAGATCTCCGTCGGCGCATTTGGTGATGATGGTGGCATCTACACTACCCTTCTACCCATCCCTGCCGAACTGGTCTCTTCTATTAATGACAAGGTTACACCCAAGTTCACGCTTGCTTACTCTTCGATTGGCGAAGCTTTCGAGGTTGGTCAATCTATTCCTGCCAACCCTGACGACTTTACGTTTGCAAAAACCTTTTGGGTTCTTACTGAGAAGCTTCTTGGCGAGGGGAAGATTAAATTCATGAACCCTGGGTTAATAATGGCGGCCGGGGCTTGACTGGTGTGTTTCATGGAAGGCAAGGTTAGTAGGAAGAAACTCGTATATATAAATGAATGAGTAAATAACAAAAATATGCTCTGTTCTTTAATGCGTAAGGAGGGTTTTAAACCCTTTAAGCCTGTGTTAGCCTAAAACACCGCATGTCACTAAATAGAAAGATCTCCCCTTTTTTACCTAAAAGTTCTTCTCGCTATTATCATTTCTTCCTTTAAGGTGGCGCTTTATAGCAATACTTGTAATCCTCAGACGGGGGCACCGCGATAGTTGAACCACTTTGGTGTCGTGATACTTTCTTAGCATTATTTCAGAGCCATGGAAATGGCCAGTCGAAAATTATTGGGCCAAGCCCGTCGATGGCAGGACCCTGGCGGAGGTCTCTCATTGGGGATTTCGTGTGAAATCCCGAGGAGGGCATTTGGGTGCGCCTGGTCCTTCCTGGCCCAATGGCATATAGCTTGGCTGAGTCAGATATTGTTCATATTGCGTTCGATTGAGGCTATGCCTCGCGACAACTGAGGCGATAATATCCATGAAAACATGGCCCTGGTGTCGTGAGCCTCAAGTGACCAAGAACTAGCTTCTCGGATATTTTTAGAAGAGTATTGGGGTTCCTGTTTCTTACGTTTTATTATTAAGTTGACCTGGTCTTATGAAAATATCTATTAATAAGGCAATTGTGCAAACCATGGGCTTTGCTGCATTGTTACCCATCACCATGAGTGTAGTCCCACTGTATGCGTTGTGCAATAACCAGCCACTTCCGCTATCTAATGAGAGTACATAGGCCTTGACAGAAGCATATGTGATGAAAAGAACAGTTTTATTATTTAGATTTCTACCCTGAAACTTCATCGTTGATTTTTATCACGCGACTTTCATCATGACATTTCATCATGGCGTTTTCATCATCGAATCAGCATGACGGAATGACTAACATGATACTTCTATGATAGATTTTGATCATGGCGCTTTGCCATGAAGCTTCTTGGAATTGAATTACACAGCCTAATTGTGTTTTCATCAGCCGGCTCTATGATAGTGATGAAAATGATGAGAATGATGAAAACAGTGTACATGGTTGAAACTGTCGGTGACAATCCGCTAAGGGGTGGGCGCACCGATGTTTGACCAGTGAGAATTCAAAATTACCAAGCTCGGTGGGTTTGGAGGTCAATCAAGGCCCTCAAGCTGAGACCAGATACTAGTTTCAGGATGTTGATCTGCTGCCCCGTTGAGCGAATGCTGATAACTGTCTGATATGGGCCTAGCTGCTGTAGATAATAGATGGTATAAGAATAATAGATAAGATATAAAGAAAATAGAATAAATAAGAGAAGTAAAATAAGTAAAATAAGTAAAATAAGTAAAATAAGTAAAATAAGTAAAATAAGTAAAATAATAAAAGTAATAAATGTTTCGTGAGCGAGTTGTTTATTGTCGCTAACTCAGCAAGCTATTAGAGGCTAATGTGTTAGGAATGGCAGAAAAGGTGACTCAAAGTGTACTAAGACTGAGCTGGTAAAGGCCAAGATACTTACAAGTGGGTAGGAAAGTGATTTTCAGGAATGGAAATTGGCAAACTAATAGTCAACCCTCGGCTATCATTGAGATGTGGCCCAAAATAACTCTCTTGAGCACCCGTCACCGCTCAACTCTTAAGATAACTTTGGTGTTCCACGCCATTAGGATCTAATACTAGTAGGATTTGACAATTGAAAGAGTGTCACCGGGTTATGAATAAGTTAAAACGGCGCGAGTTCAGGCCATGAAGTTAAGGAGATAAGATCTAATTTCGTAGTACTTGGGGGGCCATTGGCAGTGAACGATGGTCTCTTACCTTCTCTGTTGGAATAGTTCGCCTCGGCCTCCTCGACCACTTGAAGAGGCTGATTATAAGCATGCGTGGAAATTTCCACATGGAGTCTCATTTCTCAAAGCTTGTTCAAAACACAGTATTGAGTTTGTAGCGATCTCGGCATCATTCTGGCACGATCTCGATTGAATTTCACTATGACAGTACCGCATAAGAGATCGGACGTTTCTCAGTGATGGTTTCTTTATAGTCAGGGCAAGTTCAAGTCTGGTGCTGGTCTTCCATCAACCACAATTGGTGGTCATCGTCGGTGATGACCTTATCCTCCAGGCTGATGCAACTGGGTGCTGTGTCAGATCTAGATGGTCACTGTGAGTTAGAATTCTAGACAAAATGGCCCCAAGAGGATCGTTTGCACTGCTCAAGGTCGCCCCAAAAGCGTGAAGGGCATCGTAACGCTGCCTCAGGGTATCTATCGGCTGTCTGGTTCAATCTCTTGACCCACAGCCACTCATCTGTGCTCGTCTCAATGGTTGGAAGCCTGATGCGGCTTCAATATGTACACAGATGCAAGTGGGCAAGTAGCGCATTGAAACATGGGCCCCCAGGGTGTTCTGACTGAGCCAGAAGATCATTTGTCCGGCAAGACGATCCAGCGCCACCCCAAGAACACGCGTCGTAGACGATGCCTGACGCTACTCATAGGCTCGTTGCGCCTCGAGGTCTTGGCCAAGATCTCGCCTTCAACAGCGATACGTGAGTGAACGATGCCAACTGTGGTGAATGCTCATACTCGTAAGGCGTAAACCATCGACGCCTCCGTTACAATCCTGCCGCATCGCCTAGTGCGAGGCCTGGCATCCAGTCAAGATTAATGACATAAAGATCTAGCTATGAAAGGTATCCAGACTCACAGTCCGATATATTTAATCAACTCCATGTAGGGTAGCCTCTCCATGGGTCAGTAATGTACCGGGTACTAGTGGATTTGCTAAAAATAGTTGTGAGCCTATTTTTATCAGAACCAATCAGAATCATCACCGTTAGGCTAGGCCGAAGAAATTTAGTGCCTGGTCCGAGCTCCGGGAGCGGGGACGGCAGCAAAACAAGCGTGGGAAGTGGGGACGCTAGTGAAAACTGGATGACTCATCAGAAAAACCAATCAAATTATGGATGCAAGCTCTGAGCCGAAAAAGGTCTAGCGCGTTTTGTGCCGATTCTCTGTCATGCACGTGATCAGAAATTTCAGCCGAGATCGGCATTGCTGGCGAAGTCGCGAAACCATCGACTTTCCCTCATCGGCCCCAGGCTTGGTATTGCAATTGTTCAGCAAGACCATGGTAAATTCATCGCCAGCGAACTTACTGCGGCCAGTTGAAAACGCACGCACGCACGCGTCCGATGAAATTGAAGCTTCATAGGCTATGATCGCCGACGACCAATCCATATTCACTGAAGCTCTACATAGCTTCGCCGTTGCTAGGACCCACTTGACGGTCTTCTTTTGCGATGGGATAGAGTCAGTTAGGAGGACTCTGGACTCTGATGTCTGGTGGCTGAAACCTGGGGCATGGGAAGCTTAGCATGTTGGGTACGAGGTCAAGAGTTTTAGCCATGTCGCTCACTGCGTGAATGCCTGGGGTCGGAGTTGGCAGAATTGTTGATGGATACACCTATTTTGCCCAAATTGAAGCCCGTCGTCTTAGAAATGATAGTTTTTGAACAGATCCCAATGCCTATAATGATCGACTCTATCAAGACAGAGATCGCCTCGATGACTCATGGATGGATTGTGTGACTGTGCCGAGTTATTGAGAAGAGATGGAGTGAGCAGATGGAGAGGACGAGATGGCTTTACTTTATATGCCTTCGACACCACATGTTACTTGCTCGTCCTAGTAGCTATCAGGAGGCTGAAGGCAGCAGCGGCATGCCAAGCCTCCAATGCCTCTGGGGAACCAAGCCATGTCTATTGGTGTATGAATGTTTCAGACGCATACGCATGCATGGTCGATGACCAGAAATCATATACAACATGAGTCAACCACCCACTTTCTTCCCCCGCTCACCTTCATCTACAGCTTTCACGGCCTCGGTAGGGTTATCTTACATTTTGGTTAATTACCCTTGAAGCAACGGCTGCGGGCATTACCTCATCGATATCAGTCATCGACCAATTCTCCCATCTTCCCATGCTTCCATCTTTTGACTGATTTATACCACGAGGCTGGGCTTCGACACCGTCAAAGACAATAGCCTCATTCATGCTGTTTCCGTCGTGACTGGCGACATTCCTGTTGTTCAATATGACCCTGCCACCTGACTCGAAACACATGAATGAAGAGTTCCAGGGCAGGAGATACGCCGGGAACTGGATAAAATTGATATAGCCCCAGGGATCATACGGGTTTTCTCCCTTACTGATCCCGTGTTCATAGCGATCTGTCAAATGGCGTGAGGTACGGATTGACTCCCAATCATACAAAGGAAATATTGACACCATTTCTTATGCCAAAGGTAACCACAAGCGTGTCTCAGGATGTGCATTGGCACCTACACGCTGGATACAAGTGGATTATCTGGAGAGAAGACATGTGAGAAGAAGAATCCAAGCCTTGGCAGGAAGAATGGAATTAGCCCCTGAGCAAGCCGGGCAACGAGGATTGCCCTTGGATGAACTCGATCGTAAAACCACAAACAGACGGAATGCCGCACAATCGTGAAAAACAAGGCCTGGATATGAGAATGTACACCGTGATAGTCAGGAATTTCACCATTGGGAATACCAAAAGACTCTCGCCTTGTTTTCGATATCTAAACACCCGGCATCATCGAGCGAGCAGGTATAGGATTATCATTCTGGCAATGAGCGATGTTGAAATTTTCATCACGAGCCGCTTCTTCTCAGTTATATTCTTTATACAATCAATAAATCTACCGCGCAGCTGGGATAGGCATTATGTAATACTAGCAGTGTCATTTACATCCAGCTACTCGTCGACCTCTGACATACACATGAGCTATATTCCGATCATCGCCCGTCATAATAAACTTCTCAAACCTTCCTCTCGGAGAGTCTTGGGTATCTCGCGGGACCATGGCCGACTGTAGCCCCATCGTTGTCGTCACCCAGACAGCATCAAGTTCTTTACCGACCTCAAAGTTGCCTATTCTTTCCTCTAGACAGAGGACCCTCGCACCACCCATTGTCGCAAGGTAGAATACTTCTTCTAATGATAGTGCCTTATCCTTACCCTTGGATAAGACCTCTTGTGCATTTGATGCTATCATTGCCTGGCGTATGACAGCGAGCATCTGAGATGCCCACCCACCACCACTATCAGTCCCCAGACCGACCTTGATGCCGCGACGCAAAAAGTCCCTTCTCGGTGCAACCATGAAGCCTCCTCCAACAGTCATGTTTGCAATGGGTCAATGCGCGACGCCGCACTGTAGTGTTTTGATCCTCTCCTTTTCGTAATCGCTCATAATAGTACAGTGGGCGAGGATAGCTCTGCGGTTAAGCAACCCGTAGCTTTCGTATAGGTCCGCCTCGCTCCCGCCAAACTCTGGGAAAAGCGCCTTGGTTGCGTCTATTTCTTGCTGAGCTTCGTTGAAGTGTGTCTGCATTGCCAAGGTATCGTCGTCCCGAATCATATTGCCCAGACCCTGGAGTAGCTCAGATGTGCAGCAGATGGCAAACCTGGGCGTCACAACAGGTGTTACTAGAGCATCCTCATTCCCACTCAAGGCTCGGATATGGCTGATGCACTCTTCAGTCTCACGAAGGGATGTAGATGCATTCTCTTCACAGATGTAGTCTGGTGCATTCCTGTCCATGTTGCATTTCCCCACCAAGGCGCGCTGGCCGTTTTCATGGCATATATTCGCTAGGATTCGTGTTGCTTCTGCATGTCGCGACCCATAGTATGATGCCGTAGTGATTCCGTGACGTAAAAAGTTTTGTACAGTATACTCATACATGCTAGATGCGTAGTCTTGGTCGGCAAAGCGTGCCTCAAAGGGAAAAGTGACGTCGTTGAGCCAATCTAGGATATGAAGACCTTGGCCGAGACCACGCATCGGCCATTGAGGAGCATGGTTGTGTACGTCAACGAAGCCCGGAATCAAAAAGTCTCCAAATGGAAGTTTATGGAGCTTGGCTGCCGGAGGGATGGCATCTTGTGGTATCTCATCGGTGCACTTGTACAGGTTGGTGATGCGACCGTCGTGGACTGTGAGTGTCGCATCCTCCAAGATTTCGAGTTTTTCGGGATCGAGAGAGTGAATGATTGTTCCTTGGAAGACCAGAGTTGAGGACATTGTGAAGGACGTAGGCGGAGGTCAATTCCGTTTAACCTGAAGTAAAGCTGGATATTCCACTATTATATTGATGGCCTTGACATCGGCATGTGCCGACGCTACCTCCGTCGGCTGCCGGCGGCGTCGATAAGAGTAGTTGGTCTTATCTGCCCACCCAATTAGATCACCGACCGTCCTCGGGTGAGTTCGGCCGGGTTGAACCCCGGATTTTACATGCCGTTTATCTTCACGTATCCTTGCCCACTAACTGCTTAATCCCAGACAACTCAGCCATGGGCAGTACCGGAATGTCCCTCCGCACGACGCAGCGTGCACCCCGCAGCTGCTTGTCGTGTGCTTCTCGCAAGGTCAAGTGTGACAAGTCAGTGCCATGCTCGCGCTGTATCAAGCGGGGACAAGCAGACGCTTGTGTGAGGGAGATGGTCATCATACGTGGCGAGGTGACAATGTATGTAGCCAGAGCCAATTAAGTGGCTGAGCCTGGCTAATCTTTTTATTTCATTGCGTCTAGGTGGCAAGATAGTCCTCATGTGCTCACTTATGAGGAACTAAGCCGCGAGAATCAGCGATTACGTCGAGAGATTAGTGTCTTCAGAGCTGAGAGAGGGGAACTTCCTCAGAGCAACGAAAAGCCTGTAACACTCGGAAGAATTAAAGAATTCCAGTACAGTAACGGCCTCGAAGAACAACTATGGCAGAGTATTTGCACAACTCCAGAGACACGCGCCAGTTCAACCATCTTGCACTGGAAAGACATCATCCTACCAAACCCTGCTTGCAGCGACCAGCTGATTGCCTACGACAGGATCTGGAACTCGTGGGTGCACTATGCACTTGAGTATCCGCACTTTAGTAATGAGTGCACCGTGTTCATGGGGAGCATGGAAGAGAATTCATCACTGGACAAAGCTGATGCTTCATGGATGTCAGTCTATTTCAGTGTTCTGAGTGTAAGTCCTCCTATGTCTACTTATATCATTTACGTTATAAGTTTGAGAGCTAATGGTTATCAGACAGCGCTTCTAATGATGGATGACGCTGAAGCGGAGAACCTCCCACTCCCAGATGGTAAGCATCTGTGGCTCCAGATCCGTACGTCTACTAACTCGTCTCCTACCGCCGGTAGGCATCAACCACCAAGAAGCCTCAGCGAACTGGTATCACGCTGCCATATTTTGCCTGCACAAGGCCGACTTTATGCGGACATCCAGCGTACGCTCTGTCCAAGCCATAGCAATCCTGGGCATTTCCTTCAACAACAGAGGAGATTCGGAACTAGGGGAGCATCTTTGGAGTTCTGCAATACGTATCGCTCAAAGGATTGGCCTAGACCAGGGCTACTCTGAGTTGGCTTCATCATGCTTGAGCGCAGAAGGACAACATCGACTATGGTGGACACTTGTTATATGTGATTGGTAGGCTTCCGGCCGTTGAGATGTCCTCGATCCTATCCCATTCCTGACAGATGATTAGGTTGACCCTGTCTTATCGGCCACCAAGGGTTCATGCTACTGATTTTGAAGTTCCACTACCGTCAGCCACATCCACAGACGAAGAGGACAACGTCACTCACCCGGTTCACTACCACATCTTTATGGCAAGGACATCTACAATTTTTTACTACTTTCGTCAGGCTATTCGGTCTGGTCCATCGTCTTTGGCTGAGTTGGTACAAGTTGTTAGAAAGGCAGATGAAGATCTAGCAGAGGTCATAGATACCCTGCCGGTACATTTGCGGCCCGACGCCGATGGAAACGACGAGATAAGGCGGCTTGAACTGGCACAGCCTTGGATCAAGTGGCAGCGTTTCGATCTCACCCTCGTGTTGCTACATCTTCGCCTCCAGATCAACTGTACGCTTCAGGAACAGTGGCATTCATATCCGGGACAATATGACTGGGCGAGAACAATCAGTGTCAGGTCTGCCATGAGCATCGTTTGGATCAACCGTAACTGGGATCAACCTATATCGATGCGGAAGCAATGGTACGTTCGCAATCCTATTGAAAGAAAAAGGCTTATGATTATGTAGGGCACTTTCATACCATATCTTTGCATCTGCTCTAGCGTTATTATCTGAATGCCGAAGCGACGCATGTATCGAGGGAGAGGAGTATACCGAAACGATACAAGGCGCTGTTGAATTACTGGAAGAGATCAAGGAGCACAGCGCTGTGGCGTACCATGCAGCCAGGATATTACGAGAGAATATGGTTGAAGATAATCGAACTGACGGTAGTTTGGACTAGATGTACGCGATAAGAGATGGGATATACAGAATCAGTTCGGGCTTAGACAGTGCCCAGAAGGTGAAAGCCAAATGCTCGACGTGCCTCATCTCCAAGTCCTCCCAGGCCAACGTATCCTTTCATTGCAGTTTCATCTAGATCATCATTGCCCTCCGCATAGTCTGGAGCCGGGCGTCCTCCCAAAATAGCGGCCAGTTGTCTCTTGACGTATACTTCGTTCACAGGGGTCGTAGGGCATGCCGCAATGAATGCGACCGATGCATTGTTTTGACCTAGGTGCTCGGTATCTACGGCATGACACGTCTTTTAAAGGATCAGCGACACAAGTAGAAGGTAGGGATTTGAAAACATACATCGCAATGCCACCATACGGTATCGCCTGGGTTTATCTGGGGCATGTACACCATGCATTCCTCCAGTCTAAGATGAGGATGCGATACTCGGCTGAGCCGCTGACTGTCAGGCTTTGTAGTTCCGGGAAACCAGCCGGTCGAATAGTCCAGCGTCCACTTCTCAGCGTCCATGATGTACGCCAGATCTCGGGGCGGAGTGAAGAACGGACGTAATAGCACGTACGCAATGGCAGTCTTGATGTTAGGATATACCATGATAGTACCCTCTCTCGGAGCCGTGGGTGTAAGAGCCGTCCATCCCTGAAACGTGCGTATGACGGTCGAGTGTGCCATGCCCTTGTAGAGCTCTTGGTCGGCGTTTTTGCGTACACCAAGGTCATATGGGTCGTGACTGTCTGGTTCACCCGAGAAGATGCTGTCATAGACTTTGCGGTAGGTTGGGTCCGCCCAGCGGCAGAGACTCCCCGCATCTATATGAGGACCCAGGCCAAGAAATGGCTGTCCAGGAGCGCGGTCACGAACACCGTCAAGATACACAAGAGGGTCTGGGGATGTCTCGTTGGTCGAGTCGTGCCATAGTTCGTTCAGCTTGCGCTGGAGCTTGAGGTGGTTCGGGTGCGAACGTAGGGTATTCTGAGTGGGAGAGTTGTATAGGACAAGCATCGATGGGCTTTCCGCCGGCCAAGCCTGGATGGAGTCTTTGTTGTCTGCAACGTATCGCTTCAAGTCGGTGTAAAGGGATGTCGTCTCAGCTGCTGGAACGGTGCCCCGGCAGACAAAGGCGCCGATTCGCTTGATCTCCTGCTCTTGAACAGCCGTGAAGCCATCATCGAGGACTTGGGAGGTCTCAAACGTAGGAATGATGGTATTTCCCTTGTCTGCAATCTCATCGGTGATGGCTTCCAGCTCCTTGCACACCTTGATCCAGCTCTTGCGAAGGGCTTCGGTACCGTATTCTGCGATAATGGCCTTTTTGATAGCCAAGAACTCTGGGTCCTTGACTGATGCAGAGTCTTCGCTGGTGTACTCTGCCCATGCGGGCCACTCTCGAATAGAAGCGGGCATGGCTGTCGGGCTTGCGCTTGTAACTCAAACTGGGTGTGGTGCTGGAGCAAATAGAGTCGGTGTAGTCCTGAGATCAAGGAACTCATGCCAAAGGACTCATATCAACGGCCTAAAATACCCGAGATCATGAGTTACGTGGAGAGGCTGTACAAGGTAAACTAGTGGGCGAGCTCGCCCGAGCTCGCCCGAGTTTCGCCAGGGTCTGCGGGGGTTCCCCAGAGATCTACTCCGGATGCGGATAAGCATCTGCCAGATAAGACTGTATCTCTACCCCATAGATGATAACGTCCCTTGTAGCCAATAACCGATAAGAAATTACAGATAGGAGCAGTCATATTATGAAGTATAAGATACTTCTAATAGCTCTGCTTCCAGTATTCAGATTCCGCAGGCTGGCAAAGGCGATTTCCCAAGTCTCTGGTTTTACCATCAGCTATTCTTCCGTCAAGTTCAGTCATCGCCAACACCACGAGGATGGGCTTCGGACGAAAACATGTCTCCAGGTTGGTGCCTGCGGATCATAGGGTTTTAATGCCCCTGCTACTCGCTGTCACTATTGTCAATTCGGCAGTAAGTCAACCGAATTACTATATATTCTCCTGCTAATGACTGTCAAGACGCTTGGATATGATTCGTCTGTCATGAATGGGCTGTTGATCTTGCCCTCTTACTCAGAGTACTTCAATCTCAACACCGCTACCGAGGGTCTTAACAATGCTGCCATGTGGATTGGAGGCATCTTTGGTGCTTTTCTCATGCAGCCTGTCCCAGACTACTTGGGTCGTCGACGTGCCATCTACGTCGCCTCAGCCATCAGTGTTGTCGGCATTATCCTGCAGGCTGCCTCCCAGAACGTTCCCATGTTTGTCATTGCGAGGTTCATCGTCGGTGCCGGCTCTGCAATTAGCAATGGAGCCGCACCTACGCTGCTCGGCGAGCTTCTTCCACCTCACCGACGTGCGCGCGTTCTGGGGCTCTTCTTTTCCTGCTACTACGTTGGCAGCCTTGCTTCGGCCATTGTTAATTACGGCAGTCAGAACATCCAGAGCACTTGGGCATGGCGATTGCCCTCTCTACTTCAGTTCGTCCCCAGCGTGCTGGCGGTCCTCATCGTTCCGTTTGTGCCGGAGTCTCCTCGCTGGCTGATTGCACACGACCGGAACCAGGAGGCCCTAGAAGTTTTGGTTATCATGCAAGGTAAGAACAATATGGACTTGCAAAAAGCAGAGGAGCAGCTACGCGAGGTGAGAGCCACCATTGTCCGTGAAGCGGCCGAGTATCCTCGCAATCCATGGAGAGAGATAATTGCAACCAAGGCGAATAGGCGGAGACTTGCAATTCTTTGCAGCTTCGGTCCTATGATTAACATGTTTGGAAACTTTATCATCTCGTGAGTAAGGACTTTCAATACGACATGCCTTGGTCGCTGACGATTGTGTCCAGTTTCTACCTGACAAAGATACTTAGCCAAGCTGGCATCACAAATCCTGTCACCCAAACACAAGTACAGGTCATCATCAACTGCTGGTCTTTTGCTGTAGCCATTTTTGGCAGTTTCATGCTCGACGTCCTTGGTCGCAGAATCCAGACGTTTATCGGTGTCGGCGGTATGACAGCAACGCTGCTGTTGATCGGTGGTCTTATCAAACGTGAGTCGGTTCATCTGGTTGATCAAATATGGCCCTGACAGCTGTCCACAGGTTATGGCGAGAGCACGAATACCTCGGGAATATATGGCACCATTGCCGTCATTTTCGTCTTTCAGGGCTTCTACGCCTTCTCCATCACGCCCATGACAAGTTTGTACCCAACAGAGGTGTCGCCTTTCAAGCTCCGTGCTACAGGCATTGCCATCTTCCGCATGCTCGATTCTGGATTTGGGTAAGTTGTGACCATTTCGGAAATCTCAAATTCCTGACATAAGCTAATGAATGTCTCAAGCCTTCTCGCCTCCTTCGCCATGGCCTATGCTATGGCTGATCTGGGCTGGAAGTTTTATTTCATCAACGCATCCTGGAACTTTGTGTTCCTCATTATTGCTTACTTTACCTTTGTTGAGACCAAGGGACTGGAGCTTGAAGAGATCAACACGAGGTTCGAAGGCTCCGCCATACTGGATGGTGTCATTGAGGATACTGCCTCGCAAAAGAGTGATACTGGGGTCCGAAAGAACGAGGGGATTACAGATAACGTGTAGGAGGTGTACTATTTGGGGGGTGGGAGTTAGTGTTGGCTTGGGGGGGATAGTTAGAGTATTGAAATGACATGATGTTGATAATTCCTCGCTCTCTGGCGAAGTGCGTATATTCTGAAAAGTCAGGCAGCATTACTCCTCCCTCACTCCACCACTTCCGCATGCTCCTATAGCTATCATTATTTATTAGGAAGATACACCACTCAATGACTTGTCTTCAGACTGGATCGCAGGGCTTGACGGCTAATACCATTGCTTGAAAGTAGGAGAAATCTTGACAAATATACACGACGCTTGTCCTCCGATAGAGCTTGCCTCAGCATCCTACGAGCTCCGGCCTGGAAACTCATTCAGACGACTATACTGGATTACGGCAGCCAAACTTTATGCTTCGAGGGCGATTTTGGTATACTTACCTAATTGGTAGATTTCCGATTCAGACTACCTGATTTATCTATTGAGCTGGAAGAGGAACTATAGTCTGGTCCATATGGAGAGGAGTCGTTCCAATCTTCAGGATAGGCATAGTCTTTGTCAAGTCCCAATTGTGCACCGCCAAACCCTGCTGCAAAGACATCCTTACTTCCTCCGAACCACGGCTGGCAACTTCCTCCACATAAGAAGTTGCAAAGTCCACCATCGAAATCTTTCCTGCCTTGATCTCCTTGAGGCCTTTGATAATGTTCAGAATATCCTGCAACGAGTGGTTAAGGCCTTGTGCCCTGTCTGTACCAAGTGTCAGCAGTGGGAATATTTTTCGCAATAGGACAACTTACGGGCTGTCATAGAATGAGCGGCGTCACCAGCAATGAGCACCCTACCTCCTCTATGGTCCCACGGCCGAGTTTCCCACGTTCCATACCTGTCCGGGCTAATGTAAGTCCCCTCAGGCATCCACTCAATGGCAGACCGGAATGGCTCGACGAAAGGCTTTCCGGCTTCCTTGACCATCTCAAATCGACGAGCTGGTGAATCGTCTTCTGGTTTGATGTCAGAGGGCAAGCCCATGAAGACCTGGAACTTCCAGTTCTCTGGAGCGGCGTCGGCCGAAATATCCAAGGCTTTTATCTTAGTTAGTCACCACATCATAGAAAGAGTAGGATGAGCAGTACTTACGAATAAGGCCATAGTAGGTTCCGTTAGGATGGATGGAGATATCCAAAAACGAACCAAGCTGCTCCTTGAGCTTCACGGCCTTTTCAGCGTCATATTGCATCCAAAAGTTGTTGAGCACAAAGCCTGGAAGAGGGTTCCATTTTCCTTCCGGCGCGTGGTCAAACAAGATGTCCCGGGTGGCGGATCGACTTCCATCGCAGCCGATGATGATAGAACCCTTGGCGGTAGTTCCATCGGCAAATGCAACTTCAACACCATCTGTAGTTTGACTTATGGCAACAAGCTCTTTGTTGTACTGTATACCAAACAACGAGTAAGTCGATGGAGCTTGAGATTGGAAGCTTTCAGACTGACCTGCACATTGATGTCTTCGGCCAGAAGCGCCCGGATTTTGCGATGGCTGAAGCGCCTAGCAGGACCCAGGGGAATTTCTTTGATCACCTCACCGGTCTGTCCGTTGTGAAACAGTACAAACTCAGCAGGCTTTTCCGATCTTCTCTCTACAACCTGAGCGGTACGTAGCCGCTGGGCGAAGTCCCGAGGGTAGAGGTTGAGAAATTCGATAGCCCAGTGCACGGTAATGCCCCAGTCACGCTGGGGAGTAGCCGGCCCGCGCTTATCAAAAATCTCGTATTCAATCCCTTCCTATAAGCGTGTCAGAACTCAGAGGTTGCTGGTTAAAAGCCATCGTGTTTCAGCATACCTTGCCGAGACCATGGGCGAGAGATAGTCCGGCAACACCTTTGTATAGTTGGCCTGATAATTCAGTTAAGTTATCAACTGAGAGATTGACTTACCGGAGCCGATTATGATTACTTTCAAAGGGGAAGACATGTTTGCGACCTCCGAACTGTATGTTCTGTTGGTTGAACTAATGGCAGATCTACTTTGCTGGTATCTCAATATCTCCGATCAAGGTGGCATCAATTCGTCTTAAGTTGGTTAATAGAATTGCATATCTTCAAGAATAGCTCTATCAAAGCATTAACCCCTTAGCCGTCCAGAGTAGTAGACGGGCCGCTTCTTGGTCGCCGACATTGCCGACGGGGCCGACACCGCCGATAACGCGAGAACACCGACATTGCCGACAACACCGATGCTGCTGGCGTGGAAAGAAGCGAATATCGCCAGCAAGTGGCTAAAGGGTGCTGTAGGTTGGTCTTGGCCATCGCTACCCTCACCCCGCAGTGTAAGAAGGGAAAAACATTTAAGAACACAGATGGGTGTTCAAGTTCGATTGACTGATTGTCATAACAACACAGATTGCTCACTTTTTGCAAAGACTTGCATCCGAAAAAGGCCATGGCATCTACCTCAGAAACGGAAGCGGCTGTTCAAGCTGCCACTGACAAGATCATCGACTACTGCCGTCAAAACAACAGCTACCCCATGTGGACAGTGACCAATAAGGTTTCAAAGCTCAGCCCAAACCCCAAGGCACTACCAACCAGATGGGCATGGTCCGACTTTCGCAAAATCTTGCTCGAGACTTGCACGATTGTTCCTGAGCATATGGCTGAGCGTAGAGCGCTGATGATGGTCAACCCAGGGTTCCGTGAGTAAACCACAATCTTGAGGAGCTTACAAGTGCCTCTTTTGTCTTATTTTAAACATCCATACTGATGACAATGCGATCTCAGCTGCCGTAAATGGATCCTCACCTTTTACAACCGATACACTCTATGCGGGTTTCCAGACTGTTCTTTCAGGAGAAACTGCGCCAGCTCATCGTCACATGGCTTATGCTGTTCGCCTTATCCTTGAGAGTGATAAAGGCTTCACCTCAGTCGCTGGACACAAGATCTATCTTGAAGCGGGTGATTTTGTATTGACCCCATCGTGGGAATGGCATTACCATGGCAACGATGGCACCACACCCACCATATGGGTAGATTGTCTAGATATTCCCCTGCATATTTTTGCTCGCATTAACTTCCTGGAATTATACCCCACTCCCAGTGTTCCTGACCTGTAAGTACTACGTTGATGAGACACTTTCTCTTACACTCCCACAAGAGAGCATTATCTCGTCGATGAGCATGTGACTGATCCAACATAAGTGTCACTCAGGGAAGCCCCTTCCACTTCTCATGGAAGGAGGCAAAAAGAGCTCTCGACTCTCAGGCTGGTCCACATGCCATCTATCACTACCTGAGGAATGGTAACCACTTCTCACGAACTATTGCCGCTCAAGCCGAAAAGTTCTCAAAAGGTTATGCAATCAAAGCTTTCCAAGAAACTTGCAGTTTTATATACGTTGTCATCAACGGGTCAGGTCTTTCAAAGATCAAGTCGCCGGCTGGGGAGTCGACGATCGAATGGAAAGAGAAGGACGTTTTTGTAGTGCCGGCTTGGTCTTGCGTTGAGCATGTTTGCAGTGATGAGAGCGATACCTACTTGATCGCTTTGACTGATCGAGCCTTTGGGGAAGCTTTGGGGCTTTCTAGAGTAACTTATGGTTAGGAGCTTGGCAATTTATTGAATAAGTACAAGTACTATTGCGAGTGTAAAGTCCATACCAGTATAGTGGTAGTATATAAAAAGGATTAAATATAATACGCAATTATTGGGCATGATGGCTTGGTTGTATGTACAATTATATTTCTCTTGCTGGGTTGCCTGGATCTGCCCTTTGGGTATGCTATGAAGTTGAATTATTTTTCAAACATAATACCTTTAATTACATCATTTACTTACCTACTATAGAATCTGATCAACATACTAATTCTTTATTTCACGATCCTTGTTATCAAGGTTAACAAGTTCAGCTGAGAATTACCGGGGGTTTAATACAAATCTCATTTTCATTATAGATACAATTTCGAAGACGATATTCGCGAGAATAAGGCTTAGTGAAACGATAAGGTGGCCGATCAGTGGTGTAACAGCATTTACATATCGCCACACAACTAACGTCATAACAGTTTCCACTCCCCGTTCACAGAGCAGCATGGTCGTGTGTCTCAAATGGTAACCCAAAGCAGAGCAACCCAGCTCCGCACCACATACCTGCCGCGACGTAGATAGGAACCACGGAGAAGTCGGTATAGGTTCCGATCAGGCTTGCTATCAATCCACCAACACGCAGCAGCGCAGCCGCCGAGCCACTTCCGATACCGCGGTTTGGTGCTGGGAAAGACTCGGGAGTGAACGCAAACAGGATAGCATATACTAGACGGAGTTAGTATGAGTGTTTCCGCGTACTAAGCAGTCATAGATCTTACCGAAATTTGCGACCAGGACGCTAACTGAAGAAAAAGCCAAGTTTGCACCAGGTGAACGAGCTGCAGTGTATGCGAACAAGAACGCACCAGTAATGACGGATCCAAGCGCCATTGCATATCGTCTCCCGAGGCGGCTCTGGATCATCCAAGCCGCAGCCAGAGGCCCAACAACACCCACAGCTGACTGAATACAATAGTCTCTGTATATCGAATTGAGGGAGTTGTCCCCAACGACGAGTTGAGAGAGGTATGTAGGCAAGAAGTTGAAGTAAAGGGGAAACGCAATGCCAATTGTTAACCAAATGACCCAGAGCACGACTGTATGTTGTGTGAGCTTCTTTGTACTGAACAAAGCTTTCAGATTCGCGCTCCGAAAGTCGTTAAAGCTATCCTGGAGCGTGCCCTGTAGGTCTTTCTTTGGTCGGCTCGTAGCATCATCAGCCGAAACGAGGCCTAGGTCTATATCGATTTGTTGCAGCATTGCAAGGGCCAGAGGTTCTGGTTTTCCGTTTGCCTTGGCAACGAAGTTAACAGACTCGACAACCTCTGCGTCCATATGTCTTGCGAGGAGGTTACGGGGCGACTCTGGCATCTTGAAGATGAGGGGGCGAATTAAAGGAATCAAAATTGCGATGCCTCCGAGGGTAAACATCACATATCGCCTTGATGGAGTTAGATTCCGCTAAATCATCGGTGTAGAGGAGTTCCGGTATCACTTACCAGCCCATGTTATCTGCTGCCACGACAGTCCCCGGTAGTGAGCTAGATGGGGCGCTGAAGTTGGCGATCAGGACCCAGCCGACCAAGGACACAACAAGCTGTCCGAGAATCCACCAGGCCGAGATTGCAGTCAAAAGATACTGATGAGATGGAGGAAGGAATTCCAGAAACAGCATATTATCAACAGGTACATTACCTCCCGCTGCTGTACCGATGACGGCCCAAAGAGAACAGAAAGTGACAAAGTCTCTTGCACCTCCAACTGCAGTGCCAAATATTCCTCCTATGAGAAAAGTCAGAGTGAAGGCTGGTTTACGTCCGAAGTAGTCGGAAGAAACGCCCCAGAATGTCGCACCCAAGATCAGACCGACGTAGTAGGCGATGGAACTGAACGTAATTCTGGAGTCACTGAATTCCGTAGCGACGGCGGGTTGAATGGTAGGTAAGCCCTGAGACCAGCTTGGTAGAACGTATAGTTAGCAACGAAGACGTAACGTTGGCAGTGGACGCCCCAACTTACAAATTGTCGATGAGGCCTCCCAATCCACAGAAAACGAAAAGCTTCCATTGGAATGGGCCCATGCCGATCTCTTCCATGCATCTCCCAACAAGCTCTGACTTGAGGCGGTAAGAATCACTGATGGAGGTACCATAGAAGTTCTTGACCTCGGTGTCTTGGTTAACCTTCTCCATCGTCCCTGTTGCATAAGAGCAGGTCTCCAGGTTTTCCGGAGTGATCTCATCCATTTGATCTTTTGACTTGGACATGTCGGGCATACTATTGTGAGAGAAGAATAACTGAGATCTGGGAAATTCTGATTGAGGATGTTGTGATTGACACGGTTGCGGCGTGGGTCTGTTGATGCGTTAAGAAGAAGCCGTCAAACCAGCCAAGGTGACTTATGGACGTAGCCTTATCAAGAGGCTTGATGCTATAGCTCCGCCCGATTGGTTCGAGTCTAGACTCCGCCGCTGATAAAGCTAGTTATGATTACCCCGCAGGCGAGCATAGTCTGGGGACGGGTGAAACTATCCCGGTTTGATATCGGTCGACTCGGGGTTTGAAGTTCGGCCCGATCTCTGACCCCGAGATTGCCAGTCCCCTAGAACAGTTTTGTTCACAAGGAATTGACGAGGACAGGTCTTGAGCATATCAAAAAGTCAGATGCATCATCTATAGTTTAGGATTAGCCACATATTCTTACTCATTATCAAGTTTTCACAAACACGAATATTGCAGCATGTCTACGTCTTTTCTAATCGAAACTCTGAATCGATCAAGCCAACCTACTGCCACCTATTCGGATATCTCAGTCGTGGGCATACCTCCTGATAACCCGTATCTATATCAACTGCAGACGGCTGGTCAAGTAGGAGTGCCTCCGCCCACCCATCCCAACCAAGAGATACCGATTTCCTTCAAAGAACAGGCAGAGAATGCGTTCGCCAACGTGGCAAGCTGCCTTGCACTCAAGGGTGCAACTCCCCAAGACATCACGAAAATTACTATCTATATTGTCGACTACAACACACATCTGCGAGACGAATTGATCGACGTCATCACCACTTTCTTCACAGTGCCCGGCCAAGAATCTTGTCATACCCCGCCGAGTTCCTTGATAGGAGTTGCAAAGCTTGCGCTCCCTCAATTTCTTATCGAAGTAGAAGCCACAGCAGTATGTAAGGCGCGAAGCCGATGAGTTGGTTCATGGACGAGGGCGATGCGTAAATATTGTTAAGGGATGGTCTAGTCATGTCTTGAATCCAATCCAATTGAAAGGAATACGAATTGGGGAGGCAGGGCGTTGTCATGTGTGCAAAACTGTCTTGACAATTTTGCAGAAGACTCAAGTCCATTCTACTTTCCACGAGACATTGGGTATCTTTCTCCTTGAAATGGATGCAAAATAGTGAAATACATCGTCCGTATTCCTCACGAAAACTGTGATCACATTGGGTTTTTCAAGCAGGCTCTTCTAGTATAGCACCTTTCATTGTCGCGACTAGCTTCTCGTTTGTCAAGTTATCAAGCCTTGGATCATTTTAAACGAAACATGTATTTAATGACTCTAAGAGTGAGCATTACATGTAGCCATGCGATGAGAAATATGCGGCGCTGGAATATCTACGTCCACCGGACCCGTCTAAACTCCAGGAATTTCCACCGGACTAATAAATGCTGAAGCGACAATAGCCTTGAAATCACAGAAAGGCGCCCTGAAGCTCCGTATCAACCTTGCGCCCCTTCCAGCTAACAGCGTAGCCCAAATCAGGGTTGCGGAATTTCTGAGTCCACGTCCCGTGAGGGGGCGAAAGCCCTTCGATAAACCTGATGTCGTAGCACACCAATACATGAGCCAGCATTATCTTGAGGAGCACGGAAGCAAAGTGTCGGCCAGGACACGCATGTATTCCGAGTCCGAAGAGAAGGTTGTCTGGCCCCGCTTGAGCAAACGTGTACTGCTTCTCTTTACCCAACTCAGCTCTCACTTTTGCGTAGCGAAACGCGTCAAACGTCGTGGCGTTGGGTAGTATATCACAGTCCAAGTGCCGTCCGTGAGAAATCACACCTATCGAAGTTCCTTTCGGAACAAATGTGCCATCACTGAACTTGAAGTCTTGAACGGCAAGACGTTCCATTTTGACTGGGAACAAATATTGTTTAGCGATCGATCCAAAAAGGAGAGAAGGAAGGTGTTGCGAATGGAAGTCAAGGCCAGCTACTCCCTCCACTTACCGGCACTCATGGGAGTAAGACGCGTGGACTCGCGTATGAAGCTGTCGAGCTTGACGAGCTTGTCCACGTTGGCTTTGGACCAGGCTTCATCAAATGCTTTGTTACCCAAAACTTGGATGATTTCGTCGCGTAGCTCAGCATGAATCTCAGGATGGCGACACAAATCGAAGATGCACTCCGCCAAAGTAACCGCCGGAGCATGAATTGCCGTGACGTTGATGTGAATCATGCGTTGGAGCAGGATTTCAGGGTCTCGTTTCTCTGGTGGAGATATGTCAAGAAGCCATTGAACTTGTATCCAACGGTTTTGTCAGTAACTGAAGGATACTCTGAAGCCATGGGCAGTGTTAGGAGGGGTGGATGGCGACATATGGGCATCATTGGGCTTGTTCTGCTTGTCTCCGCTGGAAGTATTGGGATGCATCCGAGACAACCGCTCCCTAATAACCGGGACGAGAATTCTGCGGGCCACTTCCTGTTGGCTCCGGTGGCTGGTATTAAAGCGCATTACCAAAGGCTTCAGGATAGCTGGGACGTTCCGCAACATCGCCGCCGCATCGAAGGTTGCTTTAGTATATGTCGCCGAGTAATGAAGCAGATCCTTGTTTCGGCAAAGTTCAGGGCCAACCATCATTCTGTTGGCGACCCTTGTAACGAGCGCCGTGCAAACCTGGAAGACGATGGCGTGAGTCCAATCCTCGCATTGGCCCAACTCTGCACCGAAGCTGTAGCTAGTTTCGCAGGCGAGGTCTCCAATGATGCGTGGCAGATTCTGCGTCAGGCTCTTTCGTACAACGTCAAAATGGCAGTAGTCGTTGAGAAGTGCTAGGTGGAACGTATGCTTTATCTGGAAAATGATGTTGGCCGCTGCTGGCTGGCTGAGCTTGTTATCAGGAATTTTGCGAATCTCTTCCAGCATTGTCGATGGAGCCATGAGGTAAATCTGCGTGGGTGTCCTCAACAGAAAGTGGCGGCCGTGCTTGGAGTACTGCCAAGATGTGTTAGGGCCTCACAGCGTCGAGTTTCTCAACTTGATTGTAAGACATACTTCGTTATAGCCTTTCATAATTGTACTCAGGCTGTTCTTCATAAAAGCTTCAACATCTTCTGCTTGCCCACCACGCCCGGGCTTGTCAACGACACGGAGGAACTCGGCATTGGGAAGCCGCTCTCTTCGTAGAGAGAGGAATCCAACTACAGCCAAGGTAAAAAAGGAAAGTATCCCAGCGTATAAGGCCAGAGGCGTGTCGGCGGAGATCAATGCGTTTACTGTCATTATTGCGACGTCAATGGAACGATCCACAACTAGAAGAAGGCGACGATCGTTTGCTTAGTCGTGAGCACCTTGAGGCAATGAAGAACAGCTACACTCTACTCTTATTGAGTGAATGAAGCAGATCATCAATTTGCAAGTGGCATCTACCAAAAGGGTAACCAAAATTATTCGCTGACCAGAGTCTGGGGTTTGTTACAAAATCGCTCTTGAGCTCCGAGAACTCCAGAGCACCGAGAACACCGAGTGCCGAGACCGCCGAGGCTTGAAGTAAGGTTTGACTAGTAGGGAGTTGGGGGTGTTCGCTTTGTAATGGTTTCAATTACTTCTCTTGATACATCTACCATTCTTGTGATACTTTGACTCTTGAAGATACTTTTGGTCCACCTTGATACTCTGGCCCCAGTCAGAACCAGCACATGTAGGATGCGGATTGGCAATATCGATTTCAGGTAGCAAGCACTCCTTACAAAATCATAGCTTCACTAACTGCTGATATCGCCATGCTCCATCTCCACGAAACATGCCTAACACGTGGAGGGCCAACTACAGCATATTCGAGAAATCCCAGCCCAACATATCCCCGGTAAGATCTGCGGGGTGGAAAGAGTTGTCGGTGAGAATTGCGCTCAGAGAAGCAGACGGAAGCATTGGGAACTCCAACTCAGGAATTAAATTGTCAAAAGATTCATCGTTGCCCCTCTTTCGCCTCTGTAGAAGATCCTCATCGAATTGCAGGAAATTGGCATGCAAATCCTGGGAAGATGATGTCTCGTACGTAGTCAAGCTGCCTCGGCGGTTGCAAGCTTCAGCGATTAGCTTCTTTAACACGATTGCGCGCTCGCTACGCTGAATAGACTCAGGCCAATGGTCAAAAATACCATCAAGAACTAGCCATGCCTTGTTGCTCGTCGAGTCCTGTGCCCGAAAGGGAAGCTGCTTGACGACAAAGTTGGCGGCGGCCCATTGAAAATAGGTGCCGTGAAGCCAACGCCATTTCTCAAAAGCTTTCGTCCGCTGGATCTTTCTTGAAAGGTCCAGCACTTCTACTCCGAGTCGGAAGACGTGACTTTCCGTTTTTTCATCACCAAAGACGATACTTTGCGACGTGTTTCCTGGAAACAAGTAGGACAAGAAGCATCTCTTAGTTAAGATGAGTGCGGACGTCTTGACTGCGAATTGTCGAAAAGCTTCTTGCGACCCTGAATGGAGAAAGTACTTGGTATTCAGGTTCTGCCCAAAATGACGGAGTCGCTCCTCAGCTGTGTTGACCGTTCGTGTGAGAGTTGTTGTCATGGTGCCTCGTTCGAGCAGGGTTTGGTTAAACGATTGGGTGATCTCATATTGAATCAATGAGAAGCTTGTGTCTGTGAATCCAGAACTACCGCTGACCGCATACACGACACCGTCTGTCAGGTCGTCGTCGTCTACGTTGAGGGGTATTCTTGTATCAGATTCAAGAGTAAGGGGGCGATGGAAGGAGTCGAGGCCGGAGTTATCAGGATGATCAACGAGGGTAATCAACTGCCACCATAACCGCCTCCTCAGTTCAACATCGAGTGAAGCGAGATTGTAGGAGTGAGGGTCTCGGTTTAGTCCCATGCGAAGGGACAGATGGACGGCTACTCCATGTAAAGCACGGAGTCTCGAGTCACCCATGCATTTGAGGTAGTACAAGTAGAGCAAGAATGCCTGCATCGTTCTGAGATCGCGCGTGTCAAGAAAATTTGCGGCCGTGAGGGCTTGTTCAGTGCGTGCCGAGCAGGTCCGTCTCAGAGTCTCCTTATCGCATCGAAGGTTTGCTATAACGTCTTCCTCGGACATGGAGGTGATTGAGATGAGGCAAGCTGATTGAATCAGTGCCATACTGGCAGGATGTAGTCTTTGACCATCCTGCACTTGTACTAGCATGAGTTCTCTGGTGCTTGGTCTGTGAATGATTTTGACCAAGGGATCGACGCTCTCAGCGTACCTCTTCCAACAAAAGGCGCGGTAGGATGTTGGAAGGAGTTGCGGTAATTCCATATCTTGGTGCTGCCTGAGAGGGAACCCAGTGGGCGACGATGCCGGTTTGGGGGGGGCTTCATGCAACGGTGAGGGGGCATCCGGCTCTGGTGATATCGGAGTAGTCGAAGTTGCAGAAAGACCGATCTCGAGGCCGATCTCTGGAGATTGGCTACAGAGAGGGGATTTCTCAAGGTCGCCGTTGTGTGATCTAGGCCTTCTAATTGCTTCATCGTAAGCCGTTAAGGAGACTGAGTCTGGGATGCTCCCGCTGGGACGCCTCAGGGCTTCCTGTGCGTGGTCGCTACCGGTGCCAAGTAGGTGGTCCTGACCTTGGGAGGCATCATCGCTCGAGTTCGACTTTCGGATCCAGCTATTGATGTCACTGGTTGCGAAGTCGTCATCTCCATCTGTCAGCTCGAACATTGGTGCATGTCTCCTCAAATACGACTCCAGGCGGTTCAGGCGGTCGACGAGGGACGCGCTTCCGACCGGAGACGCTCGTTTTGCCATGGCCGCCTTCTTTGGTCTCCGGACGGTTCGAACTTGTGGGGGGTAAGAACAGGCATTATCCGCGATGATGCAGTTGTGGCAAGGGAGCTCCCGGTCGCATTTGACCTTGCGTTCGCGGCAGATACGGCACGCGGTCTTGAACCTGGGTTTAGGACTAGACATTTTGGCAGGTCAACGCAAGGCACAAGATGATGGCAGCAAAAGAATTTTGAGGCTGAGAGCTGCCTTCTGAGCGGACCATGTAGGTAAATATGTGGCATGTCGGCAACGGTCTGAGTCCTAGCGTCTGGGTTCGTTTTCCGATCCCGCTCCATTGGTCACATCTTGATAAGAGGTAGACTAGCTATCTGTTAACGGACCAAGTCCTTGTACCAGAGCCAGAGGGACGATCGATGGTCTCAATCAGGGTCTTCTTTGTACATCTACATGACCCCTATCTTGTGCTATGGCATTTATCTTCCTTCCCCGCACTATCCTGGAGATTTTGTGACAGATCATGGTGGAGCGGATGTCGCACCTAGAAGAGCCATGATCAAGATGGTCTTGCAGCTGAATGCGATGCGACAGGACCTGTCTACGTCAGTTTTTCGATCTACCTACCCAACAGGATCGAAAAGCACAGCGCAAGATTATGATGATTTAATTGACAGAGGCTAGAAAAATGCGACATTCGGCTCTGTAAATTGCAGGATCACAAATGGGCAAGTGATCCAATGCATGCTTTTGTGTCTCCAAAGCCCGACATCTTTCTTGCCCTCCTTTCTGAGCAACTTGACGTTGTCTAGAAACATCTGTACTCTGTCTAGCTCCATAATCCGACCTGGAGGCGTGATTGTCCAGCTTCGTTCTGGTCGCAACGCCTTTTCCCCAACGCTCTGCCGGGAGAAAGGCCAGGGTACCAACAGGAGCAAGTCTGAGCCTGCATTGCTCATTTGGAACATGGTATGACATTGCGAAACAAGGCTAAGAGCCCAGCGATGACTGATTTGGATCACGGAATAGGTCTAAACCATCATCACAGACCGACCCGAACTCGTCACAAACATTGATGCTACTTATCTGTTAGCTGACGCGGGGCCAAGCCACTATCTAAATCAACCGGACCAATGGCATCACTGCAATTTATCTCAAAGGTAGTTTAGCGAGGTTTGGGGATAAAGCTTTAAGAGACATTCGACGAGTTAGCCGACGGCCGACAATACCGACAATACCGACGCTACCGACAACAGCGACAACAACGAAAGCAAAGATCAAATCCCAAATTTACTGAAGCTAGGGATGAAGACGAAGAATGGCGCGGCACATGCAATGCGTGCCTTAATCAGCAAGAAAATACGTATTGGACAATGCTGCAGAGCTTGTCACGAATGTCAGGGATATGTTTGTTTCTTTATTAGAGTCTTGAGAGAACAGCAATAGGTACATGAACCTTTGCTACAGTCCATCAGTCCAGACACTTCAATACAGTAACATTCGGTGATATGGCTACTCAAGCAGAAAAACCGGCATTTGTTCGCTTCCCAAGCAGGAGAAGTACGGTATACAGCACCAAGGGCATGGTGGCATGTTCACAACCTTTGGCAGCTGAGGCAGGACAAAGAATTCTGAAGATGGGCGGGAATGCAGCCGTAAGTACCATCCATCCCTCAAAGTACGGCTTTGGTGACTAACTCCAGGTTTAGGATGCTGCCGTTGCTGTTGGTAAGTATCCGGCGGCTCTGATCTTCAAGCCGCAACGACTGAATGATGATGATAGCCGCTGCTCTAAACGTAACCGAACCTGCGTCAACCGGATTGGGAGGAGATTCTTTCTGCCTCTATTTTGATGTCAACTCGAAAAAGGTGCATGCCCTCAACGGCTCCGGCCGGAGCGCTGTCAACAGTTCATTGGCTCAAATCAAAGAGGACCTCCGGAATGCTGGAGCCGGGGAGCCACGTAAGATCCCCTTCGATAGCCCTCATTCAGTCACGACCCCTGGGGCTGCAGCAGCATGGCTCGACTCTGTCGAAAGATTTGGCAGCGGCCGCTTGACATTATCGCAAATATTTGCCCCTGCCATCGAGCTTGCCGAGGACGGGTTCCCTGTTAGCGAGATATCAGCAAGAATGGTAAGCTGATGAATCCTGTAACAAACCTGCCAATTCCCGCTCTGACCTTGGTAGTGGCAAAACGCCGAAAAGGCATTGAAACTGGCATCTCCAAACTTCAAAGAGATTCTGATACACGACCCCAGCGCCGAACAGCAAGCACGGGCGCCACGAGCCGGGGAGCTCCTTAGAAACCCCAGCTTGGCCCAGACCCTCAGGACACTGGCAACTGAAGGCAAGCCGGGCTTCTATACTGGCCGAATTGCCCAAGCCATTGCTCATGTGACGCAGAGCAATGGTGGCAAACTCGACGTCTCAGACCTGGAAAGCCATCTCGAGCGAGGTACTGAGGAAACCAAGGCGATTTCACTCAAGTTTAATGGTTTTGGGTTCGGAGGAGGATCAACACAAGACTCAAGCGGTCGCAGCTATGTCGAACTCTGGGAACACCCCCCTAATGGTCAAGGTATTGTGGCACTGATGGCCCTTGGAATCCTTCAGGAGCTCGAGGCGTCAGGAAAACTAGCGCCCCTTGACCTTGGAGAACACAACAGTGCTAGATATCTTCATGCTGTTATCGAAGCCCTTCGGATCTCCTTCGCAGATGCTGCATGGTGGGTAACCGACCCCGAGCACAGCCCCATAAGCCCTGAAGACTTGGTTTCCCCGTCATATCTGGCGGAGCGAGCCAAGCTATTCGATCCTGAGAAAGCTGGAAGCTTTACCAACGGTCACCCTGGTCCGTCCCCAGCCCAGAACCACAGTGACACAGTCTACTTTGCAGTCACCGACAAGGATGGCAACGGAATGAGCTTTATAAACTCAGTATTCCGCGAGTTTGGTTCTCACATGATTCCACAGGGTTGCGGGTTCACATTGCAGAATCGTGGCGCAAACTTTGACCTTGGCCCGGATGACCACCCCAACATCTACAAAGGCGGAAAGAGGCCGTATCACACCATCAGCCCCGGACTTGTTACTCAAGGAGAAGGTGCTGATCGCCAGTTACACTCGGTCTTGGGAGTCATGGGTGGTCTCATGCAGCCGCAGGGACATGTCCAGGTGCTTCTCAATACAGAGGTTTTTGGCATGAGTCCTCAGGAGGCGATTGATGCACCAAGGTTCTGTATTGCAGCCGCACAGGGTGAAACAGTGTATATTGAAGATGGAATTGGCCCCGAAATTGTGCAGAGCTTGAAAGACATGGGCCATCAGATTGAAGTTCTCAAGGAATGGCAGCGGGTCTGGTTTGGCAGGGGGCAACTCATTAGGCACCGTCGTGATGCTGAGACTGGACAACGGATCTATGCGGCCGGGAGTGACGGGAGAGGGGATGGTATGGCCATTCCTGCTTGACATGTTCTGATATAGAGGATGATAATAACGCCTGTCACCTGTTGTGAATGTTGGAAGTGATGCCGCTTTTATTCGTGTGAGACTTCGTGTGAGACTTCATTACGGTAGTGCGAACTTATCCTCAAAAGAACACGAGGTAACTAACACAACATGCATGGTAGATAAGTAGTAGATAAGCGTATTTAAACTGCTATCTACCCTACAAACACAATCGCAAAGTATTTGATTCGACCAGCTCAGTAGTTCCCACCTTCACTTTCACCTCTGTCTGGTATCGTTACGTACCGCAGCCCGTCTAACCGCAGATACTAAACCACCGTTACTTGGTTTTTGTCGTCCATTTACGTCTACCACTACCTCGATTTTAAGGCTGTAGATACTAACATCACTAATGCCGTATCTAGCCCTCACCTCACGATATGCACGATTGAACGGTATGGGGTCAAAAAACACAAAATGCTTCCAATGGACAATTCGATGCTCAATTACAGACTATGTGATCTTCAAGACTCTGTATCCTCACTGACTGCCGCTGTCGACTTTGAAAGTGTTAACCATAACTTCCAGTCAGGACCCATGAAGACGGAAATGATATGTTGTGACAACGCTCCAGCGTCTGGGATAACCATACTAATATCTTTGCTGTATCTTATTAGCCCCCTTTATATAAGTAATACTACTATAGCTACGGCTAAAGCAAGCTGCAGCTGAGTTGCACTCTAACGAATTGTTGTTCTATTATAAAGACCAAGATCAGCGGCCTGAAGGGCTGAGTGTAGGGTAGGGAGCTGTGAGCAGAGATCGCACGCACTTGGTCGTGGAAAGCAGAGCCACAGAACACGAAGTACCTCCCTCACCTCTGACTCGTAAAAGAAAAACCATAGAACCAGGATTGATTCAAATCTTGACTGGAATCTCATTGATTTTGTTTTCCCTTCGCATGTTGCGCTGGTTCGTCAAGATGAAACCTCGACGCGCTGCCTTCCTAATTTAGTTAGTGTCGGAGTCGCAACAACAATATGCCGGGATCCCCGCCCTAGGTTTCTCGGCCAACCAATCTTTGCTGATCGACAATATCGACAACATCAACATCAACGACTCAACTGGATAGGCATTGGCATCGAGCGTTTCAATAGATACGCCGCGAATGGCATCTAAAATACATATAGTAATCTATTAGTGGCTAGAGGATCTTCCTTAGCTAGACCATTAATTTCTCATCGATAACCTCTAGCCGCCAGCTAAGAAGCAAAAGATCTATTACTAAAGCTTTTACCTCCTATCTCCTAATAAGTCGACTACCAGCTCTGCAGACAATATAAAACCGTTTGACCGCGCGTCTGTGGCCGAAAATATAACACTAGAAACGCCAGGAAAACGCAAAGCCAGCGACATAAAAACCCTCGATAACGACACCCCCCAGCTAATAAAGATCGCTTCCAACGCTAGCTCCATCCTAGATCTATCCTCGCAGAGCAGCTAGCAATCTAGCCGCTTATTACCCGTCAAGAACTTTCCTATCTAAGGCATCGGAACCCATAGTCTAACATCTTAGACATTAAATCCCAACCAGCGTAATATACCGCTAGCCTTATTAGACTTACTAGGCGAGATAGAGGATATTAGAATATACTATAGGGTTATCCTGGCTTACCTCTAGGTTCATAGTATTTATATATAATATATCCTATCGACTACTAAGTAGTCCATATAGCCAGAGATTAAAAAGCGATTATCCAATAATAAATCACTATAGCGGCTTTATCCATTTACATATATTACATTAAGTAACTCCAATATCAAGACTCAGGACCCGGCCTTAGCATCCAGTCTTTTATCTACTATTAAAAGCATAATAAAATAGGCAGGATAATACTAGATATTGGGATTTAACGAGACGGGATAGAACCATCGAGTGCATACCTCTCTCCTTTACGCCGCTCTTAATAAGGAATAATGGCCAGGCAGTTCGCTAATAGAGTACTCCCCTTAGTGCATTTCTGTTCTTCTTATGGCTTCTTGTGCTAACACTGCCTAGCATAAATGCATCTATTATACCACGCCTCTATAAGTTCCCGATTCCTTCGACAAAGGTAGACTATATCTTACATATTAATCCCACTCTAGATCTCGATATAGCTACCCATATCGCCGTCCAGCGACTCTAAGACAGCATTATAGAAAACTCTATTAACTATATGGCACTTGATCCCCTCCGTTCCTTTCCTATATATCTTAGTATTAAAACTAAGAAATATAGCGGAGACCTTAGGAAGGCTAACCTATAATTATGTTTATAGCAAGCCGCGCAGTGGACTCTACTCATAGGCCAGGCAGGCAATACTATTAATATATTACCTTTTCTTCCCGGCATTATTGTGCAGGGATACAAGTAGAAGTTTATTGCGACGACGAGAACAAACAAAGAGACAATAAGTGGCTTACTATAATGGTTATTACTTATAATATAAACTAATATTAGGATAGACGCTTTAGGCTAGTACTTCATTTAGCTCAACCATGATATCGCTTGGCGTATTATAGATCATAGCAGGACTAAGTAGGCTTAGGAGATGGTTGACAGAGGTATTTTGGCTATGGTATAAGTACTATGTCCTTCATATAACATGATAATTCAACAATGAGAGAATTGAATTGCCTGGTTAGGCGATAAACGTGCATGTTCAATTTCACTATCGTCCCGACATTTCTATGGGTTGGAACCCTATTTTATCGGATGGGCTTTGTCAGGTCTATACAGCCTGCACTGTCTGAGTCGTGGCCTGCACTTTTGCGATGCTTGTGGGTGTCTGATCCGTTGTCGCTGTTTAAAACTTGGACAGTTTGACGAGGCCTTGATATATGGAGCAGTAGATGTCGTTAGGCGCTTTCTATCTAAATACTAAGCAAGCCTTGTAACAATGAAACCTTGCAGCGTATTGCGATTGCATCGCATAGTTAATTGAAGTATAGCTAGGGTCGCGTAGGCCAGTCTTTCGTTGTCATAAAGGCATATTTATCCCCAAGCCAGCGTCAATGTGCGATGTTGCAAGCTTCACGTAGCATTTTGCAAAGATTTACGGCTAGAATCGGTGGTAGCAACGCGAAGACTCGAACAGTTCAGACTGTGCATAAAGTCGAGCCCGTGACTTAGAGCCAAGAAATCACGAGCTACGACAATTTTACTGATGTACAAGCAAACGCTATTATAATGGTTCCTCCCGCTCATTTCGTGGACGTTATTATTGTCGGTGCTGGCCTCAGCGGCCTTCGTGCAGCGACTGAGCTACATTCAGCTGGACTCTCGTGTATTGTCCCCGAAGCAGAGGATCGGGTTGGACGACGGAACCGGTTTGGTCGACATGGGGACTGTCTGGGTCAACGATAGAAATTAGTGTGAGATATTTGCCTATAGTTTACGATCTTCTGGCCTAGTTCCCATCAAGGGCCGGGCTGCAACTATAATAAAGAACAGATTATCAACTCATCATAACATCATGACCCGATGTTAACACAGTGGTTGCCTATAGTTTACAGATGAGCAACTCAAAGACGCCGCCCAAGCTCTCATTGCCAAGATATCGGAGTATGTCGACCGATCTGAGCTTGAGAACTTTCATCTTGGCCCTGATGCGAAGCGCCTCGACTCTTTGACCGCCTTGGAGTTCGCTAAGGAAGAATTCGGGATTGATCTCTCTGAGATACTAGCCACTACCTTGACTAGGTAGCTTTTTGGTGTGGATACGGACGGAGGTGATCACATCGCTGGGCAGACGGACATATAGGCTTTGGCTTGACTATTGCTGACTTTGTATTGAGGTTTATGTTATATCCCTGATGTGTATCTTGCTAGACGGGCGAAATACGAAGAGACGATGGCGAACCCGAGGTAGAGAGGGGCTGTTGACACTTCGGCACTGGCAGAGCTGGGCATCTGTACGTCGGCGGGCATTTTTGGGGCATTCCTGGGAGACCAGAGACTGCTAAGTGGGAGTGGGAGCCGTCCAAGGGGGTCGTCGGCGATGCGACGGAAGATTATTTTGCTGATAGTGACACGGGTACTGGTGCATAGTAAAAATATATTCTTAAGCTCCTTCGTCTGGGTTTAAAAAATCCAACTGTTCCCATAAATGCAAGTTAGATATTACCGACTCGAAAGCAAACTCAGTCATCTGACACGTATCGTTCCTAGTGCACAAGTTTAGATTTGAACAACTCTGATCTCATTGTTACACGAACTCACCCTGGGTGGATATCCTCAAGGACTTTGTTGAAGCACTCATTCGCATAGGACTGTAACTTCCCAGGGAATAATTGTAGAAGGCCTTGCATGCATTTTATCTTTCTTTGGAGATCGGGACATGACGGGTTGTTGATGATTCGCAGCAGCAAGATGAGGGATGTTGAGAGAATGTGATGAGAATCGAACCAAAGCGAGTCTGTAAGGAGATTTCTCGCCTGCATGTCTCGAAGTGTTGTGAGGGCACCATCGTTGTTATCCTCACAAACCTTGACATGACGGCTGGTCGTGTGGTTCTCGACAGTGGAGTCGAGCAGAAAAGGCCGAGTAATTAGGACTAGGATATAGTAATATCTTAGTCGAAGATAGAGTGTTGCTCGTGCAAAGGATTCCGATATTACTGCTGCTTTGGTCAAGTGTGCTGGTAAGCTAGCCCACCAGGCGTCTAGTTCCTGGAGGAGAAAATCTACATCTTCCTCTCTGCACTGCTGCTTCAGGAAAATGCGGTTCATCGCTTGAGAGAGAAACTGGGCCAAGCGAGCTGAAGCTATTGCATACATGGGCGGAGTTGAGGTGCCCATAATAAAACCCTGTACTGTATCAGCCTCATAAAATCGTGCAAGTACGAGAGCTGTCCTTACATCGGAGGGAGATGGGACGGTCTTGGCATCCACAGACCGGTCAGAAGATCGCCCGAGGATGGATGAGCTCCACTGGTCCAATTCGAATAATGACCACCACAATCTTTTCTTTTGTTCTGCAACCATCAGGCTGTCGTCATCCGTCCCGATGTGCATACCGAGCGACCGGGCAATCCTGACTGCGCTGCCTAGAACAACCCAGGCGGTGTGCCGTTGATTATGCTTCTGCCGGTACAAAGCCTATATTTCATCAGCCAGATCCATCGCAGTTGAACTTGTCCCGGACCATTAGCATCATAGCCTGAACACTTTCCAGGCTACTCTCTTCAATCACACTTTCCATCTGCATGCGAGCAAGCTCAAAACTTTCCAAAGAGCCATTCATGAGAGCCACTACGAGCTGAATGGTGACCTGAACGGAAGGCGGTGTATCTCTCCCACTATACGCCGTCTCAACAGCGTTGAAGAAGCTCTCGGGGCTGAGAATGTAGACCACGCTGTTGATGTGGTTGAAGAATCTCACACCACACTGCTCGCATGTTCTTCTGTCGGGTAGTGCAATGGCTGGAATTCCACAAGGGGGGTCACCGTCGCGCAGATCAAATGTATGGTCTCGCTGTAGCATTGCCAGCCTAGGAAACCTGTCTGCGATGTACGAACTGATGTTGCATTGTATCACGGTATAGCTTGAAGCACCAACAAAACCTGCCGTGTATTCAGTACTGAAGCCTGCTTCTGCTGTGGGAAATACCTACGGCGCTGACATGTGGCATCTGAAATGAAGGCACCGTCGAGACTGCCTTCAGACGCAGAGGGCGATGGGTCATCGGTTGCACTGGCGGTCTGTGGGGCCTCGATGGGCATTGAGATAGAGTGTGGAGGTGAGGCTTCCTGCATCGGGCGGGGATTCAACGAGCCCCTTGGTGCACTTTTCAGTGTAGAGACATATTGTCGTAGCTCTTCTACACTTAGTGAGGTATCCGGTGAGAAGTGTCGAACAATTGTAGCCATCAACTCGAACCGCTCCTTGGAGGTGTGGTAGTAAGGTCGTGCTACAACCTCGTCCGTGACGACACAGTCTAAGCCTAGGCGTTCGCATCTCCCACATGCTCTCGATGATGATTTGTCGCACTTGAGTGGTCAGTGAGGATAGCAGAGCAGATGTCATGGAGAAAGAAAGAGCAGAATGGAAAGGGCGGGCTGGAAGATTCATGATTCAACTTACCCTGATCTTGCGGCGTCTGCAATTAACGCAACTAGAGGGTAGCCGACGGCCCTTGGCGCTTGTGCTCATGCTCATGGCTCTGTGGGGGCCAATGTACGATAGAGAGGAGAGAATCAGGTAATTTGGCGGGGCTGGAGAAGGTAAGTTGTTGGCTTTGTGGTCAACTTGCCACTGAGGACTGAAAACGATGGCGATGGCGATGGTGTTGGTGTTGGTGTTGGCGTCGGTGATGCCGGGAGGAAAAGCTGGGGCACAATACATCAGCCGGGGTTCAGGGGAGTTTCCCCGCATCTTTGCTAAAGCCCCGTCCGTGCATTAATGCGGGGGAGGCTTATTAGCAAAGGCAATATAATCATGCTCATTGGATGGCCGGAAATAAACGAAACAGAGGCTGAGCGGTGACCGTCAGACGCGCGCTTCAAGTCCCAGTCACCACGGAGCGGAGCGGATCGCGGCGACCGCACTTGTGGGCCCCGGGCTCCTGGTTCCTCATCGACGACGACCATGACATTCATTTGGATAATCAACTCTCTAGGTGAATAAGTAAGTGCCAAATCTACGCGAAATGAGACCTACCTGCCACTCACAGTACAACCGCGTCTCGAAATTACATTTTTGGCCATGTCGTCTCTCGAATCTACCCTGGACGTTCACCTTCCAGGCCAGAAGTTTCTTGTCCTCATTTTCGCTGCCTTGTGTCTTGTATGTTCTCAGCTCCCTATACATCTATCTTCATGCCAGACTAACTTGACTCTCTTAGCCGGTCGTTTACAATGTCTTGTTCCATCCCCTCGCGCAGATCCCGGGCCCATTCCTCGCCAAGCTTTCTGATTTATGGCACGCATACCACTTGTCAACTGGCACTCGTCACATTCTGCTCTGTGACCTCCACGACAGATATGGTTGGTGCAACGTGTACGCTCCGATGTGTTGCCAATGAGGACTAAACTCTTCGATAGGTCCGCTTGTCCGGATCGGACCAAACACAGTCTCCGTCAACACGAATGAAGGACTGCAGAAAATCTTCTCGGCAACTTCACCGATCGACAAATCTCCATTCTACCAGGCCTTTGCGCCGGGCTTCCATAGTAGTTTTGCCGCTGTTGGCGATGCCTTTAGGGAGAAGAAATCGATACTCTCTCATGCATTCGCGCAAAAAAAGCTCGACGCCATGGAAGTGACATTCATGATACACATCAAGAAGCTTTGCGAGGTCATGAAATCGCAAAAGGCAGTGGAACTTGACGAATGCTTGTCGGCTTTGACCATTGACATCCTGTTAGATGTGTGCTTTGGCGAGACGTTTGATCTGTTGTCCAACCCTATAGAGAAGAGCAAAGTTAGTGGGGGATTGGTTTAAGCCTCAAAATTTGTCTCACTGGTAAGCAGCACGAATGATGCTCCTAGGGTTAAACAAATCAAGCTAACCTGACGCCAACTGTAGGAGGCAACTCTCTGGCGGTGGCCAGTATTGCAAAAGGCCATTCGAATATTGTCGAGCAAGTACACAACTCGCGACTACCCAGCGCAGGTAAGGTGCCCGCAAAGATACAATGCCGACATTGACTCACAACTGGCAGAGAGCTATCGGAGCAATGCTGAAGCAGAGACAGAACGCGTCGGGCAGAGAAGATATTTTCAACTACCTGCTAACCGCTGAGAAACCTGGGTCTGGTGAGCCGTTTCCAGACAGGGAATTGTTCGGTGAAGCAATCATTCTGTTTGTTGCAGGATCCGACACTACCTCGACCGCCCTTCTGACCACATTGTGGCATTTACTTCGCCATAAGCACACCTATGATAACGTGGTGAATGAAGTTAGATCAAGATTCAAGTCCATTGATGAGCTTACTTACAAGGAGGCTCAATACCTCCCTTATTTGAGAGCCGTCATCGAAGAAGGCTTGAGAATATTCCCACCAAACTCTGGATTTATACCACGACAAGTGGTTAGATCTGGTCGACCCTTCATCCTCCATGACATGGAATTCCCTGTCGGAGTAAGACATCGCTGACAAACGATCCGATGATATGGCACGATAGCTAATAGCCCGTCCAGACTGAGATAGGCGTGTCAAACATGTCCCTACACCGGAATCCGTTGTATTTCGAAAACCCAGACCAGTTCATCCCGGAACGCTGGACCGACGGAAGCAAAGCAAAGAGAGACAGGCCTGCATTCTCGCCATTTTCGAAAGGCCCACGATCGTGTCTAGGAAGGAAGTGAGTCATCCCCTTGGGCAAATAGCTGGATTTCGCTGAACCTCTTCGCGTAAAGCATGGCATACGTGGAAATGACTCTTGTCCTTGCCGCCCTCTTTTTAGAGCTAGACATGGAGTTCCAAGATCCGGCCACTGAAGCCAGAGACGGCTACAGGCCCACTGATTCGTTTGTGTTGGTACGGCCTAAAGTGAGAGTGCTTGCCACGCCAGGCAGAGGAAGTAGTGGTGGATAACAATTTTATAAGTCTTTCCTCCCTATGATGGTGCCGTGTATCAACGTAAGGTCTAGAGGACGGAGGGTTGCACTCGGTGGAAATAGAGGTTAGACAGATATACCACCTTAAGGACCACAGTATGATGGGGTTGAGCTCCTTGTCTTTGATGCTGCCACTATCACTGGCCATTTAGCCTTTCTTGATTGCCACCTAGAGTACATTCTGTATTAAATTTCCACGGTAGTCACGCTTCCACACCTTCATTGTTATAGACCTGATGCTAAGCTTTAAAGTCTTCATACATCCGTAAACCTCCAATACCATGTTGAGAATACGTGAGATGAAAATACCAAACCCTCGTATGGCTTGTAGTTCTCCCTCATTAGCTGCGTCATCGTTGGAAACCCTTCCAAAGAACTCGCCTTGGTGAGCTTTTTTTCATCAAACCATTGACTATCACATGTACAACATCGAAGTGATAAAAGATCGGCGGAGTTTAGTCCCTAGAACCCGGCCAACTACCGTCAGTGCCCGCACCGCGGTATCCGCATTCTCGCAAACACTCGGAGGCTGCGACGCCCCTTGCGTCACACAATGTCGGGACTGTGGGCCCTCGGTCTCCGCTCGATTCGGTCTCCGCTCTCTAAGGCCATTATACGTCTATAAGTCGTGCTAAATCGAGTGACCGAAGTCAACTCCTTTGCTAACAAGAGTGTTTTTTCCCGAAGAAAAGCAGTCGCACGATTTGTCACCAACAAACGAAAAACGTTGACGAACATGACCAACAAGACTGGACAGCCAGTTGAAGCCAAGCTCTTCATCAACGGACAGGTATGTGATCTCGCCGACGCTCCTTGCAGTTAGTAGTGGCTTATGAGAGAATCCCCAGCTGGTGGATGCATCAGACAAGAAAACGTTTCAACTTAAATCGCCCTGGACCAATGAAGTGGTGGCAAATGGTAAGATTGCACATCTTGTACCCTCCGAGCCGGCGTTGACACCACATCATAGTTGCTGAAGCCAGCATCAATGATACCAATGCAGCAGTGAGAGCAGCCGAGGCGGCGCAACCTGGATGGGCCAAGTTATCACCAAAGCAGCGCGGAGAACACTTGAAAAAGCTCGCAGGCCTACTTCGCGAACATGGTGATGAGCTGGCACGCTTAGAGGCCCTTTCCATGGGCCGGCCTATTGGCGGATATTCCGACCACTTGATTGCGGCCAATCGGTTTGAATATTACGCTGAAGCTGGATACACTATTCTAGGCAAGTCAAGTCTAAACACGCCAGGGTATTTGAACGTTACACTACGCCAACCATTCGGTGTCGTGGCGGCAATTATTCCATGGAACGTTCCGCTTGTTGCTTTTTCTGGAAAAGTTGGTCCAGCTCTGGCAGCAGGCAACACCGTTGTCTTGAAGAGTAGCGAGAAGGCGCCATTGACGGTGGGTTTCAAGCAGTCGCGGCCTGATCTCGTATGCTAATAGTTGGGGCTGGTTTAGTCTATTCGAGTTGCAGAGTATATCAACCAAGCTGGCTTTCCACCGGGCGTTGTAAATATCCTCTCGGGGCACGGCAATATCAGCGGCGCAACTCTGGCCTCCCACATGGACGTTCGGGCTCTCTCTTTCACGGGCTCTACACGCACAGGTCGGTTGATTCAGGAAGCCGCCGCCAAGTCCAATTTGAAAAGCTTGATCTTCGAACTGGGAGGGAAGTCCCCGGCAGTAATTTTCGAGGACGCAGACCTAGAGACAGCTGTCACTGCAACAGCACACAGCATTCAATGGAACAGTGGCCAAGTGTGCATGGCCAACTCGAGGATATATGTCCAACAGTCCATTGCACGAGTGTTCATTGCGTCATTCAAGGCGTCATTCGGGAAAATTCGTCTTGGTGACCCAATGGATCCAGCTACCAATCACGGCCCATTGGCTGATGCTACTCAAGCCGATACTGTAGCTCGGTACCTGGAAATGGGCAAGAAGAGTGGAAAACTGGTTCTGGGTGGCGATTTCGAGCCACAGACTTTCACCGTCAGGCCGACCATTTTCACGGACACGGACGAGGGCGCCAAGATCTTAACCGAGGAAGTATTCGGCCCCGTCGTCCACATCAACACTTTTGATACAGAGGAGGAAGCCTTGGAAAAGGCTAATGCGAGCGAGTACGGATTATATGCCGCAGTGTATACGAGAGATTTTGGCCGGGCTTTGCGATTCGCCATAGGCCTTGAATCGGGCACAGTTGGAGTAAACTGCACCTCTCCTGCTACAGGATTTGATATGCCTTTTGGCGGGTATAAGGCAAGCGGGGTCGGTCGTGAAGGAATCAGAGAGAGCTTGGATGCGTTCCTTGAAAAGAAAACAGTGTTGCTCAAGATTGATTAGGCAAAATGTAACTGTACACGATTCATGCCCTTTGAAACGTATTGGCAATAAAACCTTGATTAGTTATAACTATGACTTCCTGACACCTCTCTGAATCTTTCAGCCCCTGATATTATATCGACTGGATCGTTTTACCCGTTGAAGTGCAGAGAGGAGAAATAACCGAGTCCTCAGCTATGCCTTCGTGAGGAGCTATTTTCGTGCTGAATCGCCGGGAGTCTCGTGATGCCAAGTTGCGCAGCTTTGATTCGTACCTCTTCGCGTCATTATTACTCAACCAGGGATTTGGACTTACCCGTTGGGCCATGAGCAGAAAGATCCGAGAGACGGTTACAGTAAGGTGGAGGCTCGCGGAGACCGCCTAGTCCCCACAGCGGCCAAGCTTGGCAGAGCGCGGAGGCCGAGATCTAACTCGTGTACAGTGTCTGTCAATGGATACTGGGGTTGGAAGCTCTTATTAAATGCGGCTCAGATGTCAGGGTTCTGTATGTTGACACGCCTTAACGGTTAATACTGATTTTATCCTTCCATGTTGGAGTCTTCCTTTCGATATTAACGAGTCATCTCATACCATGCCCGGTTCTACGATCCCCAAGATAGCACTGGAGGAGGCTTTCACTCTTCCAGAGCTTGCAAACAATAGCAACGGCTTTACTGGGCCCAATGGAGGACAAGACCTGGTCCAAGATCTTCTTGATATTCAAGTTCGACGATTGGAAAGGATGAAGGCCAGCGGTGTTTCTTTCATGATCTTATCGCTCACATCCCCTGGTCCACAGGATGAGGCGGACCCAGAAAAGGCTCTAGCCCTAGCGAGGCGAGCGAACGACTATCTCGCCGGTGAGATCCAAAAGAACCCTTCATGCTTTGCCGGACTTGCAGCTCTTAGCATGCATGACCCGAAGACTGCCGCGATTGAAGCTCGACGAGCGATCAAAAGCCTTGGCCTAGTCGGCATCCTCGTCAATGACTTCCAGACGGTCAGTGCTGACGGGAAACAAATCGTCTTCTATGATCAACCAGAATGGGATGTGTTTTGGAAAGAAATCACAGAACTCGACGTCCCCGTTTACATCCACCCTCGTCTCACCACGCCGGACGTATCAAAAAGGTTTCTGGCTGGCAGGCCTGGTCTACGAGGGAGCGCTTACTTCTTCGCCGTCGGTAAGTGCAAATTATCTGGGCCTCCCATAGCGTACTTTGATTGCTTGACGAAATCCAGGAGTCTCCTTACATGTGCTGGGTCTCTATATCAATGGAGTATTCGAGCGCTTTCCAAACCTGCAGATCATTGTCGGACACATGGGTGAACATTTACTCATACAACTGTGGAGAATTGATCACAGATTCAGTTATAATACTGGTGTCTTGAAGCCAAAGACAGAAAAAACATTCAAGGAGGTAATGAAAACAGTACGCCTCACCACTTTTTCGCAATTGGCTGTGTTTCAAACTGCTAATGAAGTGAACAACAGAACATCTCAATCACTACTAGTGGGCATTATGGTACTCCTGCATTGCTTTATGCAATCCAGGAAATCGGGATACAAAGGCGAGTTGAGAAATCGAGAGTCATAGGGGAAGTCTAATGTGTCTGTAGGGTCATGTTCTCGATCGACTACCCATATGAAACCATGGAACAGGGCCCGAAATGGTTTGACGAGATTACGGACCTTTCACAAGAGCAAAAGGAACAGATTGCGTGGGGAAATGCGAAGAGACTGTTCAAATTGAACTGTGGAACTTAGATGGTAGCAAACAATGGGGATACTTTCCAACTCTAAGTGATGGCCGATTGACTTCTGAATGGTGACGGCGGATGAAGGAATGCCTGCATCTTTTGCTATTATGACTAATGGGTTTTTGCCGTCATTGCAGATAATAATAACAATAACGGCAAATGAAGCAGTAAAATCGAACTTTACAGTCCCCCCTCACACAAACGCGTACCGAAACACAATAGCCTCACGCGCCGTTGATTATTGGTAAGATCAACGCAGTGAATTCAACTCCTAATGTTAGATAGAGAAACAGAATTATAGGTATCTCTCCCTTTTGCCAGTCTCTTTGCAGAAGGCCGGCCAAGGTAGCAGAAAGTGTGATTCGCTACACTGTGGTGATTTCTCTGGTGATAAATCGCAAAACACACACCTGGATATATTATTCCTAATCTGATTGCCCTACTGTCTTATGCTAACGTTACAGCTTCCTTCAGGCCTTTCCATTCAAGACCAGAAAGTCTAGGGCCCTCCGTACGGCTGGCCACTCCGCATCGACGTGGGATAGTCCTGCATCAAATCCATGAGATTGATTCGGAACCAAAGAAAGCTCCGTTTTTACTCCATGGCTGCGCAGGTCCTCGAATGCCTTTTGACTGAATCTAGGGGGAACCATGGCATCCGCATCGCCGTGCAGAAAGAAGGTCGGAGGAAAGCCGGGTTTGAAAGCTTGTGCTGGGTCGACACTCTCGAAATCGCCGTCTGTGACGATGGCCTTGATCTGTGTCCCATTCTTTAGGGCAGTGAAAAGCCAGGCGTTGCGAGGAATAGAGAGGTCAGGTGCAGGCATGCCCCTTTTACGGGTTCCGCTTGTTGACGGGGCCGCCGTCTCCAAGGATGTGACTGTTGTCGTCAAGATGGGTTCTTGGTAGATTTTATCCAGGAAGGTCTGCTCAAAGGGTGGAATTCCGGCAAGGACAGGTAGTGGACTGTGCCAAAACTGATCACTCATGTACTTGACGCCGTAAAAGTCGAGGATCGCTCGTGGTGGCTTTGGAAGACCTCCCTGTTCACCAACAGTTAGTATTCTTTGCCACGTGTTTCAAAGCAGTTGGAGAGCTATTTGGTACCAGGTGTAGGGCCAATAGGCCGCCAGCCGACTGACCGAATGCAACAATCTTTTGTCCATCTACGGCAATACCCGCATCGTTGTTGAGCCTGGCGGGTAGATCCGACTTGCACCACGAAAAGGCGTCGACCGCGTCCTGTATGACATGGTGCAGGGGGACCTGTGGGCACAGGCGATAATCCGCCGACACAACAACGTAGTGCGCACCACAAAGGTAGTCGATTTCGACTTCGGGTATGAAGTGCCTGGAACCAATGACGAATCCTCCCCCGTGAAACGCTAAAGCTTGGAAATGTTAACCATGGAATGGGCCTGTCTACAGTTTCTATGCCTACCGATCCCATAGGGACTCTCATCCAAGGTGGATTTCCAGATTACCGTGGCCGCGACGCTAACGCCGTCGACTTCTTTGTAAACGTAGTCTCTTTTGAACATGGCGAAATCAATGATAGGTGAACGCTTCCGGCGGAACGTTGTCCCTGGGTGGTAAAAGAACAATGAGAAAGAAAGATGAGCGTTGAATGAAAGGTCGAATTGCCGAACAGTCTGACCGAGATAAAAGGGCGTCTAAAGTCGGCGAGTTGCCGAATAACTTACGCAACGCGGTGACCGCCAAAGCAAATGCAGGGCAGAGCGGTCTCCGCGCCCGCAACCCCAAAACTCGGGGACCGCATGGGCGGCGCCGAACAAGCTCCACGTCGTTGCATGTCTCAGTAACAGGAGGGTCATACGACGCGGTCCCCGTCTAGGCTACCTAATCAGTTCTGGGTCTGGTATGCGTTGCTCTATTTAAAACTAAATTATTTACGTGAGAGTTGGAACTAACCAAGCCAACGTCAGCCAAAGCACACGCCAACTCTCAGGACCATCTAACAACATGGACGGTATCGCCAGATCCGCCGATGCTCTCAAGGCTCAGCCCGAGGTAAACTTCCCGGGGACTCCCTTCTTTCAGGGCGCGGAAGCTCCTTGCCGCTTTGAAGCCGAAGTCTACAACTGCGTTGTGCGTGGAGAAATTCCAAAAGAAATTGACGGAACCTACTATCGCTGCATGCCCGATTGGTCGTGGGCTCCTCTGTACGAGGACGACGTCTTTATCAATGGTGATGGTGCCATTGACGCGATCCGAATCAAGGGAGGCCACGCCGACTTCAAGCAGAAGTATGTCAGAACTGCCAAGTTCTTGATCGAAAGGGCTGCGAGACAGTCTGTTTTTGGCAAATATCGAAACCGCTTTACCGACGATGCCCGCGTCAAGCACGAAGTTCATTCTACTGCGAACACGCACATCATCTACTTCGAGAATCAACTCCTGGCACTCAAGGAAGACTCGAAGCCCTATGCAATGGACCCGGACTCTCTTGACACCAAAGGTGAGTTGGCTCGCATCTGACCTACTAAACAACTCTCATATGATAAACTCTGCAGGGCTCTACGATTTTGGAGGCCAATACTCGGCTCCCACTTTCACCGCACATCCCAAGATTGATCCTGACAACGGTGAATTGATCACGATGGGTTACGAGGCCAAGGGTGATGCCACCAACGATGTTGCATACTACCTGTTTGACAAAGATGGCAAGAAGCTCGAGGAGTGCTGGATCAAGACCCCATATGTGGGAATGATGCACGATATGGCAGCCACTAAGAACTGGGTCGTTTTTGTCCTCATCCCCCTCGAGACCCAGCCAGTTGAGCTCCTACAGAAGGGTTCGAAGCACTTCGCTTGGTCCGAGGACAAGCCTCTTACTTTTGGTATCCTTCCGCGACGCAATCCGAAGCCAGAAGACGTTCGCTGGTTCCACTACGACAACGCCTTCTACGGGCACACAGGAAACGCATTCGAGGGCGACGATGGATGTGTTTATCTTGACGCCCCACTGACCTATCACAACAAAGTAAGTCCTCAGCTTGATGTTGGAAGAGTGGCCGTCGAACTTATGATACTAGTTCTGGTTCTTTGGTCCCCGAGGCGAGGACCCATTCACCCATCCCAGCGCCAAACCTAACAATGATGGACGCCCGGAAAGCCATTACGTGCGCTGGAAGTTGGACCCTAACGCATCTGACTTCCGTGTTGAGCCAACCGAACTCGTTAACCTGGATGGCGAGATGCCCAAGCTCGATGAGAGATTCGCCACCAAGAAGTACAACAAACTCTTTTTATGTGTTCACGATCCGAACGCCGAGCACAGTCCTGTTGGCGGAACCTACAACACTCTAGCCTGCGCAGACGTCAATACAGGTGAATACAAATACTGGTCTGCCGGTGAACATACCGCACTGCACGAGGTGGCATTTATCCCGAAATCGCCGGATGGTAAGTTTGGTTGACCAAAGGAAAGGGCATATGATGTTAACCAACGCTACAGCACCCGAAGGTGACGGGTATTTGATCACCATTGCCAACAGGCGCGACGTGAAGCTTTCCTGTATCCTCATTCTCGATGCCAACAGTGTCGAATCAGGCCCTGTGGCTATTATTGAGCTTCCTTTCCGCCTGCGCAACGGTATCCATGGAAGCTGGGTACCAGGATCTGATCTCCTAAGGGATGTGGACTTATGCGATATGTCTGGCGTGACTGACGAGATCCGAAAGAAGTTTGCTGGAACAACCGTCAAGCCAGCTCTGCTTTAGGTTGAGATAGGAAATTGGGCCAGCGCTGGGAACTGTATTCTGTTTACTGAGGGAACTGTCTCTACCAATCCATACACTTGCAAAAAGAAGGCCCGCGTCAAGCAAAGTATATCCTCTCTCTTCATACAGTAAGTTTTTGTAAACATTAGCTAGCGTATCTCGCTTCACGAGGTAGGAGAATGTTAATGTTGCCGCCTCATGTTGAGCGATTGCTGCGTTTGTCCTTTCCATGTATGTTTTCACAATGAGAATGCGTGTTTCGTCTCTGACCAGAGCACCGAATCACTCTCACGATACCCAGATACCTCCGACAGGCCTAGTTGCTGCCCTGAACCAATATTGGTGAGAAAGGACGCTAGTGAGATGGCAAAGCTATTTGCGAGATGTAGACGTTTGACGATCCCTCAGTCCAGGTCTTGAGTACACTACGCTGGAGATCCTTGGTAGCGAGGACGCCAAGGTTAATACTGGAGTGCGGATCATGTTGTCGCCACCTAGAGGCACCAACCGCATGACACCTGTATCACGAAGATCACCATCTATAACCCTAACCCTAAGTATTAAGGTTTTTCTTCATTCAAGACATCTTCATTAACAATAACCAGTCTTGATTGCGTGCCTCTCCTGGGGGGTTGACTACATCGCTGCCAATAGCGGAGCGTCAAGTTTTATGGGGCATTCAAGCGGGAGCAGGATTTCAGGGGGTAGCTATAGGGATATGGACGGAGACCGAACTTTGTGGAGACTGAGAGATGCTACTCGCACATTTGCCTTCATCATGCGGATACCGCAGCGGATACCGCACTTGTGACAGATGGATATGTTTTCACATGATTAAATACAAGACAGAATTTCCATTGCTGAGGTCCTTTTATAAATGGCAGTTCTCGATCATTGAAAACCTAATATCTGACTATCCCTCTATAACCTAGTAGAGTTTTCAACATGGCTATCCCAACGACATGCAGGGCAGCGGTGGTAGAGAATGAAGGTGCCGACTTTTCTATCAAGATTGACGATGTGAAAGTTCCGAAACCTGGTGAGTCTTGACAAAATTCCATGGCAATACGGCAACGCATCACAGAGGAGCTGACGTTTGCATCAAGGTCCCGGTGAGGTCCTTGTCCGGCTCAGAACAAGCGGGCTGTGCTATTCGGACCTGCACTACATGCTGAATGACACTGCTGCACCACGCATGAGCTCATTTGGCGTAACAACTGCTGGGCATGAAGGGTGCGGTGTAGTTGTGGAAGTTGGTCCTCAGGTGGACAACTTCAATATCGGAGACCGGGCGGGTGTTAAGCCCATTTGGAGCACCTGCGGCACCTGCGAGCTCTGTTTGGGAGACATGGAGACACATTGCCCAAAGAAGCTAAATACGGGCCTTGCAGTTACTGGAACCTTCCAGCATTACATCCTTGCCGATGCGAGACACGCCATCCCGATTCCGGATGGCATTCCGGACGACCTGGCTGCTACACTCATGTGTAGCGGTGCGACCGCCTATCGCTCTGTGAAGTCGGCCGATCTACCGCCTGGGTCAGACGTGGTTATCCTCGGAGGCGGTGGAGGAGTTGGCGTGCAGGTTGTCCAAATTGCGAAGGCCCTCGGATTTCGGCCGATAGTAGTAGACGTCGGAGACGCGAAGCGTGAACTGTCACTACGTATGGGAGCTGACAGCTTTGTCGACATCCAGAAGACGAACAACGCCATCGCAGAAGTTTTGCGATTGACCAACGGCGGTGCCCGTGGTGTTTTTGTTACAGCACCGCCAGCATACAATACTGCACTTGACTACGTAGGCAACCGGGTTGGGGCAGTTGTTATGTGTATTGGCTTACCAGCTACTGGCTCTGGCCATAACATCTTGGCGAACCCCAGCTCCCTGGTTTTGAAACATTTAACGATAAAGGGTTCATTAGTTGGGACCAGGGAGGACACGAACTCAGTATTGAAGCTGGCACAACGTGGCTTAATTAAAAAGAACTGTCAGGTGGTTGCTTTTAACAAGTTGCCACATATGGTAGGGTTAATGAAGGAAGGGAAAACTATGTATAAGATAGTAGTAGATTATGACCTTGAAATATAACATAGATACGATTAGTAGAATGTTTAAGTCTTTTTTTAGGACTAGGATTAAATGCGATTATATATTAATAGTTATTTCTTTTGCTATTATAGGTAATAATCTAATATAGAGTTATTATAAATAATAAATAATAAATATAATAAAAAAAAATATTTTATTTATATTAAAATCATATAATAAATAAGCTTTACTTACTTAAAGTCTTTAAGATAACAATATATATCAACTTTTATTTTAATTAAAACTTACTCAAGTTTAAATATATAAAAGTATATCAATGCTAGGGCTTAGGGTAGAAGAACTTCGAGCTGTTCCATATTCCCCCCCGGTCCATGTTGTCTCGCTGGGTCAGTGGTGCCGTCCGGAGTCGTCTTAATAATGACACGAATTGGAAGGCCGGCGACATCACCTGCCTGGGGGCCTATATTCTGACTGACTCGCCGGCATTGGCATCCAGCTCGTCCTGTTCTTTATGGCCAGTGATCAGTCACGTAATGAAATATTTAAAACTCATTTCAAATATATCTTCTGTAGGAAGACATGGCTGGTCTCTATTCATGCTTACAAAACAAGGGGCTGTCCGTTACTTCGTGGCCACTCTCGCAACAGTTGTTGCAGCCATGCCCAGTATTCAGCCTGTGCCCATCGGCGCAAGAGCTGCAAAGTACAAATAATCTGGTAAATCCCCTTTGAGCTCGATGTGTTTCCAAATGTCTTTTTCTGCCAAAAGATGGTCTTGTCCCCTTCACGCGTCGTTATAACAAGGTGCCAGTCATGCCCTTGAATGATAATGCCAGGCAGGAAGTCGGGCAGCTCGTAACTGGTCATGGGACTTGACTCGGGGTCAGTTACAACAGCCCCTGGTGGTTCTTGTCCTATTCTCGATAGCTCGTCGGATGCACGTTGTCTCAATTCCAAGAGCTCTCGCAGGAATTGCCAATGTGCGGCACTCCACACTTGCATCTGTAACCTCGCGTTTTCCCAGCCTTCGCCCGTCTTCTTAGTTTCGATGCTTACGGCAATAGGCCTATCAGAGAGGGAATTCAAGTTGGTGTGGTTGAATGCTCCCAGTGGCAAAACGTCCCTGAGGGCGTTGATGACTTGCGGTGCATCTGCGTGTTGTTTGTCGCAACTCGGATCGAGGTAGATGCAAAAGTCAACTTTCTTGGTGGCCGAAACAGGAGCATGGTACTCTTTGATCAAAGCCGCAGTAGTACTGAAGTCACAATGAGCAACGTGAAGATAGACATCTGAAACGAAAGGACTCACCTCAGCCTAAAATCAACTAGTTGGTCTACTCCGGGCCCTTGCAGAGGTCTCAAGGCTGCTTCGAGAACTCGATGGTGAACTTCAACATTCCAGTCCGCCTCTGGGCTGTTTCTGCTGTTGCAAAAAGCCGCTTGATGAAGGATCTTGTGGATGGTCTCGGGAGGAGGGGTGCAGCCAAGGTCCTTGCGCTGGTCTGAAAAGTATATATCACTGACGCCTCTTCGCCGAGTCCATTTGAAGTCGCTGTACGTATCGTCATCTAAGTGGTTGAGCAGCTCTCGTTGGGTAGTTGGAAGGATGCCGATCCCGGTCGAGACGAGGTCGATCTTGTCGAGCAAGTCCTCTAACAAGGGTGGCTGGTTGTGAAAGGCGCTCAGCTCTCGTGGGACAACGCCCTTGGCATTTCTCTCGAGAGCGGAAAGTTGTTTTGTTGGTGAAGAATAACCCGACCTCTCGGAGGCTTCGTACTGCGATTGTGTGGATGGGAGAGAGTAGCTGGACTCGCTCCTTGGAGCCTTGACCTTCCTGCCGGATGCCCGGGGTGTTTCTTCAGAGGCATCACCATGGTCATAGTGGCTATCGGGATGACTGCGCTTCCCAGGGCTCCCATGGCTACGAGCTGAGGCCATGCTGTGGGGGCTACTATCGCAACTCCGCGATGTCGCGGGGGTCAGAGGGTTTAACCGGCGTCGCTTTCGGCAAGGCTGGACGTCGTTGGGTTGATGAGTGGTGGCTGGTTCGCAAGTTGTTGCCGTCTCTTGTAGCCAAGCCTTGATCCTCTGGTCAAGCAACATTTCCTCTGTATCGGGTGATAGATAGGCCGGATCGTGACGTGCTGTTCGGTGTTCTATATCGTGTTGATGTTTTGATTGAGCTTGTTTAGGCCAACAGTGCCGTTGGCGGGGCAGTGACTGCTTTGTCAGCTTATAGTCTACTATGTGATTGGATAATTTTGTGAGGGCCAGAGCAAGGACCAATAAGGCCAACGTTTCAAGATTCCGGAAAAATAATGTTCCACATAATTGAGCGAAAAGGCAAGCTCTGGCAGTCCTGAATGTTGACAGGTGCTGAAATGAGGACAAACACTCAAGTTGACCTCGTTGAGCTGTCACTTTTGTTGGTCAGGTATAAACTCTGATTATGTGCTATCGCTCTTGTTTAGCAAGGAAGGCTCTCGTCCCCCCCTAAGGAAACGCCGAGGATAGTTGAGCCATTGTACGCAGTTTCAGGCACTCCCACTCTCTTGGGCATTTTATTTTGACGCTTTCAACCGACTTCTTGGCCTGCTGATGCCTGTCATTTGCGGCTGAAGTACTCTAGCAAGCTATTCTCTATGCTGGGACTTTGGCCATGTCGCTAGGTTTTACATACTCTGCATCAAGTGCCCGCTAGTAAGCATGTTGAGGGCAACCATCCATCTCGAGTTACCCGATATCAGCGGCATTTTCAGTTACTCATCCATCTCTCCAAAACTCAGGCCATGCGGATACTCGACCCGGTGAAGGTCGCATGCTACCAAGGTTCATATTTAGTAATTCTCAAGCCGTCAATCATTGCAATCGTATCAAATGGATTATATGTGTATAATTGAAGAGAGATAAAACTCAATTGTGAGAACCAAGGGTGAACCAAGAGGTATATTCCCCTTGTGCGTCTCTCTACCAAACAATCCACCTCACTCCACACTACGGGCTCCCTGAATTCCGAAGAGGAGATTCATACACCTCCAGTGCTACCCTAATATACATTGAACTCGATTGATTGTTCGAGAGGCTTCTTATGAATCATTACATCACATTTGGCGCATGGAGCAGGCTGGCGAGGGTTACGAGAGGCATGTCATGTTGCACAGTCAATTACATGAGGGAATATCATTGTTCCCATCATGTGCGATTTGCTGCCTTCATCCTTCTTTTCTCATTTTCCCATGCTCAGTGACTGTTCTTGTGTGACTGCTGTCGTGAGTGTACCCAGCTACATCATAGAAGACGGCACGAGTTCCCCTCTGGCCCGTGGCGAAGTCTGAGCCTTTGGCTCATTCGGGCCGGCTGATGTTTGCTGCGTGTCTCGGAGTTGTTTAACCCTGTGGTAGTAGTAAGCAGTCGGATAAGCCGCTGCTACTGCATGGCATATGTGTTCTAAGTAACTCGTAGTAATTCAAGCCACACGGTAGTCTTTTCGGGGTTTCCGGATAGCCAGGGTGTTGCCCGGTTCGTCATACAAATGCATTCGGCTTCAGAGGCGGCTTAATAACAGCAGGCTTGAGACGAGTGTGAATTTGAGCATTTTCTCTTTCCCTTGTCTCAGCGCCATGCCTTAACATCCTAGTCGTGCCGGGTTTTGGTCGCTGATTGATAGCGCTCCGCCTAACTGGGCACGCACGACTGCGCCCCTTAGCGTGTGATTGCTGGGCTGGGTCCAGGAAACATGGCTGTGGCAGAGATTGTAACCACTGTAATCTTGGCGATAGCATCGGGTTGATAAGAATGCTGGTACGGAGCGGAGCGGGTGTGGTGGGAAAGCTGTTGATCAAGGACTCCAGACGAGGTGGCGGGCCGAGATCCGTCCGTCGAGCCGGGAATTGAGAGCCCTTGAGGAAATCGGCTGTGGAGGATTCGAGCCCCCCAACCAGGGGACTATCCGCTAGTTTGGCGAGGCGAATTCAGGATGGGTCTAGAAAAATAAGACAGTTCCCCCACCTGAATCGCGGCAACTGCACTTTGCCTACACCACCTAGGGATTATCTTGTCTTTTCAGACTTTGTTTATACTATCTAATCATGACTCAGCCATTCTCACCAGATGCCAAGGGCCACCAGTCGACCAAAGAGATGGACAACATCGAGGCTGGCATTGGCAACTCGGCCAACAACGACGTGGCCGAGGGCAAGGTCCAAGACATTATTCTCGACACAATCAACGCCGCCGACGGCCAGTATACTGAGGCCGACTACAAGAGGGTCCTTTGGAAAATCGATTTGTTCTCCTGCCCCTGATGTGGCTCTGCTATGGCACCCAGCAGGCGGACAAGACGTCCATCTCCACTCAGGCAACCTTCGGCATGCGGGAGGACACTGGGTTAGTCGGTCAGCAATTCTCATGTGAGTGATGCCTGGAACCGCATATCAGTCCCTGCCTGCTGCGTGTGGCGGGTTGCCGAGACTGACTTGTCAAATTTCAGGGTTAAGCACCATCTTTTACATCATGTATCTTGTCGGCGAAGCTCCCGGAAACTACCTGATGCAATGCTTCAGCCTCAACAAGACTTTGTTCATATGCATGCTCTGCTGGGGAGTCTTTGTTCTCTGTATTGGCTTCACGCATAGTTTCGCCCAGCTCATGGCGCTCCGAGCCCTTCAGGGCCTCTTCGAGTGCACCATCTCCCCAGCCTTCCTCCTCATTACGGCCTCCTTCTACGTCAGCCGGGAGCACACGATGCGATCCATCATCTGGGGCACTTCGAACAGCGGAATGGACATCCTCACACAGCTCGTCATGTATGGAATTGGGAAGGCTGCCCAGGCAAGCCCCAGCAGCTTTGGTCCGTGGCGATACATCAGCATTTTCTTGGGTTCTTGGACCATCATCATGTCCTTCTGCTCGCTTCTAGTGTTGGGAACGCCCAATGAAGTTCGCTGGCTATCAAACGAGGAGAAGCGCATCGCAGCCGCCAGAGTCGTCAGCAACCAGACTGGTACCAGCAGAGAGCAGCAGAAAGAGTGATCACGTTCAAGGATCCACAGACCTACTTCTTCTTCTTTACTGTCATCGTCAACTCCCTCCCGAACGGCGGAACCACAGCCTTTGGTAACTTGGTCTATGTGTCCTTTGGCTTTACCAACCTCGAGACCCTCGTCAAGGGCACCATTCCTCAGAATATCGTCACCATTGCTTGGTTTCTGTGTGTTGGCTTCCTGACACTGAAGAGGCCGAATCTCCGCTGTGAGCGCTACGATTTTTCTTCTTTTCAAGTTGGCCTGTACATGATAAACTGACATGAATGTGTAGTTATCCTTATGGTCGTCTCGACTATTCCCGCCTTTGTCGGCATGCTGGCCTTGGGACTACTGCCCAAGGATGGCATGTTGTGGACTCGATGGGGTCTCTATCTCATGACTGTGACTGGACGCTTGCCTGGTCTTTTGATCTGGACCTTGCTCCCGTCCAACGTAGCCGGCAGAACCAAGAAGTCGGTGACTGGAGCCGTCATGTTTATTGCGTACTGTATTGGCAACGCCATTGGTGTCCAGACCTTCCAAGCCAAGTGGGCGCCCCGATACGTCCCCTCCATGATCATCTGTGGAGTCATGTATGCTTTGGAGTGCATATTGTTCATTTTGTGGAGGTTCTACTGTGAGTGCCCTAGACCAGCAGATTCCGCCGCGTTTCCTGACAAATGAATGAACAGATATTGTGCAGAACCGTCGCAGGGCTAAGCTGGTTGAAGACATGGGGTTGACACCGGAAGAGTCTGCACACCAGGGACAAATCAACGGAGAAATGGACGTGACAGACTGGGAGAATATCCATTTCAGGTACAGCATGTAAGAGAGAGACAGTGAAAGGGTCGATACGGAGAACTGAGGATCAGAACCTCGAGGTAGGGCTACTCCTGGTTAAGGTGCCGGGCTGTGTAGAATGGGCAGGGTGGATATTAGTTCAACAATCATTCAAGTGCGGCGCGTCGTGACGAGACTGCCAACCTTTTTGTGGAAATTGATCGTAATAGAAATGTTGTAGGTTAAAAAGAACGGCAGTATCACTACGACGTCTCAGACGTTTATGAAGTCCCTGAAACTTTCCACTGGGCCCCTACCTGATCAAGGTCCTCACTTCACTTCCATCTTGAGAGTAAGTGACGTAGTTATAAGGCCTTTGAAACAATGTTGAATTTACATCTGTGTCTTTCCCGTTTTGATTGATGAACTCTCGTCTCTGCGGGATAAAGTGATAAAAAAAAGATTAAAAAAAAAGGGTTTAATACGCTAGAGGTCCTTGCAAACTGCGAAGAACAGCAGTTCAGCCCCTAGCCTTTACAAGGATTTTGACTGAGAGGGGATAAGAAGACGGTGGTCTTGGTCTCCGGAAAGGAATTCAGACATGGGCTTCCCATCCATGACTCGATCGTTGTTCTTGTTCATAGTCAGACTGACTCAACTGCTTTCGTATCTTTATCTTGGTCAAAGGATTCAAGGAAGCAGTGGGCCGATGTTACGCGAGATAAGGGCATTCGGGGTAGATGGCAAATATTAGCGCCCATAACCTCCCCTTTAAACCTATCGCTGCCCAGCGGTTGGTTCTCTTCTAACGCGAGAGCTTGCCGGCACCCGACCGCCCGCAGAGGCGACAGGGTTTCAGGATGCCGGAGGAGATCCGACCGCCACATCCGTGTCGACAACTCAGGCTTTCCGGATACCGGAAGAGATCCAGCCGTATCGGTATAAAATCATTTCGAGGTTTATGGTTGGCTACTCGACATCAATCAAGCTTGTATCTTCCTTGACGAGCTCCTCTCCATTATCATCATGACAGCTCAAGCAATCCGCGCCGCCCGTGTGCTTCCCAGCAGTTCGTCGCAGCTGATCCAGGACGGAGTTGTCCTTATCCAAGATGGCCGGATCAAGCTGGTCGGGAATTGGGCTACTCTGGAAAAGGAACTTGAAGGTGTGCATGTTAGAGATTTGGGCGACGTCACTCTTATGCCCGGTTTGTTCGATTGCCATGTTGGTCACGCCTTTGCTGTCAGCCCCAGATTCACACACTCACAATGGTACGTAGGTCCATCTTCAGTTGGACCCCAGCGGGATAAACACTAGTACCGAGGTTTCAACTACAGATGAGGAGCTCATCCCATTGATGACAGTCAACGCCTCACGGCTGCTAGATGCGGGCGTCACCACGGCGCGCGACTTGGGATCTCGTGGAATGACGGCTATCCTTCTTCGAGACAAGATCAAGAAGGGCGAAGTCATTGGCCCTAGACTTCAGTGCGCAAACGCACCCCTTACCGTCGAGAAGGGTCATGCCCATGCCATGGGTGGTGTTTGTCGTGGTGTTGAAGGGGCACGTGCAGAAGTTCGGAAACGATACGCTGAAGGCGCGGACCTGATCAAGGTCATGGCGACTGGGGGTTTCATGACAGCAGGCTCTCATCCTTCTAAAGCCTGCTTCTCTCAAGAGGAAATGACTGCCATTGCTGATGAGGCGAGGCGACTTGGCATGCCAGTTACCACTCATGCCACGGGCACTGAAGGAATCGAGAGAGCAGCCGATGCAAGGTTCAGGTCAATAGAGCACTGCCTGGATCACGGAGAGTGGAAACGCAACATTTGACAACAGGGTGGCTCAGAAGTTGCTTGACAATAAGTTGGCTGTCTGTCCTACGGTTAATCTACCTCGCCTCAACTCCTGGATAGCTCTAACCTGATGGAGTAGATGAACACAGCCTGTGCTGAACACGACTACTTCTGTCCTTGGGATAAAAGAGAGGTTAATGTATCCAACCTCAAGTCCTTGCGTGATATGGGAATAAGGATAATGGTCGAAACAGACGCTGGCATCGGATTCTGCCCTTTCGAACGCTATGCCGATGGACTCACGGTTCTCGCAGATGCGGGTTATACGCCAAGGGAGATCATCGCGGCGGCGACTGACATGGCAGCCAAGGAATGTGGACTAAGCGAGGAGACTGGCAAGCTGGAACCTGGGTACGCTGCAGACCTAGCGGCCTTTTCTGGAAACCCGCTTCAGGACATTAGAGCCTTTGCAGAACCAAGATTCGTCATGGCAGGCGGAAGAGAGCACAAAGAACTTGGGCCAATCCCTCTGGTGGGTGATATTTCGGAGGCCAGGAACATGACGCTGCAGGTTCTTCGCCGGGGTGCGGGCTTGCAAACCGAAGCATAGTATAGTGGTAGATGATAAGTATGACCCATAGACTCTTCTATGCGCCATGGTCTCCTCTTCCACGCGTCATTATCAGACAATCTTCAAAGAGCGGGACCAATACCACGACCGCAGGCCAGCGAAAACTCAACATAGAGTCGAGACTCAACTTGCCCTTCGTGTGCGACCCCAGATTGTTAACATCTGCGGTTACCCTTCACTCTACAGTTTGATGCCACACGAGCTGACACTTCTTCCGGCGAAGTCTTCTGCAGAGATACCGCAGTCTAAAGACTTCTCGTTCACGATGTAAACTCTAGAGTGAATCAACGCTTCCAGTTTGATCAGAATTCTCTGCGTAAATCGGAATGCCGGGCCAACAACATGGTTGGCACTCTCGATGGCCTGTCGACTAGTCCTGTAACACTTTCAAGCACGCTCACGGCATGTATTCGTTCTCATTCTCTGGCGCCAATCCCCAGCTGCTGGGAAGTAGACGTCACTGTCGGATGGCGAACCGTAATAAGTCACCAAGCCAATGTCTGTGCTTGCTGCGTGAAAGGACGCTAGAGTTCCGGCCAAATGACGGACAAGTATTACCAGCCGACGGATGTCTCGGTGCAAAATCCCGTCTCGGCGCCTGGGAAACCGCAAGGTCCGTCTCGGCGTTTATGGGAGCGCAGAGTTCAATAGTGCAGCAAGAGTGGGAACAGATGGCCTTGACTCAACTGCTAGGCGAAGTAGAACGGTAGTGGGCGGCCCAATGGGCTGAGCCGGATCTTTATCCTTGCCTAAGAGGGAGCATTAATAATCCACGGCGTACGGCTGCAAACATGTAGGCTTGCCGCTGAATCCTCCTGTCAAGGACGTCCGTGTCCGTCGGGTCCCACGGACCGGCCTCCCTCTGAGTAACTCTTGGGCCATAACACGGGTCTCAGACTACAGGGAATTAATAATCAGAGTGAGGGTCTAACGATAGGGCCAAAGTTTAACGCCGACGGTGTTTGAGGCTTAATGGTGTGGAAGGGGTAGGCAACACGGTATAAGAGCTGAGGTACACCTAACCACCTCGTCTACCATCCTCGCTCTAAGACCCGTCCCCTTGATAATACGATGTCCATAGAAACCCTCCCTCAGAGATGGGTTGCTGCTTGGTCCGCCGACGATGCGGCCGCCTTTTCCCATCTGTTCGCCCCGAATGCTATCTACATCGATTACGGTTCCCAGCTGCATAGAACCCGAATGGACAACCACCACAAGTCATGGCGCAAAGCCAACCCCAATTTCACGGCGGTGCTTGACCCATCCACACCCATTTGGTGGGCCAAAGGCGATATTGTGGACGGAAAAGTCAGGACGAGCTGCGCGTTCAGGGTAATAATGAACGGAACTTTTAGGGGGTCCCTACCTCTGAAGCCGGCGACGGGAACGGACTGGCACATGGTAGCAATGGTCAGCATGGAGATCGAAGATGGTTTGATTGTGAGGCTGGGGGAATTCTACCGGGATTCCTTCGAGAAGGGTGTTCCCGAAGACGAGTTTCTTGGAGACGTGTAAGCCGCCAGTCGGCGGAACCCACGGGGACAAACCGCACTGGAAGTACTGCTACTTGGTTAGACTCCTATCTAACCCTAAACATCATGGAATTCAAATATGCTGAAGAGCTAAACATTGAACACTTTTGAATATTTACACTGGAGCCTAGATAGAAGAGCGATAATCATTATGGTTCTCTCTTAATGCATTCTTATAATTCTACTCTTGAGTACGAAGCACTTAGCTATATATAAAAGTCTTCCGATAGAAACAAACGAGATAGGGCTATGTTAGATAGAAAGTGTGTTTGGTCAAAGAAGGTAAGGTAGACCGGCTGCACCGAGAATATAACATATTACGATCGCGAGAAGGTGGTTCTCTTAATCTTGCCTCGCAACTCTGGCCGGGGCGTTTGCGTATCTCCTTCTATTTCGCTCTAAACAAGCCGCCTGTTTGATTGGTCTCCAGCTAGTAATTTACCAGATCTACTAACTTTCACTTTTTTCAAGATCTGGCTAGGAAGATTCATTTCTGGGACCAGCCAACCAATCTCGTCACCCACGTCCTCGACAACTCATCAATCAAGCGGGTCCTACATCTCATCGGCCGCATCGACAGCAGATGAATCTTGGACCCTACGTAATGTAAACTCATCTGCCCACCAGCAGCTGCGGGATGAGGCGACTAGCCTCGCTTACCCTAGTTATTCCTTTCTCCAAGCACCTACAATCCGTTCGATATTTGATCAGAATCGAGAAATCCTTATTGCGCAAGGATGCTTCACCCTTCCTCAGAGGCCGATTCTTGATGAATTTATTCGGCATTACTTTCTACACGTCCATCCTATGCTGCCTATGGTCAATGAAGCCGAGTTCTGGGCCGTATATGACGGCAAGCGCCCGCACAACGACACGGCCGGCAAAGTGCCCATGATAGTAATGCAAGCAATGTTGTTCGTCTGATCTCCTTTACGAGTGGACTAACGCCAACGAGTGAAAAAGATCTTGTATGACTTCAATTGCGAACCATCTCCGGTTGCCATTGCACAAGCTGCCATCCTCCTTTCACGCTCTCACCTCACACCGCTTGATCATACGGAATCGGCACGCGTGGGTTCCAGGTGGCTCAACATTGCCATCTTTCAGGCTAGGGAGGCCCAAACAGACCAGTACCAGTCGATTCCCGCTGTTGGATGCCAGCGGAGTGCAGGCCAAGTCTCGTCGAGGAATTGTCTCAAGCGCCTATGGTGGTCCTGCATCATTCGGGACCGTGTGATGCCCCTGACTTCCCGCCGGCGCATCAATATTGATTATTCGGACTTTGATTTTGGCTGCAGCCCTATGCTTGGACATTCAGACGTGGCTGAAGAGATACATTTGTCCAGGGTGTATACCCCAACAACCAACTCATTTCTGTCAGACATACTGGTGGAGCTGGTCAAACTCTACGTGGTACTGACGGATATTCTTGCAATGGTGTCGGCTCTCCAGCACAGCTCAAGGCCATTTTTTTCTCGGGTCGATGCCGTGATAGACAATATCAGGGAGTGCAAATCTGCCCTTCAACAGTGGCAGACCACCGCCCAGTGCCCAAAGACGAAACTGGACAGCCAAGAAGCTCAAGATGCTGCTCCCTCAGCTGCATCAAGAGATTCGCTCACCTTGTTCACGAGGGTGCTAGATTTATACTACTAGTCAGTTTCACCGCACACAAAGCGACCCAGTCGAGCCAACTCTAATATCCTTTTAGCTCGGCAATGACGACTCTTTGTCATTATGAGATGATGCATTATAATGCGGTAGCCACTTCTTTAGGACTTGACTCTAAAGACTAGACTCTTGATGAGAATGACAATCAGGTAGAGGAAGCACTGCGTCGGGTCACAGAGTGCCTGGAAGAATTGGTACGCCTGCGTCTTGCCCAGTGGCTGCCATTGAGCGTGTGAGCGACGCTCCGCGTATGCACCTCGATGAGGCAAATTTCTAACCAACACCCGCTATAGCATCGGCTGCACTGCCTTTCCTTTGGCCCTCCAAGCCCTAGACACCAAGTTGCGCCAGGATTCCTGGACCAGTTTGATTCCGAACTGCAGCACCATGCCGCCGGGTTGTGGCAGTCAACCCCAGATCGACGTTCTAGTTCAGGTTATCAAGGCGTGTAGGCCACGACACACGGCTGTTGAATGGGTAATTGAAGCTGTCAAGTGTAATGTCACAACAGCATATGAATGCTTTCGGGCGAGGCAAATCCGATCAGGAGACTCACAAACTTTGACAAGATGGACCCAGATTCTCCGCCTGAAACCCAGACAGTATCTGTGCCTGGTGACGGCGATGGACTTAGCTTCAGCAGAGGAAAACTACCGGGCAAAGGGGACTCCTACCAGCCTCGATGACATATTTCCGAATCCTGTTTTCATCGCAGGTATGCCGTTTACACCATGACTTGGCCTGCCCAGTGGTTCGGGACCGAAAGGCTTGACTTTTGTGCCCCTAGAGTCAGGAGATGGCAAACATGACGCGATCCTGGGCGCCCAACACGTGCCAGACGTTGATAGTATGGGGATACTTGGAGGCCTTGTATGTTTGAACCTGAATTCAGATGCGGCAGGGAGGCATACGCAGAAATCGGCTCAAACCCCGATGCTGGTAAGCACCAGAACCTCCCAGAGTGTCATGTCGAGATGTTGATGGACTGTTTATAAATTGCAACCAACAGAGAGATATTCGGGATGGTACCAGGATGGAATGCACATTGAAGGATCCCGGCTCAGAGATGGACCTGCACTGTACTAGGGCCCAGCAGAGAATTAGCGGAGTGCTGCGTCGGGGCCGAGAGGGGATTTATGTTGGTTATTGCATGGGAGATGACAAGGCATCCGCGTCGGGTCCGGATCGGAGTCTAACGCGTAACGTTAGCCTATTCCTAGGCCGGTCTGGGTCAGAGGAGGGGCACGCTACAGAGCTACAGTACTGTACGCCGGGACGCGACGCGCTTTCAAACAATCTTACGCGCCACGGCATAACATGGGTCATCCAGCGCGACTCAAACAGACCCCAGCTTCAAATTTACACGTGACCAATCACTAGCCACATAGCTATCGGGTAGGCTGGACATTTTTCATCTGGCATCGTTGAGTAATATTTAATATACATAAATCAATGCCTAAGCCATACATAAGTATTTCACAAGAGACAATAAGCAATTCTAATTTAAGGACCAAGTTCATCTCTTCCTTGATTTTCATATACTAGTGGCAGATCAAGCATCTATTTCTTTACATGTTGTTAGCAATTTACGGACAGATGTAGATTGTGGCGGAGTCAAGTTACCCCCTGTTGGTGATAAGAGCAATGGCCGAGAGTACCAAGTCTTCAAGGCCTGTGGAAACGAGGAATCCTGCAGCACCGCTGGAAGCAGAACATGGAAACGAGTAGATCTGATCATTAGCAGAACTTGCTAACTTGTCAATCTACCAGTGGTCGCTGACGACACTCCAATCCGCTCAGGACCGAGCGGCTGATTCACAACGGACGGCCCCGCAGCGGCCCTCACCGGATCCGTCACGCCGTTTACATTCGGCTTGGGAAGCATTAGAGCAGTCATTTCATCGTCACCTCTTAGACTATCAGGTGCTTGAAGGATAACACGAAGCGAGTAAATAGGGACCATGGGACTTAGTGGTGTGTCAAGCTTGCTCAAAGGCCTGGCATCATACCGGTCGTACAAGCCTTTTTGGCCGATGAAGTGGAGATGATTTGTTATGATGTATGAATTCTGGGCCAATCGTAACGCATCTACTCTGGAGGCGCCCAAGGATATGCCCTGTCAGACCATGTCTTGCCATCAGGCTGGCCAACAAACTCATCCCACGCGCGATTTATCTCGGTGAAGCAACATGGATGATGAGAAAAGCACAAGGTATGAGCTTCCATGATAGGCGGCCCCACGTTTTCTCTTATCAGTGCTGATTATTGGTCTCAGCGTCGTTTGGCTCCAGGGCCTACCAGCGATGAAACGGCTTCGCGGAGCTGTGATATTCCAGCATGAAAACGTCGTCAGAGAAAGTCTGGAACATGTTCTCGGTTATGAACTAAATCATCATTGCTCACCGGACTACACACCACTCGAACTGGCTATAGTGACCAACAATGCGACTATCATCAAACTGCTGCTCGAAAAAGACGGCATCGACTTGGACAATGCCAACGAGTCCGGCAGGACAGCCTTGTCAGTCGCTATAATGAGGGATTGTGCCAATGCCGTTAAACTACTTATTGAGAAAGACGGGATCGACTTGAGCTTGAAAAACATCTTGGGCTATACGCCACTTTCGTTCGCCGTCGAGAGAGGGCATGAAAGTACAGTCAAGCTCTTACTCGACAGGGATGATGTCGACTTGAACTCTAGAACCAATTCAGGCGATACACCACTTTCTCTTGCCGTGGAGAAAGGGCATGACAGTATAGCTGAGCTCTTACTAAATACAGACGGTGTCGACTTCAACTCCCGAGACAACTGGGGTTACACACCACTCTTGTGCGCCGCGAGGAAGGGGAATGGGCATTTGGTCGGGCCAATGATTGAAAAAGATGGTATAGACCTCCTCTCCAAGAGTTTGTTAGATGAGACGCCGCTCTCACTAGCTGTCGATGGGAGATTCGTGGATGTATCATTGCGGCTTGCGGCTGCTGAAATCAACCTCAACCCGAATAGATACCCGGGCCGATCGCTATTATCATGGGCCGCAGAAACTGGCAACACGAACTCGGTCAAGCTGATAATTCGACAACCCTCAACTGACCTGAACTCTGAAGACGAGGCCGGTCGGACACCGCTTTATCGAGCTGCTGAGAACGAGATCAGGGAGGTGACTGAATTACTCGCAAGCGAAGACAAAGTCACTTTGCATTCGGTGGTTCAAGAGAGGAATGGAAAACTGGCCGACTTTCTCTTGTCTTGTGGGTATGACGTTAACACAAGGGACCTCCAAGGGCAGACCCCGTTGCATCTCGCAGTATCCTTTCAAGACTTGGATATGGCTACACAACTTGTTTCCTGGAAAAAGACAAACATAAATGCCCAAGATCGCGACGGGACGACGCCTCTATGCCTCGCTGTCCGGAAAGGCGTCGTTGACGTTGCTGAGTTGCTGCTCAAGAAGGGGGCGAGTATGAGAGGTATCTTGGCTCATGACTGGAGGCAAGCGTACAGTAAGGACGACCCCAGGGCAGTGCTGTTGCTGTCGATGGGGGCGGCTGATGGGGACTGTGTGCGTCTAACCAACCCGGTATGGGATCAACTGCCGGCCAAGAGGGGGATAGCGAGGCGTCTATGGTGAGCCGATATAGGTTACCTGTCTGGAATCATGACTGACCGTCAAGAGTCTATTCGCCGATTACCAGAGTTGGTTGCTCTGCCTGACTTCCAGTCGGAATGAGTCTTATCCTGTCGGACCGGACTTCCCAATACTTATGACACCAAGAGACCGACCTAATTCTGGTCATAAATGTGCTATCGCTCTTCTGGTACCACTTCCGCACACGTTCACGATGCGAAAGGATGATTACGCTACTGGCTGGGAAACGTGGGGAGTTGCTTGGACGATGAGGAGGTATGGATCCTGCTGGATGACGGGGGATCTCTTCAGCACGTTGCCAATCGGTTGGATCCCGAATGATGGCTTTGACCTGTTCCTGGAACTCCTGGCCCAGCTGACAGAAAGGTGGTCGGAGTTGTGCACGTCGGCTGAGAATTATTTCTTCGAACTAGAAGGTTAGTCCAAGCAAGCACCAGATGGGGTTACTGACGAGACATTGCAGCGCCTGGATCAGCTGGGCAAACAGGGAAAAAGCGAACATATCATAGATCGGCTTGCTAAAGATGCACGGAAGCTGGCTAAACTTCATCACGACCTCCAGACTCAAATTCGCACTGCCAGAAGTTTCACCAAATCCTATTGCCGTTCACATAAGGGGCGAGAAAAAGGCGAAAGAGGCAATAGAGAACTTTTCAAATATTGACAATCGGATTGACGACCTAGATCAAACGGTCAGGGATTTGTTACAAGTTGTGAGTCGTATGAATCTGCTTTTCTTGAGTTAGCTGACTTGACTCTGGTAGGAGTTTGCCTGGGTATCAATTAACGAAGCTCATCAGTCGACGAGCCTCGCGAAAAGCATGAAGCGTCTCAGCTGGATCACTGCATGTTATTCCGGATAAGTCTCTAGATTCATTAAAGACTGAGGCTAATTTCTTCAGTTCATATTTCTACCAGCCACGTTTGCGTCGGTAAGACCTCGAATATTGACTGATTATCTATAGTAAATTGACATGCTAACAGAGTTTGTTCGGCATGAACGTGAATGCATTGGAAAGGAACCCCGACTGGCGCTGGTATCTTCTCTTTGGGGGGTCCTTTCTTCTCTTAACACTCAGCGTGTGGCTTGTTTTTAAATACGTTCAAGTGAGTCGAATCTAGCTATATCGACTAATATAGATGCTAACTAAAGATGTAGGTTGAGAGTTGGGTTGAACAGCAGGTTGGGAGGTGGATTGAAACCTTGGTTACTAAAGTAAAAGCACCGTATTCGATTGGGGGCACGAGGCCGTAAGGGTGATGTTACAATAGACGGGTGATGTGTACCGATGTCACGAAATTTTATTGGTGGCTGAAGTATCCAAGAGTCTCGAAAACGTGCAAGGATTGTTGTCGGCATGCTTAAAGTCATGACTGTGGTACCCAGTATGGCCCAACCAGCTTGAAGTGTATACAGAGGCTATGCCAATAACCATTCGACGTCACCATATGGGGGAGCAGGCCATCCAGGCTTATGACAGAGCTATATGCGCCAAGCATTGCACCATTTCTTCTTGTCCCGGACGCGCGTATCTTGTTGAGCTGGGAAGCAGAGCTCCCCTCGTTTGGGAAGGGGCTGGGGGCCCAGGGCCGGCATCTTGTCCTCCAAGCTCTCCATCGCATGAAGTCGAGTGGCTTTAGCTGCATAGACGTGCTAGCCCTGACCCGAATTGTACTACTGATATAACCCTTAGCTTTCCTCCCATACAAGAATAGGCTTAACAGCCTTTCCGGTTTTTATATCTTGAATTGCTAGGTTAAAATCCTTCGCCTATTAACACGATTAGCTTATTGTTTCATATGTTGCTTCGTATACTCACCTTGTAGAAGCTAGTAAGTTTATCAATGGGAAAAACTCCCTCTCGATACCACTTGATCATTTGTGGGACATACTATTAATATGATTAATTAACAAGGTTTTAAATTCTAGCATCAGTGTAACTCACAATGGATGGAACTGCGTCGCCTTGCACACTGCCAAGTAGAGTCTTTCCCGACTTTAACCATCGGGTATGTCAGCAATGTTTAAAAGAATACAGGTAAAGAAACATACCAGTTTAAACTTTGTGATATCAACTTCAAGAGAGGCCCCCGACATGCCTAGTAGAACCATCTTGCCGAGAATGCTAGTCATGTTGAGTGCTTCCTGAATAACAGGAAGCACTCCCGTAGTATCAATAGTGATGGAAGAACCTGCACCGTCGGTTGCGTCTCGAGTGGCCTGCGGAAAACCATCAGGGCACTTCTCATTGTTTATCAGCACAGTCGCCCCCAGTTCTTTGGCGATTCGCAGTTTCTCGTCGACACGATCAATCGCAATAATGGATTTGCAACCAATCATCTTGGCAGCCTAGACCACACGAGAAGGAGTTAGTGGACATACAGAGACGGTCCCCGCAGAAGACTTACCATGACACCGGCGAGACCAACGCCTCCAAGTCCTATGATGGCGACCGAGTCGCTGGGCTGGGCATTTGCAAGGATCGAGACTGTCGCAGCACCTGTTTGGAACCCGCAGCCCAGGGGTGCGAAAAGCTTCAGCTCTTCCCTGTCCTTGACAATGCCATTCACGTTGACAATGCAGGATTCCTTGACCACGGCCAGGTTTGCGAGGCTGGACTGACCGAAGAACCCGCCGGCTACAGAACCTCCGTCACCGCCTCCGCCATTGGCATCTGTCGTATATGCAGGCTCTGAATCACCGAAACACAGTGCAAGAGCTGAATGGCAATATGCGGGATGCCCGCTCTGGCAGCTGGTACAGTTTCCGCAAAAGGCAAACGAAAGAAGAACAGGGTCGCCCTCCCGCAAGGGTGCTTTGGAAGGGTTAGGATTGGCACCGACTTTTGCACCGATTTTTCTAATGTATCCCGCACCTGGTGATGGCATCTGTTATCAGCCTTTGCATGGGTTTACCCTGGCCAGGCATGCCAGGGTACAGTAGTCAAGTGGGCAGAGTTCACTCACCTTCGTGACCTAGAACCCTGGGATAGACCCCATCGGGTCGCGCAGCTATGGCAACGTCTGTATGACATATACCGGTGGCAACCATTTCAACCAAGCACTCGTCATCTCGAAGATCGCGGAGTGATAGTTTATCAAGGCTGAAGTGGGGTTGGCCACCTGGGCTTGGTGCTGACGCAACGACGGCAAGACAAGGGTATGGCATGTTGAGCGATTCCTATGAAGCACGCTTGTCATAAGTTATGGAATGTTCCGGTATAGTGGCCATTTATTTGTATTCGGCCCCAATATCAGCCTCAGTAATAGGAGAGTGACTTGGGATTGGATTGGAATTCATACTACGTATCGATGGCACTGGCTGGAAATCGTTTCCGACTTGACGGTTGCACTCCCTCCAGTTCCGGGGAGATAAGGTCAACCTTCCACTTCAACACTAGCGGCGGACTTAAGAACTGTTGCGTGGGCAAGCCGATCCTACCCATAGATAAATCGTGTAACTAGAACACAACCAACACCGAGGCAATTAATCCTGTACCTTGATCCCATCATTCTACGAAGCAATGGCCACCCAAACATCTACCAACCATGAGACACGTCTCTTCATCAACGGCGAGGTTGGCAATGCGCTCACACCAAGCCAAACACGACATCGGAGCTAATCTTTCTGTTAGTTCTCTGTAGCTTCAGACGGAGGAACATTTCCGTTAAGCTCGCCACTCACGCGAGAGACAATCGCTCTAGGTGGGCTTGCAAATATTCAAAGACGCGAGCAGATGATCTAATCTCCTTTGTCGTCAGTATCCGAGGCAACGGTGGAGGACACCAATCGTGCTGTTGCAGCAGCAAAGGCGGCCTCGCCAGCATGGGCCGCTTTGTCAGTTCATGAAAGAGGAGCCTACATGAACAAACTGGCCGACTTAATCACAGACCATGAGAAGGAACTCGCCAGCCTAGAGGCAGTCTCGATGGGGCGACCTGTCTCTTCATACTGGGATGCAAAGGCGGCAGTGAAGAAGCTCCAGTACTTTGCTACGGCCGGCTGGAATGGGCAGGGCCGTACTAGTCTGAATACTCCGGGGTTTATCAACCTGACCCTGAGGCAACCGTTTGGTGTGGTCGCCGCTATTATTCCCTGGAATGTTCCCGTCTACGTGTTTATCAACAAGGTTGCTCCCGCCGTGGCAGCTGGCAACACAGTGGTCCTCAAGAGCAGCGAAAAAGCTCCCCTGACAGTGAGTGATATCATCCACTGTGTCTTGGTGCTCAGGCCATTACTAACCTTTCAAAGTCGGCAAAACTTGCTGGGCTCGTCCAGAAAGCTGGATTCCCCCCGGGTGTCATCAATGTTCTTTCTGGCCATGGCCACGTCTCTGGTGCTACCCTTGCTTCACATATGGATATCAGATTGATCACGTTCACCGGTTCAGGACGGACCGGACGTCTAATCCGTGAAGCAGCAGCAAAATCCAACATGAAGAACGTCGTCCTTGAGCTTGGAGGGAAGAGCCCGGCCGTGATATTCGACGACGCTGATCTAGGGCGTGCAGCAAAGGAGACGTCGCATAGTGTCCAGTGGAACAGTGGGCAGGTGTGCATGGCCAACTCTCGCGTCTACGTTCACGCTTCTGTGGCGGAACGCTTCGTGGAGCTTTTCAAAGAGTCCTTCAAAGCTGTGAGATTGGGCGACCCTCTGGACCCAGAAGTCAACCATGGGCCACAAGCGGACCATACCCAGTACAACATTGTGAAGAAATATTTTGAAATGGGCAAGCAGGACGGCAAGCTTGCCCTCGGGGGAGTGCCCGAGGACACGGTTGGTTACTTTATCCAGCCGACGATTTTCCTCGACACGCCCGAGAACGCGCAGATCATGAAGGATGAGGTTTTTGGGCCCATCGTCAACATCAACGTATTCACCAACGAAGAGGAGGTGATCCGGATGGCGAACGACACCGAGTTTGGGCTCTATTCTGCTGTTTACACGCGGGATATTGACCGAGCCTTACGCTTCGCGAAGGCATCAGAGGCCGGTACCGTGGCGATCAACTGTACCAGCCCGACAGGTGCATTTGACCTTCCATTTGGAGGGTACAAGTCAAGCGGTGTTGCACGAGAGGGTATCCATGACAGCTTGGACAACTATCTAGAGACCAAAACTGTTATTATTAGAACTGGATAGTGGCAGTTGGCCTGGAATATAACTCGACTTTATAATTAATTTGTAGAGACTCTCTGAAAAACTGTAAGAGGGACCATTTATCTAATAAAGTACAATGGGTTAGCACTTGGAAGCCTGTTGGGTCTTGTATTTTAACATTATACCCCCTTAGGAAGAGGGGAGAGGCATCTTGTACCGGGCTTCCTTTTCCATCTTTCTATAGATGGAATCGTAGAAGATTCAATTTCCTTTAAAAAACAACATTCAAAAGTATCTAGGTTCCAGTGCTACGGTTGTTTTTCATGAATACATTTCTTTTGTAAGCTTGTACCCTTTGACGCTGTGGCTGATGCACTCGGAATGTATCGAGTGTTGATTGGTCGGCACCGACCGTTATGGGAAAAGAACCAATCGGGGCTATCGGGGAGTTAAGGAAAAGGCCAAGTTTGAGCTCCGGTTACGGAATAACAAGGCCAATCCCGATCAGAAGAAGATGCTCACTTGAATCTGTCGACTTCGATAGTCCCCCACGAACGCTTGGCCCGTCCGCCATGACTGCCGAACAAGTAGTGCCGGTATGAGAAGATGAAAAAGCTCGCCGCAGACCACTCTCTCGGGCTTGGCAAGAGTCTCAATTGTCCAAGACTGTCACATCTCTACCTCGCTTAAGATCGATTCGAAACGCTCAACAATGACAACTACCTGTACTATGGATCTGGAAGGCTTCAGGGAAGCAGCGAGGTCGTCCATTGACGAGAGTAAGTCCAATGGCCGTCATCTGCCAGCCAGGTTGCGACCTCTACTCTAACACTGTTACAGTTGTAGGATACTACCAGAACATCGTCGATCGTCGAGTCGTTTCCAGCGTCAAACCAGGCTACCTACGCGAACTGGTTCCCTCTAAGCCTCCAGTCGAAGGTGAACAATGGAAGGACATCCAGAAAGACGTGGAAGCCAAGATCATGCCCGGCATCACGCACTGGCAGTCGCCCAACTTTATGGCATTCTTCCCATGCTCCTCTAGCTTTCCCGGAATGCTTGGAGAAATGTACTCGAGTGCGTTCAACGGCTCTGCCTTCAATTGGATCTGCTCCCCTGCCGTCACCGAGCTCGAGACCATTGTAACAGACTGGCTTGCCGACATGTTCAACCTGCCCGAGACCTACCGATCCTCTGGCAGTACTCTCGGAGGCGGCGTTATACACGGTACGGCATCCGAGGCTATTCTTACTGTCATGGTGGCAGCCCGCGACAAGTACCTGCGAGAAGCAACCGAGGGCGTACCTGAAGACCAGCTCGACGACGCCATGGCCGATGCGCGGAATAAGCTGGTAGCCTTTGGCAGCGCTACGACGCATTCTAGCACTAAGAAAGCTGCCCAGGTCTCTGGCGTCCGGTTCATGGAAATCCCCGTGTCGGCCAAGAACAACTTTGCTTTGACCGGTGCCGATGTGAAGGCCGCCGTGGAGAAGGCCCACGCCAAGGGGCTTACGCCGTTCTACTTGACCGCAACCCTTGGGACGACAGACTGCTGTGCCTACGACGACTTTGAGTCTATTGCGGATGCTCTGCAAGAGGTTGCCCCGCCCGGTAAGGGAGAGGTTTGGGTCCACGTCGATGCGGCCTATGCTGGTGCTGCGCTTGTCTGCCCCGAGTATCACCACCATTGTGTTCAAAGATGATATATGCGCCAACCATTTGGCAATTCGCCGAGATATTACATTCAAGCTCTAACTAAGCCCATACTCCTCAGCCACCACCCAAACCTTTGCATCTTCACGACCGAAACCTTCCTCCTCCTTAAGTCACTCCTATGACTCAACGACTTAAAAACCTTAATCCCCTCCCCAAGCCCCGGCAACATATCCTCCCCAACTCATCCTCCGACTTCCCCGCTTTATACATATCCTATCAGCGGCTTCAACGTCGCAACCAGCTCTAGCAGGCTATCAACCCAGCCCATATTCATCATCATCGCCTTAATGAGGCAGCGCCTTACAGACTTTATAAGTCCTTTAAGCTCTAATAGCTCTATATATCATATAAAGCGCCTAAGCTCTTAAGGTACCCCTAGGCGCTCTAAAGCTATAAGAAATACCTTATAGGCTAAGATAGCTAATTCGATATATTAGTTTCCTTTAAGCACTATTCGCTAGAAATTATAAGGTAGTATTATATCGATTTAATAGATTAAGAGCTATTTTATATTTTATATAATCTAATTTCTTTCTTAATAATTAAGAGGGTAAGAAAAAAAATAATAATCCCTATAGGTAATAATAATAATAATAATAGTAGTAATAGTAATATTATTAGGGTTATATTGCTGATTAATTATAGTTCTTAGTATTATATTTAAAGATATAGTATTAAGAGATTATAGCTTAAGAAGATAAAAAGGTAGATAATTCTCTTATTTCTTATATAGAGGTTAAAATAATTAAAATACCTATAAGAGGTTAAACTTTTATAATAATATAATTAGGTATAACTCTTCTATTACTATAGAAGTTTAACTAGGCTATTATATTAATATTAGGTCATAATATTATATTGTGTTTGAGATCTATTCTTTATTATAGTTATAGCCCGGCCCTTAATGGGTTAACTGAGCCTAAAGATCAAGTATCACCACTTTACTGCCCAGTTCCACCGGTTTCACAGCTTCAACATGAATCTGCACAAGTGGCTGCTGACGAACTTCGATTGCTCCGTCACCTTTGTCCAGAAGCGGAGCTACTATATTGACGCCTTCAACATGACTCCCCCGTATCTGAGAAACAACTACTCGGAGAGCGGCTTGGTGACTGATTACCGCGATTGGCAGATTCCCCTCGGTCGTCGTTTCCGAAGCTTGAAGGTGTGGTTTGTGATCCGGACATTTGGCGTCAAGGGTCTACAGGAGCACATCAGGAAGGGAATCCGCCATGGTGATCTCTTTACACAGCTAGTCAAAGATCGATCGGACTTGTTTGAGATTGTTGCCGTGCCACGGTTTGCTCTGGTTGTCCTCAGGCTGAAGGGCGCTAGGTCGGATGACCAGAATGCGTTGACGGAAAAGGTGTACACCACCATTAACGAGGAGGGCAAGATTTACCTTACGAGCACAGTTCTTGATGGTAGTATCTATGCCATCAGGTTCTGCTTAAGCACGCCATTCGTCGAGGAGGTTCACGTCAGAGATGCGTTTGACACACTTGTCAAAACGACTGAGATGGTGTCGGGTGCATTAAAGGGATTAAATGCAGCTAAGCTCTAAGTCGTGTTGCATGAGATCCGACATGTCATGCAAAACCTTGAGCTAACAAATTTATCTATTTTTTGACTGATTCTCCCGTCATCTTTCTTCATTTTCACCTTGAAGCTTGCTGGATTTGCCTGGGCTTTTGCTCGTGAGATATTTTCATGATCAATAAACAAATACTATCCGTCGGGCGCGGGATAGCTAGCGGTGTTTATCACATTCGAACGGTCTTGGAACGTTTCTGTGGTGTTATACGATGTTGATTTGGTGCCTTCGGTGCGTTATCCCGTGTGTTGATTGATATTGTGACTCGTACCTTTTCTCTCCTTACAGAGGAACCGTCATTCAAATCCACAACGACTGAAGCATTTCATACGAAGACTTGGCCATTTGAGCAGGCCATTGCATATCTAGGAGTGGCAGATTCCCCCTACAGCTGGGCAAGCGCCGTGTCATACACCTGATCGATATCTTCTGTCCATATCCATTTCATGCGATCCTTCAGTAGGCCCCGAACAACCGGGAGGCTATCCTCGTAGTTGAGACCCTCTACCTCCTCGGCCCTTAGCTCATACAAGTCCCCGGCCTGCCGAGACGTCTCTTGTACTCTTTCTGCACGTGGGGCTCGGATGGATTGGTACAGGTGCAGATAGTCCGCCATGGGACGTGGCTGAGTCGATTTCTGGGCCTTGAAGTAGTCCTGAAGAGCTCGCCCGAGAATGTATCCATCCTCAAGCGCCTGTCCTGCTCCAGCTCCTAATGTCAGGGTAAGTAAAGGGTCAGGTGGAAAGGATTGAGGCGGACAGCTTGCGACTAGACTGACCTTGGTGAGGACACATGGCGTGGGCAGCATCTCCGAGCAGAACCACCTTGCCTCCTGAAAAGACCCACTCCGGTGAAGGCTCTCTGTCAAAGAGAATCCACTTTAGAGGGTTTGTGTTCATCTTGCTGATGACAGTCTTGACTGCAGGGGCAAACTCTTTGAAGTGGTCCTCGACGGCGCTCTTGTCGCTTGTCAGAGTCCAGCTCTCCTTCACGTCACCCAGATCCTCCCACGGCGTGGTGACAAAGGCGACGACGTTTACAATCTTGTTGCTGCTGATGGGGAAGGTGAGGAAGTGCTTGCCCGGAGCCATAAAGACTGTGGCATATGTGTCGAGGGGCCAGTCGTCAGCGATGTCCTCGGTTTTGCACAGGCCACGGTAAACCACCATTTTTCCATACTGCGGCGTGTCACTCTGTCATCGAGTGAGCTGAGTGAGGAGTGAATCCAAGCAGGAGTACGTACAACGTAATGCTTGCGAGTGACTGAATGGATACCGTCCGCGCCGATGACTAGGTTTGCAGACACCGTGGTGCCGTCGGCGAAAGTGACCAGCGTGGTTTTTCCCTTGTCCTATATCAAGAAACAGTTACAGGGAGCGCACTCAGGTTGAAATTGCCAGGTACGTACCTCCAAGGATGCACATTGCTTGTCCGTGTGGAGAGTAGCCGCGCCCCGTTCTTGAACCGCGTCGATCAAGGCTTGGAGGAACTCTGCGCGATGTAATGAGAAGCTAGGTGTGCTGGCGTCACCAGGGATTCTGACGGTATGGACATCTGACCCATCATCGAAGCGCCGAAACGAGAGCCAGATTCCTGCCCTCGTGCCTGTGATCTTGGCCAGCCGCTCATGCAGACCTAGCTTCACGGCCAGGGCGGCAGCGTTGGGACCTATACCAAGACCAGCACCGATTTCCTTGTACTCGGGCGCCTGCTCGTATATGTCAATCTGGATGTCCTCTGAAGGCGAGTGTTGGTGTATCGACAATGCAGCAAAGAGTCCACCAAGACCGCCTCCAATGATAGCAATCTTGAACATGTTTACGGTATTCTTGTCGAGTGACTTTTATTGGTTATGGAGAGCGTCCGAGTTATGGGGGCTTCCTCCTGTGGACTTGAACGACAGGATAACAACGAGCATTGATATACTGTTGTGCGAAAGTAAACACTAGCAGTTGATCACTACCCTCAACCACTTCGGCATTTCCACGATTCACTCTTGCTAGGCATTTGCCTGCGCTCTACACTCGGCATCGGCAACAATGCTGACGAGACCAGGTTTCTAGCGATGGAGGGGTAAGTGGCTAACTCTTAACTCCGGCCGACCCGGCACCTCGGAATCCTCTCCACTGTCCACTGTCTCTTATCTCCCCATTCTCCGGCCCGCTAAGAGACTGCATCGGAAATTGGAGTGACGCAGTGGGTACGAGAACCCGGAGAGAAGACTTTTACCCGCGCTGTCTGTGGAGTTTGATGAGGCATATGTTGTTGGTGTTACGTACACGAAGCTCTCCTTTTACTGTACAAGATCATCCAATGTCCAGGTTGACTCGGCAAAGTTTCCGGACTCAAAGCTCTCCAGCTGCGTCTGCAAGTCATGGGCAATACCCCTCGTGTACCCAAACAGCGAGTGCAACCCCGGAAATGCTTCCGTCGGCAATGCCAACGGCACGGGCATGGGTGTCAGAGAAGGGGGCAGATTAGCACAGCTCCCGCTTGAATGCAATGACTGGTGCATGCACTGGAGCAGCCCTTGAAGAAAGGTCAAGGCTCTCTTGGCAAAGGCGTGGTTGCTCGACATTTCTTTGATCATGTCCAGGGCGTTTTCCACCTTGGCCAAAGCAGGGCTTTCTTGATGATGTGCCGTGCGGATAACTGAAGACACCAAGGCAACCACGGCGTTGAACACTAGCGTTGGTCAGCGGAGGGTGCAAATTTGGTGAGAGAGGACCATCTTACAGTAGTAAACGTTGAACCAGTTGAGCCCCAAAGAGTGCTTCGTCTGCTCATACCTCAACGCAACAATATCTACAGTTTCAACCGCGGCATCAAGACACATCTTCTGGCTGAACCGCAACGTTTGGTCGGCCAATGAGCCTTGGCCAGCCGTCTGCACGCCATGACCCAAAGAAGGCCGATGGATCAATATGCGGACCATGTTTGCTCGCAGAGCCAAGATCCATTGTGGCTCGTTTGGGTTATCGTGATCCAGCACAAGGTGCGTAGGAAGATCACGACGCCATTTCTGGTATTCGTCATCAAGAGCCACGATGCACTCTGCAGTGTCCTTTGTCATGTCCATTTTCTCAGAGAGACGTGCCAAGACCTTTTCAATTATCTTGCACAGCTTGATCATCTCAATACAGAATGACATGCTTGAAGGCCGCTTAGGCATGGGGTACAGGACCCCGTCGTCACGTATGCATTCATCGTCAAGATCTTCGGGGATAGAGACGGAAAAGTCGGCGCTTCGGGTGGCTGAGGGACGCTGATAGATCATGCTCCAGTGCATATCAAGAATATAGGCGGAATACCAGACCCTTCGCTTCGTCTCTCGTACCGGAGGCGTATCGAACTCGGGCGGGTCCTTGTGTAGATGCAGGCCGTAGGCAATCCTGACGGCGAGGCCGAGTATGTTCCAGGACTCCTCCCCACAGCTCGTGGTCTGAAGATATCTTGCACCGAGCAGCAAGACCTGGACATGCTCCAGACGCCAGTCCCGCAGGAGGGTCGGTTGAAGTAGGGCCATAGCAATCTCGTAGTGTCTCCGTGCGGTGTGAGGGTTGGCCTCGACGTCAACTACCCAGTGAGACGTGCACAGAGCAAGGATCATGTTGATGATGGCAAAAGTAAGCGGTTGGCCATGTCGAGTTTCTGCAGAGCAGCGCAGAGCCTCACCGAAAACCGATCTAGCGCTGGGCCCATGGAACAAGGGCGTGAGTGTATTCCGAGTGGTGAAGTACTGGTCAAGAATATCGGCGGCGTTGTCGGGCGTGGCATATAGTTCATCCCCTGTCAGCTGAAATGGACTGACTCGAGATCCAGAATCTGTCTCGACCAGCTGCGCCTCCACGTTGCCTTGGCCATAAAGGCTGTTCAAGAGCAGCTGGGTGAACGAGATGCCCCCGATGGACAGATTGGCATCCACGACCACGGAAGAGGGTGTTTGTCCCGGCTGGACGGTGTTGTTGGAACAAGAACAGGTGGCTTGCCCCTGTCCTGGAACTTCCGAGGCCCCTGGCGTTCCAGACGGGACAGAGGTTTGAGCGGCCTTTTCCAGGAGCTCAAGCCGACTTTCCAACCCCCGCAGGTAACTTTGGGTGACAGTTCTCAGCAATCAACTTCCCACAAGGTTTACGGGGTGGGGGGATTACTCTTGGTTGACCGTGACGGTGTTGGCAGCGGCGAGCGAGACACCCTGCTGGACAAAGGAGCATTCTCGCCCGTTGTGGGCACACGTCGAGCACACGGGCTTGGTGCCATCACATTTCGTCTTTAACGCTCGGCAGCTAGAGCACGACACGGGGACCCGGTTGCGCCGGCGTTTGCTCGCGGGACTACCTTCTCTTGCCATGGCTTTGAAGTCGGATATAGCGGGGAGAAGCTTTTGTCAGACGCAGCGGGGCGGGGAGATAAAAGGGATTTATAGGTTCGAGGTCACCAGCCGCTAACTAAGTGGACCTAACCTCCAGCCGTCAGCTCTCTCATCTCATGGTGATTCAGCATGTTTCCCTTGGCGTTACGAAAGGTATTGCTTGTTTGTCCTTCGCTTGTAATCTAATCAATCAGATAACCGTATCTCAATTAAGCTATTAAGTAATTCGTTCGGTGTCAACCGGCCATCACTCCTCATCCAGCTTAGTCCCATCAACTGTTTCCCACCAGGCATGGGATGGCACAAATGAAGATTGAGGTACATATATGGCCTTGAAAGTGGTCGAAATGGTTCCCTTTAACTTGTATCATCATCGCTTCTTCTTGAACCATTCACCACCATGGCAGCAACGTCGATATCTGATCATGTCGAGGCCGGCATCCAAGACAATGGCGACAAAGACCAGAGACGTTCGGACAAGTACGACGCTGCTTTCGCGCAAGCCGGTGTCCAACAGGTCGAGGCCATTACGACGGTTTGGAGCACCAGGATGTTGTGGACTGTTTTTGCACTGTGAGTCAACAAGATCATCTACACTATCAACTCGGCTAAAAATCTCCAACCAGGCTCTATGTAGTCAACGTCGTCGATGCCATCCTTCAGCACGTCCAGTCCTCCCTCACCCCCTATGTAACCTCAGCTTTTGCGCAGCACAGCCTCCTAGCAACGACCGGTGTCGTGTCGTCCATCATCGGTGGCGTCTGCCAGCTCACGATTGCCAAAGTCATTGATATCTGGGGCCGTGGCGAGGGCTACGCCGCCATGCTCATGCTCTGCGTTATCGGACTGATCATGAAGGCGACTTGTAACAGCGTGGAAATGTACGCAGCTGCGCATACGCTGTATTGGGTTGGACACATCGGCATCACCTATATCATCTCGGTTGTCCTGGCGGACATGACAACGTTGCAGAACCGAATGATTATGTTTGGAATCAACACGACACCGTCAATCGTGAGCACATTCTCTGGACCAAAAATTGCTGAGCTCTTCTTGCAAAATGTCAACTTTCGTTGGGCATTCGGTGGCTTTTCCATCATCTTGGTCGCCTTCTCACTGCCTATCCTCCTGGTCTTTTTCCTCTATGGGCACAAAGCTGTCAGCCTCGGGGTCATCGAGAAAGCTACCAGCCGAACTATCCGGGAGTCGATCGAGTATTACTTTTGGCAATTCGATGGTATGTATTTCAATGCCGGACGTTTCTTTGAGTCACATCTAACCAATCCGTCTACTCAGTTGTCGGTCTTCTCCTTGTCACGGTTGGATGGTCTCTTCTGCTCTTGCCGTTCAGCATCGCAAGATCAGCTCCTCAGGGGTGGTCCACGGGTTATATTATTGCCATGATTGTGCTTGGTGTTCTCGTGCTCGCCGCCTCTGTCTTTTGGGAAAAGTCGTATGCGAGGATTCCGTTCTTCCCCTGGAAATTCCTCAAGGAACGAACTGTTTGGGCGTCTTGTCTTCTGAACGGGCTGATGTTCATGTCGGTATTGTAAGCAGCATTTCTCAGGCCTTTTGGACACTCGAAAAATAGCTGACTGGATTGCAGTGTATGGGAAGCATACTATACGACGTACTTGCAGGTCGTGCACGTCCAGAGCGTCAGTAACGCGGGCTATATCTCAGGAACCTTTAATGTTTTCTCTTCGTTTATAGGGCCTTTTGTCGGCTTGTGAGTGTTTGACCACCAGAAAGACCCGATGCTCGAAAATTAACGGTCCAAAACAGACTCATCCGGTACACCAACGAGTACAAGTGGGCGTCTATCGCCGGAGTTCCTTTTGCTGCACTGGGAAGTGGCCTACTTGTCCACTTCCGCCGCCCCGACACCAGCGTCGGCTATCTCGTCATGTGCCAGATCCTCACCGGCGTCGCCGTGGGAATCTGGGGCTTGACGGCGCAGCTTGCTCTCATGTCCTCGGTCCGTCATCAAGAGGTTGCCATAGCTCTCGCCATGAGTGGACTTTTCGGTTCGATTGGCGTGTCTCTCGGATTCACGGTTGCCGGTGCCCTATGGACCAATATTGTGCCTGCAAAGTTGCACGAGGCTCTGCCTGAGGACAGTAAGAACCTGACCAGCGTCCTCTTTGGGGATATTCGGGAGCAACTGTCGTATCCTATGGGAAGCCCAATCCGAGGTGCTGTCATTGTAGCTTTCCAGGACGCACAGCACAAGATGGTTATCGTTGGAACGTGTTTGGTGCCCCTTATGCTGGCTTGCATATTTGTCTGGAAGAATGTTGATCTGAGGAAGCGACAGCAAGAGGAGGGCCAGTCAAAGGGAAATGTCTTTTAGATGTCGGACAATTCTTGAGTTATGTCTGGTATATAAAAGGTCTATCTGAATCTGCTTGTGGTCGGCATCAATGACGTCTCCTTCCGGGCACAGTATCACAGAAGACGACAAAACCTGGCTATTCCAGGTAACAAACTTCTCCACAGCAGCTTCTTGCTTCCTCTCTGGCAGGTCACTGTCGCTACTGTGTTTCCCTTCAACCTACATCTTTGGGGCGATCAACATTGATATGAGATCATTCGAAGGGACCGGCACATTGACTCAGACTTGACTTCCCCAGCATGTTGCAAACAGAAACTATCTCAGTTCTTCAAGCATCAAGATGCTTCTCATTAACCAGCACATATCGGTATCGTGCCTTGCCTTCCTCCATGTCCAAGATAGCTTGATTTGCATCCGTCAGTGGCCTCAGCTCTACCCAGGGCTTGATATCGAGCTCGACAGCCAGATAGAGCATCTCCTGAATCTCTTTGGGAGAGCCAATAGCGCTGCCACTCAACTTGAAGCCGCCGTTGATGAGCGTAAAAGCGTTGACGGCGGGCAAGTCACCATCGTCAGGAGCGCTATGTTGTGTTAGTTTGGCTTCGCAGGAGTGGTGAGAGATGCATACCCAACCTGGACAAAGTCGCCGCCATATCGGAGGAGCTTCAGGTAGTCATTGAGCGGCATGTTGGCGCTTGAGACGGTGCAAATAATAAGGTCCATGGACTTGGCGTGCTTGGTGGCCCAGTTCTGTTCTCCATCATCCGTGGCGATATAATCATCGGCACCCAAGGCCAAGACATCTTTTCTTTTCGATTGCTTGCGTGAGATCCCAATGACCTTGTCTGCCTTGAGAGCTTTTGCGAATAAAACAGCAAAATGGCCTAGCCCACCGACACCAATCACACCCACGATCTTACCAGGTCCGCAGTTATTCTTTCGCAGTGGCGAATAGACCGTGATACCGGCGCACATCAGAGGTGCGGCATACTCCGAGGGTAACTTCTCAGGAATCTTGACAGCAAAGCGTGAGTCAATGCGAACATAGTCGCCAAATCCTCCATAGGATTTGCCTATATCGTTAGGGTATATACCACCATAGGTATTGATGTTCTTAGGACAGTAATGAGGGCGACCAACGGAGCATTCGATACAACCATCGCCAAGGCAGCTTCGGGCTTGGGCACCAACACCCACACGGTCACCAACATTGAGGTGCTTGACACGATGTCCAGTACGAACAACCTTGCCAACAATCTCATGGCCAACACAGCAGGCTAGCAACATAAGTAAGTACCTGGGTTACAATAGTCCAAGGGAAGCTTACGATAAGGTATCTCTCCCCACCCGGAGCGAAGCATATGACAATCTGCACCGCAGATACTGCAGTGAGTGATCTTGATATCGACATCATCTGCCTCCCACTGCTTGGGTTCAAAGGATCCCCATTCCATTTTGCCGTTGATCGCATCAGGAGAGTAGCCCAGCCAGCCCTGAAATTCGTAGTTGATCGGCATTCTGGATGATGGAGTATGCGCAAGTCGACAGCTGACGAGAACGTCGCAAACACCAGTCGAAGATCAATTAGCCTGAGCTTGTACAGCGGGCAAGATTTTGATACTTGTAGCCAAGCCAAGGTCCCAGGCAATGTTGAGGCTCGACCTACCGCATTTTCTAGCGGCGTTAAGACTTTCCGGACTTAACGGTTGAGATGACCCATCCGAGTTCCGGGGAGATAACGCACTCCAAAGCCCAAAACTCCACCGCCTGTTAAGCTGCCCATCGGTATGATGTTGACGACTGTTGTGGAGGTGCTTTGTAGCGGGATGAACGCCATCGGACAGAGGATTGGGAGGGAAACAGATATCCAGGCGTGTTATATTGCCGGGACAGTTTTGTCCGACCGGGGTCGATCCCGGGCCGGATTTGTGGGTCATCACCGTGTCGTGATCGGACTGCCGAGATCCGACCCTATATTGTGTCAACTTTGCGTACGCACGGTGAGGGGAGATAACATTGTCTATAGCTATTCTTAATTGACCTGGCATCATCTTTCTATGCGTTTCACCCATGGTGTCATTCCTTTCCTTGCATTCCTTGTTACAGGGTAGGGGACATGAAAAGCGTAGGAGGATGTCAGCATGAAAACAAATGTCTCAAACAACGATCCGACTGAAAACGAGTCTGGCATTGGGGATGAACGGCTACGACTACAAATACGACGATGATGATGGTGGAGAGGAAGAGGAAGAGGACAAGGATGCGTCAAATAGAGGCTAAAGCAAAGGTAAGGTGAAACAAAACATGTCATGACTTTTTGAGACCTATTGCAGATCTAGATATGATCTTTGCCTATCCCCGCAATCGCAATATAATGTTAGGCGTCTTACTACGCTTAAGGAAGAACCCAGCTAGTCTAGAAAAGAAGTAATTCTCCAGTGACCTAGGTAACTTATGGAAGTTGCAGCTTAACTATACCCCAGGCACCTCCCAGCTTAATCTTTCTTCTGCATATAAGGGAGACAGGCCTCGTAGATGTTGTGATAACCGGGGTACTTAATGCACCGTTGAAATACCACCTCATCCACAACCCTAGCTGACTGAAGCGATCCTGCAATAAAGAAGTCGGTGTAGCTCGGCTGAGCACCCAGTACAAACGGTCCATTAACTTTGTGCGTCAGCATCAACTCACCAACCGCGCGCATCTTGTCTGCCACTGCAGCCCATGCCTGCCCCTCCTTCTTCGGATCCAACAAGTCCTCGAGTCGACGTCCAAGCGAGGCCTCACGCGTGCTACGAAAGTACTCTTGGGCTTGAGGCGACAGGATGTAAATCTCGCGCGGCATGACTGAAGCGCCGAATGCTGGACCAACTGCACTGCGAGCTTTGGTCTCGATTTCACGGCCCAGCTCTGAAGTCAGTAGCAGCGGCGGGTCTGGGTAGGTCGACTCGAGGAATTCCGCGATAGCCGGCGAGTCCATGATATATGTGTTGGTCGACACATGCTGGATAGCCGGCACCGTGTATTTGTGCTTGGATCCCGAACCAGAGTCGTGGGGGGCCAGACCCCTGGAGAGTGTTACCTCAAGGGACTTGTTCACGATACAAGCTGAAGAAAACTCACAGCCCTTTTAGCGTAGGCTCAATGTCTGGGAACTCGAGAAAGATAGTCCGATAAGGAATACGTTTGTAGTTGAGCATCAGTCTGATGCGCCAGACGACAGGAGAGAAGCACACGTTCTTGGTGCAGGCCAGGTCGTACAAAACGATCTCAGGCTCGATTTGATCAGCCATTATTCGCCAGTTCAAATGTAGTTCAATTCATAAGGGAGCATGAGATGCCGGTGGTTCTGTTCAGGTAATATATCAGTGCAAGAATTTCTTCCGAGACCCCAGAGAGGGTTGAGAAATCTGGCCTTAACATAGCTTTGGGATCCGTAAGGCAGACAGCTGCCTAGCACTAGACTCGGATTTAAGCCTTAATTTCCGAGCACAGGTCGCTCGCTCTGATATGCGTTGTATTTCGTGTCCTATTCAACCTATATTTTATACAAGGCGTGCTCATGTGAACCAATCTAAATACGCCATTATCCACTCCAGTCGGACTGGAGTTGACTTCCAACCTGGATGGAATAGGTCGTGCGGTACGGGGTGCGCTGTTTGGTCTACGGGCTGGAGTTCCACGATGAACAGTCAACAGAAAAAACAACAATGCAGACATTTAAAGGCCCAGCGTTCAAGCAGCCGTCTACTTACTCCCCAGTCAGTAACAGTTGTTAACTTGTCCGGGGGATCTCGCATACCGTGATAGGGCCATTTATCGCTGCCACCGCCCAAAGGCAGCAGCCGTCAAGCAAACCAGTCTGATCATGTTTTTTTTCTTACATAGCAGTATATAATAATTTAGGCTATATATATTTACATCAAACGTTCTGGTTTGACACGATCTCAGCCTGTAGCTGGTGATAGTGTCAAGATTAGGTCGCATTGGTAACCCCTGTCCGTGTGACACTATCGCATGAGCGACCTGATGTTGACAGACTTCGGCGGAACAAGGAACGGCATTTCGTTTATCGTAGGTGGCGGAAACCGGAACTCATCTAGTCCGGATTGATCTCTGATGATTCCGGGGATCCTCGCAATGTTTCCTCAAGGAAGAAGAGGTGAGGGAAGAAGGGACCGAAGAGAAGGCGGGCTTTGCCTTCGCCTAGGGAGGCGACGAGGTCGTTGACATCACGATCTTGTAATACTAAACACATTCTATCACTAAATACACTAGTTTTTCTCGGAAGCACTATAGTTGCCTAGCTCCTCGCCTGTCTAAATCTATCTTCTCTTTAATAATAAAAGTCTCCTGTTCTCGAGCACTCTTCTCCAGATCGAGGAAAAGCCAGATGCCAATAGCACTGACCAAGCTTAGGGCGAATAAGAAGTAGAATGGTGCGCTATTATTGGTGCCACCAGGAGTGGTATCGATAATGGCACTGCTGATAAACGGCCCGATAAAACTGGACGATTTCCCAATGATATTAAACAAAGAGAAGAAGAGAAACTCGTGTCCTCTGGGAGTCACAGAACTGATCATGATCTGAGAATAGCTGTACCAGGGACACACAAAAAGTCCATAGAAAGCCTGGTATAGCCAAATCTCCCAGACGTTCTTGAACCCAAACTTGTCAGTCCAGTTGCCAATCATACCCCAGCCATCTAAGAGTATAATAGAGACCATGACTGCGTTGAACATGGATTTGGCACTGAGGTTGAATCGCTTCTGAATGAGCCAAAAGGTACCAATACCAATAGCTTGGGCGGCTATACCGACAATGAGCAGGTAAGTCAAGGTAAGAGTCTCGTAGCTGACAACCTGGTTCTGTAGCGTGGCAATGACTGTGACAGTAGTGTTGAGAGAGTCGCCGAGGAGGAAATATCCGACAAGGTAGATCAGGCTTTGTTTCAAGTGCCAAATCTGCCCAAGGGCCCTCCAAAGTTGCCAAAATCCGACCGTCACCATGTTCAAGTGGTCTGGGACCTTCATTCCCGGACGCTTCTTCTCCAAGATGAACCAAGGAATCGAGAGAATGAGCCAACAGGCTGTAGCGAAAGCGATTAGCACCGAGAGCCCTCGATTGTTATTCGCCACGCTCTTGTCGACCTTGACGCCGAACATGATGCCCACAATCATGGCCAAGATGACGACTTCGCCGATGGATTGTATGTAGAATGCAACGTTGCTCAGTCTGCTTCTCTCCACCTCGTCTTTGCGATCCATCTCCTGCTGCGTGATTTCGCCCGACTCGTACTGCAGCGCGGCGTCTCTTAGTTGAGGCAGGTTCCTGGCCAGAGAGGGAAATGCGGCAGTCCAATATGTAAGCGTCATTTGGTATCCGATCAGGCCGACGATGTATAAGCCTGTGGCCGTTTGCCATTTGCTAGCATCTTGGACGCCCAGCCAGCCAAAGCCGATTCCATAAGAAATAATGGACCAGAACAGCAGAATCCATCGTCGTCCAGTTCCAAAATCGGCGTACGCTCCGATAATGAGGAAGAGAATGGCCTGTAGGGCGAAAGAGATGCCATTGGCAAGCAAGACGATGCTATTGATATCTCTGGCGCGGCCAGCAAAATGCAAAAGGCCGGTATCTTTGGATGCAGCCTGGTCGAGTAAATTCTGGAAGGCAGTCGGCCCAAAATTGAATAAGGCGAGTCCATTGGAACCGATATAATAGGCGTACCACGACCAGATCTCCCACTTTGTTGTAGTGAGAATTTCTCCTTCCACCAACGTTGGGATTACGATGCCTGTGCTGACATCTTGTTTTGTCGTGTCGTCATGTAGGTCCTTGGACCCTCTCGCTTCAGCTGTTGCCATGTCTGATTCTGGAGCCATTGTTGGAGACTTGTTCGTAGAGAAGGGGAACTGAGGTGTTGAAATACGAGGCTAATAAATTCTCTCACCACCATGTAGTTATTTAAATCACGGATAACCCTAAGTGGCCCAGTGTAATCGCCCGAGTGTTTGGAATGCGAGATCGATGATTGGTTGAACGGTAGTGTCTCAGTCACAAACTTCTCATCACACGTTACATAGTATGGGCCGTGCGACTCCCTGTAATTACCCCGTGGATGATTGGATTAGCGCACACAGCAGATAAAGGGGCATTTTATCATTCGTTGTTGTGACGTCATAACATGGAGAAAGATAGGATGCGAGTTCCTAATTCATCTTGGCCTGGCACGGGGTAGTGGTTCTTAATACCGAATCCCGAGGAGAGTGCAACTCGAAGGGTGATTCCTAGGCTTCTCCTTCGGCAGGGGGCTTGACGATCGGTGGTGAGAGATGGTAGACACCTTCTCGAAGCGCAAGCTATTATGCAGAAGAAAGGATCGGTACCTTTTGGTTGGTCAATAATGAACATTTCAAACCTCTGAGGCCTGTAAATGCCCGTTTCTTATCTGAGGGTATGTTGCAGTATCGGATAGTGAAGCCAAGGCTAGTTAGCCTGGTAATAATAGCAGGCTTTTTTCACCAAATTCGGAAAGTTTAGCAGCAGACTCTTTAATTGGTCCTCAATAGCTAGGTATAACGCATGTAGCCGCAGGGCGCGGGAGCAGCAGACTCTCTAATTGGTCCTGAATGGCTAGGTGTAACGCATGTAGCCGTAGGGCGCGGGGATTGAAGCAGATGATAAGAACGCTCTGACTACGCCATGTAGTGAAACTATTCTCCTTGATAGGCAGGTCTCTGAACTTCTATCACAGAAGCGCGAACAAAGCTCTTTTTCGAAACCTATACTTTCTTGGCAGACGTCCAACACATCATCAGCAAATTGTGCTATGGCTCCAGCAAGCACTTATACGCAAGAAACAGCCGTGTTTGGCGACCCTCATGTGCCAGACTTCGACCCCAAGGTTCACCTGGCTTTCCGGCCGCCTACCCAAATCCACACCTTTCAGGAACTAGGGCTGCCGCAACCACAGAATGCGCCTAATCTCTGTTATACGGACCCCTTCCCTCTCTTCTCTGAAGAAGGAGTGCGTATTCTGCGCCGCGAGATGCTCAGTAAACCAGTTCTCGACAAGTATCTCAGATCTTGGGATCGTGCCCCTGCTTACATCGCGGGTCACGAGAAGGTTGGTAGTCTCCTCTCCCTCCATAAAGAACTATTAGATTCTTAGCTTATGTAAACCTATAGACAGCAAAGTTCACACTCCAGGCGTGGCAACATCCCGCAACCCAGGCTGCTATAGAGAAGGCAGCTGGGTTTGGGTTGCGTCTCTTGAAAAGAGAAGCCGATTTAGGCCTGGTCAACATTCAGCTTGGCCCAGAAGGCTTAGCCGGTGTCTACAATCTCACAGAGACTCCTGCAACCCCACTATCGCCCAGGGAAATGCAGAAGTCTTCCTATGATGACATACCAATCGACTCTTGGCACAAAGACCAGGTCCCTGTTGTCTGCGTTGTCATGCTCAGTGATACGAGAGGTATGGAAGGGGGTGAGACAGCTATTAGAACTGGAAATGGTTCCATTGTTAAAGTCAAAAGCCCAACTATCGGCGGGGCTGTTATCATGCAGGGTGGTTGCACAGAGCACGCTGCCTTGCGAGCCGTCAACGTGCCAGAGCGCATAAGTATGGTAAGTAGCTATGCATTCGCAGACCCTAACCTTGATGATCAGTACACCTCACTTCGAAGCGTGGATCTTGCAAATGACAATCTTCCTGTCTTTTGTAATGTCTTCCTGCAAGAAAAGCTCTTGCGCCTGCGAGGACGTGTTGACACTGTTTTGGCAACCCTGGCTGAGAAGGAGAAGAATGGTGAGACTATCGAGAGACATGAGTTTGAGCAATGGATCAAGGAGCAAACAAAGTTTCTTCGGCACAGCGCATGGGAGATGTATGAGCGAATACCGCACTACTTGGGAAAGGACGTACCAGAAGACGTTTTCCAACAGTATTTGAGATAAAGAACAACCGAAGATTGGAGGGGGAGGATACGTGGCAGAACATATGTATTACTTAGTACTACGATCCGGCGTCCCTGAGGCAGAGAATCCAAAATCTGGTTTGCCTAGTCTATCTGATCGCATTACGCACCACGTGTATGGTTAATTCTTTGCTCTGAGATGAAATTCATTCGTTTCCATCGCCTTAATTACAAAAACGCGGTTGATATGAGTAAAACAAAGTCATGCCTGTTGATGAATTCCTTTATGTTGAAAAGTCTTGAGATTTTGATAATCGTTTCAACCTTCCACGTCGAGCTGTGCGTGAAAGGAACAACAACTAATTGACTAGCTTAGTGGACGCAAGAAAGAGATATGCTATGTATACAATAGCGGGGATTCCCTCATCTGTGGGAAAGCGGACGGACTCCCGAGTTCTCCGCTGGGTATGGTCGTATGTGCTAGGATGTTGGCCAAAGTAGACTGAAATCCTTAACACTACGGTCTTTAGACCTCGCTGCCGTGTCTATGCTAGCTTATATTCACGAACCGGGTGTTGCTTTAGGATTACGGCCTTTATTATGCACTTTACGGCTGGCTCTCTTGTTTCACCTGAAATGGAGAGGATAGCGTCAAGTCTGATATTGGCATCATCAAGGCCTGGTTATACAACAAGGTGGCACAACATCCCATCCTGTTCTCTTATACCTCACTTTCGCACCCATGATCCTTCCCCGCCAAACTAGATTATCATATCTCAGTGGGCAAACGACCATGCCTAGTCATTTGCAAGGCCAATCTCGTGGCCTCAGCGGCGCCAACCCTCTCGAACCAATTCCCTTTGGACACGAACAGGTCATCGGGATTCATGACTGTCCCAGAGACATTAGAGGAGGCTGTTAGTGGGTCCTGGTAGGTATAAGCTGCCAAATTCAGGTTAGGGGATGTATATTAGCATCTAAAACTCACCAGAGTTGCTTTCTATTGCTGGAGTGCAACTTGGCCCCCGGCAGGGCTAAAACCGGTGACTTGGGGGACCTTACCAATGAACTCATTTAGCTAAACAGAAGTTATGAAATGTAACGACCCTAAGTAACTATGTATCACCTGTACGCTGTTATTTAGGCTGCCCGTAGTAATGGGCGTAAAAGATGGCTCCCGGAAGCGTTGGTGGTAAAGTTGCCATTGGTTGAACAACGCTCTTTGGAGTGGGGGTGAAGTCGGCAATACCAGACCAGGTAAAAGCTGTCTCAAGGTGCAAAGCCGAAACCACTATTTTTGGATTTAAAGAGTCCCTGTGACTGGGGTATGCTAATTTGTACAGACTTTTGGAGGTGAACCTTCCAGAGACACAGAGAAGAGAGGTTGGGAAAGGAGTTCGGAGAGGCTGTGATTGGTAGACCGGGAGAAGAAAACTCATCCTTGGTCGGGCGCGACGAGTTCGAATCCCCTTAACGTTATTGTTTCAGCTTGAGATGGGAATATAGATCAAAGTTCCATTCATCAATAAGACCAAGGTCGTGCCAAGATCTTTGGATCCTCCTCTGGTTTTCGTTGAGGGGGCACATCCACTGCATCCGGGTTTATGTACCAACTCGGATCACCTTGCTCCTCGTCCTCCATGACACACATACTCCAGCCATTGCCTAACCACCGAAGTCTGTTCTGATGTAGCTCTTCAAAGTCAAAGTCTTCCCATCTCGGCGCGCGGAACGTCTCCATTGCGTGTAAGAGGCTGCCCGGCCACAGGGCCGAGATCTTGTCGCCGTGCCCACCACCTGTCTTATACCAGGACTTACAGTCGTCCATGTAGACCGTCTTCTTGAAGTACTCTCCGATATACTCCGCAAAATCTCTGACACGGGCCTGCTTCGGCACCATGGTCACATAGTCCTCCTTCTGGAGCTTGCGGATGCATTTTACAATGTAATCGCCTTGTGCCTCGATCAAACACGTGAGAGATCCAGCACCAAGCGCAGAGTTGGGTCCCAGCATCATAAAGTAGTTGGGGAAGTCATCTACAGTCATGGTGAGATAGGTGGCGGGGAAAAGACTGAACTTGTCTTCAAGTGTCTGACCCTCTTTGCCGATGACAGGGAATGGAGGGATGTAGTTGGTATGAAAACCTGTCGCGCAGACCAATACATCAAAGTCTACTTGCCGATCTTCAGGGCCAGATAGTCTCAGACCCGTCTCGTTGATGCTCTGGATACTCTGCGTGATAAAGTCGACGTTCGGCTGGACGAGGGCCTCGAGGTAGCCTGGCCCTGGTGTCAAGCGACGGCATCCAACACCAAAGCTCGGCGAAAACGATTTAAGCAGATGGGGACGCGAGGCGAGGCGCTCATTACTGATATTCGAAAACATAGAAACAAACGACTTCTGCATCTCCGAGTTTCGAATGGATGAGAGATGGACCAAGTTACCATCATCTTCGATACGTTTGCGGAATCGGAGATATGCATCGTCATTCTTTGCAAACTCATCCAGGCGCTCAGCAGAGACTATCATCAGGTTAGCTTGCTTCCCGTTTTTATATAAAAACTCGCTTTCAGACCTGAGGGGCCACTTACATTTGGTGTCGGAGGAGTCCCAACCCAGTTGTGCCATTGTCTCATCACCAAAGCGGTTCGAAATCCAAACCTTGCTGCGAACGAAGCAATTCAACTTCGCGCCCTCGACTTTTTGAAGCTCTGGCACAATCTGAATCGAACTCGAGCCTCCTCCGATGATGCCAATGGTTTTATTCTTGAAGTCGTATTCTTGATCCCAGTCGGCTGAGTGCATCTTCTTGCCTTTGAAGGTATCAAGACCGGGAATATCTGGCCAAGCCATGTTGTTCAGGTTGCCTCGGGCTGCGATGACGATGTCGGCTTCCTCGGTAAAGGTCTCACCAGTGTTGGTTTGAACTGTGATGATCCTGCTGGTCATTAGCTGGAGGGTAATGGAAATGATATGTCTGGTACCTACCATTTCTTCGTGGTATCACTCCAGGTAGCAGCGGTAACCAAATGCCGAACATGAATAAATCGATTGGCTCCATACTTCTCTGCAACATCCTGTATGTATTCGCAAATTTCCTTGGCTGGAGCATAGAAGCCTGACCAAGCCTTGTTTGGCGCAAACGTATACTGGTAAGAATGAGCTGATAGCAGTGTCAGCAAGTCATAGCATTCAGGTCCATGATACCTCAAGCTTACATGGGATGTCACAGGCACAGCCCGGGTACCGATTCTCCCACCAGGTTCCTCCAGCTCCTGCATTCTTCTCATATATCTTGAGGTCAATGTTGCGCAAACGCTGCGGGATTCTAACTCCCAGGTAAACGCCTGAGTAGCCAGCACCGATCACACGGACTCGAAGCGGTCGCTGATTTTCGATAGGTGCATCTTTGCAAGTGAAACTTGCAAGAGCATCGCCCATAGGGTTAGCCACAATCTTGGCTTCCAACTTATCTGCAACAGTAGGCTGTCCAAAAGCCGGCATGGCCTTGAGTTCTGGTGCTACCACGGCTAAAGGCTCGTGACGGGGGTCCAAAGAGTTAATTCCCATGTTTGATGACTGCTTGTGAGCGCGGATAATTGTACAGATGATTCTTTTGTGGTAACGTGAGATGAAAGACCAAGAGACTTATCAACACAAGAGCTTAGTGTTTATATCAGTGAGATTGAGATGACTCAATGGAGTGCATGAGTAGTCTCATCGGCTCCATTATTGAGTGAATTTTCAGGTGACCTCCTTTATCGTGCACCTGCCGCAGTGTGTGTCCCATAGCCGACACACTCGGACTTGGAACCTAATGCAGGTCGAGGCCCCTCCTCATCTAATCAATAAAGAGCAGATACGCGGGCCGTGTAGGAAAGCCTGACATCCGATCCCAGAAACGCTCCACTGTCTCTCATAGGGTGCAAGAACGTTGCCGCGAGCACGGGGCTGGGAGAACTTTGGCTTGGACACAGCGTGGGGGTAAGCATCGATCTCATACTAGCTCCTGGCTTTAATCAGGTAGGGTTATCAGTACACTGAGATAAGAGGTAACCTCTCACTAGAACCACAGTTGATACCGATAGCGGCCTCTCACTTACTGTCCAGGTGAACCTCATGATTACTCGGCTGCCCTTGCTAGTCTTATTGAGGCGGCAAAACCTCCGCGTGGATCCAACCGTTCCTTGAGTAGCGCAAGGTGGGATTTTAGACTAATAAGAATATTATGAAGAAGAGTCTACAGCTAATGTGACCAGAAGTAACCAATGCAATGCAAGAAATTTGGATAAATTCAACGAGTCCCTCGGGGAGTCACTTTTTTCTCGGACACTCTTTTTCATTTTTATTAGACGAAATCACGCTCACCCTGCAGCAAAGGCCCTTCAATAATCACTCAAAATGATCAATTCAAACGCCATTGATACCGTTTTGGCGATTTTTCTTCCTTTAATACGAGCTCATAGAGAACAAACCTCTACCCCTTTCGTTCTCGGACTTTCTGGCCTTCAGGGTAGTGGGAAATCAGCATGGGCAGCTGCTCTCTCACAAGCACTAACTCTTCGACAGAATCTCAAAACTCGAACCCTATCATTAGATGACCTCTATTATGACCACCTGGAGCTTAGATATCTTCGAGAGGCAAACATGAACAATCATCTTCTTCAGAATCGCGGCCTGCCTGGAACTCATAATGAGGTTCTAGCAACAGAATTCTTTAGCCAAGTTCTCGGCCAAACAGAAAGCCATGTGGGCCATATCATGTGGCCGGCGTATGATAAAAGTCTTCACAGAGGCCAAGGGGGTAGAGTTCCGGTCGATGAGTGGGAAGAGGTAGCTCTAGGTCGAGATCTTGAGGTTCTCATCTTCGAGGGCTGGGCGTTGGGCTTCGAATCCTTAACTCAAGAAGAAGTTACTACGAGATGGGAGCAAGCTAAAGCTGCTGATGGACAGCGTTTTCAAGACCCATTTGTCGTCACGACATTGGCAGATCATAATCTGAGCCATCTTTTGCTCATGAATGAGAATCTGGGAAGATACTGCGAACTGTTCACTGGACCACAACATTATGATGGATTTCTACAACTGAGCACAGATAATCTGGCTTATGTTTATGAATGGAGGCTTAGTCAAGAGAAAGAGATGAGAAAGCACAAGCTAGGGGGGATGACGGATGAGCAAGTGGTTGAGTGCGTGAAGGGGTATATGCCGGCTTACGAGCTATTCCTTGAACGTCTACAAAATAGGAACTTGTTCAAGGGCAAGGGAAAAGGTGTCAGAGAGAAGAAGCATATCCAAGTAGTGTTGAACAAGGATCGGGATGTGGTACAAATAAGGGAGGAACAAATAAGGGAGGTATAACCGACGAGTTGTATGGACTATGACAACCACAAGTACTAACATAGATAGTTCGAAACTAAATAAACAAAAGCTTCATACCCCTTGTTTAGAGTATTCGGTAAAAAAAAAACGCGTCAAGAACTTGCAATTGGTTGGGCATAAGAAAGGTCCTTGTTCAATTTACCATCTTGCATGTCAACATGTCAACAGTACGTCACTAGGGCATCCGGTCATGCCGAGATATTGACAAGGGTATCGGGCCGCAACCCCGGCCAATTCCCAAGCAGAGGTTTTACAGGCCAAGCGGCAACTGAACTGAGCCGACAGTCAACGGGCTATCTCGCACCTACGATTTCCGGAATAATGCCCTGGTCAAAGTAAGAGTGTTTTACAATATCTAGAATTGAATAGCATTGTTCATGCTGTCTTTGGATTCTCCTCACAATCCCCCCTTACTCACGACCGAAAACAACAAGATTATCATCTCAGCCATGTTGTCCTTCATGCGATCGGCGCAACCGCCGCGAACTGAAAATTCATCAAACAATCCCATCATCTACGACTCAGGTCGCTCTTCTGTCACATTCCGCAACCCGGAATCGGACTACATCATGACCCATCGCATTCCCCCGACTACCACAGAGTACGGCGTCTCCATTGTCACTCCGCCATTCCACTACCACATCTACCAAGATGAGTTCTTCTACGTCCAGTCTGGCAAAGGCCGCTTCTATCGTGGTGTCGAGAAGGAGCCCTTCGCTATTCTATCTAGCGAACCAGGCCTTCAGCGAACGGCGTCGGTCAAAGCGGGACGATACCACCGCTTCGAGAATTCTTCAGAGACAGAAGATCTGGTGGTCGATATCCATTTGACGCCTGAGTCATACGAGGACGAGCAGCGCTTCTTCCGGAATTTCTTTGGATATCTTGATGATTGCAGGGAGGCGGGCAAGCCACCGAGCTTCTTCCAATTGATGGTCTTCCTGCACAGCGCAGACACGCCTCTCGCGCTACCACTCCCTTGGGAGTGGCTTGGAAAGGTCGCGAGTAGACTGCTTCTCTGGGCTGCAGCATTTTGGGGTCGGTTCGCGCTTGGATACAAGAAGACATACCCTGAATACTATGAGGAAGGAAAATCGAGATAAACGATTTGTTTGAGCTTGTCCATCAGCCAACGCATGTCTATATCCCTACATTTAAATAGAGTCGCCTCATATATCTGTCCCTACAGCGTCTAGTATTCATTGGAACCGAAGCTGTGTTGTTCATAAACCAGAAACGCAATACAATACAATTGGCTCAGTACCACCATCTACAGGTGTCTCGATCAACAAGCAGTATCCACGATATCAATTCAATCAAGGCGCACTAATTGCTCCCTCAAAGACCCGTACCCCCTGACAAGTATTGGTTCTCTAACCGAGAGGGGTTGAGCAAATTGAGTTTTCGGAATCTTCCGACTGTTGCAAGGACTCATCCGCCGGCGGATGTCGCACCTTGACTCTCCAAACATTTAACGCTACTTGGCCTACTCAAGACGTGGTTATATATTCGATGAGGATTCTTAAGTTACCGTCTGTTCTATTCCACGTGAGCCTGCCTTATCTTGTTCATTGAATCCTTCTACTTTCCGTCTTCATCTCTGGTTTTCCTGTTGTTCTCAAACCAAACGTAACCATGACCTCCATATCATGGTCTACAATTCCCTGGGTAGACTCGGGCGCTACTTGGCACAAGCGTTATGTTCCGTACTCAGCTGATGCACATTACCTTCAAACTGTCGATATCTGGGTACCCAAAGACGCTCGTGGTCCTAGGCCCCCCGCATCGGATCATGTTCCTCATCGCGATGGTCCATGGATCATTTACATACATGGTGGTGCATGGCGAGATCCTCTGGTCGACTCTTCTTCTTTTGAAGCTACCGCACTCAAGCTTTTCAGTGCTCAAGACTCCCCAATTGCAGGGATTGCTTCCCTCAACTACCCTCTTTCGAGTCACCCGAAGCACCCTACGCATCCATCACCGCCTCAGGATCCATCTAAGCCTGTGGATGTTGCCCGTACAGCAAAACACCCCGACCACATAATTTCCGTGCTCTCGGCTATTTCGTTCCTCCAGAATGAACTTGGTGTTGCTCACAACTATGTCTTGTCGGGTCACAGTTGCGGTGCGACATTGACTTTCCAGGTTGTCATGAATGAAGAACGCTGGATAAAGGCTGCCGCAAGTGGGGTTACAATCCCCAGAGTGAAGAAGCCTGGGGTCATTGTTGGTCTTAACGGGTTGTATGACCTGGCCAGCTTCATCAACAACCCACCAGGGTCACATAAAGAACTGCAACCTCTTTACATCGATTTCACGAAAGGTGCCTTTGGAAATAACCAACACGTGTGGAAAGCCATCTGTCCCACTAGTATCCACGACTGGACGGCGGAGTGGCCGGAAGGACGAGTAGTGGTCGTTGTGCAAAGCAAAGAGGATGGCTTGGTACCATATTCCCAAACAAATCTTATGAAGGAACATTTGAAGAGGACGTCCAAAGTGGATGTTATCGAGATGGAGGCTGGTGGTGATCACAATGATTTGTGGAAACGGGGGGGTGAGCTTGCTGGGATCATGGACCGGGTCGTACGGGATTATGCCGGGATTCCATCATCATGAGGCTGTCAAATTCAAATAGATAGATAGATGACAAGAAGACACTCGTGTTTTGAATGAGATGCCGATGAAGCTGTTCTGTTGTATTATAAATCAGCCATCTACTACGAACTCATGAAATAAGTATCCCATGCTTGAACTAGGCAATCAAGTCCTATCTCATTCCATAGGGTCTGGACCTCTTGAGATGGTGCTGACTTGACTCCTTCAAGATTTTGCTCCGGATACTGGTCATTCTCAAGCATGCCATACACTCTCATTTTTCCAGAAGAGTGGAATTCGGCCCAAGGAGTTTCGGCATTCACGAAAGAAATGACGTCGCGAGCAAAGCTCATGGCTATCTTTCTCTGGGATTCGTCCATGATATCTTTGTAATTCAAGAAAAGATAAGCTATGTCGAGACAGTGGGCTGAACGACCCTTGTACCGTCCAAGCCATGGATTGGATTCCTTGAAGTAGTAGAGCCACGACGAACTAGGCCAGGAGCTGGCATAATCCCTAGATGAGGCAAAGAACTTGAGGTCTGTCCCAAATTGTATGATCTTGTCGCGAGTTTGGTCAGCATCGTCTGTTTCTATCGGAAAAAGCCCGTATAGGTCGAGAAGCTTTCCAATGTTGGCATGCTGCATAGTGGGAAGAGTCTTCATCAGGCATTTGGCAAACCCTTGACCTAGTGAGTCGGACTCTCGGTTGGCGAAAAGACCCATTACCTCGAAAATGGCTCCGTCGAAGTCAGCTGAGCCAATCATGAGAGGTAGGGCACGTCGAGACGCACACGAATGTGCCTTGATTGCTCCAAATGACGGTAACTGATCCGGTTCCACTACTGGACCTAAGGGAACTGAACTAGGTACCTTGGCCAGAAGGTCTTCGGGCGTTGTCGCTTTCAAGTTGGCTATTTGATGGTCGATGGGCATGGCAGAATCTATACCGAGATGATGAAGGACAGCTCCATACGCGTCTTGAGCGGCAGATCTAGGGAATACGGCGGCAGCCAGTTTGTTTCCGCTCATGCAGACAGCTCGGCTAAAGATTGGTTCTTCGACGGGGTCAAGGTCCAGGAGATGCATGATAGAGCCTGTGGGCAAATTGTCAAACAACGCATTCCTTTTCACAGGGTTCTTTCCAATGTACTTACTACCTCCAGCGCTCTGCCCAACAGCGGTGATTTGGTCCGGATCGCCTGAAAATCCGCCAATGTTGAGTCGAAGCCATTGGAACGCTGCCTGTTGATCGAGAAGACCTCTGTTTGCCGGGGCACCTGTTGCCCTCAGCTCCTCGCTGTCAAGAAAGCCGGGGATTCCAAGTCGGTAACTAATCGAAACATGTTATTCATATCAGAAGACGACAAGAAGAAATACGAATCCATGGTCTGGAGGAGCGTCTTACTTGATTGACACACCGATTATAGGCTTTCCGATTGATTGGGAGTAAGCAACAATGGAGGCTAGATCATAATGAGGAGCCCAGTTGCCGCCGTGGATGAAGCCTCCACCGTGGATGAACACAAGGACGGGAAGCTTCGCCGCTTCTTCCCCAACCGAAGCTATAGGGACACTTATGTTGAGATTTAAACTGTCCAAGTCGGAAATGGCCGGTGAAATGGGCCCGTCAAGAGGCTTCTGAATGAGGCTGAACTCGACATCGCAGCCTGACGAGGACGCAACGACACTGGGGCTGGATAGCAGAGTGAATGGTAAGCCAAAACAAAAGCCGACTAGATCAAGGTCCTGATACCCAACGGGAAAACGTACCCAAAATTTGTTGCATCAACCGTTCCTTCATATTTGATCTTCACTTCTGGGGCAGCAAAACGATGGGCAAGTGTAGCATACTGGATGCCCAAGTACTGTGCCACACCTTCAACACCGGGTTTGACGCCACGGATGTGTCCAAGATGAGGGTGCTCTAGTTGGGTAGCCATAATGGAAAGACCAAAGGATCTAGAGCAGTACGAATCACAAACAACGGACCAATTCGATTGTTTATTATCAGACAAGCGACGTGCCGTATGTCGGATCTCGCCTACGGACACATGGATTTGACTCTGTAATCAGAACCCTAGACTAGACTAGACCAGACCAGGTGTCAGATCCGACAAATATAGGCTGAGCAATAGGTGCACTTGCCGTCGCACTCCCCGCTCCCGCCAAACTAATCTCGTCAGTGGAGTAGGTAGTCTATCAGCTATCAGACTGGTATCTCAGATTTGGAGTCTAGACTGAGATGATCTTAGTGTACATTGACCCCGCCCTTCTAATCTGTTCCCCCTACTGATCCTTGACTTGCCTTGCTCCAGACTGTGACAGACACAAATCTAGCACCAGCGTCGGTGTGCATTGTAGCAGCCGGACCTACCGAATTGCTCTCTGTCTCCTGCTGAACAAATTGGTCTCCAAAATTGAATTCATACCGACGTGAGGTCGTCTCACTATGCCTCGACCAAAGGTCCGCCTCGAGGACCGTCGACGCGCGGTAAAGGCCTGTGTCCCTTGCCAGAATAGCAAGAAGAGATGTGACTCGGAAACTCCATGCGCCAATTGCCGACGACGAGACTGTATTGCTTCTTGTATCTACGACCCGGACGCAGCTCGTCCACGACGTCTCGGCAGTAAATATAACCATTTTCCGGCCAAATACCGAGAACAAGAGCGACGAGGCAGCACCAACACCATGACCACCGCCATAAGCAACGACGATCACTCGAGCCTGGATCACACCATTGGCTCCGACACCATGTCATCTATCAACGTCGCTCACGCGCAAGTGCGAGATCCTCAAACTCCAGAGTCGACCCAAGGTCCATGTTCAAACGCTACTCCAGATGCTCCTCTGGCGCCTTACACGCCCAACATCCGTAGCTCTGCGCAGAATCTAGAAGGTGAAAAAGGTGAGCAGTTGAATAACCTAGGTTCAATGTAGGCCCCTTGGAAAATTACTTTTCACTAAACTTTGCACCCTATCATAGTATCAATGGGTGATTCTGTATCACTCTCCTTCCTCGATTTCTTGCGCCACACGTTTCTACAGTACATGGGACCATCACCATTCACTGATAAAGAGAGTGCAAAAGCCATGCTAGAGTCATCCTTTCCTCTCTGTTCCTCTGGTGACATATCGGAAGGCAGTCCCGAGAGCCACCTAAGCCTGGAAGAAAAAAAGGACTATATTGAGAGATTCTTCATTGCCGTATGTGTCACCTCAATATCATGGTTACACACAGCCTTTTTACTAAAACGGGGTGTTAGACTACTGGCCTTGTCTACCTATACTCTCCCAAGCAACTTTTAGACATGCTCCAGGAAAGAGAAGAAACTGAGGGACGGCCAGCAGACCAATCTAACCAGGAATCATCCCACCTACATAGCGCCGTTATAGACATGGCCATTGCGATTGGCGGCCAGGGCTGCGGTACCACCCCAAAGAGCCTATATCATGCACAAAGGCATTTCGACCGTGGTCAAAAGTCTGCTTTTGGGGGCATGCTCCTTGATCCCGAAGTTGACTTGATAGCCGTCTTTCTCATGATGAGTATTTTCATGCTTTGCGCATGCAAGAGGAAAGGGGCTTTCATATATCTAGGCGTCGCAGCCCGTTTGGCACATGCTATGGGTTTACACATGCCTGAGTCATACCACCATATGCCAGCACAGGAGCAAATATTCAGGTAATACCTACCTCTCTGTCAGGTTCTCTTCACGGGCATCAACCTTCTGCAATTACTAATCAACCCTTATCAACAGGGCTCAGGTGTGGAAAAGCCTACGGATCCTTGACATTGCCTTCGGAGCGGTCGTTTCTCAAACGCCAGCCTCGTCTCAGAAACGTTCATTGGATGAGGCCGCATTCCCAGTCCCCGACAGCCTGGAACCTTCGCCTCCAGAATATCTCTCTATGCTGGCAAGCTTCGGTGTTTGTACCATCCTCGAACAAATCACACACCACCTCGATTATAAGGAAGAAATGAGTCTCGCATCGATAAAAGACCTCCTGTCTCGCCTGCGGGATTGGAGTTCGTCGTTACCATCAAGCGTTAGGACGTCGTCGGTTAGCTTACCTCTATCATCAGAGCAAAGACGGAGAACACTAGGCAACTTTGCTGTCTCTTGCTTTTACTATTACGCTGTCATACTGGCCACACGACCGGTTCTGATTTCTCATCTACTCATGAAGCTCGGACGCTTAGACCCATCAGCTACCTCATTTCCTTCCGGACGTCGTGTACAGATGTGCGAGACAGAAGAAATAGCCCAGGTCTGCGTCGACGCGTCACTCCTCCTAGTCGAGACAACGAAACGGACTCAGTCAGTTGGTCTACTCATCGAGAATATGGCACTACTCAAGTAAGCTTTCACCTCACTCGGACTTGATTTATAATAGACACGTATTAAAACTCAGATTAGGGCATGGCTATTCAGCGCAAGTCTCATCCTGGGCTTTTCCCTTTTCGTAGACGCGTCATTATCCGAGGCATCACCGACGTTTGCAAAAGAAGCAGCCTTACATTGCGGCATTGGTATCATTCGAGAACTGGCTCAGACAAGTCCTCAAGCTCATCGCTATCTGGACGTCTTAACGGAGCTCCGTAACGCACTCCAACAATACCGCGAGCGTCTCATTCCTAGACCGGAAAGAATTAGGGGGGAATATCTCAGCCAAATCTTCGTTCTCAATAAAGAGGGAAGTGCACCGGTAGATCCAGATCAGGATGTAACAGCTTTCACACCTTCCGTTGTGCCTCCAGATCTCGGGGCCGAGTCATCGGGAGTAGGCTTGTCAACGCCTCAGTCGGCTGCGGAGTCCACACAAGGATTGAATGACGTGTGGAAGATATTGGATGAAAGTTTTCCATTCACGAATCATGAATTGTCCGGGCAACCTGTGTGTACCGAATTTGTGCCCATGGCTGCGGGTGGGTTTGATCTACATTGGTGTGGAGTTTCGGTTCAGGGGACGGATAATTATCTCTTTGATGTGGAAACGTTTGAAGGCATATTGAATTGAATTTACGTTATATACCATACAGTAATGTATTATCAGAAGCTTAGATGGCTATTTGAAAGCTCAACCGGTTGGCAGATGAAGCATGTCTCTACGTTTTCCCCCTTTTTGTGTGCTGGACCAGTCGTCACCCTACCGATCGTGTTAGCAGACACCCCTCAAAGCAATACAACGAGATTGGAATGGGCTTTCATTACCATTCCTAGAACCTTTTGTGCCCGCAAAAATTCTCGAGTAAGCTCGGGTCCAAACCACTCAGACATTGTATTGCCGATGCCCTCAGTATCAAACCCTCGTCCGCCACCAACCACAACACACCTGCCGTTCAACGTTTTATCAGTTGCCAGCTGCAGGATGAACTGCGACACCTCGTCCGGCGTATTGATGGGCAGGCCGTGCTCCAACCAGGCGGAACGCACAGTCTTCATCATTTGTGTATCCGTGGCCCAAGGACAGATGGCGTTGATGCGCACGTTATACTTGGCGGGAGCCCACGCTCTCAAGGACCTCATGAGTCCGATTATGCCATGCTTTGCAGAGCTGTACGAAAAGAGACCAGTCTGTTCAACAACCCCTGCGATAGACGACACCAGAACGATGGATTTGGAGGTCGGGAAGGTGATGTTATCGGGCACTTTCGAATCATCTTTTACACCCATGTAGGCAAGAGCTATGCGACAAAACAAGACCACGCTAGTCAAGTTGATCTCAATAGCATCTTTGAGCGGCTGTGGCTCCATCATTACGGTCTCCAGGTTGAGGTCGTCTGTCCCAAACCAACCGCTTGGCTCGGTAACCGCAGCGCAGGAGACGGCGACATCGACCCGGCCTTTCTCTTTGTAAGGCGTCTGAAAAAGTTGCAGCTGTGACCTGTAGTCGCGGACGTCGAGTTTTTGGAAATGAACAGATCCTCCGGTATTGGGCGTGTTCGATCGAAGGGAATCCACGAGCTCGCGACCTCTGATTTCATTGCTGTCGCCAAAATAGACATGGGCGCCTCTTTTGTATAGCATCGAAACAGTTGCTGCTCCAATTCCTTGTGAGCCACCTAGATTTGTCAGGCCTAAGCTCTATTTCCAGAAGACAAAACTCGTTGTAAAAACAACCCGATCAGACATACCTGTCATGACAACCACCTGCCCCTTTACGGCCTCTAGGGCATCTAGACAAAGCTTGATCTCAGCCATGGATCTTGGCCAAGTTAAGAGTAATCTTGACATATAGCGGTCCAAAAAGTGACCTAGTCCGTCGTGTGCAAATACTCATGATAGAGGAACCAGGGCTAACGTGTCTGATATCTACGAATGAACAAAGATAAGACTTATCGCAGGAGTTGACGATGGCGCGGGCTTGATCCGCAAGTGCCATTGCCGAAAATGTTGGAGCTAAGGGTGTGGTTCACGGCGGCAAGGGCCATTGCCGACAATGTTGGAGCTATCTTTCTGCCAATTCCAACCTGAATGCTTCACCTTGACATACTTAATCAGAATCTCACCCTTTTCGAAATTGCTCTTCAAAGTCAACCGAGCCCCGAGATGACACCACCATCCGAAAATGTTGGCCCTTTGGCGTCTTACCCCAACTGCTTATCAGTCATCGTCACTGGCGGTGCAAGCGGCATTGGCTTGGCAATCACCCGCTACTACGCTGAACAAGGACATATGGTGGCCGTTCTCGATGTGAACGTAGATACGGGACCTGACATTGTTGCAGAAGTTGCAAAAGAGTTCCCCAAAGCAACACTGAGCTTCAAATGGTGTGATGTATCTTCTTGGGAAGGACAGTACGCAGTCTTTGACCAGGTTCATCGCGAGCACGGACACCATGTTGATGTAGTCGTTGCTAACGCAGGGATCTCTGAGCAAGGAGCTGGGGCCTTTGATTGTCTCCCTAGGGAGTTTCCTCAGAAGCCACAGCTAAGATTGCAGGACATCAACTTGAACGGGATCATCTACAGTCAGTGAAACCTTTGTCCCCACAAACTTTAGGATGTAGATTGACCAAGAATGACAACCGCAGGTGCAGGACTTGCTGTACATTACATGCTGAAGAATAAGCCTGGGAGCCATCTCCCAGCCTCCAGGGGCTCAATCATTTGCACAGCATCAGCTGCGGCTATCTATCCATTCCCAGTTTCGCCACTCTATGCGGCTTCCAAATCTGGAATCGTGGGCTTCGTACGGTCGATGGCAGTTAGACTTGAAGAAAGTCGGATTCAAATCAACGCTCTTGCACCAGGAGTTATAGGCAAGTTGACCGCCTGAGATTCCCCACGCGTTACATTTCGGAACCAACTAATAGGTGCCGTGTCTCACAGAAACCAATATTACCCCCGATAAAGATATCTTCAAAGCGATGGTGGTCACCCCAATGTCCACCTTGACAAGAAGTATAGCACAATTCATGGCGGATCCATCAAGGACAGGTCAATTGGCTGAACTGCATGGGGATCAGATTACTTTGAGACATCATGCGGACTATGCTGACGGTGGGGTGGAGTATAATAACAGGATGTTTTGGACACTGGGTCATGCTTAACAAGCCAAGATATTGACAAATTCAAAGCAACTGGTTAATCTTTTCTCCAAGTAAATATTGTAACACGTGAACACCGTCTTCTGAACGCTGCCTACATCCGTATACAAGAGGTTTCGTATTGGTGTGTGAGAGCTTGGAATACAGGAGCCACGCCATTGCCGCAATCACATGTGTATGAACTATATCAATCACCTGGATTCCCTTTAGATCGACTCCTTTTCAGCAGATATGAGGCAGGCTCGGATAACGTCTTTGTCCAGCCTGCGGCAAAGGACCCATCAGTATCTCTTTGAGCGGCATTGCCCTCTAAAGAGCTAATCACCCCCATGTTATGTTTCTGGTCACTAGCTGGTGTACCTCCATTGCGGCATAGCCATCTAATACAGGCAGTAAAATTGACAAATGAGCTTCTGAGAGTACAAGTTGATTCGCTTACTTTCACTGGTCTCAACGCACGGTCTTGAAAATCGTGGAGGCATTCACAAGGTTCAAAAGGCTAATTCTGTCTTATCTTGGTAGTCCCAACTCCGACCACCTTATCTTGCCCACCTTGATATGATTGGTGGACCAAGTACTCCCCAAATGCACACGACGGTCGGGTCGGCAAGCACCCATCCCCTCATTGTCGGCATCTGGTCCCCTGCCACATGTCTCTCGTGTAGGTAGTGTAGCTTATCTTGGGCAAAAGCTAAACTCCAAGCAAACAAAGTCATCTATAAGGTCTCGAGATCCTGATGAATCTGCAGTTTGATCACACAGTAATTGAGCAAATTTGATTCTTCCTTTCTAAACACTGAAACATATTTTACAACCATGGGTCTAGGTGTCCTTGATGACTCCCATCTTGCTCATGTGCCCGGCACATGCCTCCTCAGCGAAAAGCGAATCTTGTCTGCCTTGGAGGACGGCAGCGAGCCTCATGACAATCTCAAACATGATCCGAGCGGCAACATTGTTCTTGTACCTCATCCTTCTGATGACCCCAACGACCCACTCAATTGGCCAAGATGGAAGAAGGAAATGTTCACCGTTTCCATCGTTATCGGTTGCGGCTGCGTTGGTGCCGTTGGGCCTCTACTTAGCTCAGCAATTGTACCTCTAGCTGCTGAGCTTGACGTGCCCATTCAGAGATTTACATTGGGCTTCAATGGTTCCAATCTAATTGCTCTAGCTGTTGGCAATCTCTTCTGCAACTCGCTGGCAATGACAATTGGGAAGCGCCCTGTATACCTCGTCACCGCCCTAGGCCTACTTCTTACGACAATCTGGAGCGCAGTAGCCAAAGACTTTGTTTCGCTATCAGTCTCTCGTGCGGTTCAGGGCTTTTGTATTTCGCCCATGGAGGCTCTAGTCCCTGCATCGATTGCCGACATTTGGTTCGTTCACCAGAGAGGGTTCCGGAATGCTGTTTTCAACTTCGGTGTCCTTGGTGGCATCAATCTCGCCTCGCCGATTGGTAAGTCTGAGTATCGATTTTGTTCTTCTTCTTGGCAAAGCAGCTAACTCTTTGCTATCAGCCGGGGTCATCATCGATAAACACGGTTATAAAACTTGCCTATGGGGCATGTCAGGCGCTTTTGGCCTGCAGTTGCTGTTGACGTTTTTCTTCATGCCTGAAACAACGTATAAGCGACACGTTATTCCAGGTGTATCAGAGAGCTCTCCGACAAAGGATTTCCCGACGAATGAGAAAACCGATGCATCTCGAGACGCCGGAGCTTCTATCGATGATTACATCCCCAGCCCTGAACGTCACTCGTTCATGTACGAGCTTCGGCCCTGGAGCGGCTATTACAACTCTTCCAACTTTTGGAACAGCGTCTTCGCACCTTTCAAGATGCTTGGTTCTCCTTTGGTTATCTGGGGCTCCTTCCAACTTACCATCTGCATGAGCTGGCTGGTTATGATCGCTATCACACTGTCGCAAATCTTCACTGGGCCTCCATACAACTTTTCCGTCACTGCGGTGGGGTTAGCTAGCCTTTCGTCTTTTTTTGGAACTTTTATCGCGACGGCCCTGGCTGGCATTCTAGTGGACGGGTTAGTCAAGTTCATGGCTACGAGAAATCAGGGAATTTACGGTAGGCTGTCTTCACAAATGACGTTGGCTTTTGACATGAACAATGCGCTGACGTTGGTCACACTACAGAACCCGAGTTTCGCCTCCCGATTCTTGCGCTTCTCACCACGCTCAGCGGAGCTGGCTTCTTTGGCTGGGGCCAGAGTCTTAATAATGTCGAACCTTGGCCTGTTCCGGTAATTGTGTGCTTAGGCATGATCAATCTCGGAATCCAATTTGGTATCGTGGGTCTTGTGTCCTATGTTATCGATTCCCACCGTCATGAGGCTGTCGAAGCATATGCAATGATGAGCTTTGCCAAAAACATCTTCGCCTTCGGCATTACCTTTTACGTCAACAATTGGATTGCGGTTCAGGGGGTGAGGGACACGTTCTTTGTAATCGGGGGAATAACCATCGCTATCAGCATGGCCACCGTTCCGATGTACATCTACGGAAAGAAGGCTCGCAGTTTTGCGTTCCGCCACGGGTTTCTCGCATCAGTCTAGCGATAGTTTTAGTAACATACTTCCTTGACTCTGTGGTTTCTATAATATAGATCGCGAGAGCATGTTTTAGACCGTAATAACTTCTCCCAGGCAGATAGAGCACTCCTATAGAGGGCAGGGATGGGCGTGATTTATAATCATATATAACGTTATTTGCGGAGTTTGCATGGTTGCTTACGGCTTGATCAGCTTGTCCGTAGCACTCCACTGGTTCTGCAAGTGGTGTCATTCAGGACTTGGCAAATACGACGAGTGTGGAGTAACATATTGCATTCTACTGCCAATCAACGGCCATTCTGGCTTTTCAAAATACTACCTTGGCTGCCTGATACCCAGTCCGTGGGCGCCCAGTGATTATAGTCCAACTAGACATACAGTCGCCTAGGCCTCCCGACGCAAGAAGCCAGTGAGTGCCCTGACAAGATATTGTGAGTAATAGACATTGCCAAGACAAGGGTACCTCCGAAGATGACTCCGAATGAGGACCGGATTGTCAGATTGAAGTCACGTCCAGTTTCCCAATCGGTATCTAATTGCCCATTTGATCAGCTGAACAATAGCACACAGTTGCCCGTTTCACCGTAGATATCGAGACGAGAGAATGCCGAAAAGTGTTTCTCTTATTTGCGGATATTTTTATGAAACCCAGTCATGCGAAAGCAGTCAAAACATATCTATCACCTCAGAGCCATGACTTGTATCCGCTGAGAACCAGACTAATCTTTCCAAGCCTCAATGGCGTCTCGGATGGTGATGAATCCCATATCCGGAAATATCTTGTTCAGGCTTTGTTCATACTCATAGTCCAAATGGCCTTCAAGCAAACGTAAACTCGTCGTTGCCCAGCTCTTGGTTAATTCTTTCCTTGTCCTATCATCTTGCTTACCGGCATATTCACGCAGTCTAGGTGTGAGAGTGATATGTCCTTCCCGCAACCGGTCGGCAGAGTCATAATTGACTGAAAACTTCTCACCCTTGATCTCCTCGGCCATTTGGACAATCTCGTTCATCGTGAGACGGTTGCCAATAACGCAATACCTCGGCTCCCATCGAGTCAGACTCAGTAGCCGTGCTACCGCCCTTCCGACATCCCGCGAATGCGTGACAACTATCGCGGCGCTTCCATCACCCGGCAAGGCGGCAAAATTGTTTGGAATGTCCACCCACATGACAAAAAGCTCCCCAAGATGAGATGGGAGCCGTGGCGCAGACCAATAGTCAAGGAGGAAACCGTTCGATATGCGAGCATACTCAAGACCACTGGCCTCGAGCGCCTTGGATGCCTCGACTTTGTAAAGATACGGTTTGACATGGCGGATTCTCCTGCTCAAGCGTTAGAAAGTCATGTAAGCTCATAGAGACACGGGGAAATACTCAGGGTCTGGCGCATAGTCTATGCCACCATATTCGCTTGGGACAAACCGCCTCACACACCGAGAGCGACGGGCTGCCTCAATCAAGTTGAGCTGGGCTCTGCCGCTAGACTCGTCGTTGATGGAGAGCGCGGAGATGACCACCTCAATGCGCAGCTGTTCCAACTCGTGTATTAACTTATCCACGTCTGTGTAATCAACGACATGTGTTTGTAAAGTAGGATGGGTAGTACGACTAAAGATTATAAAGTCATTACGTCCCTGTTCGGTGAGGCCGTCAACGATGGATCGACCAATGCTGCTTGTGCCGCCAGCCAGTGCGATTGTCATTGTTGCAAGATAAATTATACGAAAAGCGATGCTGTTCTAAGAAGTTCATGGCACAAACCATCTATTCTACTGAGGCTATCATGTTTTCTTTTTATAAACTACCAGTTGTCTTACTATAACTTCAATAACGTTAAGTCAATAATAATAATCTAATAATTATCCATCCCATGCTGATCAAACGATGCTGATAAATCAAGGCGTCTTGGCATTTCGATTAGAATGCATAAATTCCTCAGGCAATAACACACTCGGTATCAAGTATCACCCCGAGGCCGCATCGTGGGCAAAGAATCCTACCGAAAGCCCGCCTGGAGCTGAGGATCCCTAGTTTGTATCGTTATTGATTTCATAGTCGACCAAGATCTCCTTGAACAAATGAATAATAGCTCATTTATTAACGGACTCGGGGAGATTGGGGAGCTCTTCAAAGAGAGACTGGACATTCTCTACCTAGAAGACCCGGAGCCTGTGTCGTCCGACATGAATAGGGTAAGAAGATTGTCACGTGACTTATTCGGAAGACCTGCGGGGGATCATAGATGGCGAGGCCACTGAAGCTTGGGAGGAGACAAAGGGTTGTGGATTTCAGGAGAGACTGTTGAAGCTATTGTAAGCGGCTACATGTTTGATTTCGACATCTTACTAGAATAGGAGGGGAGCTCATTCATGAGATCAAATTAATTCGATGGTGTTTTACGCCTGCCTGTCTGGACTTAACCCGGCTTTGCCAGCGGAGGATGCCGGTCCAATCATGACCCCGACGCTAGCACGATTTATACCAGGAATGGATTTCACCCCGCCAAAAACAAACATCACGAAGCTTCAAATCAAAATAAACAATCCTATCTTGCGAAAAGGTCATATCCATCTCCCCCAGCACCACCACCACCACCACCATCATTCTCCCCAGCATCAGATCAGACCTCGATGAACTCTACACCATTCCTGGATTGGATCGAGAATTGGCTGCAAGCCATTCCAAATCCCTCGCCCATTCAGCTACCAAAGCCGTACAGCCTCCAACCGCGTAACCCTGAAATGACACCTCCACCATCTCGATCAAGCAATCGAAGCAACTCCCCATCAAAGAGGCAAAAGCTCGGTTCTCTTCCCGGTCAATCTATTGCCATGGATCACCAGTATGAGAGCAACGATGACCAGGCAACACCAAGGTCAACATCTGCAGCCGTCACAGCCGTCGACTCTCGGCCTCTTCCAATTTTCTTGGGTAGAGACATTCCCAGCCTGACTCCTTCGCAAACATCGAATTCGCAAGTTGAACAGTCCATGGTAGGGTCAGAAGCTGGTGGACAGTCTTTGCGAGAGTCTGAGGCCAGCGGCTCTCCAACGAGGGCAAGGCGCAGGAGCCCAGACAAGAGCAAGGTCAAAAACGTCAACAGCCTCCATGCCATGGACTTGCCTGTCGTCCGGGTTGCTCAGCAAGACAACCCGTTCGAAAAACTGCCCAAAGATGTCCACGAGCTTTTCACGCGGATCCACGCCATAACTGTGCTACGCGATCGGTTCATTCCGTCCGAGATCAAAACCCAGTTCAAGAAACTGCAACCACTTGTCCCGGACAGTTGGTTCCGTCCACTCGAGGAACTTGGCGTCTCCATCAACTATGATCCGAAAAGCAAGGACGCAATTCTTGGCATCGGCGGGCCGACAAACTCTACTGAGGCCGCTCTTGAGGAACTTCGTACGCTGCGCCGCCTCAAAGCCGACGCAGACACATGCGAGCTCTGCGGGTACTCTGAAATTGGCTGGAACATGACTGTACACATGCCACTCTTGGTGCATGCGCTTTCCGCCCAACCGACGGTCCATGTCGTGCCGTCTCTGACAGCGCAGCTAACTTCCAAATTTGTGCCTTCAGCCGGGAGTAGTGTAATCGAAGCCAAGATGATCGACTTTGCCCTCGCTCTGTGGCTGGGCAACGGAAAGCCACCCCGCTCAGATGCAGCAGACCAGGACTCCCGACTGATGACTGCCATCACGAACAAGGTATTCAATCAACCCGGGGACTCGCAGACTGTCAACCAGACCACCTTTGCACCACTGCAGTTTGCTCCGATTGGGTGCAACGTCGAGACCAAGCTCGGAACTGCCATCACCGACGGCCGACTACAACTTGGGGTTTGGACCGCCGCCTGGTTCTGCCGCATGGAGACTTTTCGTCCGAAGGGTTGTCCATGGGTCACGATACCTCTCCTTTACGTAGTCGACCACAGCTGGCGGATCTCGTTTGCTTGCCACCGCAGCGATTGCATTGAGATCTTGGAGGAGATGGATATTGGGGATACAAGATCATTGGTAGGGATATATCAGTTGACGGCGGTGTTGAGGGAGCTCGCGACCTGGATATCAACAACATATCGGGAATGGATTGAGCGGGTATTCCTTGAGACTAGATGATTGTGAAATCAGTGGTGCAATTCAGGTCAAGGTTAGCATATACATGCACCTCAGGTCGCGAGTCTTGATGATACTGTCCTTACTTTGAAACATTACCCTTAAACTCGGTTAACGTTACCAACCCTGATAGCAGTCACTGATCCCCCATGACTCTCTAACACGGCCAACGCAGACAGGACTGCTATCAGAGAATACCTCTCCCAAGTTGTTGAAGCAGGATACAACCAACCTCTAGCGTCAATTACCAGGCCCAACATTGGAGACCTTGTCGTGCGCCGTTACGCCAAAGAACTCTCGCCACCAACTCGACGGAGACGCTTGCAAGCCGCATCCGCTACCACCTCGAGGTATTCATCAATCACTCTGTGGCGGACGAGGAACTTCGTATTACTGAGGCCAAGGACCGATGCTTTACTTTTTACATCCAGACGATGCTTCTGGAGACAGAAGTTGGTCAGCTGATTTACTCGAGGTTTAAAGTTGTCAACGCCGAGATCTGCGCGACGCTGTTCAACATCGCACGTTTCTGGGTAGCCTAGATGACGATACCACACTGAAGGATGTTAAAGAGAACTTGAGGTCTTTGATGGATTGTTTGTCCTGGCGTAACCATCCCGCCACGATAGACAGTGACATGCTGCGATGATTGCTCTTATAGATGCTCTCAAGTTAATGTATTATTTTGATGCCGTCATGATGATATTTTGTACGCACGGCTCACTTGATGTCAAAGTTTAATCGTCTGATGTTCAGTAGCAGCGATTCTCCCCGGATTGTTACGAGTCAAACGTATCTGGGATAGCTCAACGGGCATTGTCTGAATTTCTATATTATCTTAGGAAAGCCCTCTGCCGTCTCATTCAATGTCTGGTTTCTGGTACAAGGGAGGGTACTCGCTGCTTGGTATTTCGTGCCGCTTGAGCGTCTTGATTTTAAGACAGATTTAAGATGGGCGAATGGAACAGGTCATTCCTACTGTTAGGAATACATCATCACTTCTTGGGTTATTGGGTGGTAGAGGATTAACCCCTTTGAGCTTGTCCGAATAAGAATACAAATATAAACTTTGTACCAAAGCTAGGAGAATGAACGACCACGTTCTACATACGTAGCCAACCTTCTACATCGTGATGGCGACACTTTGTCAAGTGAGGCAGGGTTTCCACACTTTAGAACGGAGTCTGCTGGTGAAAGTAATCCATAAAGAATGCAAGCTTGTCAGCCTTCGCGACGGTCATGTTGCCCCATCCGTTGCCGAGACGTTGGACATGGTTGGTCATATCGTCGTTGGGATACCAGTGGGACATATTGCCGGCGGTGTACGCATCACCTTCGTTCGGGTTGCCGGTGCGCACAAAGTTGATCCAGTAGCCGGTGATGACTTCGGCGATAGCGCCGTTACCCACCAGATCCAGGTGCCGTTCAATCTCACGTCGGAGCCAACGAGAAGCTCCTCCATCGACAGCTCACGCATCTCGGCAATGCTCGACGCGTTATGGAACGCCGTGTAGTTTTGTCCATGGAACAAAGCGTCGTCCATGGTGACGTATGAAGTCGCAAGGCCAGCCAAAAGGGTGTCATAAGGGTAGCGGATGCCAGACTGGGAGATTGCACCGGAGAAGAGGCCCGAGAAGAGCTCGCTGTTAACGGCGTGGTAGACTTGAGAGGAGCCGAAGGATTCGCCAGCAATAGTGACACGCTCCAGGTCCCCTCCAAAGTTGGCAATATTGCCCTGCACCCACTTGAGTACTTCGAGGAAATCTAGCACGCCGTAGTTACCCGACGTATTAAAGCCATCACGCGCAAGACCTTCGGCGTTGAGATCAGGATGGGCAAGGTAGCCAAAGGCGTCGTCACGACGGTTAAAGGAAATGAAGACAACGTCTCTCATAGCCATGCCACCACCGTACCACCATGGATTGTCGCTGGAAAGGCCGCTGCCCTGGTTCCACACCAGGACGGGCAAGTTGTCGCTGGAAGAGTTGGCGTTGGTCCAGATGTTGAGGCTCAAACAATCCTCGCTCGACGTGGGGTTCTTTGGGCTAGGGCATGCGGGACCGAACGAGGTCGCCAGCAGCGTTTCATTCCATGGTTCATGGGGCTGTGGTGGCTTCCATCGATTCTGATAGCCAGTGTCGGCTGCAAAGGGGATGCCCAGGTATGCCGTAACGCTGCTAGTCGATGTGTTGAAGTACTTTTCGGTTGTGCTTGAGTTGAAGTACTCGAAGCCCTTGACGGGACCATAAGTGGTCTGAATCGTCTTATCCCACAGCTGAGCATTGGTTGAGACGGCCAACAGGGCAGCGCTTAGGCTCAAGTCCCGGAAGGATGGCATTCTACACAAGGTGAAGCTTCAAAAAATAATGTGTCTCGCCGATTACTGAGAGAAGAGGATGATCAAGTTGCTGGTATGACAGATAAGGAAAGTCGATGACGGGAAGGAGATGTTGTAAAGTGGTGGTTTGATTGTCATATATACAGACACCTCATGACTAGAACACTTTCCATTCTTCACCAACTTGAAGAAATGTGGTGTGATGACGCCTGTTACGTATCCTGTCGTGGCTTGACACTCAAACCTACGAGTCTTCCGCGTGTCAGGCATAGCTGGCCTGATGGACATCGGTTTGAGAAGTATTGAGAGCACCTTGAGGACTGTGCATGGCATGTTAGAGAGAGCAACATTGTGTTTGAAATGGCAAGTTCGCCGTGCTGTGTAGGGTAACAGGGGGCGGAAACAATGAAAAGGGTCATGCGCTTACGAGTCTTCATAACTCTTACGCAGAGACTCGGCCTCTTTACGGCAGTTGCTAGTGCGGATAAAACCCTAGAAGAGGGTCCCTTTGAGCCTGTGCTTGCTCAGCTTCCTAGTCTAGAACTTTAATGCTATGCGGGATATGGCGGTTTGACGATGAGATGGGCTGCTGAAAAGTTGGGTCAAGGATATAATCCTGGCTTTGTATTTTGACTATGTCGCGTTAATCCTGGTCTGCAACCCGGCATTAACATAAACAGGGATCATAGCCATCCACTCGGTGTGGATGCTCGGGACTACCCCACGATTGTTATACCTTACAAGGAAGAGAGCCTATTGGGGCCGGCCGCCGGATTCAGCCAGCATGTGTGTGAGGCCCGGTTGTTCAAGAATATCAGCAGGAATATGAATATTCGAACTCTGACTAAATTTCACCACTAATCTTATCACAACTCAAGAAGCATTGCCTCATCCAGTCTGGCCCACAGCGAATTGGCACATAATACCTCCTCCCAACTCGAAAGTCGCCTCGCAGTATCTGCACCTTGTCCATCGGTGATCTCCCGGCCTTGATATCGTCTGAAGTGATGTCTTGTCGACCTTCCAGTCTCGCCATGCCTATGTCGCTTCTTGGTCTTCATCAGTTTCCTCCTCTTGCCTGCAATCACCCGCCATTTCCACTGCAACACCACTGGGGGGCTCATAACAGTTTTATGCTCGGTTGGGTTGGAGATAAGGTCGGATGCAATGACTTGACCAGGCCCGAATAGAGTTGCTACTATCAATGTCCCAGATGCTGCCTTCGATGAGCTCAGTACAAAGTACAAGTAACTCTTTTCTTTAGCTAATATGTCATCGGTGTATATGGGCTTTGGGTTATGTACGTGAAAGAGTTAATATATGAGAGAAGAGAGGGCCTTTAAGTATTAATACTACTGTAAATTATGAATCCATCCGTAATACTATGAAATCTAGCGCACTTGAGGTAAGACCGAGACCGAGAGTGAAGGGAAAAGCGAAATCCTCGTTTGTTATTATGCTTAAGCTGGGTGAGATTCTTATCAAGCAGTTATATAATTACCCGTTGGCTTATGTGGGCCATGGGTCAAGGGTATCGCCAATATTGGGTAACATGCTTGATACTAACTAGGAGGTAAAACTAGAGTGCCGGAAAGCTACGTAATATATTAGACGCGACCGATATAGCTGCGTTAATGCCATACTCTCCCGTTAAGAGATATAAGGCGGCAACCATGTGGTTCGCTATGGTGTTGAGTGTATATTAATTATTATCGTATTTATCCCTCTTGAGGTTACCGTGTTTATTATTAAAGAGCGCTCGTATTGCCTTGAGTTCTTTCCGCAATGCGCAAATGATTCTTGAAAAGACATATATCTGGCGTGGCGACGTCGAAATCCCACCTAACGGCCAACGGCAGGGGCGTCTACTAGTTCCGATGGACATAACCCTGGACTTCACGCGGGCATAGGCATAACAAGTTGAAGATAACCATATCGAAGGGTTAACACGAGTGGAACTGATCATAGTAATCGAATGTCTCAAACGAAGGATGAATATTGCAACTAGTGCTAGTAAAGATCGACTGGCGATGAGAATAATAAAGTGAAACCCAAGCCCGCTCAATGGTCTGTTAGTTCCCGTAACCGTCTGCCTTGCATGCCTTCAAAGCGATGGGAATTTGACGGCCCCCAAAGTTCTTGTCACCTTCTGGCTTCTCTCTCGTATGGATCTTGGCATAGAACGTGGTGTTGCTGGCCTCCTCGTGAGAGAAGTCCGTGAGATGGACAAAGGACTTGACATCAAGGTGGCTCCGGCAGTTGTCACACTGAGCGACGTTCCAACGACTCAGCACTGCCTTGGTCGAAATCAGTCTGTCAGGCTGGCCGTCTTCGGTCTTGGCCCACGTGGAGATGATGAAAGAACCGGAGACCTTGCCTCGGTTGATGCCGTCTACAGCAAGCTTCGGGGCGTCGACAAAATGTTCGCCTGGCATGATGCCATGCCTGCCGTCGCGGCCTGGCTCTGTGTAAGTGTAGCCAAGGTCGGCGATGTTGACAACGTCCTGGTAATTTGGTGTTAGCTCTCCGTACAACAAGAACAAAGTTCTGTCTAGGACATACGTTTGAGGTTGTGTCACGCTCAGCTCCAGTAGAACGATCAGTAGTCTTGAAGGGCACCAGGGGGGTGTCGGGGGTATAATAGCCGGTCACCTGCCCTTGATCGTTCTTGATCTCCGTTCCGGGGTCTCCCTTGATGAGATCCAGCTTATCGGTGCTGTTGTGACGCTCTTGCCACTTCCAAAATGTATAGTCGATGAAGCAGTGGTGGAAGAAAAACACTGGATCGAAGCCTGCCGTGTCGTTCTCCCCCATGTCGCCATTGGCAAACGGGTAGACGTCAAAGTTCCCCTGGCCAGGCACGTCAAATCCACCAACTGCGAGGTGTAAGGCGTTGTGTGGTTGCTCGAGAGGGATAACAGGGCGCTCCGTGGACTCGTTCTTGTGTTTGCCGTTGTGTGCAGCCGCCGACGTAGTGTTGGAGAAGATGGTGTAGTTGGGCGCGTCCAGACACTTCACATAGTTGTCTGCTTCGCCAGCTGCGATGACCTTGCCCTCATGGTTCTTGAATGTTTGGGCAAAGAGCCATCTCTTGATGTTCTCGTTCAACAGGCGAGTGACTTCCTCTGGTGGGTTCTTGTCCACTGTCTCGTTGTGGAGAGCGGTCTGGTCCTTCCATTTCCCGCTGACCAGGCCCGAGTAGGGGTATCGAACAGTCCGGTATCCCTCGGGCTTGGTGTAGCCATCCTCGTCGTCTTCATCGACAACAGTCTGCTGCATCTGGTACGAGAAGAGGGGGCTTGGGATTGACGTCCCATCCTGGAAGGTGTAGCTCTTGTCGGTGAAGAGGTTGGGGAGGCCCTCCTCCTTTGTCTCGGAGGAAACTTCATCCCAGTATGGCAAAGCCAGATCTCTGCATCCAGGCGCACTGCGTAGGGCCTCTTCAAGCCTAAGAAGATACGCACGGTGCCATGTGGGAAACAGAACAACTCCATCTCCTTCGTGAACAGCGTCACCGCCTTCGACGTTAAGAGCGAGGACATACCCCCGGAACAGACACTTATCCAGCGCATCACCGACAAAAGCAAATACGAGCCTCGCATGCAATGTTTTCTCCTCAACCTCTCAGTCTGGGTGCTACCGGCGGCGTAGGTCCAGAGGCCCATGCTAGGATGTAGACGAACGATAAGATTGTTCCGTGAGTGTCCATTCCATGTGAGCCCGTACGATGTTAGCTAATCCGACTTCTTCGCCTAGGCTGAGTGCGTTGATGGAGAGTGAGCGAGACAAGAAGCTGTATCGAGAGACCTGGGACGAAACCTTGGACACCCTACGCAAACACGTAAGCTCGGATTTAATTTGGGGGAAACCGGCGCGTGAGCCACTAAGCCGAGAGAAAGTCACGAGGTGAGGATGAGATTTAAAGTTAGTAGCTATTATTGTCCATCGTTATAGGCACTTGCTCGTAGACCGGCTGTGAAATAGAGCGGCCTGGCCAGCCATGAGGATCCCATTATTCTTCAGTGAATTGGACTTCAACATTTAACACGTAGTCCTTGATCTAAAATGGCTTGCCGGTGATTCTCAAGGACATCTTCCCTCAGTGACGGTACCCCTAAGATAAAAGGTTAGCTTCACTTCCAGGTTTCGGCGCATAATCGAATCACTTACATGACAAACCAGCTCTCCAAGGAGAGATACCCTCCGCGGTCGCAACGTTCGACAGCCATCTTGACTAGCTGGTTACACTTGTCCCGCGACAGGGACATGTCGATGCCAAACTCGTTGCGCAACCAGAACCCTATCTTGATGTTGCCGAAGGGAGCGTTATAGCACCCAGTCTTGACTTGGTTGGGAGTGTAAGCGCCGACCCCATCCTTGTCGGAGTTTCCGTCGCACCAGTATCCCACGCTGGTGACCGCGGCAGGCCTGTTGTCTCCCCAGAGCAAGTTGTCGTTTGTGGTGTAGCAGTTCGCGGTCACGGGGTAGACGTAGCCGATTGTGTGAACGCAGGCGTTGGCGAGCCATAGAGTTTCGCAGTTTGCCCCGACGGAGGGATTCCATTCGTAAAACTGCTGCACCGAGATGCCGTAGCGGGCGGCTAGCTGCTTGCATGTTTCGTCTTTTTGTACAAAGTGGAACTTGTCGCAGTTCTTCGCGATCGCGCCTTGCGTTGGGGAAGGTGTGACGATACCATTGGTTACGGTGGTCGTAGTGCTCGTAGATTGGGGCGTCGTCGTCGTCGTCGTCGTGCGGATGGTGGTCGGCGTATCTGGGACCCCAACACAATAGTACGTGTCAGCCCAGAGACCTTGCCTGCAGTCGCTGCCAACCGCAGGGTTCCAGGCTAGAAATTGGGCGACCGTGAAAGTGCCATGTGCTGCAACGATGGCATCGCAAGTATCGTCTTTGACAGCCTTGTAAAAGCGCACGCAGGTGTCGATGAGCCCGCTCTGGGTCGGTGATGGCTTGACAACGCCCGTACTGGTAGTGGTGGCTCTCGTGCTTGTCGTGCTTGTTGGTCGCGCGGTTGGCGTTCCTGGAATCCCAACACAGTAGTACGTCTCAGCCCATAGGGTCTTGCAGTCGCTGCCGAGTGCAGGATTCCAGCTAAGGAACTGTTCGAGTGTGAAAGTGCCATACTTGCTGACAATACCGTCACAGGTGTCCACGTCCTTGATAGTCTTGTAAAAGGCATTGCAGGTCTTGATGATGCCTTCTTGAACGGGGGACGGGAACGCGCTGGTAGGTCCGCTGCCGGCACTGGTGGAGGTTGGTGTCGCCGACGAACTTGAGGTGGGCAGCGGGATGCCCCAGTTGCGCTCTACGCAGTATTCCTTGCTCCTGTCGATGCCGCTGCAATCTGCGCCGAGAGAGGGGTTCTGAAACCATGTTAGCCCCCTTGTGTGATGGTGGGATGTCAGCGTTACCCAGTCAGTGAATTCCTTGACAGTGATACCCCAGCGATTTGCAATGTCTTCGCAAGTCTCCTCAGCGCCGGGCGCCTCGAAGAACGTGCAGTCCACAGGAACACCTTGTCGGCGCACTACAGGCACTGCTATTCTTGCGGCAGCCCATGGCCGACCAATTGGCTCCGAGGTGACGGCGACAGCCAGGACAATCAAGAAGAAAAAAACGAGTTTGGCCATTGTAGACAGCTCTTAGGACAGGTAACGAGGCAGGCTTGGTGAAGCGGGAGCTGCCATCAATAGAGCTTGGAAAGTGCACATGATACTTATAGTGACTAGCAGCGGCTATTCGAACGCCCATCTAGATGAACCAGACGATCCTAGCTGCCAATTCCTGGATCACAGTGCGAGTCTTGTGGAGGAGTTGGAAGTGACATTCACGACAAGCCAGCTGAAGACTACGCAATTTCGCTCCATGTCGGCGCGCAGAATCTGCCCCTTTCTGTCTAGTTTCTCCACTGACGCTGCGGGGGTACGCGCTGGAGGTCTTCGCGCAAGCAAGGAGATGCACGGGGCCTGCTGCCGGTTGTGAGACGGCTCCCTCCGCAAGTGGTTCCAGAACTCGAGACAATGTAGGGTCGATCCTACCTGTACGATTTGTAGGCAGATGATGCGCTATGGTGCCAAGAACTTTTGGAAATTGATGGAGTTGATTATATGTTGCATCGACAATAGGCTATTGAGTATTTGCACCCCGTTCAGCTGCTGTGAACCTTGGCTTCGCATATTCCGAGCATGATCACGACTTTGCCGATGGACCCCTTCCCAAGCATGGGGCAGAAATTTGGCCTAGGCATCCTGTTTCTTGATCTATGGAGCCACACATCCTTCCGATTCTGTACGTGACAAACCGACTGCGCTTTTTGTGGCAGCACGCAGTTTAGCGTCACCGATGATCCTGCTTCGATCAGCAAGGTCCCATGGTGTCATGCCCTCACTGTCCCGAGCCCCTTTATCCGCTCCAGCTTCGCAAAGCAACCTTGCCACGCCTGCAGCTCCATGCTCAGCAGCCCAATGAAGCGGCGTATGTCCATGCTTGGCACGCGTAGGCTCGGTGTCGCCGAGGCCTCCTTGCGAAAGAGGCCCCGAGTCACGGTCGGCAGGCCGAAGAATATCCTTGCCCAATCTTCCACCCCAGGCAGCTTTGTGGCAAGGATTTCTCTTGTGAGGAACCTCACTGGAGTAGACTCGCGCTGGGTTTGTAATAGACGGAAGAGGGTTCAAAGGCCCATTCAGGAGTTCGCGAGCGAGATCTGTAGCCCTAGAATCGCGGTCCAATGCCCCATGTCTTGCTTGGAACTCTGGGTCCGACATGCTGACCCAAGGTTCCTCCAAGAATACTTGGTCCTCCTCAAACTCCTCCTCACAAAGTTCTGGCTCATCGTCGGTCGTTCGATTGTTGACTGGGCTCATCTCGGTCCTGTCTTGATAGCTTCCGAGGACATGCCAGATAGTCCATCCCTCAGCAGTTGTAGCCGTAGGATCAGCCCCAAGAGAAAGGAGAAGACGCGCAGAGTTGATAGCTGCATGTTCTGTTTTATAGACTCGCGAGTTTGGTGCTAGCGCGCAGATGAGAGGCGTCCATCCCGTGCTATTGGCAGAGTTTATGTTGAAGCCATGACTACCAGATAGTAGATATTTGAGCGTTTCGTACTTTCCACCCGCAGCTGCATAATGAAGAAGTGACTCTCCGTACACGTTTGTCTGTGACAGGGCCGGCTGGCTTGGTAAGTAATAGCGAAGGAAAGTTGCTGTATCCAAGCCTTCTGCGGCCAAGTGCGATGCCATAGCTCTCTCGTCATCTCTGATTGTGATCGAGGCGCCGTGTTTAATTAGAAGGCGAATCCCAACTTCATGCGTCTCATGCCCGCAGAGAGGATCCAGCAAATTATGCCGTTGCCTCCGTATCCCAGGGTCCATGCTGATGGGGAAAGCAAGCAGATGCAGGGCAGTATATCCGTCTTCCCACTGTGTATTCGGGTCAGCCCCTTTTTCGAGAAGAGCCCTCAGCCCGCCTTGCTTTTCAATGCCTTCAACGGCTCGACTCAGAAGAGCAGAGCTTTTCAGGAGCAAGTTGATACCGCTGGCGTCAATCAAGCGTGATATCATGTGGTAGTGTTTCTCCCAGTCGGATTGGACGTACAGAACACGACGACCTATCACATCCGGCACATTGATGCGATCATTCATGGAAACCTCCAGAACCGTCTCCAGGGTGCTCTTATCGTACTGAACTTTACCAAGGAGCAGGTCGACGATCTCTGCATGCCACCTTGCGGCAGCACATGCAAGAACACGGTTGAGAATACCGTGACTCCAAGCCCACTCCACAGCGTCCAAATACTCGGCCACTATGCCAACATGTCCAAAGATAGCTGCCTGAACAAAAGACATATCAACAAGCTCCTGCTCATTGTGGCCGTGGACCACAATACCGGATGGGGTCATTGTCTTAAGTCGATCCAGTAGAAGTCGCCAGATGTCCCGGTTACCATGGGCTGCCGCAAATTCCAGCGAAGTGTAGAAACAGTTGCCGAACCATTCATTCTCCAGAGGGCTTGCCCCGGTATCCAGCAAGATTCGAGTGGCTTCGACGTTGTTGCACCCAATGGCGACGGCTAAGAAGGTGCCGGAGAAGGATGGTGCGTGGACGGAGTCGGGTGACTTGTCAAGGAAGTCTCTGAGGAGATCCAATTTGCCTTCACGAATAAAGGCGTGCGCTTGATACTTGGGGTCCTTAGAAGGTGTAGAGAACTCATCTTCAGTTCTGCTAGGCTCCATGGCGCCGGGTGAGTGGCCTTGCGTTTGTCGTTTGACTACTGATAAAAGGTGGAGAGTTCAGAACGCCTCAGTCGTACGTACTTGGGGAATTTGCTGATAATAACATGGGGGGACTTCTTGCTTATTATAGTGATGACAACAACTAAAACCCCCGCCCCGCATGCTACATATCTTACATTGTGACGTTAAGCAAAGACAGTATGCAGCAAAAGCTAGACCTGGAAATTGTCCACGCCACCGATTTTCTAATAACTTCATCATCTAATGCCACCTACATGCAAGCTCCTGAGGTACATGAATACAGCATCCATACCCAATCTATCCCCACTGGCTCCCCTCTGGCGCCTTTCTTATTCATCGACAACGGTGTCGTTCCATGAGCGATGAGGATGGATGCAGTACCAAGTACCTATGACCAGCTTGTCGGAGCACTCAATAGCCAGCTCACCAAGAGACGGGTTGACTTGCAAAAAGAGGCCCATCGGGACCGCGTTCCTAGCCAGCATGGTCTCGCAGCCAATACCCTCTACGGCCTCGATGTACTCGCCACAGCGGATCGTCGTTCCTTTGGCCACCGTCACACCCGCTGGAGGATTAACAATGGTGTCGGCGTACCCATCTCCAGAGCCTCCAGGCCCTCCGATGTTTCCGTTGCCTGGCGTGGAGGAGTTGGACGGTGGCGGGGGGACGAACTCGCCTCCAGGAGCACTCACGCATATGGTTCGGCCCCAGAACGGGCTTGTGCTCCAGAGATTAGAGCACCGCGTGTCTAGGCCTGGGTTCCAGTCCACGATGTTTCTCCACGAGGTCCCATGGTCGACAGCCACTTCCACGCAGCTCTCTTCGGCAGACTGCACCGTGTATGTAGTGTCGCACTGGTCGGGGAGGCAAAGCTCGATGCCGGCTGACGGGGCGGTGCAGTTGCTCAGCTCGGGATTGAGGTAGTATAGCGTTGCGCCAGACACGGAGTATTTCTTTGCAATGCTGTCGCATGTATCGGTGGCTTGAGTCTTGTACCTTCTCTCCGGCTCGCAGCGGGCGTCCTGAGTATAATTGATGTTGATCGGGTTGGGGAGGATTTCAATGGGGCTGTTGACACTGCACTCTGGTGAAGATGTTAGTTTCGGTCTTGTTGAGCCGCCGCCAGGAATCACCTACCTTTGTTCACAAAATCCAACATCTCAGCATACAGCTCCTCGTAGGCCGAGTAGGGAGAGCTTTGCATCATCCTCAGCCTGGCACCGAAGCAGTACGAGCAAAGATCTTCACGAGCCATGTCGCCGAGCTCCGCGACCTCCTTGAAAGAGTCAATGATGGCTGTTGAAAGCTGCGTTAGCCCATGATTGCGTTTACGCCATCTCCTTGACTCACTGTTGCAGTACTGCCCCGTTTCTTTGTCTTTCTGGCAAGTCTCATTCCAGCCCGTTTGGATTGAGTCAACCAGGGCCACAATGGGATATCCTGGGACCAGGTCAGGCGTTTTGGTGCATGCCCCCACGATACGTCTGCGTGCCGTGCTCAGTGCGGTCGAGCACGCAGCCGCACAGGCAGCGTCAGTGGTGGCCTTGTCTCCGATAGTACCATGATAGCTTGTCGTCCCGAGCTCGCCAACGAGGACAGGACAGTTGAGCTCTTGGTACAGAACAGACTCGCATCCTGGATCAAGTCCCATGCCAGCGAACTTGCCCTCGGGAGCCAGTCGAAGCCGTGTCTGCTGTGCAGTGGCCAGAGCTGCCATGAAGAATACGAGTCTGTAGGCCATGGCTAAGTCAAGACCACGATCCATTGAGGTTTTTTAGCTGGAGCTGGGACGGGGAATAGATTGGGAAAAAGTAGAATGTTCGCGTCAAACTCCTAACGTAACACTTTGAAATATATCTACGCATTGGGCAGCTTTCAGCGCGGGCCCATCTCCTTGTGTGGTAAATGGCGCACAATAAGTATATTCTCCATAATCGCAAGTTTCTGGATCTATATCCTGAAACCTTGAAAAAGCACCTATTTAGGGGCCGATCTATTAGTGGTGAAGTACTACGATACTTACTACCTCACTATATTTGCTAGAAGCTTAAAGTACCCCCTTAACGGTGTAAGATGGATGGTCAGTATCCCTGCAAGATACCTATCGGGCGCCATATACCACTCAAAGAGATACAACTGGGGATGCTATGGATAAGCAGATGTGGGGAAGCTGACATCGTCACATCGTTCGAGCTGGACCCCCTTGCTGACCTGGCGGATAATTACGACGGAGGTGACCGACATACTGCATACGTCGGGGTATATTGCCCATTCCAAGCTATACAGGGGATGTGATTGGGAGAGAACGGGGAAAATGGACGAGACCTTGTGTGAGACTGGGAGTGGTTCCTTTGTGCAACTCACACTGTGTACATTGCTGGACATCTCAGAGGCATGAACATCCTGAAAAGTGTCTGAATATGAGGGCAAAAGTCTATATGTACAGCTACTTGCCTGTTGATTGATCTACGGCTCAGTAGTCCAAAGCTGTGCTTCAATTCGTCTTGTACAGACAGCCAAAACAAGATAATCCCTCGCTTTTCTATTGGGGCTTCTGCCTCTCACACGCTTCACCTCCTTGTTTCGCTTCTTTCAGTATTTCAGCATGAGGTTACACTGGTACGGGCTGCTGGTACTACTGTCCAGCAGTCTTAGTCTCCAGCAGGAAGTCAGTCGTCAAGCTCGTTTCCTTGCCCAGAGCAAAACATGCACTGCTACCCAACATTGCGAGATTGGATGCTGCAGCAGCGCCGGGCATTGCGGCTTCGGGCCTGATTACTGCGGGTAAGTTGTTGAGCTGTCCCCGTCTAGTTGTCTCGGCAGCGTTTTCTAACAGAAGTATCAGTAATGGATGCCAACACGACTGTGATCGCAAGGCCGATTGCAATCCAGGCTGGGACAGCCCCAAATGGAGCAAGGCAGAAACGTGCCCTCTCAACGTCTGCTGCAGCGAGTTCGGCTTCTGCGGCACGACGAAAGAATTCTGCGGCGACGACGACAAGGTCAACCGGCCTTCTTGCAGCGTGGCTTCCACGCCTGTGAACCGCGTCATCGGTTACTACGAGGCGTGGTCGACGGCGAAAAGAACCTGCTATGGCATGCGGCCCGAGAAGATCCCCTTCGGCTATTACACCCACATCAACTTCGCCTTTGCCACCATCGACCCTAGCACGTTTGAGCTCATTCCTGGCGATGACCGCACGGAAGACTACATGCGGCGCATACAAACCCTGAAGCTCATCCAGCCCGATGTCAAGGTCTGGATCGCAGTTGGCGGCTGGACCTTCAACGACCCGGGACCCACGGCTACCACATTCAGTGACATTGCTGCGTCGACCCAGGCTCAAGATGCTTTCATCTCATCGCTGATAAAGATGATGAATACGTATGGCTTTGATGGGCTGGATCTCGACTGGGAATATCCTGTGGCAAAGGACCGCAATGGACGTGGAGAAGACTTCAAGAACTTCGTCACCTTCATGGATCGGCTGCGCAAACAGCTCAACGACAAGGGCATGTCCAAGAAAGGAATATCTCTGACACTCCCCTCCAGCTACTGGTACCTCCAACACTTTGACATCAAGAACCTGCAACGATCAATCGACTGGTTCAACATCATGTCGTATGACATCCACGGGTCCTGGGACATTGACAACGAACACACTGGCCCCTGGGTCAACTCGCACACCAACTTGACAGAGATCCAAGATGCTCTAGACCTTCTCTGGCGCAACGACATCAAGCCTGAAAAAGTGGTTATGGGCATGTCGTTCTACAGCCGCAGCTTCACCCTATCAGATCCTAAATGCACCAAGCCTGGATGCAGGGTGGCGTCCGGGGGCAACCCCGGAAAATGTTCAGGCACGACTGGCGTGCTCCTCCACCCCGAGATTCAAGATATCATTAAGGAAAACAAGCTCAGTCCCACTCTTCACCGCGACGCGTCTTACAAGGCAGTCTCTTGGGGCGATCAATGGGTGTCGTTCGACGATGTGACAACCTGGCGACTCAAGAACAACGTGTTCCGTGGCCAGTGCATCTCGGGCATCATGGTGTGGGCCGCCAGCCAGGATGACGGCGCGGGAACCAATATCAAGGCGCTCGCATCCTCGGTCGATCGGAAAGTCATGGCCGCACCCGACTTTGTCGAGAAGCCAACCAAGGCAGATCCAGCCTTCCTGGAACCCCCAAAGTCATGCACCTGGGCTGCGTGCGGTCAGGACTGCCCGTCGGGCTTTAAGCTCATCTGGCGCGCTTCTCGTCCGAAGGAGATATTTGGCGAGGCCTGTTCTGTTGGCGGCACATCCAAGTGGTGCTGTCCTGCCAACCAAAAACTTCCTACGTGTGAGTGGAGGGGCCATAGGAACACCGGCAGCTGTAGCCCTGGATGCAAGGGCGACGAGGTCGAGGTCGGTGGCATCAGAGTAGGCTGCAAGTCAGGCTACCAGTCAGCCTGCTGCACCATGACCGAGTCCACCCAAGCCTGGGGCGTTTGTGGATGGACTACTGGAAGCTGTGAAATGGGCGAGAAGCAGAAGTGTCCCGCCGGGCGACCCAATCGTGTGGCCGGAGCTGCCTGGGCTTGGGGAGGTGTTCCCCCCTGTGGCTGGGGCTCGAGCGAACGCAGCTATTGCTGTAACGAACCCATGCCTGCTGATTTCAAAACGTGCCGCTGGATCACCGATGTCGAGGACCGAAAGGGTAAGTACTGCGATGCCTGCCGGGATGATCAGGTAAGGATCGCCGCTCGGTCTACCAGTGTGTGCCTCACTCCTTCCGAAGCCCTCTGCTGTGATAGACCCAAGCTTGAGAAGCGAGACGACAATCCTGCCAATGATACCTTTGGTAGCGACCAAGCCCAGGAGCTGCGCAAACTCATCGACAAATATATCAATAACCCGTTGTGCCCTGCTAACTACCTGCACCCCCCTCTCCACGACAGTTTCCAGAAACGCTCGCTTTCTGAGTCCGACGAGCAAGGCCATGATAAGAGACAAGCCACAGACTGCTCCCGCACCAACTGGGATGGCCTTTTAGGACATGGAACCAACCTGATCGAGAGGCGAGACGCTTATATGGACAAGTTGGCCAAGCCTTGGGACGATGGCCTCGCTGGGCCGCTGGATGTCGAGTACCAAGTTGCCAAACTTCGCAACTTCAGTGATATCTTCCCCTCCTTTGATCCCAAAAGCACCGTGGAAAGAATCTTATACAACGCCCAAAGGGGAGGGGAGGGACAGCGACGGGCTAGGAAAATACCGGGAAAGCTATGCGCTTTTCCTCCCTCGGAAGAGGACAGCACGAAACGAGGTCTCGGCAATAAAGATGGAGAGGTCTTGGCCGATTGGAACACGAGGAGCGAGCATTCGCTTGATCCTCGCAAGGTCTGGGCGTTGATGAGTGGAACCTCCCCCAACAGCTCGCCTTACTTGACCACCATCCTCCAAGGCATTATCAACGGAGCCCTTTCCCTGCACTACGCCAGATGGATATGGTACACAGCGACGGATGGAGGCGGTCAGCCAGGACCCATGCTGGAGCTGGCCTATTGGATCGGTTCGGTCCCTGGAAGAAACCCCGGAGACGCCAGTCTCGACCAGTACCGGGACACTACACCCGGACGCAACGGAGATAGATGGGTTGGTAAGTTACAGTCCTCCACTCTCCGGTCAGATCAGTCTAACTCACGAACACAGTGTTTCATCTCCATTTCGACGGTGGCGGCCGGACGTTCCTCCACCGATTCAACGGGCGCAACGGAGAAAGCGCCCAGATCCACATGGGAGCCAACAGAGTCCAGGTCTACCACGGCCACAGCATCAACTCGGCCAGCAACAGCGAAGACTGGCGGGTCTACGGGGGCGGCAGGGCGGGAGAGCAGGCCCAGAACGCACGCGAAGGCTTCGACTGCAGAGAAGTTAATACCCAGGGTAGGCTGTGGTGGGTTGGCAGAAACATGAACTGGAACAACGTGGCGGGCCTCAGTCCGGATGATATCACCTGGCTGACCCTGATTCGGGACTGGGGCATACGGCTGTACAACGACGGCATCGTGGGCGAGAGGGCATGGCGCCTCATATATCCTAACGCGAGAGTGGTGGACGAGCGTACTGGTCGGATGGAGGTAGGCGAGCCCAGAGATGAGTACGCGCGGGACGCGGTCCTACGAGGTAATAGTGGCGGCAACGGATATGTTTGGTTCTCTAGTTGGCTCTCTGATGCTATTAATGGGCTGCGTCGGTACCAGGATCCGCCGCCACCGTAGGCACTTAATGGAATAAGTTATAGTAGGATTTATTTTTATCTCCTAGATAGTTAGAGAGTAGTATTAACTTTATAGATAGGGATTTATAGCAATTAGATATAATAAAAATCTAATAACCTTAGCCGCCTTATAATTTTACCTAGAAACTAAGTACTAAGATTAGTATAACTATAAATAACTATATTATAATAAGAGTTAAGTACTGCGATTTATATATAGCTCTTAGTATCGCCTTTATAAATAGATATAATAAGGTATTTAAGTTAATACTACTCTTACTATTTATTAATAAGAGCTAATATATAATTATATAAAAAGTATTATAATATCTAAGCTAGGACCTAGCTCTAAGAGATAGACTAGCTTATTTTTTAATATTCCCTTTTACTAAGTAGCTAATTAATAATATAAGGGGAACCTAGGTCTACTATAGTATAGAGAGGTATTTATAAGAAATTATTAATTACTTTAATTTATAATATAAAAAATAGGATTACTTAGACTTCCCTAGGGGTATAATTAATAAGTTACTAACTAGTGCTATTAATATCTTAGGTTAAAACAAAAGGCGCAAGTTAAATAAAGCAAGACTAGTTATATTTCTAAAATAGTTAATAAACTTAATAATTACTTTATTAAGATATATCTAAGTTAAATATATATTATTAATAAAATAGTTTATCAGTGGTCCGTATAGGGTCAGGGTTAGCCTTAGTCCTAGGGTCTTAGTGAAAATTTTCCTCACTTTAGAAAAATAGCTTTAAATAATTCTAGAAAAATCAGCTTTACAATGCACGAGACCTAACCTATACCATTAAATAGCCCTTTTTCTAAGCTTTATAATAATCTACTAAATAGCTATTTTAAGGTTAGGGTTAGCCTACAATAAGCTACGGAAGGCTATCTTGCAAGGGGTGCGTGACGCTGGCTCCACACTTTTCTTATCAATTTCTATTATAGACCCACCCGTTTCTTATTAATTTCTGTTACAAGCCAATCAGAGGGCTTAAAAAGCTTAGTCAGCGTCACGACCCCCCTGTCAGCATCACGGCCCCCCTGCTAGCCTCAGTAGTAGCCGAGCCTTCCAAAGACCTTCCAAAGACCTTCCAAAGACCTTCTAGAAGCCTTCGACCTAATTGCCAAAGAGGGAATAAGTGGGTCTCTTATAAGCTTATATAAAAAAGCCACAAAAAATCAGGCTTTGCAATGGTATAGATCTTGCCTAAATAGGTTGCGAAACGGGTGAGAAATAAGGCCTTGAAGTTGCGTATTTTTCCTGAAATATTTTCGTAAGATTTTCCAAGTCTGACTTTTCACCGACTTGTTTCTTGTTGTTGAACGGAATAAACCACTATGCCAACTGCAAAAGTGAAAAATACCTTTCAACAGGTACCGAGGCAAACTAGGTCTTATTGCTACACGACACTTGTCGTCCGAGTACCCCTAGGAGCAACCACCCCTGGCTGTATGTAAACTTCGGACAGCTGGCAATCCGGGGGGCCGCGTCATAAATTGATAAGTTATGAATCTGCCATCAAGGTGCGAAAGCGCCTCTCAGATGCATTATCGGGGGCTTCATGGGCTGATAGAATACAGAATAAGAGGGACACTATACCTTTTTGGCAACAAGTAGCTCAGTCATCAGAAAAAGGCCATCTAAATGAGGGCTTTCCAGGCTTCACCTTCAAGTTAGCCTAGCTAGAGATCTGCGTTTCATACAAGTTCCTCCTACTTATAGTATAGCAGTTGCCGCTACACCAGGTTAGTCTATATTGTCCTGTCTAGAAGCTTATCCGTCGATCCTACTCAATTCCAACTACATTATTTAACCTTACTTTGTAATCGCCACTTAAACGACTCTGATTGAACTATGTAGAGTCTAAGCTAGCTCAGCCGCGAGCGCTCACGATAATCTTTAGATCGGTATAGTCGACCGACTCGAACTTGAGCATCATCCAACCTCAAAGTCTTATCAGCTTCTTGCGAAGCATCGGCTCCAGGTCCCATACTTATTCAATGCAATCAGCAGCCTTCGCCTATATAAAGAAGCTCTCGCCGGCCCAAAATCACAATCTCTCACTTCTCATCTTCGGTCCAACCATCTCGCATCACATCCAACACATTCCCAAATCCCAAACCTCCAGACCCCCAATCGTCAACATGAAGGCCACCGCCGTCCTCGTGAATCTCTTCGCCCTTGTCGTTATCGGCATTGACAGCGTCTCCGCTGGTTGCCATGGCTCCGGCGACACCTGGCAGGATGCTGGAGCCGCCCGCTCGCACGTCAAGAGAGTCTACAAGGGCTACTACGGCAACGCTAGGAGATTCCAGGGCACTTTTACGCCTAGAGAGTCTCGCCACGTCTACGTTCAGCATTCAGGCACGCAGAAGTTTGACTTCATCATTAGGAACGAGAACAACGGCATAGCACTCGACCTAGGTGACGCTGATTATGTCCTTCGTCTGCAGAACGAAATCAACGCCTGCCCTAGGGGTGATCAGTCGTCCGCTCTCACAGTTCGAGGGCGAGTCACACGCAACTCCATCAGGGCATACCTTACAACTGGTATTTCATCCGTCGCTCCATCTTGACCCCCAAAGCTGTGAGTAAATTATCGGGTACTATTTCAACAGAGATTACGATAAAGTGAATCAGTCATGAAAAAATATTGGTACGTACCGATTTATTCATCACAATACATCAGTAGTTAAAAAAAAAAGGAAAAGTGCACCAGTACATACCAGTGCACAAACTTATGCATCGTGACTTGTTTCTGCACTCCAAACACGTGACGTGTGACAGATTCTTGGCCACAGTGTGAAAGTGTGCCGGCCAAGTACCGCCTATGTATCAGAGTCCAGAGGTCGTCAGCCGCATCGCGACAAAAAAGAGGACGCTTTGGTATACTCAGCCGCTCTGCCTCTAGGACCTGAAAATTATGAGCAAATGAAAGATCTAAATTTTGCCAAGGGTATCTAGAACCGTGATCGCCAAACACCAAAACAGCAATACACAATCCATCTCTCTCTATCATCCACACGGGGACAACCACCCTTTCTTTTGTGTTTGGATATTTTCCCTTGTACCGACGAGTTCCCTGACATTCGCTACCGCCATGAATCCTTGATAGCCAACCCTCAACCCACTAATTGTGCCCGTCATTCATCTAGGCAAGTGCTGCGGAAAGAATCGTGGTAGGATCACTATGCTATGCTCTGCGTTGACGAGCGCATTATATAGACCCTAAGCGTTAAGCGGAAGCGCGCCTTTGTCGTCTATCTCTTTTTTTAATCGTATTGGCTGATTAAGAGTTAATAAGTCGGCTATCCTAGTATATTGTTTAGACGGCCATGTGCTATGGGGCTGTTGCGGCGATGAGGCTGATGACGTGGTGGAATGGAGGCGCTGCTCTATCGTCGGCGCCGCGAAATGGGGCCTAGAGATGAGAATCCCGGTGAAAATGATGCTACCGACGACGAGGCAGAAGATTCGAGATGTCTTTGTGGAGGGGGTATCTCGCTATGGGAGAAAGAAGGTGGTGAGACGCCTCAGATATCGTTGGTGACATCGCCTTTTGTCCCTGGCTATTGTGAGCGTCGAGGTGTCGTCTCGGGATCGTGGGCATGGAAACATACGTAGGATGATGAGAGTACGCGTCAAAACAAGTGTCTTGTGAAGCTTTTAATAATAATAAACTGTTCTGCAACTCAGTTCTTCTACATAAGTTGGGGTTAGGCCCATCAGTTACACGTGTTACATTAAACAATCATGCGCCGTGGAAAAAGCTCCTATACCTTTGCACAAAGCGAGTTTACAATTGGTGAAGTGATTCGGAGCAGATATTCGTCATCTCGCTGAATCAATTGGGCGTGAAATACATTTTGATATTACCAAAATTTATTGAACCATGAGCCTTTGAATGAGTCATTTCTCTGGTGTTCAAGATGCCTTGTATACAGGTAGACGTTGCTTGAGAGTCGGCGGACGAAAATGTTCGGCTCTAGGGTAGGCTTTTGGCAACCCAGGTACCTAATTCTTTTGTGCCAATGAATTTTTTACCAATGAATTTTCACTGCGACCCATTGTTCATCGCGACACACTTTTCATCAATGTGCATTTTTATCTATTAATCATGCCTTTTATTATGATGCGTTCTTATGATGCATCGCAAGGGCGCCAATGGAATTAGATGTCTTTTTCTTAATGCACAAGGATGTACTGATGAACTATGCTAGGTTCTTTCTGTTTATAGCTTTGCTGCTTCATTCGTCTGATTACTCTGGTCCCTTAACACCTTTCGCAAGATCTTCCTAGTTGTACTCTTGGGTATCTGCTTTAGAAATACCACGCCTGCTCGGAGCTGCTTCTGTGGGGCGAGCTCGTTCTTGATGAATGTCTGAATATCTTTGGTAGAGATGCGAGTCGAGTCTGCCACCACGAAAGCTCGAGGCACTTCGTTGTTTGCCAGAGATAGGTCGGGAACCCCTATGACTGCAGCGACGTGGATAAGGATATGGGAAACAAGGGTTGCTTCAAGCTCGGCCGGAGCGACTTGGAGGCCCTTGTACTTGATCATTTTTTTAGAACTGGATTAGCAGAGTGAACTGACTACAGGGTCATCAGAGAGCACCTTTTTTCTGTCCATGATCTAGAATTTACTATTCCGCCTCATGCCCACATCTCCAGTTTTGAGTCAATGTCCGCAGCTGGTAAAGGTTCTGGCTGTGGCCTCGGCGTCATTCCAGTATCCAACTGTGAGTGTAGGGCCTTGGACGAGAAAGTCGCCCTGTTGACCATCTTGAACGTCACGTCCCGTGTCATCGAGTATCCGCATTCTGATGTTTGGAAGGATGATAGAGATGCTGCCGGTGCTATCAGGCTCGTCCCAAGGCTGACCTGTGGCACTAGTAGTTGTCTCGCTTAAGCCCCAAGTCTGAGAGACGGTGCGTGGTGCAGAGCCTCAAACTGGTAGGTGACTTTGGGGCTGTGCGCAATGAGCATGTAGATGGGCGGCACGGTGAAAAAGGACGTAATGCCGTGCTTCTTGTTGTCCTTGAGGAAGTCCTCAAAGTTGAATTTGGGCATCCAGTAGACGGTTCCAGGGCCATACATGGATGGGTATACCAAGTACCCCAAGATGCCTGCAATATGTGCGGCTGGCAGTGACCAATGGTCCGGTATTGGCAGTTGAAATTGGCATCCTTTGCTCGGCGGGTTTTCCAGTCACGGTGGCGGTAGCCTGTTATCAACCCCGATGAGGCGAGATTGAGGAGGGAGATGTGAACACCTAGGTAAATTACGGTTAGTATTTGCTTGGTGGACTTTGGTCTCTGGAACACAGAATCAAGACGTGCCTTTTGGTTCTCCGGTTGTGCCGCTACTGTATAGCATAATAGTAGGCAGCTGGGCCGAGTCCTCAGCGTCTCCGGCTCAGAGCGCTGTAGACGCCCCCGGCAGCAATTACCCCGTAAAAAAGAGGCGGGAGCGGGATTTGCCCTGACGAGATGCAGACAACTACATCCTTCCCCGGCTCTTGGGCGCCGGTGCCAAACCGAGAGCGGAGAATTTTGGGCAATGAACTTGGTGTAGTATCTGGTTTGAGCGTTGGTAATAGAATCTTCGACGTTGTTGGCCTCGATATGTAGAATGGTATCTTCCTCGGTCGGGCACTCTGGAGACTCGACACGGACATTAGCTATCTGAGCTCAGACGGCTGATTGGTAGTAAACTATACCGAATAGTAATGAAAGCAAGTCGATATTGATCAGTCCGTAGTCAACAGTATGGTTGTAGATAATTTCAGGTGCCATCTCGCCGGCGACTCGAGGAGGTTGGGTTTACGCCCTTGTGATCCGTCTCGGGGGGTCTTTGGCTATTATTTTGGCTCCTCAAGGCTTACCGAACCGAGTATCTTGGTTTGTGACAGCTGCTGCTCGACTTTATATGTCTCGTCGGAATGATCCCCTTCCAGAAATGGCATTTAAATCGGTTAGCCGAGGTGTGATGATAGCACGGCGCAAGGAGTTGTTGGACGCCATCGACGGCTATGGCGTTGAATGCATGTTGGTACTGCAAAATCTATTGGCAAATTCTTCTTTTACGCTCCAGCAGGCGTCTCACACAGAATCAAGCCTTAAAAGTCATCAAGAGATGGTGGTCGAGAGATTGGCTTGGCTAGGCAGATATCGATACACCCAACGATTAGGAGAATTAGTCTCCCAGTTTTCGACAGCATTCATTTTGCCCTGTAGACTTGTGGTAATGATCTAGATGTAAACTGTCAACCCATTACTGGCTGAACCGCCAACACCATCGTAGCGATAACAGTACATCAGATATTCCACTGCTTGAAGCAATCTACCTAGCTGGGCTCCTCTGCTATGCTGACTCCGCTTCTGTTCCTTAACCGTGCTCTAAACTACCTATTAGTACCATCAATGTACCCAAATGGGCAAAGGCAAAGGGATTGACTACACTATGATGGACTTGGCCCAGGCCAATTCAGCTTTTTTCTAGCACATCAGAGACGCACTCACTGTTTAAAGGCGTTCATAAAAGCCTGTCTTCCGCCTTTCGAGCCTGAAACCGCCTTGTCGTACGAAGCAGATGTTGGTCATACGACGCGGACATTGACTGAGCCAGGGAGTTGGTAAGCTATGACGTCCTCTCTATGGGTTATTAAGCTAATGATGGTTGCTATGGGTCATAGTACATCGCCATGTGGTTCTTTTAGAGTCCATTTAAAAGAGAGATCTCACGTACTTTCTCGTGAGGCAAATATAATAAAATAATAAGAGCAACCGATCAATTGATAGTATTGAAGATATGACTCTCCAAGGAGCCTAAAAGCCCTCCTCTTGAAGCCTATGAAAGTAATGATAAGGGTGAAGCTTTGTGGCCTCTGCCCCCTTTTCTATGTATAAGAAATTGCCCCGTAGCCCAAAATGGACTGGAACATTTCTCCCCCAGCTCAGTAATTCTAGAGATCTAAAATCTCTAATAAAACTAGCTTCAATAGATAAATCTGACCTGGAAACAGCCTCTACTGCCAATGAGATCCTCCAAGCATATATCAAGGCTTGAAATACCCGGTCCAGAGCTTCCTCAAGAGCCCATCGGGATCATACTTGGATGAGATGGCTCTGAGCCTGGCCTGGCTCTTCTTGCCATAGCTTGCAATCACATCTTGCAGTCTCCCAGAGTAGTTCATATACTCATAGCCATTCCTGAACCCCCTCTTTTGAGCCATAGCGTCCAGGCTCTCAACAAAATGGTTCGTCCGGCTGTCAATCAGATCATCGAGGGCCGGGTCGGTCCAGGACATGGGTATAGAGATGATGTAAGAAGGAAACTTTGCAGGCTCAAGGCCCAGGGCGTTACCTCCATTCCTCTGCATGGCCTTGAATGAAGGGTTGGTGAGGGGCTGGAAGACCATGCTCACGTTGAGGAAAGCCCCTCGAGCTTCTATATCTGCTCTAAGCTCGTTGGCGAAGGAGGTAAAGGCTTCGGTGATATCATTCATAAAACCATTACTGTTCGCGCCATCGCGAATAGAAGTGGCGTACCATGATTGTCTCTCGCCGAACACGGAACTTCCAGTGCTTCGAATCTGGCCTGAAATGTCCGTGACGAGTGTGTCGTTGGAGAGGGGCTTTGGGAGCTGGTTGAACCCTTTCATGGTATCAAACTCGCCACCAGGCGCATACGGGGATGAGAGGTTCACATGGAAGCCGTATACCGTTGGGATGGGGGCGCCGTTGACGACACCAGAGTAGGTCAAACCGAATATCAGGTGAGAGTCCGGGTCCTGTCCCGAGTGAAGTTTTTCCCTGGTGATCCTGGTAAAGGCGTTAAGAACTTTGGCAGTATCGCTGGCCGGCCACACGGTCAGCCGGCTCCAGACATCGCCTTGTTCGTAAGCTTCGAGGTCAAACCGGGTAACAATGCCAAAGCTAGACCCGCCACCACCTCTAAGAGCCCAGTAGAGATCTTCGTTCTCTTTCGGGTTGGCGTTCACAACCTTGCCTGATACCAGTGCGACCTGGAAGTTCCGGACGTTGTCGCAGCCCATGCCTCGCCTACCGGTGAGAAACGAGAGGCCACCTCCCAAGATAAACCCAGAAACGCCTACCATGGGGCTGCGGCCGCCAACCACGGCGATACCCAGAGGCGTTATAGCATCAGTGACATTAATCCAGCGGGCACCAGGGCCGACAGAGACTGTGGTGCGGTCGGCAGAGACATGGATGTCTCCCATCGAGTCCATAGCAATGACGACTCCTCCCTGGATGTTAGATCCCTTAGGGAAGGCGGTATGTCCTCCGGCCCTGACAGTAAAGGGGCTGTCATGCTTAGTCAAGAGCCCCAGAGTATTCGAAACATCCTCGGAAGATGCGGGAAGAACAATACAAGAGGGCTCCATGTTCTGTCTACCTGACCAGTAGACGTTGGATGTATCGTATGTGGCTGAGTCTGGGTAGGCTACCTTGCCTGGTAAAGCGGCGTTAATTATCTCGCACTGCACATTGAGTTAACATCACCATGTGCGATATTCTGTAATAATCAGACACCTACTATCGGTGGCAATCCTCCCGACGGGTATGCGAGACATGGCAAGCTATACATCAAGCCTGAGAGAATGAATGCAGCAACAGAGGCCTGCATTGTCGCGGTTGTGGTTGAGTCAACTCAATGATAGATAGGAAGAGCGGTGAGAGGGTGGGCATGGAGATTGTGCAAGATGTCTGCCATGAGGGTAAATGATATAATTTATAACTCATGGCATCACCACAACAGCAAGCACAGCCACGGGATGGTTTCTTGCCATCCACGCTTCAAGGTGGCCAAGTGCACTGCCAAGATATCTGAGTTGCATTCAGGATGGACCAGCTATGTCTCTGCTCAGACCCATATCCCGACTCAGCATCTACCAGAGGCGACGGATCGGTACCGACAATGCAATCTCTTGGTCGACACCCCCGGTTGTCGTCATAACCCGAGCTGGAAGCGATCGGCGCCACTCCGCGAGGCACACTCGCAGCTCGCCTTTCTTCCGCCCGCTTGTGAGCGATGGCGGGCGCGTAACACGGCGTAAGATTTGACCAGAGCTTTACGCTGCGGGATAGAGAGGATGGGAGGCTGGTAGTAACGTCATTTTGGTCAAGGTTTTGCATCTCTGTCACCGTTTTCGTTCTCGCTTGAGTTAGTTAATATGGTTGGTCGCTATTTAGATCGTCGGATGAGCCGGGGCTACACCTGACCGGCCAATGCGCTTGAATCTCTCAACCTTCAGTCACTGAGTGAGTTGCAGTTCAAACCCGTTTGCTTATATCGAGTACGAGAGTTACTTGACAACACTGTAACACGGAGCTATAGCTACTAAATGACAGATACGCAAGTATTCGGATTAACCCAAGCTTAGATACACAATTCCAGCCAGGTCTTACTTAAATAGGTACGACACTCACACAGCTCCACGTCTGTTGTGCTAGGGCACGGGCTGGTGTCATCGACAACGTAGTAATATTAGCTAGCCCGGTAAGTTCAGCCCTGCTTTAAGCATGATTGAAAATGGATTGGACTCCAAGTTTTGATATTCTGGTATCCATTTGCTCGGCACAAATTGATGCAGCGGATGAAAGGACAGTCCATGGCAGTGCAAGGTGATCACCATGCGGGTCTTGAGGGGCCAGTAAAGCAACGTTCCGAAATAATAAGAGTAATAATGTTCGTTCTCGTTCTCGTTATCGAATTGATACGGGCACTCTTCGGGCTCGTGCACTAAACAGTTTCCCGACATGGGTTATTAATATGACACCTATTCTAAGCACTAAGAATTAACGTCTCAAATTACATCGTATCTAAATATAGGTATATGATAGAGTAAATAGAGCGGGTTCTCGAGTAGCTCGACATTAGTGACTGCTTCTGCTATAACTACCCTACTATGCTATAGATGAGATAAGATTATTAGATGTATCCAAGATGTCTAGAAAGGAACATGGCAGAAACGGAGCAGAATAGGTCAGAAAGTCCTTTACGTTAGAAATACTATACCCCAATGGTACTTTTGACTGTGCTGGACTTGCGATTATGGTTTTACTTCTCTCTCTGACTAGTCTGTGCTGCCTTTCAAACATAACAGTTGACAGGAATCTCAACCAGCGCGTCGCGCGGACACCTTCCCTGTGTTTCTAAGAAAGTTGTTATTTATCATAAATAATTCTGGAGCTCTCTCTCCCTACTTCTCGTTCTAGTCAGTATTAGTAGCAGATCTGTGACCTCTGCCTTTGATATGGCATCTGTTTCGGAATGATTCTCCAAGCAACCCCACAAGACAAGATTTAGGATACCAAGCAGATCGAGCCAGCTTCATGGCTTCTGCGCACAAGTTGACTTGACATTGTTCCTGCATCGGTACAACATTTAGGACCGTCGCGGAATGAATATTAAAGTATAAACACCCTCGCTGACGCCGCCTATCCATCCTCACGCTATACCTGGTCCATGTGTACGCCTCCAAGATATATGCACCAGGAAACAACACAACCCAGCCATCTTGATAATGGAACGACCCTAGGAAGCTGACACGAACTGAACTTGGCTGCTTGACTACCATGATACTCGCAACCCTGGCAAATTTGCCCTCTTCCGGCGCGAGTTCGTCCTCCCCAATACTGAGAAATCCGTGACAATCCATGTCTCAGCCGACTCAAGGTACCGGGTCTTCCTTAACGGCCACAGCCTGAGCGTCAGCCCTTGTAAGGGAGCCCCTCTGTACTAGAACTACAAGACGGTCGATGCCACGCCCTTGTTGCGCAAGGGAGTGAATGTTCTGGCTGCGCGTGTCTTGCGGGTCACATTGATTTCAGTCCACGGCCCGAGCTGCTACGTGAGGTAGACGCTAGTGTGACAACACCATCAAGTCTCGTGCGTGTTCGTCGGGCACCTGATATAATGACGTCTCTGAAAAGATTTAACCATGCTTGCAATGCCACACGTCGCCAGTCTACCAGGGCAAAAAAAATGCAATATGATATATCCATAGTATTAATATTTAAGTACTTACCGAGTGACTAGAATTACTATATATCATATATATCATATACATCTACTGTGCCTGAGAATTATCTCGGCTATGTGCGGGGCTTGAGTCGACAATAGTTGCCGATGCCGACTCGTTGGCCAGCTGCTGTTCTCTCTCATCAGCCAGCCAGGCAGGGTTCGTCTCGAACCTGGGATCCAACCAGAAGCAGGCATCATCACCATCCTTGAGCATTTTACGGATAGGTTTAGCCCGGACGTGGCCTCCAATATAGAACAGGGCCCAGCGTACGGCGCCCAAAACAGAGATGAATGCGTAGAGCTGCTTGTAGAATGGATAGGTAGCAGCGGTGACGAGGCCGATGCGCATATCCGGGCGGTGTCGACAACTAATGTAGTTGTACAGGACAGGCGGAACGGCGGCCACAAAGGCAAGACTGCAGAAAAAGATCCAGTAGTCCTTGTGGGCTCCCAGGGCCACCAGAACGGGAATGCGCACCCAGTCGATGACGAGACAGGTCAAAGTGTAGAGAAAGAGGAACTTTTGCACGCCAATACCCGAGACGGTGCGCTGGCCATTCATACGGAACAAGTGGCGGAAGAGCTTCCAGATGAGACTGTGGCGACCCATCTCCCAAGACTTGACTCTCTGCTTACACCAGTTCAAGCCCGGACCGAGCAGAGTTGAGGGCACTTCTGTCGCAAGGGTCACCTGGGCGTCAAAGGCAATTCGCTTGTTGAGGCGCATCATGGCAAAGCCGGCGTTGGCGTCCTCGGCGATAAAGTCCATGGGGTGATACTTTGTGAGAAGCTCAACAAAGGTATCGCGGTCGACAAACCATCCGGCGCCGTGCGGGAAGTTGACGCCGCAGGTTCTGTACTCGGCGAGCTTGGTGAGGCCGGCCATGCGGTACTCGCAGTCCTGCCAAGAGACCATGCCTAGCGGGGTGTTGCCCTCGGCGTCGATGCCTATGAGGGGGAAAGCGACTGCCTTGATCTGATCGTCCATGAGGTGCGTGGGGTGGCGGTAGTTATTGGGGAGAGAGACATCATCATCTGTTGTCAGGATGTACTTGTAGTTCTTTGCTGCCAGAGAACCAACAAGCTGCGCAGCGTTCTTTGACCCGATTGGAGACCAGATGTAGTTGATGTCGGGATTGAGGGCCCTGAGCCAGTATCGGAATGAAAGGTCTTTTGGGTAGCGGGTGCGGGCGTTGTCAATGACAAAGATGTCCTGGGGGCGGAAGTACGGGTATGCAGATTCCAGCACCTTCTGAAGAGCTTCGCGATCTGAATTGTGGCAGGGAATGACGAAAGCAGCTTCCCAGACTTTGGAAGCAGTGGTGACTCCAACGCCTCGTTCGAGGTCTCCTGCGCTCTTTTCGTTGAAGGCTTCTTGGACGACTTGTGGAGTGTCTGTGGCTGGCGGGTTGTAGGGGGGAACCTTGGCAATACACATGATGATGAGGAACATGGTAGGCTCGATGGTGAGGACAATGACCAGGACAGGGAGCATGTAGCTTCGTGTCTGAGCGATGGCCTTAGTCATCCAGTGGGTGTAGTGATTCGAGATGACGATGGCGGCGACACAAGCGCAGACGCCGGCAAGGGCGAGGTACTTCTTGACGGTCATGGGGTAGAGGTACTCCTTTGGGTTGATGAGATCCCAAAGAGCCTTGGGTGAGATTTGGTTGGCAACAGCATGCCAGAAGCGAGTCCACAGCGATCGCTTCTTGGCGTTGGCGGAGGACTTCTCATCCGCCGGGCCCGGGGTGGTGAGACGTTGGCCCGCCTGGCTGCTCAGCGAGTTCTCAGAGGAGCCTGCAGAGTCCAGGTAAGGCCCGTAGATGCCAACCTTGCGGGAAGTTCGGTCCGAGGATATAGCCTGAGGAGGGGACGTGATAGGGCTGAGGGCGGGGCTGGCCGGTGGGGGAGTAGCGAAGGGGTCATTCAGAGAACGAGTAGATGGGCTGGACAGAGGTGCTGGACGATTGGGCTGAGCCTCAGAAACTGCAGGATCCAGCCTGGCATTGCAAGGCAGGATGAGGTCCTCATTTGAAGGGTCTTCGTTGCTCCAGAAGGGGCTATTACTGGGGACGGTCATTGTCTGGGACCAGTAGTTCGCAATATCAACGAGCGGCAGCCCTCAAGCAAGGCCTGAGGAGCAGTGGAAAGGACTGAGAGAGAGGAAGCAAACGAAAGTCAAGGGCATCTATGAGCGAATGAAACCAGAGCGACTGCACAGTGAACCTCAAGGGGAAGGACGAGGTAGATATCCCTATGGGTAGACGAGGGAAAACTACAAGCCAAGGCAGACAAGTTTTTGAGTAAAGCAATAAAGACGTAACGGTAATCATGGCAGATTGGCATGGGCCGCCAAGACGATAAACCTAGTAGTCTAGACCCAGCTGGATCTGAGGCCATTGAAGCCATCGGCCCCGTGGCTGCCCATGATGAATCCCAGATTCGAGGTAAGCTGAGAGCCGAGCCATTGCTTATTCTTCAAGAGGTCCAAGCTGACAGGGACCTACCAATGCTACAATGTACAAAGACGAGGCTGTTTGCTAGCGCTTATTGCAGGCTGTGGAGAGATCAACATGGAGCATGTCGCCAGATTTGACACTGATGGGGAAAGTGGGGGATGCATGGCCCAGGAACCATGTCGAAATCGGGCTTGGGAAACGGCCCAGGAACCAGGGGCATGTCAACATCAACATGCATAGATGCGTGCTCCGTGGCTTGCATGCTACTGGCGGTTCAACGAAAGGGCCCTGAAAATGGGCTTGCTTTTGGTTCGTATCCTCTTATGATCTCAAATGAGGATCTACGATCTACCGAGCATTGAAAAATCTAGACCAGCAATGGAGAAGGTCAATATTGCCAAGTGGTCCAGGGGGGTGCTATTAATTTTCAGAATAGCGGTTGGCAGATTGCTCCTATTGCAAGGAAACAAAAACATCGCACATCATCAAGGCAGCAGACTCAAAAGTGCAATAACGCTGACGGCGTACAGGAAACGGCATGCAACCGAGTCAATAGCTTATGTTAGCGTCGAAGGCATAAGAAAACTTCAGGGGTTACATACGGTGTCTCTACGACATGCCCTGTTTACCATCTTGCTTCGACCTGTACCGGCAGCACATGGGCCGTCCGGTAGGTTGGCAGCCGCTACGGGATGCACAAACGGACTCTTGTTGAGCCATGCTCTAGTGAGGGTTTTCATGTCCATACTGGAAGAGAGAAATGTGACAACAACCGACTTTGATTGCGAATGCCCAGATTGAGACATGGCGCCATGGTGCCTCACCGGATTCACCGTCAAGTGCAGAGTCTGTCAGCTAAGCCGTGCCAAATCTTGGCTCCCTGTTGCATGATGCAGTTGCCGTGCTGGATCTCGTCTTGGAGCCATGGTGCGAACTTGCCAACTTTCTTCGTCGTGATGCCGAATCTAGTTGGCGTTGCTCTCGGCCAAGATGGCTTCCAAGTTTCCCGCCATGAGGTTGGGCATGAGATTTGAATTTCTCTGCACTGCTCGTGTTGACGCGTTGCTTGCGAGGATTCCGGAGCCTCTGGAGATGCTTGAGAAGAGGATGTGGGTATATAATCCAGCGGCTCAACCGCGTTGATGTGGTGCTTGTAGACGAACATCATCATCAGTACTCCGAGGCCATTCACACTCACTCAGGGCCCTTACATTCATTCAGTCATCTTTTTATTACTTTTGGACTTGAATCATCATGGACTCATACTTCTCTCCCCCAGGGACAGAGACTCCCACCAGTGATGCTGAATTCCCCTTTCCCTCTCGCTCTCAGTCTTTCCAGTCCTTGAACTCCCTGTCCCAGCCGGGCACTCCTGACACAGAGCGGGATGTTCTTTTCAGTGGACCGCCTTCTCGCGCCTCGTTCGCGTTGAACTCAGACGAGTATGTGCTGGTGGTAGGCGGTCTGGGTTACATTGGCAGCCATACGGTATGGGAGCTGGTGAAAGACGGTCGCAACGTTGTCGTTGTCGATAACCTCAGCAACGCCTTCATGGGCGTGCTCGACACGCTGAACGACATGGCGGATAAACACACCAGCTCTCTTGGCCTCCGTCGCCCTGACTTGCACTTCTACGAAGCCGACTTTAGAGACGACATCAAGATGGGACAGATTCTGCCCCTTTACTCTACTCCCGGGGGCTCAAAAATCAAACGAGTCATCCACTTCGCTGCTTACAAGTCCGTCTCTGAGAGTATTGAGAAGCCGCTCAAGTACTACGACAACAACGTGGGCGGCCTGATTCGGTTCTGCAGCATGCTGTCGAGCTTTAACATCAAGTACCTCGTCTTTTCGTCATCGGCTACCGTATACGGCTCTCTCGCTGACCAAGGCGGCCGTCTCGTCGAGGAGGCGTGCACGCACACCACGACTGAGTGGAGCGACGCTAGCGGCCAGGCACGCACCACGCTCTCCGGGTGCACGGGGCTGACCAACCCCTACGGACGGAGCAAGTGGATCTGTGAGGCTATTTTGGCGGACTTGGCCGTTGCAGATCCAGAGTGGACCATCGTGGCGCTTAGGTATTTCAACCCCATCGGCTGTGACGAGTCTGGCCGTCTGGGCGAGGATCCACGTGTTACGCCTACAAACCTGATGCCCGTCGTGCTCAAGGTCATGCTGGGCGAGATGGATCGGCTGCACGTCTTTGGGACCGACTGGGACACGCGGGACGGCACCGCCATCCGCGACTTCATCCACGTCTCCGACCTCGCCCGCGGCCACCTCGCCGCCCTCACCGTCAAGGAGAAGCAGGGGTTCCAGGTATTCAACGTCGGCACCGGCACCGGCCACTCTGTGTACGAGGTTATCGACGCTGTGCAGGCGGCGTTCGGGAAGGACGTTCCCATGATCAAGGCCGGACGCCGTGACGGTGACGTGGGCGTCTGTGTAGCCGATCCCCAACGGGCCATGGCCGAGTTGGGATGGAAGCCGCAGAAGACGCTACTTGACAGCTGCCGCGACCTGTGTCGGTTTCTGCAGGCTAACGGGGCTGGTGTCGGTGTGTGATGTGCACACGGAGAGGGTGCAGTCAGCCGAAGTTGTCATGTTTTTGGACGTTTTGTCGGGGTTATGGATGGGCTTTCTTTGTTTTCCCCTTGTCGGGTAGTAATAGAGCTTATTTCTTTTCATCTTGTTAGGTTGTCATCTTGTTGGCCCACTAAAGTGGCGGAAGTGCAACATAGTTGTAAATAAAACAGTACCTGCGTTGTTCAGCGGAGAGAAGAGAAACGGCCTCGCTCGGTAGGTGAGCTCACATATCCACCTGTTGAGTGGCTAAGGACTTGGCATAGCATGTTTGTCCCGCAACATCTCACCCTTATTATGCCACTGCGGGTAGCCCCAGGGAACGTGGCTAGTAAGGTCGGTCTCACTCGACCTTGCAGACTACCAGGATGTCAAAAGATTGGCTAGTACAGTAGATACTTGCAGATGTAAGGTAGAGCCTACCTGGACCCAGGGATATAATTGCTGAGAAGCACCTGATGGAGTAAAACTAAGCCCGGTACTCTGTACCGACCTCACACTTGAAATCCTTGCAAGACTACTTTGCCCCTTTTGGTGACATCGAGCGGCCTACAGGGGTATCCATACTAACTACGGAGGTCTATCTCAAAAGTTTTGTCCTGGCCCTCAAGCCACACAAATACACGAGCCAATCAGAGGCCATTTTCCAAGCACAGTTACATCGGTACTTATGGTCCTCTTTCTTTGCTTTTGAAGCCCCTATCTTCTAAGGATATAGCTCTCTAAGCTTCACTAGATTTCCCCCTGGGCTCCAATAGCCCTCCCTATAGCTTTAGGGAGTAAGTAACTGAAAAGATTTGCTCCAAAGTACCTCAGGTACCGACAGGGATAAGCGGCCTTGGCGCTATTAGCTCCTGGACAAAACTTTTGAGAGAGACCTCCGTAGTTCGAGCCTGATTTGTCTCTCCAAGCCCCCCACTGCCAGCAAGGCTCGGGAATATTAAAATAGAACCAAAACCTTATTCCAATGACGAATACCCGTGCATTATTGAAGAATCGACGGCTTCTACACACCTTGCTTTCAGCCGCAGAGATTTTACAAGGGGAACGGGCGTCTCCACTCACAGCTGCAGCCAGACTGCAGCCACAACCAACAACACCGCGGCCCACGACCCGGGCCATGATCCAAATCTTGCTGCCGCTGACGGCTCTGCCGTACCATCCTCGATGGAGCAAATGAGTCCGCCCTGCGGCACGCTCTCAGCCTCGACATCAGAAGCGTTGAACGCCATCTGGATCCACTGGATCTCCAAGGTGGCATTGGCTCCCACCTCCATCTCCCCGGAGAAGCTCCCGCCGTTGCTCCACATGTTGATGTACACCGTCGACGGCACGACGGGGACGTTCATCTCCGATTCCTTCCTGAGCTCCCCGTTGATGTACCAAGCGCTCTTCTTCTGCTCTCGCAGCCAGTCCAACCGGTACACGGTCCAGTCGTGCATTGAGCCGGAGCGCGTTAAGTTGTGCGTCGACCCGGGGATGGTCGTCCACGTGGTGGTGTTCTCCGTGGGTTGGTTGGAGAAGTGCACGCGATTTTCCTCGTCTCTGGTCATGACCTCGATGTCTGACTCCTGCGTGTCGTTGAAGTAGGTGAAGAAGCCGGCCACGGCACCTGGAGAACCCGAGATACGGGCGTACACACGTAGAGAAATGGAGTCGACTAGGGCCTGGCTGAAATAGACCTCTCCAGCCTGCTGGGTATCGTTCTTCAGCCGGTCTGTGTACAGCAACAGTTGGGCCTCGTCATCTGGCTTGTCTGGCAGTCAGGTGTCAGCGCGGAGCAAGTCGAGAAGCGGGTGCGAAAAATACCCATATAGACGTGATCGGAAACGTAGTGGCGTGCCAAAACCTTCTCACTGGCTTGCCCCTGATACTTGATGGTGACTCTCCAGTCATCTGTCCAAGAGGAGTCGTTGGTCAGTTTGCTGACCGCCAAAGTGTCAGGCTCCTTTCTGTTCTCTGCCGCCGGGTCCCCCGTTGGCAGACGGCCCGAGGTTGAGGCATTTCGAAAGTCGTAGAACCGGTAGAAGCTGAAAGTTGCAGGGTTAGGCCCGTCAATGGAAAAGGCTGAACAGTCGTCATGGCTACTTGCCATCGCAACGCTGAGGAGCGCCACGGTATAGAGACTGGCGATGAGAACCATTGGAAGCGGCAAGTGGAGGCAATTTGCAAATGCAATCCGTCAACTACAACAAGTTATTTATCTTATGATGTGATTCTCGATGCAACACCTCGGCGCAAAATGTCTTGGTCCCAGGCGAGGATTCTTGGGAGGCTTCCAAGGGCTGGTGTTAATGACTCGTCCGCCAACTAGGTAAATGGCGTGCTGCGACCACGATCTTGGCTGCGACACGTGTGGCCAGAAACATCCGCTAGTGGAACTGCAAGGGGCCAGTCGAATGGGCCTGCCACAGCAGTCACGGCTTGTCACCAAGGCAGTTACAGTAGTGCTTACCCGTGAAGCCACTTGGCAGAGTTGTTGCTTGTGAGCACGATTGTTTCTCAACGCCTTGCATCAGGGGAAAGAAGACGGTTCCGTGGTGATCCCCCCACATGCCGCACACCATGTCAGAGCGCCACGACTGATCACTGCATTAGTGAGGTCCACAGCATGTAAGCGGAAAGAAATGCCGAACCGGCCCGCAGCTAACCCCCGGTATGTTGAATCAAAACCCTGCTATGGCTCATCAAGATTCGCCAGCTCCATCGGTTCATCTCATAATGCGCACTGCCTAGAATCCGAAAGACTGGGATTCTGGTCTCAGTGGCACAGGATGTATGGACTGACTGAGACATCCGTGTTTACCGGAATAATGTCTGCGGTTTACTCTGTAGTTTTGACGATGGATGGATCCCGATCTATTTCCCTCCCACATGCCGGCAGGTTCAAACGGGGATGCTGGAGCTAAGCTCGAAATAGTCTCATGTTCCCTGCCGACATTTGGACGCGCGTGTTTTTATTTTATTTCTTTTTCTTTTTTAACGACGGGACGAAGACCTTTCCAAGGACTGCCGAGCCCACGATAGACAAATTATAACGAAGCTTAGGGTAGCTACCAGACACCCCCCCTCCTACGACTTCGCCTGGCTAAGCATCTTGAGCATGATGGGGACCAGGAACTGCGCAGAGTTAACCACAGAGTATTCAGCATGGCCAAAACCACCAGAAGATAATACCCGGTTGCTGTTGGTTTGTTTAGGAATAGAAAAAGATAACTTTAACAAATATCGAGCTGTGATGACCTTAAGGATTACGCTTCTATAATCTTGGCACGGCAGAGAGCCTTGAGAGCCCAGCCTGAATCACATTGGCTAGCGGCTGGGGAGGCCCTCGTCATGCAGTCAGCATCCAAGCCTCTTGGCTCATGAGCAGACGTAAAGTGAACTGAAAACCCTTGCTAGTCCTGTCACGCTACTGAGCCTCACTCGCTGGCGTCTCGGGCCAGCTAGAAACCTTCTCCGGGGCTCAGTAGTAACGGGTGGCTTAGCTTCTTAGTGCGTGGGCCTCTTTCTAACCCTCCTAGCAAATCCTTGCTAATCTTTATTATTATTAGTATTACTAATATTATAATTATTAAAGCTAGATAATATCCCGCGCTTTTATATGCTATAGCTAGTAAATATCTTATTATAAAGAAATTTATTAATAGTTTATATAGGGTTAAGATTAGCCTTAATCCTAGAGTCTTAATAAAATTTTCTTTACTTTAAAAAAATAACTTAAAATATTTTAGAAAAATTAATTTTATAATATATAAAATATAACTTATATTATAAAATAGCTTTTTTCTTAGATTTATAAAAATATATATTTTTATTTTTTTATAATTAAAATTAATTTATAATAAGCTATAAAAGATTAATTAATAAGGGAAATATAATATTAACTTTATATTTTTTTTCTTAATTTTTATTATATTTTTATATTTTGTTTATTATTTTTATTATTAGTAGTCTATATAGAGTTAAGATTAGCCTTAGTTCTAGGGTCTTAATAAAAATTTTACTTATTTTAGAAAAATAGCTTTAAATAATTCCAGAAAAACTAGCTTTCTAATATATAAGACCTAACCTGTATTATTAAATAGCCTTTTTTCTTAGGTTTATAAAAATATATATTTTTATTGTTTTATAATTAAGGCTAACTTATAATAAGCTATAAAAGGTCGCCGAATAAGAGGTATATTATATTAACTTTATAATTTTTTTTTTATTATTATTATTTTTTTATATTTTTCTTATTAATTTTTATTATAAGCTAATTAGAGCCTTTAAGTAGCCCTATTATTATAATAACCCCCCTATTAATATAATAACTTTCTTATTAATATAATAATACTTTTATTATTTCTTAACCTTAATTTTATCTTTAAAATCTTAAGAAGAATTTTTTTTTTCTTTAAGAAATTCTTAAATTTCTTTTTTTTTTAAATTTCTATTTTATTTATTATTATAGCTTTTTTTCTTATAATTTAATAAGCTTAGGCCTAAAAAAAGTCTTAAAATTATTATTAAAGAATTATAAAAGCTTATTAATAATAAACTCTTATTAAAATTTATTTATAATTTTTTACTTAATTTACCTAAGTTTCTCCTTAAATTTTATTAAGGTTTTAACTTAATAAGTCCTTTAACTTAAATTTCTATTTAAGATTTCTTTTTATCTTAGAATTATCTTTAATTCATATTTATCTTATTAAATTCTTTTTTATACTTTTATTATAATAAAATTAACCTTATTATTATTTTTCTTTTTTTATCTTAGAGTATAATAATTATAGGGTTCCTAAGGGATAAACTAGTTATATTAGTTTATATTAATAGAGGAGAATCTAATATAACCTCAAAGGGTAATATAAGTTATATCTAATAATATACTTAAGGGTATTAAATATAATTAAATTATATTAATAAGTAAGGTAATTAATATATAAAAAAGTATAATAAATATATTTTATATATATAAGGTTCCCTTTAGGATTAAATCTCTAAAAGGTTAGTCTAAGGTAGGACTATAAGGACTAAAACTTAATCTTATTAGTCTTAGAGTATAAGACTAAATAATTTTCCTTTAGTCTTACCTTAGTAATTATTCTATTAGGCTTCCCTGCCTATATCTTATTATAATTATAATATAAGGTCTCCTCTTTATTAGTTTTATCCTTAAGGCTATTTCTCGCGATTAAGTCTATTAATAGGTAACTTTAATTTATAATTATTTTTTATATTAATAGTAGGTCTTAAACTAAGTAAATAGGCTTCGGGTTAGACCTAGATTTATTTAGGTCTATTTATAACCTATATTACTACTCTATTTTATAACCTAGGTTTAAAACCCCTACCCCTATTATATCTTATTAGTCCTTACCCTCTAGCTTTTGCCTATATTACCCTTTAATATCAGAATAGAGATTACCTCTTCTTCTAAGTTAGCCTTTAACCTCTTACTCCTTTATTTAATTACTTAATTATTATAATTATTATTATCGCTATTATATTATTATATTAACTCGTTATTATTATTATTATTATTATATAATATAACTTCTTTCCTAATATTAATTATTACGCTTATGCCGACCTAAAGCCTTTCTCTATTATTATCTAAAATATAACTATTATGGGATTATATGCTAGATCGCGATATAAAAAGACCTATTATTATAGATTATTTATTATCCTTATCCTTAGTATTATAACGCAATAATCTATATAGATAATATAACTATAAATAATCTATAAATAAGAAAAGAAAGATAAGCAAAGATAAGATAAAATATAAGATAAAGGATAAAAAAAGGTTAAATATAGAAGGAAAAGGGGAAAAAGATAAGGGGCCTTCTTACCTAACTAGGAATTAATAACCTAGGTTTACCCTAGCTTAGGCTAATAATAACCTTTAATCCGTCCTTTAACCTATTATTATATTATTATCCTAGAAGTAGCATAGGTTAATTAATATAGCTTCCCCTATTACCTAATAAAACCCCTTAATATGCCTAGTCATTAAGGGCTTATATATAGCGTTTTACCCCGGCATTATATAATAAGGGAAATTATTTCTTTTATACCGCTTCTTTTAGGCAGATAATAGGATTAAAGACCTATAGTCTCTTAGGACTAGTCTCTTAGGACCGACCCCTAGAGCGGTAGATATTTCTAAACCCGGGGTTAAGAGACCTTAATTATTCTTCCTATTTTCTAGATTAATGCCACTTAAATATTCTAACTCGTATATTTCTATAAAGTCTCTATCGCCTAACTTAAGTAAGAAAGATATCGCTAATTATTAATTACTAAGGTTAAATATTCCCCTCTATAGCTTAGTATCTAATAATAATAATAAGAGGCTAATAACGCGTAATAATCTATCCTAGAAAATAATAGAGGATAGAGATAGGCGCTAAGTTATCCTATACCTCCCGGCTAACTTATAGGGAGGCTATTAATAATATAGAATTAGCTAGAGAGTAAGCCGAGTAGTATTATATTATTATAGCGTAAATACTACTTTATGCTCTTAAGACTAAATAGAGCATAAAAGAAAATAAATAAGTAGATTAGAAATATATATAGAAGCTATATAGGATCTTTAAGAAGGGTAATATAAAGCGAAAGGCAAGAAAGAATTATATATTAGTATTATGCGACTAAGAGGATATTTTTAAGATAAAAAGGCATATAGGTTTAGATAAAGATACCTAAGTCTTACTAGAAGGAGAACTTCTTTTCTTTAAGGATTAATACTTAGTCCACGGGAATAATAATAAGGTTAAGGTAATAGCGGGCTAGCATCGAATTAAGGCGCTAAAGATATATATCTTTTAGATAAGGATAGAGAAGAAAGAGCTATAATAGATATATAACTTCTATGACTATTATATACTACTTAACCGGGCGAATCTCTAGCTATAAGTTAACCGCAAGGACCCTATAATAATAAATAGCTATAGCTAGATCTAGGCATAGGTAATAGCGGCGTTAAGTAAGAATAATAAGCTCCTATAAGAAGATAAGATAGATATTCTAAAGGCTAAGATTATTAAAACTCTTTACCTAAGTAGCGATATTTATTTCCTTATTTCTAGGCTTATAATAATTTAAAGAAATAAGAGGTAAAAGGAGATAATAAGCTAATAATAC